CGTCCACTGCTGAACAAAGGTCTTCCCCAAAGATCTCCATGACGATGTACGTAAAAACGTACGTACAAAGGGTAATTCGTTAAGGTTCTGTGTAAATAGGTTGAAATAACAAAAATCGTATAAAGAATAGGCGGATTGATACTCATTATATATATATAAAACAAAAACGCTGTCGCTGTCTGTCCATCCCTATGTATACTTAAACCTTCAAAACTATGCAACGGATTTTGAAGCGGTTTTCTTTAATAGATAAAGGTATTCAAGAAGAAGGTTTATATATATACTACATGTCCAACCGTGCGAAGCCGGGGCGAGTAGCAATTTGTTAATAAAATAACAATTAAATACCGATATTTATATTACGCCTTAATCTTTTCTCTTTTGATAATTCATTAATTATCTTACTATCAGTGTATCTGCAGTATTCTTTAATATAGTACAGTTGTTTAAAAAATAAGCACCTTCATTAATGCCGGTATCCTCTTCCATATTCTGCGATTTCTCAGCTTTTACTTGAATACATGTTGCAAGGATGAACAAATAGATTGCACATGTCAGAGTTGACACCCGCATCTGTAAATTAAATTAATAAACTGTTAGCATCATAAACAATCTGACAAGTGGTACTGTTTATATGTGGTTGCTGTTCACGTCCTTTTCAAGTCTTGCCTGAGGATCATGTCAGCCCTGCAGAATTACTTTTTCTCTGATTACAGCCCGCCATCTGTGTCGGTATTTTACACAAAGGAAGGCATCATGGAACGTGATGTCCGACGATGAGCGAATTTGGTCCAACCATCTTGTGGGGCTACGCCCTCTAGGACGTTTTCCGTCCACCCTACCACTCGCCATGAACTGCTCCACTTTATGGCCTTCTTTCCGTTGTTGTGACCAAAAAACTCTAGTATTCTACGGAGATGTCTACGTATAATATGGTGGAGAGAATAGTTTCGATGTTAAGTTCCCGTAGAATAGAGACGTTGGTCCGGAAATTAGCATTACAAATCTTACCGCTTCATTTGAATTTACGCAAGTTCGATCACATCTCTTCTTTTCATACCTAGCTTAAATGGCTAGAAAAGTACGTATGCCATGTACTATTTATTCTATTCTATATGATCCTAATTCTTTTTATTACTTTCTTCTTAATTTCTTCCACTAATCTTTCGCTGTTCAGGCTGTCAAAATTTCGAATGACTGAGACTTAGACTTTAACAAAGCTGGGGCGATTATTTACAAGTTTACATAATAGATAAACAATATCACGTCTTTGTGAACTGACAGTGAACGCTTATAAATAATTGCAATTAACTTATTACCAGGCGTTTTGTGATTTATATTGGCTATTAGAATGTTCTTTTGGTCTTGATCCTATGTAGCAGCTGATGCCCAACTCTTTCTTCATATAGCTTGAATGATTTTATAGATTTACAAGCAACAAGCAATAGCAGTAGGATAATCTAAACAAAGCCTACTTTAGTACTGAAAATGAGACACAAGATATCACATATATATAGTCTACTAGCTGTCCAGGAAAACGTTGTTTTGCCTTAAAAAAAAAATTTAGGGGTGGACTACCCCTAACATTTAGGGGGATGAAAAATAGATGTTGGCCGATTCTCAGACCTACTCAATACGCTCACAAAATGTCATGAGAATCGGTCAAGCCGTTTCGGAGGAGTATGGGAACGAAAACTGTGACACGAGAATTTTATATATAAGATAATGTCACAATAATCTTAAAAAATCATGTTAATTGTTGATTGACTCACTGGTCAGATAACACCGATGAAATCCAAAATTAATTATAAGCTCGCCCGCAATATATTTTCAGCTTTGTAGCAATCATTCTCCATCAATCAATAATAATTTATTCATGTAGGACATTTTAGACGCTTATTCACATAAGGGTTTTTGTATTAATATTTTTCCCTACCTTCCAGTTCAGTATACAGATTCAATTGAAAGGAACTGGCATGAAACTTCACTGTTTTTTTTTTGTAAAACCAGTTTATGTAGGTACTAAAATTCAAAAATTATTTAATCATGTAGGACATTTTAGCTGCTTATGAATGAACGTCAACTTTTTTACATTATAATATTAATTTTTTTCCCAACCGTCCAGTTCGGTATATAGATCCAATTGAGAAGAACTGGTAAGAAATTCAATTGTATTACTTTTTTTTTAAAAGCCAGTTTATTTACAATGTATATATATATAGGTGTCTATGTGTAACATTAAATGAAAATTCAGTGCATGAACAACTATTGCCATGCACGCTCGTCATTCAAGTAATCGTTTAGTGAGTAATAGGCTTCGCTCAATAAATATAATTTAACAGATTTTTTGAATTTATTTATGGGTAATTACAATATATTCTTTGGTATCTTATTGTAATTTTTTATACCTATTCCCATAAAAGACCTATTGACTTTTTCTAAACGATACTTGGGGACAGCAAGTTTGTCTTTAAATCTAGTATTAATATTATGAATATTGCTGTTTTTTGGAAATAAGTCAAGATTTTTATGAACATATAGGATATTGAAATATATAAATTAAGAAGCAACGGTGAGTGTGTCTATATCTAACATAAGTTGGGCTGTCAACTTGTATGATATTCTAGAATATTGCTTTACATAATACTTTTATGTTCCCTTTACAACCTACCTTTTACCACAGATGAGAAAATCTTCCACAATACCCCTCAGTAACACTGCACTGAATGTAAATGAACTTAATTTATTTTAATTAATATTTATAATTAGTTAAATTATTATATGTTTGTAACACGCCTCAAAAAGAGTATTGGTATTGAAAATATAAAATATTTAATGTAGATATGTTCATTATATTGCAAATATCAATTATCATATCACTTAATAATGATGATAAAATATTTTGATTTATTGATTGAATTAATTAATATAATAATAATAAATAAGTATTATAATTATTTATACAATAATATATTTTTAGCACGTCTTAAAAAGTGGATTATTTATGGAAATATAAAATTATTATTTTTTTATTAATTATTTACTCTAGGCTACTAATGATCATCATTATAAGTATCTTAAACATTAACCTACATATGAAATAATTATAAATATAAAATGTTAATTAATATAGATTGTTAATATAATTGTATATATCAGCTATCATATCACGTATTAATGGAGATAAAACGTTTTGATTTATTCGATTCATTTCGACGGAGTCGGTGGTCTAGCGATTTAGTACACCTCTTTATTTCCGATAGTCGCGGTTCGATTCCTCGTACGGTGCAAACATTTGTATTCATGAGTATTATTGTTTGTATCGGTCTAGATGTTTTTCTATGTATATTATGTGTTTATTTACAAATAAAATATATCTAGGTATTTATATCAGTTGGCTAGTACCCATAACACAAGATCTTCTTATTTTTTTTATTATTTATATATTATATTATTAATATTAATTAATATAATATTAAAATATTTGTCATGTAGGTACTCAATAGGGATGGTATAGTTTTAAAAAATATTAACTACATCAATATTATTGGTTTATATATATAGCGAGTATATCATATTATATATATTTTTATGTTATTACTACCACTATAATATATAAAAAGTATCTGTCCGCATCACTATACTGGTATTTTTATTATATTTTTCTTTTCTCCATTTGTGTTTTATAAAGGCTATTTATTTCATACTATAAAATTTTGTAAACTATCCTTTATACTTATTTTCATACATATTATTACTTTTTATTTATATAATTACTGTTTTATATTTTTAAAGTTTAATTCCTGTGCGTCTGTACTGTGGGTGCAACTGAAAATCAGCGCTGGAAACTATATTCTGAGTTGTAGTCCACTTATTATTCTGTTGTAATGTTGTTTGTATTTTTATATGTCATTATAGTTACAGCATATAGCAAGATTAGTCAACATCAGAGAAGACCGATGAGCTGGCAGCTTACATCGGACAAAGAATTAGTCTAGCTATTCAAAGCTGGGAAACGCTGCCAGTATCTTCGGAACCTTGCCTAAAGGACTCCTTTCAATAATATATAGTTATTATATTTTTTAAGGTTTATTGTTTTAGGTTTATTTTTCTAGTGTATATTTTCTTTTATTTCTGTCATTAGTGTTGTTTCTAGTCGAGTCAATGAAATACTATTCTTTAATTTTGAAATAAAAACGTTCTAATACTCTTAATGTATTCCCACTAAAGCCTCGAGGGTTACGCTTGCGGACTTTGTAATTTTACTACCATATCACACCCTACGAAATACATCTTACAAAGAAATTCTTAAGCTGGAGGAATCTTCATGGTATTGCGAGTCCTGACCGCGTGCTGCGTGTAATTTAAACTAGCTGTGATCGCGGTTTCACCCGCTTGTAAATTATATGTTATTCTGATGTATAAACTATATTACTGTAAAGTTTCATCAAAAACCATTCATTAGTTTTTACGTGAAAGAGTAACAAATATCCATCCATACTCACAAACATCCACTTTTATAACATTAGTAAAATTTTAAAAACTTAATGCCTATTCCCATAAAAAAGACTTATTAACTTTATGTTAATGAAATTTAGGAACTGCATGTTTACATAGTATGTAGTAGGTACTAAGGTTATTAGAAATAAATCAAAGTTCTTGTTTATATATATTATTATTTATATTACGAGTATATAGAGTAATAGAGAGCTAATTAAAAAAATCTATACATTGGTAATTAAAGTTTTTGTGATAAACTCGACCCATTGCCTTTGTGGAGAAACATTATCTCGCATTTTCTACCGGATTACCACGGAGCGAGTCTGAAGAATTGATCGGATTAATACCAGCTGCTGAATTCACTATCACACCACCCGCCAGAAACTAAAATACCATCCTGATCGTCTGGATGAATGGCGGTCCTCCACAGTGCGGTTTTCTATAAACTTTTGCCACGCACAACCACATAGTGGAATCACTTTCCAGCAATAGTATTTCCGAACCGATAGGATATTGAAACCTTCAAGAGAAGAAGACTTATTCCTTCATAAAAGGCCGGCAACGTACTTTGAATTCACCTGGTGTTGCGGATATTGATGGCAGTAATCATTTACCTTGAACCGCAACTTTATTTGTCCTCTGTACTATAATACATTATTGCATAGAAAAACGTGATTCTAATACAATATTTCAACAACGAATAATACAAAATTTTACCTTTTTAACTTATAATAATAACTTATTATATTAACAACTTCAGAACAATAATAAAAAGACAAGAAACAAAAGAAAGCCATCAGGCAATTTTATGTATTATAGTATAGATCATATATATATACCGAGCAACACCCAAGGAATAAATGTATCTGCACCCTAAGTTGATACATATAATATAATCAGTACATACACAGATTATATATACATACACAGATACAGTACAGACACGTAAACTTATGTCTTATTTATTTATTTACATAATGATTTTTATGTTATTTAAGTCACTTCAATATTTGCGCCAATTCATGAATTTGAATTGAACCAAATGCCGGTTCGAAGAAAAATGCGAACAAAGCCGAATATAAGATAATAAGAAAATACAGATTATATAATGTTATATTCTTTAAAAATATAAAAATACAAGAACACAGCTATATCAAGCAGATTAAGGAAAAAATTGAAGCATGTCTAAACAACTAAAGAGACTAATGTTATATCATGAAAATGCCGCTCCGCAGATAAGAGCGCGGCTCTTAAATTATGAATGAAAAAATACAACTGTGTATAAAACTAATAAATTAAGAAGCTAATTTAAATGAGTGGAAGAACTAACGAATTTAGATACGTTCCTAGATGTCGTGTTAAATATGGATTGTAGTTTGTTAATCCAAGCCTTCCTAGTGTCATCATAACCGCATACAATAAATAAGAAAAGAACAAATCCTTGAATAGTGACAGTAATAGTGAACAAGTAGGCTGCTACAATATTAAAGGCAAACAGTCCAAATATCCAGGGTAAGCCGAATAAGAACATTAAAACAAACGCAGTACTCGTGCACTTCAAGGCCACTTCACGGTAACTCGCTTTTTGCTTTCCTAATTTTGTATTTTGCTCGCTTTTGTAAATGACTCTTATCATATAGAAAAAGGCTATTACATTTATCAATAATGTTAAACATATAGGCATAAATACAGACAACCATAATCCTGGGCCTGAAGGATAGCAAAAACTACCAGTGGGGGTCATGTCTTCAAATCGTCCGACGTACGACCGTGGTGCAGATATAAGAAGTATACCGATGATCACGATAGGAGCTCCCCAAGAAAAAGCTGAAGTCTTCATTACTGTATGTGTTATATGCTTTCCGAATGGTATTGTGTCTTTGTAAGCAATTGCTGCGGCCACAAACATCCAACAGAATGAAGCCAATACAGAGTAATGCAAAACTATACCAACGAACATGCATGAAGCACTGAAATATAAATATTTCACATGTAAGATTATTAAAAAACAAATTGATAATATTAATAACGCTATACACAACTGAAGCCAAATTTGATTGCGGAATTTAGAACGCCATGTTTCAAACACAGCAACTGTGAGTAGTATGAAAAATATACCAAAAATAGACAAAGAGCAACCGATAACAGATAGAATTTCTAATGCATTTTCATTGCCTTCAGAGAAGACAGGTCGAGGTATTAAAATCTCCGCAAAATGTATTAAATGGTCGCACTGACATGAGTCTAAAATGTCTGGATTATTTGAGCTGATAAAAGTGCAGCCTTCTTGTGACCAATATCCAGTGCCGTTTTCCAAATAATGCCAATATGCACAAGATCGCCTCTGGTCTCGTTCTGGTTCTTTTATAGGTTTAAAATGTAACGTGACTACCTGGAAATGGAGCAGATATAAACTTTTAATATGCAGCAGGTCCATAAACAAATCCATGTAATATTCATAAAAAAATTTGTCTCGGGTTCTATTTCTCGTGCGATAGAAACATTTGTATTCATGAGTGATTTTTTGTATCTGCAGTTTTCTATGTATATTATGTATGTAAACAAGAAAAATGTATCTATTTATTTATTTGTCCAGAACCTAAGCTCTGCTTAGATTGTAGTAGATGACGCTGCATGGGGCGTGAGGTCGGACAACCTCCTCGTATGTTCCAGCCATTGGAAGGTTTCCCCATTCTCGTGGACACGTTCGCGGGGAACGGCGGCCGAGCAATGATTAGGTTCCAGTACGCCCTGGGCGGGATAATAGTAGTTCCTTTTGGATATTGCTACTATATCGCTTAGTAGGTTCGTACGGCGAAGGGGGGCGACGCAGACTGAGACAATGAGCCCAGATGGGGCCCTCAGGGGTTTAAGTCTGCCGTCCATACAACGGCGACGGATGAATATCGTGGGGTTTTTGCTGAGTAGTCTCACAATATCCGTCCGTCCAACCCCTGATACGGGACGGACGAGGGATTTTCCCCACGTAAAAAAAAAAACAAGAAGATTACTCTGTATAAATTATCCTGAGATATTAAAGAAAACTTTCGTATTCATATTTTTAATAAATATACCTCTCCAGATTCGAAGTGTGTGTAATTCTCCACATTAACGCTCACTACTCGACTGTTAACGATAGATTCACCTTCGTTATCGAAGACGCGCTTGTTATTAAATACGGTGAAGCTAATACGTCTCGGGATGTTGATCACGGACTGCGGAAGATGCACCATAGCATCAGTCTCCTTCACGGTTAAGTGCGTCGAATCGACATCCACTTCATGTCAAAAGTATATGTAGTTGCGAAACATTGTAGAGGAACATGAAAATAAAAATCAAGAAGTAATTATATTAAAATTAAAAACATCCCGATGCAGTTTTTTGAAACCACACGTATTTATCATTATCATAAACAATCGTTATCCTATTATGGGGTACATCATTAGAAATATGTTTTCTTGTTACTACTATGCAGACTAGGTCTCTTTTTGTCTAAGCTTAAAAATGTTGTGACACTTGATACATACACACGATGATTTCATAAAAAATATTATTGAAGAAAAATAGAAGGAAAGAGGGGGAGGGGAAGACCAGGGCATAGCTACATTAATCAAAGTAAGGATAAAATGGAAGTCGTGTCTTATAAAAAATTAAAGAGCATGGAAGATCGCGGAAATTGGCAAGAGCTCCACCGACAAGAGTGTAGCTCTTAAATTATGAATGAATGATTGACCGGTAAGCTTCTTCTTGGAAGAAGTTATCTCGCGGAAGGAAGCAGCAGAGAGAGAGCGGGAATCTGATCCCTTCGCTCCATTAATCCACCGAAAAAGATAACTCCAGCCTAGTAGCAGGGGCATACCCAACTCCGCCTCACTTCTATCCAACTAAATGGCCCCAGAAGGTCGCCCTAACAACGAGAAGAGGCCTGCTCTTCACTATCTACAAGGCGAGCCAACGCATCCCGATACGCGATGAGATGGTAACACGACCTCGCACCACGACTCCAGTAATGACGCTTGTATGGTATGCCGTGTAGTTTTTTAGTCGGTAAACGATCCCACACAATCCATCGTCGCTCCTCAGTCAGAGAGGACGATCTTTGAAAGATTTTTCCACACGATAAAAAAGCCATTTCTTAGTACAATTTTTAATTTAAACTTTTATTTTTCTTACAGTAGCAATATACCAAATCATACCGGAAATTTGATTTCAGAATAGAAACAATGATGTTATTTATAATTATTAACTGTGATACCACACACGTCTATTAATAAAAATATGCATGAATAAAATACTTGTCATGTATTACTTACTTAATAAAATCTCAAATGCTTCATGTACAGATATGTTAACATCTGAACTAGCTACCCTCAGCCCTCTAACAGGGTATAAATCCCCAGCATCCGCTATCAATAAAGCTATTTTTTCCTTTACTATCCTGTCACTCTGAGAGCCCATTAAATCAATTGTCATACCGAGTTTCTGAATCAATTGTAGCAGTTCACCTGGGAAGACTACATCCTCGTCTATACTTAGAAGCATATTAATCTGCAATAAAAATATGTTGTAATACTCCACATCGAACCTATCCATACAGGGAAGGGTACTGTTAGTAATGGACTTTTAAGCCACTGTGGCTAATTGCTGATGTTCGCTACGATGGGCTAACTGACTACTATCCCATTGTTGTCCACTAGTGTTCCGCCAATATATACCTTATATGTGTCTACAATAAAAAATGGCCTATCCACATTAAAGATCAGATCCAAACGTGACGATTTAATTTAGCAATAATTATCATAATGTATTATTTTTACTTAAAATGCAAACGTGTTTAGATTTAGTTAATATAGTGTTCTATCAAATCAAAGAATCACATGTTTGTAAAAACGGATAAAATGCATAATATTAATAATGATAAATGAAAGAAATTAATATTGTCATTACCAAAACTACCATATCCTGGTCGTGATCATTCCTATGAAAATTTTGGTGTTTATACCTTCTTTCGCTTTGCATTAATTTCAAATACAGGTATCCATCCACATACATAAAATAAATCTGAACCTGAACCTAGATATATAATTATTTTGCAAAACTCAAAGAAAGAGAGTAAAATATTGTTTACATTCAACGCCATCTTTAGGTGATCAATGACCAGGATGTTTAGTCAGAGCTTAGAAATATATATAAAATACACACAAAATACCAATGTCCTCACTATATATTTCCACTCACATATATCCTGTAAATCCAAATTGGATCGTCAACAAATTGTAACTCTCGACAACCATAAAAAACTATAATAGAATAGAAGAAGAAATATTTTAAATTAATTGGCATTTACAATACTACTATTAAAAATAATTCCGTACCTTATCGAAAGTCTTGTCTACTTTGGTTATATATATTGGAGGATTCTGGAATTTGTTTTTGATATCGTCTGTAATTTCATTAATTATGTCCGCGGGCTGAAAATAAAGACATTTTAAAAATAGTTCTATTAAACTAACAGGTTTCGTTTTATAGCATAGCAGTAAAGGAACTTGTGGCACGCCTGATCGTCAGTGATATGAACACCCCAGGGGAATTGTAGGCGAGTTAGCGGTTACCGGTTACAGAACTTTTAAGGAGGAAAGAGCTCTTTTCTTGTAGGTTTCAATTTTATATAGGTTCAGAAATAATTATTAATTATTCTTTACATAAATAATGATAATTAAAAAATTTTGGGTCTAGAATAGTGACTTCAGAATTATCGTACCTTTTTTTGACACGAAGTTTTTAGTGAATAATAAAAAGGGATAGGGTAAGTCACCGTGTACGTTTAAAAAAAGGAAATGTAGGTCAGATCTTGGATTTAGGTAAACCACTAAATCACGACGCTCTCGTGCCAAAAACATTGTATATCAATTTGTATTTTTCCCGACTCTGGTAGTTACCAATAATAAATGAAATTAATACGAGAGAAAACGGTAGTGCAAATGCATTCACCGAAATGTGGGCAAGTTCACCACGATATCTATAGTGTGTTTTTAATCTCGATCACTAAATCGACAGGTGCAAATGTCAAATTTTGTCATATGCAGCGGGGTACAACTGTACCTGTGATATTGTAATTAGTTTAGTCATAGCCTAGTGTTGACTGTTCAGTAGCACTTTGGTAGGGAACAGAACACTAGCTATATCCGAACTCTATTAATTGATGATAGGCATCATACCACCGACAGAAACACGTGTTGCAATATGTATGTAGATTCAATAACGATCGGAATTTGATCACCAACAGAAGGTCGTAACCCTTCCAGTAGCGGTAGTCGGGTTTCCGCACTGAATGTTTGTTATCGCACACGTGCTAATGGTAGCGGAATTTAACAAAATCATATAAGGATTTATATGATTTTGTCTTAATTAACAGAGTGAATTACGAGTAATGACATGTTTCATGTCGTTGTTTAATGATTAAAGACGACGATGTTTAATGTCTTTTTATATTTCTATAATTATCAATGTATTCAGCATTACAGAAACTTATTATAAATTTATTAATTACATGTTGTAATTTAAATAATGTAAATTAAATATTGTAATAGGTGAAAACTGTGATTGTTACAGTCCATGCCGTAGTTACTATAAATGACGTAGTGGAGTAACTTGAAACAGTTTATAAAGTTCAAGCTTGTGGCGGCGTGGTGGGCCGGGTCAATATGTTTGAGTAATCTATATCTATATTCTCTAATATGGTTGAGTGCAACGATGGCTGGTGCATCCGTCATATTCGTGACTGGGTGCTGCTTGTGGGGACTGGTCTGATCGGGTTACGAACACTGATTAGAATATTTATTTTTGCAATATAATTATGCTGGTGGTACTCTATTATCCCAAATTTGAATTTAAAAATGAATCTGTATTATTGTAAACAATTATAACATTTATTTGAAAATAATACCATCTGAATTTCTTGTTCAGAAGAACAAGAATAGATTTAACATACCATATTTTGAATTTGAATTTGAATTTGAATTATACAAACCGAGAGAGTTGTCGCATAACGCTGCGTTGTTGTGGTACCTGTAATCATTAAATGAGGTTTTTAAAGTAATACGACTGAATATAAATAATATTTTTTACATCTAAATATTATTTTAGAATAGAGTATCAAAGAGAAATTCCTTCTAGTACGTACTTACCTATAAAAAAAACCTTTTAAAATATGGAGACTAAAATATTTCTACTAATCTAATACTTAAAGTATGCATTGAATGTCAAAATTTTGTATTTTCTCTATTTATATTTAACCAGTCATATACAGGGTGTCGGATTTCATGTGGTCCAAACGAAAACCATCGATAGAGGGGTCCAGGGGCTTCCGAAAACACCCCCATGTATGTTCTGCAAAAATTTATAGTTTTCGAGAAATTTGCATTTTCATAAATTTTTCGTTAGTACCCGAAATGTTACATTCTTTATTTGTTGCTCCTAAACTATTATTACCAAAACCTTAATTATTTTTCTGGATGTGAATAATTAATAGGGCTTTCACTACGACAACACAATTCTAATACATTACTTTTATTTTGATGATTTCTTACTATTTCTTTAGGGGAGTTTAACTCCACAAAATCACATAACAAAATTCTTAGAGACTCATTTCAAAAACTTTAAGGTTTTTACGTTGTATATACGGTAGAATACACAAAGCGATGCGAAGTCTCGCCTCAAGCTAAGTGGTTCGATACCGTTTGAGAGATTGGGATCATCAACAATTCTCATAGCACGTCTCTGAACCGAGTCAAAAGGACCGAGCTGGCATCCAGGTGCTCCTGCCCAAAGATGAGAGTAGTACTCCATGTGCGGCCGAACCTGTGACTTATATAGAGGTCAGCAGTGAAGTACCGCCTCGCTCTATTGAGCACACCGAGCTTTTTGGACGCCAGCTTCCCCTTTTCTTCGAGGTGACTACGGAACTCAACGATGTCGACACCGAGAATCCCAATACTCTTAGAGATGGTAATGGACGTGTTCTGGTATTGCGAAGCCACAGCAAAAGGGGTTTTCTTAGCGGTGAACGCGCAGACTTGTGTCCTGGTAGGGTTGAATTGAACTAAGTTCAATCGCCCCCAATCGACTCTCGATTTCAGACACAAGATGTTCGTGGTTTGACTCCACAACGGAAAGAGGAATGTTCGCGCGGCCCGTGTAAGACGCGTCCCCAGTACTGTCATCCGCATAGCAATGAATGTCAACTATGGGACACAGTCACCTAGATACATCAAAATAATAATTGCATTTAATAATGTCTAGTAAGACAAATTCAATATTATCTACTAAGCACTGCTGTGTCTAAACTGTGTCACCCCACCTTACATTTTCCTATTGTTATTTAGTATATAAGATCATTATTTCTATGTACACATTGTCAGTTTATCATCATCTGTAATATACATCGTCTCGACCAACAACATCGTATCATTCACCCGCAACATCAACCGTAGTTAACAAATCATTAATATGCAGCAGAAACAGTGTCGGGGAGAGAATAGAGCCTTGCGGAACGCCAGCGTTAATGTCCATGTTGTCAAAGCAACTACCGTCGACCACGGTTTTGATGCATCTGCCAGACAAAAAACTAGCGACCTATTTGCGTAATACCTCTGGTATTCCGTACGACGGCAATTTCGATAGACGACCTTGATGCCAAACCCGATCGAATGCCTTCACCATGTCAAGGCTGACTGCCAACGCCTCACCTTTGCTCTCGATGGCAAGAGCCCAGCGGTGTGTGAGATACACTAAGATCACCAGTTGAGTGATTATGGCGGAAGCCATATTGGCGATCGCTCAATAAATTGTGTTCTTCTAGGTATCTGAGGAGCTATGTATTAATTACACGCTCCATCACCTTGGAGAGCAAAAATGCGATATCGATAGGCCCGTAGTTTGATGGGTTTGACCTGTCGCCCTTTTTTGGCACAGGGTACACAAGGATGGTCTTCCATGATGACGAAAATTGCCCAGAGGAGTATAAAAGCGCGAAGAGGCGCGTGAGTACGGGACACAACTCAGGAGCACACTTCTTTAGCACCAAAGCCGGTATGCCGTCTGGCCCGTTCGACTTGTTGACATCGAGAGACAGCAACTCTCGCCGTACCTCCGTTGTATTACGGATATTTCCGGCATAGAGTTACCACACCATGGGATGGTAGTAGGTAAGTCGAATTTGAGGCAAAAAGAGCGCACAACAAATTGGCCTTCTCTTTTGCACTGATTGCCAAGTTATCATCCGGCTTCCGTAGTAGTGGCAAGGACGACTGACTAAAGTTACCTTCGGCAGCCTTAGCAAGCGACCAAAAGGCACGACTTCCAGAAGGATATCGAGCTAGTCGCTCCCCAATTTTGCTGACGAAGTCGAAATTGGCTCTAACAATTACTCTCTAACTAAATCTTAATGCAGCATTTAAATTCTTAAAAGCATACTCGCATCAGATACACCAACATCCCTGTTGGAACGAGCCGTGGTCCAAGCCTGATAAGCAGTTTCTTTAGCCTGTCTGGCTTCTCTGCATGACCTATTAAACCACGGTCGCGTTTTAGCCCCAGAAGCAACAAGCAGATTTTGAATGAAAAAATCCATACCCGCAACTATGACTTCAGTAACGGCGGCTGTACAGGTATCGACGTCTTCTGATGCAAAGCAGTGCTGCTTCCATGGGTACGACGCGTAAAATTCTCGCAATCTGTCCCAATCTGCTGACTTATAATGCGACGTCGACCAGGTGTTCGGCGTGTGGAAGGTTGTGTGCACTGTACTTGGGATCAAATAAGATAGTGATCCGAAGAACCAAGAGGCGCTTCCACGGTGACTGAATATCCGTCCGGACATGTAGTCTGGACTGACAGATCTTTTTTTTCTAGGCCAAGAAGGCGGCGACAGCAGATATCCTCCCGGACATACAAATATACCCCAGCTCGACGCACAAGTGTATACCCGGGATACGTAAGGTACGAAGTATCAGCCGGACAGGATATCTGTGTCTCCGTAAGAAACAGAAGGGTCGGCTTGGTGGTCTCGAGATGATGGTGAACCGCATGGATGTTTCCGTGTGTCCCCTGATGTTACAAAATCCATATTAATAGTAGATAGGGGAGCCGCTGATTGACTGCGATTCCTTTTCTTTTTTCTGGCCATTTGGGTATTATTTTTTTAAGGTTGAAGGAGAATGATCGCGCTGGTAATATAAAGGACAAAAGATGTGTCAACGCACCCCAGTATTGCACAGGTTTGGCAATTTGGTGGCACAGCGGCCGAAAGGGCCTCCGGTCCCCCCACTGGTGCAGCAGCCGGGTCCACTCCGGTCTCCTACTCCGGTACGACTACAATACCAGGGATTATGCGCAGGAGGCGGTTCAGCCTCCCAGGGTGGAGATTAAGTAATCCCTGGGTCCGGGAACCCAACAACCTGCGGGCGGCCAGCGGTTAGCCGTTTCACCGGGTCTCCCTGAACGCTGCGCCACCACATCGCACTTATGCAGTCTCGCGGCACTGTTGAACACACAGAAACTCTAATACCAGCACAACCAATCCCCATGGGGCTCTGGTCACCACACGACACACCACAGGAACAGTGCTGTTTTGTAGTGCAAGTACAGCACTATTTGGCTGTGGTTTTCTGCTTGGTGGAGGTACTTCGCCAGTTCGGGCCGCCCCAAGTCAAGCAAGATGAATCGAAATACATATATCAAGCTGTGCCCTCCTTCTATGACTATGTGTCGTGTATGACGATGTATAGCAACATGACACATTCTTTAAGAGATTCGCGCGATTTAGCGCGGGAATGCCAGCGCGCGCAAGCTTGAGTAAAATCATTTAACTATTTTTTGTGATCTCTATTTACACGCGACTTCGTCCGCGTGGAATTTAATCTATTTTTCTAAAATAAAAGTAGCATAAGTTACTCCTTATTACATCAGCTACCTACCGATATAAGTTCCGTCAAAATTGGTCCAGCCATTTTATAGATTAGCCGGAATAAACAGACAGACAGACAAAAATTGAAAAAATGTTATTTTGGTGTATATACCGTATTTATATTCATACGCATGTAGTAAAAAATGGTTATTTAAGTATTACAAACAGACCCTCCAATTATATTTATATGTATAGAGTATAGATTTCACTGATTTTATTTTCCAAAGACACGGTTAAGATTTATAAATAAAATAAATTAAAACTCTATAATTACGTTTTTGCTCCATAATCAAATCCGCCATTTTGCAATGAAAAATATCCTACTAAATGGCGCTAAAGGTACGCTTGAACGCGCGAGATGGCGGCGCGCGGTCTGTATAGTTCTCTTTGTCTACATTTACAAGCTCATTATTTCTTGCGTGAAAACCGATTCACACGTGAAAGAACTTACGTGTGAAAACAGCTATTGTAGCTAATTATAGTGAGTAGGTCTTTATTTACAAACCTGTGTCGTGCAATTTACACTCATATGGGTAGATCAAGTTAATACAATTGCAGAGCCATCGCCCCGACGTCGACATCTTAGAACTACTACATCTTCCATCCCACCGCCAACCGCTTTCTCTAGCAGACTGGGCCATTTCCAAATTCAAACAATTATGTGTGGTAGACTGTACAGACTATAAAAAAGAAACAAAATAATCAATTAAATTGGCAGACCTTACAAATTTAAATCATAAATTTAAACTATTTAACGACTGGTAGTCTAGCAGTTTAGCACATCGCTTCACTTCCAATGGTCATGGGTTGTATAACTCGCACACACAAATCGGTTACACCGTTTCTCAGATTAGGGCATAGATTAAAATTGCACAGAAAACTATTATTTTATATATAAACTCTTAAAATCATTTAATAAATAAACATTACCCACTCTACCCTACCCATACCTTTGATACAAATACACACACACATACAGATCCGTCCAAGTCAGAGAGTCAGAGTAACAAAGACACAGGAAGATTGCCGAGTGACGAATATAAATAGACGTCGCTTTAGTACGTGAGTCTTTGGAAATTGAACTTTAACGACGTTCAACTTAAATTTTAAATTAATTATACGACAAATAAACAAGCGCACGTGAGACCCCTGAAGTTTCAGGCCTGCTGTGAATTGATGTGTGTGTAAAGAATCCATCTCACCACTTCAGGCGTCCATATGCTACGGTAACCATTTACAATGACAATACTTCCATACAAACTTTGATCTCCCCTTTCAACCCCCTCCCCTCCGATCGATCCCCATGTCCCCCCTCTGATCGATCCCCCGTCCAATTCAAACGGGGATCGAATATACGACGGCCTACGCCGAGGTTCGAACCCCACGCAGTGTAATCGAACTAAACTCGTATCCGTCAGACGAGAGTTGGCCGTCAGCCGCTCCATAAGTCCAAAAAAAACCTTTCAAAGCCCTTACAACTCTTTCTCGCATTCAAAATAGACTATGTCCTTTCTCAGGGTCTAAACTATCTGTGTACCAAATTTCATTTAAAGTGGTTCAGTAGTTTTCGTGTGAATGTGAGACAGACAGAGTAACTTTCGCATTTATAATATTAGTAACGATTAGCAACAATAATTACTCACAGTATATATTATGTCCCGAAAAACGAAAAGGATGATACTGTTAATCAGTCCATTTTCAATTGTACTATTGGTTATATTATAGTCTTGACGTAATACAATAAAACCCTGCACTGAAGATTGAATTAGAACCACTGCGTCACTGTTGTTAATCGAATAGTAATCCGATTCAGCACTAGGGATTTCTGTGGAAAAACATTGTAAAAATGTATTGCGAAGGATGTCGACACTTCCCGTATTAGAAAACCACTAAGTCGTAATGTAATTTTAATGAAATTAACACTTTTACAATAAACCAAGACATTAAGTATTACTTCCGTTCTTTACGTTTACTTTCTAGCACACTAATTTACAATTTTTCAAACAATTATTGTCGTTTACAGATTAATTAATGAAGTTTGTAACAGATTAGGTCATAATACACTTTTACTGCCATTTCAATTACATTATTATTTTCTATTGTTATATTAATCTACAAATTTATTTATATGTATTTAATAATTTACGTACACTTTAACTTAATTTGTCTGGTATTCATTTGATATAACTTTTCACTTTATATGACAACACTGACACAAATAGTAATGAAGTACCGAAGTCATGACATAGACATCATCCGTCTAATTGCCATGATTACAGAATCTGATGTGAGGGTAGCAGCAATTTCCATGTGAACCGCTCGAGTGACCATACACGTGAATAAAGCTCTGTATCGTTTTTCACGTCTTCTTCCTATACATACTTCCATTGGTCCAAAATAATATAAGCCGCAGTGTGTGAAGTGACGTTTATGATGGTCTAGTCTGCATAGGGGTAGATCGCCCATGATTGGCACTGAAGGCACTGCACATCTAACCCTGCAAAGTTGACAATGATGCACTATTATCTTAAGCAAAGATCTTAATCTACTGATGTAGTATTTATGTCTGATTTCATTTAATACTGTCTCTGTATTAGCGTGATTGTACTTTTTATGATAATGTGCGACAGTTTCGTGAAGTTTCGTTTCTGAATGGTTAAGTATAATAGGTCTTTTACAAGCCTCAGGAACTTCAGGTGCTAAATCTATTCTGCCTCGAGCACGTAATACACTACAATTATTGTCTAAGTATGGACAAACTTGCAATAAATAAAATATGCAACTGGTTTATATCATTTCTGTAACTATAAAATTGCGACTTTGTTATAGGTATTTTTTCAGCTTTATCTAATAAATTAACTGTAACTTGCTGTTCGCCTGTTTTCTTACATTTATTTATAAAAATAATAATACGAACGCCATGGCTCTGGTAAGTTTTAATAATGAAAAATTCTATTAATAACAGGAACTGAGAATATTCTTTCATTTATAAGTGTATGTATCTTTTCTTCTTTTACAGCTGCTGGGACCGGTTTGAAGATCTGTTTCTCTGTTGGGCACTGGTCTTCAGGTTGGTATAAATAGCTTGGACCAATAAATCATCTATTGTCTAGCTTAAATTCACAGAACTGGGTATCTCTTGTTGCTATATCTGCAACATTATCACTTGTACGAGGGTCATTTGAAAAGTTCTTAGCCTAACAAACTTAATAAATCCTCCGAGCTCAAAACACTTTTTCCTAGGTACCCACTTCCATTGGGATGGCGAAGATAATTCATCTATGGCTGCAAGGCGATGACCCACATAAGGTTTGTAAACATTTGCCTGTATTCGATCTGACCCTAGAAGTTTCTAGATTGATCTAATCCAGGCAAGTGTAGTATCTGAGTCAGTCCAATATTATTTATCTTGTAGTTTGATATCTAGCTCTTCTTCAACGGTCTTCGTCAATCTCGCACCAAGAAGTGCTGCTTGTAATTCAACTCGTGGTATAGACATCGGGTTGAGTGGTGTTACTTTAGCTTTTGCCGAGACTAACATTACCTTCATATCTCCGTCTTCATTGATAACGTAAATAGTATGCACATGATATGCTTTTTACATATGCACATGATATGGTTTAGTCCGAGGGGTAACGATTGTTCGCTTTAGTAGCTGCGTTCTTTTCACTCATTAGCCTCCTTCAGACGGACGACCGCCTTTAGAAACTCCATCAGGGAGTTTCTAAAATCCTCCTCGAAATTTGGGTCCTAGACTGCCGACTGCAGGTGGTCAGTGAGCGAGTTGATTGTAATTACAGTGTCCTCGGTGGACTCTATGACGTCGCGGAAGTATTTCAGACGACAACCACAATTTGGTTCAACCAATCTGCTTGTCGTCTGAATAATCTGCACACTACAACCAAGTTGGTTGTAGCGTGCAGATTAGGCAGAAGGATAAGAGGCACGGCGTCTTAGTCCTCTGAAATGGGAACGCATGATTATCGCGGGATTCACATGAAACCGTGATGTCCGTAGTGTTATTTTTAAATACGACGGTTACCGCTTACCTGATGGTAAACGGTAACCGGATCATGATTGGCATTCCAAGTACATAAAAGAAATACAATATTTACTTACGATATAAATATTCAAATGATGAGTTCATAAAACCTTCGCCACTCGTGTTGTGTACTCTCAATCCTAATATTGGATCAGAAGCGATTAAGAAAGCAATATTGTCTCGAAAAGTAGTTCCCTTTTCATATTTAGGTATAAAAGATGTCCTTAAAATATTGGTTAGTTGCTTCAACATCATGATTAATGGTTGCAATACCTTTTCATCGCTTTGAAGAAGAATGTCAGTAAGATTTTTGAACTAAAAACAATATATATATATTGTACGTCAATAATATTGGAGACGTAATCAACAACTCATACTACTTGTTATTTGCAGATGACACTAAATTATACAAAATGATAATAACCGAGAACGATTGTTCTAAACTTCAAGCCGACATAAATTCATTATTATCTTATAGTTCTACCAATCAATTGTGTCTAAATATGGACAAATGCTACATTATAACATACACCTGCTAATCTGAATCTTTTCTGTTCCACTATACTATAGGAAATACTCGACTAAGACGTAGAAAAAGTATTCAAGATCTCGATATTATCATGGACGAAAAACTAACATTTATTTTACATATTATAGACTCAATTGCCCAGAGTCCATTATTTTACGCGGACGAAGTCGCAGGTACAGCTAGTATCAATATATTCGTAACACCTCTAATGCAGAGACTTTCTCGCAGAAACATTTCTGTATTAGAATATATGGACTGCTATGTGGATTAAAATTTATGATTAAGTTCCTGAAATGCAAAGTTATCTTATGCAGTTGAATCATATAAATGCGTTGTATATGTCATTTGTATAGGCTGCGCGCATGCGAAGTTGCGCGCAACACTAATTATTGTCAATCTGTTGTCTCCTTAAAAATTAAAATATGTAATAAATACGTTTGCTCTGCAACTTTATTTAGTAAATACACAAATATAATCCTGGTACAGCCTATAACTGGTTTTAGCGGGTACGTTGCGGCCGCTATTATTTGCGTTTATTATGTGTTCTTTTGATACAAACAGCAGCAGGAAAGGAGGAGGTGAAATGATGAGTCCATTGATGTCTATGTACATATTTATATTGTAGAAATATTTACAATAGTTATATACAAGGAGGCGATTCGGTCTCCAAGTACAGGGCTGTTATTTTATTGCTCACTCGTAACTAGGCAACGGTGTTACCGTACGATAATAGTTAATTCGCCACATGGTGACCCTGCTCTTGGACAAGAACGTAAGAATATATTATTCACATTTTTAAAGAATAAAACTACATATAATATTAACAATTTTGTCGATATATATGAACAACAATTCCTTGGAAGAAACAACACCTACCGTTTCATCTAAACTATTCAGAGTCGGAATACGCAATCCCTTCTGGTGGGAAGAGCCAGAGATTTGGTTCGCGCAAGTAGAGGGACAGTTTGTAACTTCGAATATCATATCAGATTTAACAAAATTTAATTATGTTATTGGGTTAGTTTATTAAATACCTTACTAATATTATGATTGTGAAAGTAACTCTGTCTGTATCACTTACATGCCAAAACTACTGAACCTATTTAAATGAAATTTGGTTCACAGATAGTTTAGACCCTGAGAAAAAACATAGGTTACTTTTTAATGTACAAAAAGGGTTGTAAGGGGTTGAAAGAGGAGATGAAAGATTGTATAGAAGTATCGTCATTTTTGAAAGTAGAAGCTTGAATCTTATATTGTTGGCTATTGATTAAATATAAATAAAGAAAAATAGGTTGGAACCTTTCAACTCCCCTTGTAACCCACAAGGAGAGTTGAAAGCTTGAATTGAATTGAATTGAACAATTTTTATTTTCAAAACAAGAAGTTTGAAAGTTATTTTTTAAGCTGTTGATAAAATATAAATAAAGAAAAAGGGTTGATAGGGGAAATGTGAGGTCGGATGGAAGTATCGTCATTTTTAAAGCTAATAGTCTGAATCTTAATTTTATTTTATTTTAATTATTTATATTTAGTCAACAGCCTAAAAAAAGAGATTCAGCCTTCTAGCTTTAAAAATAACGATACTTCCGTCAAAAGATAACTTTGCATTTCCATAAGATAACTTTGTATTTCCACTGTTACACACCCCTTACAACCCTTATTTCGCATTAAAAAGTAGTCTATGTCCTTCCTCAGAGTCTAGACTATCTGTGTACCAAATTTCATATATATTGATTCCTTAGTTTTGGCGTGAAAGCGAGACAGACAGACAGACAGAGTTACTTTCGCGTTTATTATATTAGTAAGGATGTTACTCAGGGTGAATGTAGCTTTCTTCATTACAAACATATATACCTACACACAAAAATACAATTATTTCCTCTTTATAATATTTAATTTAAATTTATTATGGTCAAATTTCAACCATGGAGGGCTACTAATACTAATAAATAGCTAAGCTTGCAAACTTTTACGCGTGGTATTGGTAATAAATCTTATTAATATTATAAACACGAAAGTTTGTGAGTATGGATGGATGTTTGTTACTCTTTCACGCAAAACCTACTGAACGGATTTTGATGAAACTTTATGGTAATATACATCAGAATAACAGATAGGCTATAAGTTTCACGCAGGGGAAGCCGCGAGCACAGCTAGAGTTATATAACTATACTACCACATTCCCATACCTAACCTTATGGTTAAAAATTGACAACCACACAAATCTGCGATTGCCGATCATCTACTGTACAAATCACTGGATTAAACCGTACGCGCCTAAGGTCCTCTCTACTGATCGCCACTATTATCCACGAATGGATGAGAGGAGGACTTAAAATTATTTTGGCGTGTAATCCACACATAATTAAATTCAAGCAAAGTTCAGTAGCAGCAACACGGTGACTGTAAAAGAAAAACTGCCTGCTATCTTTTATTGACATCGCTATTACTCCAGTCAGCTCAAGCCACGGCTAGTGCAACCTAGTTCAAGTGTCGAGTAGTATCTTTATGTTAATACCCGGTAAATAATATGAATAATAAAAATATATGAAGAATCAATAAAATGTTTGAAGGCGCTTTGGACTGTCCCATCGGAGTAGATTTTTTCCCTTGCAAGAAGTTATACAAATTTCGAAAAAAATGGTAATCTGTTTGAGCATGGTCCGGGGAGTACCATGGATGTCTTAGACATTCCAATTGAAGCTCTTTTAATTTAGTAACTATCTGTTGTGCAGTGTGTGGTCCAGCGTTGTCCTGAAGCAGCAGTGGCCTACGGCGATTGACCAGCCTAGGATGTTTAGCAGCTAACTTTTCCATCATGGTTTGTAATTGCTGATAATACATATCTGTCGTAATCGTCTGGCCAGATTTAAGAAATCTGAAGCGAACAACACTAGCACTAGTCCACCAAACACTCACAAATAACTTTTTTTGAGTCAACTTTCGCTTCAGGCAGGATTTGGCTAGTTCGCCAGGGTTCAGCCATTGTTGTGTGAATGTTTCCGATTGTCGTACAAGATCCATTTTTAAGCACAGGTAATGATTCGTTTTAAAATCTCTTCATTATTATGCCGGTTAATTAATATAACGCAGCAGTCTATGCGCGTTTATTGATTTGCTACACTCATTTCATGAAGGACTTACCTTTCAAGCTTTTTCACCTTCACAATTTGCTTCAAGTGAATTGAAACAATCTTTATCTTTATTAGCTTGTTTTGCAGGTCGAAATTTTCAGAACGAAAATGTTGGAACCAAAAATGCATTGTGTTTTCTTTTGCGACACCACCGCCATACACATCATTAATCCTTCGAGCCGTTTCTGCAGCACTAGTGCCATGGTGGAATTCGTAAATAACGCCATATTTTAAGTTTTCCAATTTGTAAACTGGGTGACGCAAAGAAAAAACATATGGATTACGGTTTTCGACAAACAAATGAGTAAATAGTTATATAAATTTTAAATTGGAATTCCTAACCAAAGAGGAGATATTTGAAATCAAAGTGGCCAGTACGACAAAACGCCAATTTCATATGTAAGGACCTAATATTTATAACTTACACGATCGATGAATGGTTCAATCTCATGTAATTCATACAATAGTGTTGTGCTATTTCCAAATGCACTAATGTCTGCAGAAAGATTTTCCAAAATCTGTAAATACATGTAAAGTTGTTATTAGTTTGAGAATTTTGTGGGAGGCCTTTATCCAGCAGTGGACGTCTTCCGAGAGGATGGAAAATGGTGATGTTACTAACTGACCTTCATGAAGAAGGACTACTAGCCGGAGGGGATAGTGTAACGGCGCTACAGGGTAGGGTATATTTTTGTTTATTTAAATTTTTTTATTATTTTCTTGTGTAAGTATAAAGTATTTATAATATGGGCCATTGGTAGCCTGAAGGAAATAAATAAATATTTTTTATTTATTTATAATATATATTGTAGCGATGATATTGTACAGCATAATTATAATCTATTTTACCAATCTAACGGTTTTGTACACCGCTTATCTTCTAATGGTCGCGGGTTCAATACCTTACACGGCACAAACATTTGTATTCATGAGTATGATTGTTTGTATCGGTCTGGGTGTTTTCTATGTATAATATGTATGTATTTACAGAAAAAAAAGTATCTATGTATATGTATCAGTTATCTAGTACCCATAACACAATCTTTAGCTAGCTTAACTTGGGTCTAGATGGCGCTGTGTGAATTATCCAGGGTTATTATTATTTCATGAATACCTCAGTAATATTGACGGTTTTATCTCGATCTTTAACGTCCGCCGTTTTGAGTCAAGAGAATAAGAGCTGAGTTTCTTGTCAGTTCTTAGCTCGAAAGCACTATGAACTGACAGTAGATTTAAGATATAATAAGAGTCTGTAATAGGCCTACATGAATAAAGATATTTTAATCTAATTTGATTGAATTGTTGAGGTAATATCATTTATATTATCTGAACTTACCAGTGATGTATTATCAAATTTCAACTTCGAGTGTTGATGAATATTCGTAATTTCTTTAGAATCTGATGCATCTGGAAATGCAATTTTCAATTAATTCCAAATCAGATATCCTCTCATCTGCGAAGGAGTCAATTATTGGACTCTGACACTATAGCGCTATGGAGTATACAATCATTTTAGAAATCTCAGGTCAAAAATTATTGCATCCTCCACAGATGCTGAAACTTCTCAGATAGGGATCTGAGAAAAATCCTGTAATTGGTCTCACAGATGGGGCGTTAATGTCATTTTGATAAATAGTTGAAAGGATAAATTAATACAAAAGTGTTTTTTATATAATTGGAATGACAAACAAATTGATGGCAAGTGACAACATCGCCCATACGTGACAACACCACGGACTTCACGCTATCATATAATGCCTGTAATATCGCTTATCATCATCTCAGCCCGGAAGACGTCCACTGCTGAACAAAAATCCCCTAAAGATCTACACGACGATGTACGTAAAACTTACGTGTTAAGGTTCTGTGTAAATAGGTAGAAATGACAAAGATCGTACATATAGGCGGATTGATAGTTGTTAATAAAATAGCAATCTTCTCGCTTTTGATAATTCATTAATTAACTTACTATCAGTGTTATCTATATATCTATGTATTTTAAAAAATGTGCACCTTTATTAATGTCGCTGTCCACTCCCAGGTGCGATTTCTCAGCTTTTACTTGAATACATGTTGCAAGGATGAACAAATAGATTGCACATGTCAGAGTTGACACCCGCATCTGTAAATTAAATTAATAAACTGTTAGCATTCCTGAACAATCTGGCACGCTGTACTGCTTGTATGTGTTTGCTGGTTCTCGTCCTTGTCAAGTCTTGCCTTTTCCCTGATTACAGACCTCAATCTGTGTCGGTATTTTACACAAAGGAAGAAAGAACGAAGAAGGAACGTGGTGTTCAACGATGAGCGAATTTGGTCCCACCATGTTGTTAGGCTAGGCCCTCTAGGTTTAATACATATTATTGTTTTTTATTTGTACAATATCTGTTTTATATTTATATATTTTTAAAGTTTAATTTCTGTGCGTCCGTACTGTGGGCCCAACTGAAAATCAGCGCTGGAAGCTATGTTTCCACCATTATTCTGAGTTGTGGTTCACATTGACTCTGTTTTGTGATATGTGTAATTTGTTGTTTGTGTTTATATGTTATTATAGTGATAGAGAGCAAGGTTAATCGACATCACAGAAGACTGAAGAGCTGACAGCTACATCGGACAAAGAATTAGTCTAACTATTCAAAGGGGTTCCCTCTTTAAGTCTAGCTATTCAAAGGGCTGCCAGTATCTTCGGAACCTTGCCTAAAGGGGCTACTTTTAATAATATATTTTAGTTATTATATTACATTTTTTAAGGTTTTTAGTTTTAGGTTCATTGTTCTAGTATATATTTTGAAAATTCTATTCTTAAATTTTCAAACAAAATTGTTCAAAACTCTTCATACGTTCCTATTAAAGACTACCATATCTTGCCCTACGGAATACATCTTACAAAGAAACTCTTAAACTGGAGGGATCTTCATCATAATGCGAGTCCTAATTGGGTCCTACGTGTAATGTTTCGACATTATTTGCACTTGCAAATAAAGTCAAAACTTTACTATTAATTTCCATTTATAGGTCGACAGTATATTCCATTTATAGAATTGCCCTAACTTTAAATCAATACCATCAATGATATCATGATAACCAAGCAAAACTGTCCCTACAATATATGATAATTTTGTTATCATATCATTATAGTATCATTGTAATCATGAACAACAGAAATAGAAGTAATCTTTATTCAAATACATTTAGTATAAGCACTCAATAGTAGATATTTTTTCTACCGCTCATTGCTCATGTAGATCTAGCCAAGATCTTTAATAAAGAAACTTGCCTATTGTAGGTACTTTTAAATAGATTAGTAATCGCCCAGAGGTCGAAATTCGACCATAATAAAAAATACAAAAAGCTCTTTGAGCCAGCTATAACAAATAAACGAAATGTGTGTGTCAAATACATGGTGGAATTGTGTTATGTTTTTTTTTTTTATTAATTTAATAATGTATTTTTTAATTATATTTAAAAAATATATGAGCATTCTGCGCTCTTTCGCTATATAAACTATGTATAAGTGTGCGAAATTTCATACTCCTCCGATCACGAATTTTCATAAAAAGTGGGTACCAACATAGTTAGCATATTAATATAATGATACTGTCCACTTTACATATATATAATTTTATGTAAATACGTTGCTAAACAACTTGAATTCATTAGAAATAAATATTAAATATATTGTTAGGCACTAGAGTAACAAAACGAATCAGTTGTACCGAGTGATCAAAGTAAAATAGTTTAAATAATTTTAAAACATTTGTTAAATCATATTTATTGAGCAAAGCTTATTACTTAATAAATTATTACTTAAATGTTAAAGGTGAAATAATTATTCATGCACGGGATTTTCTTTTTATATTAGACATAGATACCCTTATAAGAAAACAGTGTTAACAAACTGGCTTTAAAGAAAATAAATTCATTTGAGTTTCTTCAGATTTCTCATTTGAACATCACCGAACTGCACCGTGCAGTGGTAGGGAAAAAAATATTAATACAAAGAATTTGACTTTCGTAAGCGGCTAAAATGTCCTACATTAATAAATGATTTTTGATTTGATCTGATTTGGTATCGTCACAAAGAACTCGTTCGAAAAGATTAAGATCATTGTTTTTTTATGAATTGAAATTGTATCTCAAGCTGAGGGTAGATTAACAATACTCGTAAGCATCTGTTATTGATGTACATAAATAAAGATATTTTTGTTATATATATTATAGTAAACCATGTCTAATTGTAACATGATAATTTTCTAATCATATCATTATCGTTATTTGCATTATTTTAGCTATGACATGGCTTTATCAACATTTCCCATATCTGTCAATAAAAATCTTGATTAAGTTCAGTGTTGACGTCAATTTACTAATGATAGTATTGCCTTGTTATGTTACAATGATTGTGGATTAATTTGTAGTGGTTTATGTGCCAGAACAAATATCTCTTAATATTATATTTAATAAAACAAATTTAATTGAAGAAACAATTTTAAATCGTTACATTTCTGTTGCCTTCAGAATTTACTGTGCTAAGAAGAATGCTGTGATAAAGATAATGAAGTGCAGTGATTTTTTTTTATTTACTACGATCAAATGTGTAGTTATATATATAGTTATATAATACTTATGCATAGATTACTTAATAGTAATTAACAAAGGTAAGCGAGTGCCATATGTTAACAAACTATTTAACTTTATTATTATCTTATAGCATGAACTCTTTTAAAATTAGAATTTATACTTTCCTTTTTTAATTATTATTTATTTAAATTTATGAAATCTAAATACAATTATCACATCACAATTTACTAAAAGTAGTTGAAAAATTACAGCCAATTTCCTCACACGATTACAAATTTCGCTGTAATTCGATATCGTTTTTGCTTTTTAGTTTATTTATAAACTAATTTTGAACATTTTTTTATTGTACTCGATATTTCTATAATTGGAACTGTTTCGATAAATAAATGTATTTAAATTTGTTGTAAGTCATTTGTAACATCAAAGTATAACACTGTATGTGTATATCATAATATGTTAAATGTTAAAATTTATTACAATGTTAAAATGTTATTTATGTTAGATTCACATAGCTTCAGCTAGTCCAAAACTATTAAAAATTATATATTATTATATTATCATATCAATTTCATCACCATATTAATTTCAGATGAGTCTATTACGTCAGACTTTTATAATATATGTTCTCATACTCTCACGGTCTCAAATAAAGGCAGATAAATCACATAGTCATAGAAATGAGGATTGCGAACATGTCAGCCCCGACACCGGACTGCATAATAACAATACTTTGTTAAATATTGACTCAGATATAAGTGATTCTGCAAGTATGGAGGATATAATACCAATTACAAGTAATACAGGTAATTCTTGATCAAATAATAAATGACTAGCTAACGCAACTCAGTCCGCGTCACATTTTCTCCATTTCCTCATCATTCCTCCAGAAATGGGCTATCCAACATTAAAGGATATTTCAAAAGCGGATCAGTGATACCTGAGAACACTCTGAATATTCAAACTCACAAACATATAAATAAATAAATAAAACTTAGTAGAAATATATGCTACATACGTCTCGAATGAATTAATTGTTACGTATTTTATCACAAAGTTCAAATTAATTGAGATCCAAATTCAAATTCAAATTATCTTTATTCCCCGATCCCTGTATAATCTATGACAGCAGCCTAACCGATATTTTATTAATATTTTTAACAGGTATCGTTAATGAAAAAACATTATCGAATGTATTAATCGTAAACTCAACTAAAAATATAACAGAGACCTCTGCGAAGGAACTACAACATTCCAAATTTAAATCTACTAATGGAACAACCAAAAAGGTATTTATCATTAACCACAAATAATAATCATTTATTTTTTAATAAAATACTTTTATGCCGATTAGTTACAATAGGCTGGTCGTTCAAACAACTGTGGCTGTTCCATTTTTAAAGAAAGGTTGAAGTAGTGATGTTTTTTCACGACTCCTAATTCGAGACAATCAAGCCCAATATCGAGTTTAAATGTCAGATGCCGTTGTTACTAGAAGCATAGATACCTACCAATTATTTGCACTGATTTTATTTGAAGGTTTTTCTTTTTTAAATCACATTGGGTTATACATTTTTTTCTTTTGGTAAGTAAGTAAGTAAGTTACTATTGCCAAATATGCCACTAACAAACAGAAAACAGGACGGGATCATGGAAAGGAACTGGTTAAATTTTAGAATTACTTAATCTGTACTTATAAAATTTTTATTCCACTGATTGTGTCTATTTCTCAGCGTATCTACGGTAATTCTAAAAAGTTTGAGTTGTTATTTTTGATTGCTAATCTTTGATTTACTCTCGTATTGATCTCGTGACAAATGACTTTAATTTTCTTATAGAGAAGTAACTTCAATTATTCTTTTCATGAAAAACTATTTACTCCCAGCCAGGGAAAAGAGAACAAAAAGTACTAAAAACTGATGACGTACACATAGTACATCAAACACGCGACGTACGGCAGGTGAGATGCATAGTTTATGACAGTTTTCTGAAATACTACATTATATATTTAAATATAATTAGGGTAAAACCAGTATAGATGCCGCATTGGGATAGGCCTCATTTTCAAAAAAACATACTTCCGAAACTCGTGACTAAGAATTAATAGTACCTACATGTAGGAGCGGATCTCACCCTGCATCTTAATTATCTGCAGACTGTTGTTCAGTGAGAATGTATTTCGCTTGTGCATGTAATCATATTCGCAACGAACTTCAGAAATACATAAAAGATTTTAAGGTTAGTATGTGCCATTGTGTATCTTTATAAATAGTACTAAATTCTGTTATATTTTCTATTACGTCAATATATTGGCTCATTAAGTGTATATCTAGATGTAAATGGTAGCTGTTTTCATTTTAATTTATTTAAAAAATACTTGGACACCTGTCCCTATCACAAAGGATAGTTGCCCTAAATTTTCTAGGTATAAGTGCCATTAGGGGCACCTTTTACGTCGACGGTTTTGTTGAACTAAATCCGGTCTATTTTAATTTAAATAATAAGCATAACTATATCACTTTAAAATTTTATAATAGCAATTAAGAAGCCATATTTTTGTTGAACAATTGCTTTCAAAATGTTTTTTTTTTTATATAATATTATTTAAAACGATAACAATAAAAATATTTTTAAAAAAGCAAAATTGCTGTTTGAGTGAGGTTCTTGATCTTTGGTTGCGTTTTTCGTTTACACCAGTATAAAGGGCATCATCCTTCTTAGCATTTTCATGATGGGGCAACTATCCATACACATAAGCATCCATCCATAAGGGTTCCACAAAAAGCTAAATTCTGCAAAATCTGTAAATTGATAGGTCAAAAAACAGAATTATTCAATATAAATAATTAAACTAGTTACATACATAGAAATTGTTCGTATAACAGTTATATTTATAGAATTAGGAGGCAATTTCAAAAAGTGGCGCATCTATCCGGGTTTTACCCTACTAGCTGACACGGTCAACGTTATTTTACCATCAAAATCGTAAATCACAAAAACAATCAAATATTTTTAAACGCCGACTTATTACTTAAGGTTATAAATAGTTTACGTCAAATTCCCGGATCTCAACAGGTCTGGGAATTAGTTATTATATACACGCAACATTTCATAAGAATCGGTCAAACATTTTCGGAGGAGTTTTGTTACAAACATTGTGACACGAAAATTTTATATATTAGAGATAACGTAAAACCCTCTTTATATAATTTTCAATGATATTCAACTTGGATATATAAATTTTAATTTTCTTGTACAGGTTATGGACTCAATTCTAAAAGATATTGAAATCTTAACAAAGGATACTAATCCTGTCTACGTAAATGATGTTCAGCCAGTCATAGAACGAGTAAGTAACTCAAAATAACTTGTTAAACTTGAAAATTCTTTATTCAAATAACCTTAAATTTAAGCACTTTTGAATAAACATACTTATATTGTTTTTAATTTATCTCTTATTCGGAAAGCTGTTTCATTACAAGAAGAACGAGCAAGAAACTTGCGTGTTGATCTTTTAAATAATTGTTGTAACTTTACATTCGTATACTATGAATACATACTACCAACTAGCACTAATTCATTAGAGTCATAATATTGTATTCACAATCAACTCCTTAAGTAACTAGATAAGCAGTCATAGTGAATAGAACAGACTTCTCCCAGTCGAGCAGCAATCGTTCACTAGTATGACGGACTGAGAGCACGAAACATGAAGAAATGTCATTTTGTTTTATTAATACGCTAATATTTTTAGGTTAACAATATTACAAATATGCTACTAGCAACAAATGTGACATTAAACAGTTCTATACTACTTGGATTGGACAATCTAATAAACATTATAAATCTCAATGAATCCCTGATTGAACATATAATAGAAAACAATGTTGCATTACTAATATTAGATCCACAAATACATATAGCAGGATTAAATATAGTTAATACGGGTGGAAATAGTTTTACTAACACATCATTTCAATATTTCTGTGGTGAGTATATTTTCCTGATCAATATATATTACTGTTTATACCTATTTCGCGGTTTTATGTTATGTATTATATATGAGCAGTACAGATTGTAAACAATGTAGCGTGTTCGGGTGTGGTTTAGGTGAGTTGACAAAATGAAAACCCAGTCTTTATCACGGATGTAATACGTTATTTTATACATAACATTTAGTACAAGACTGGGCAGGGACATGCAGTAGGTGCGCTATGCAACGCGATGTAATATGATCATACTCGTACTTATACTGTATATGCGTGCATAGCACAGCAAGGATGTTATGGATATGAAATTTCGACAAAATACCGGATACGGATACGGATGCGGATATGAAATTATTTCGGATTATCCGTTAGTTTCGGATAATTTCGGTTACGGGTTAATTTTTAAGGAATGTCAAAAGTAAAATACAAATAGCTAATAAAATGGTTACATATCGTGTCTCAATTAGGCTCCGTCCCTATCCGGTATTATCCGAAGCTTTTATTTCGGATTCGGTTACGGTTACGAATATTTTTTATATCGGATATCCGATAGTTTCGGTTACGGTTACGGAGCTCTCTAGCATCCCTGAGCTATACAGCACCTCAATATTTCAAAACTAAATTAACAAAAAAAAAAATGTAAATCGAACACATTACTAATCTTACTACAAATCGTAATCTTAGTAAAAACGTTCGTTACTAACGAGTAAGTTGTACACTTACTCGTTACTAACGAACGTTTACAAAACACATTGTATGCTGATGATACTGAGTTTCAATTACGCATAGTTTTCAATAAGCATTTTCTACAAATGTTAACCGAAGGCTCAAGAACTCTAATTACACAATTAACATTTATAAGAAAAATAATGAAATTAACCTAACCAACTAATAGCTGTCTGAAATACGTAAATAAATTTATAGTATACATATATATTACACTGTTTGATTGAAACAACAAAAATGTGTATTACCAGTATAAATAAAATCATGTCTACCTTTATTTGATATCTGCAAAGAATCTATAAGGTCTACAAGAATACATACGTACAAATCCATTGCAAAAGTCAAAACTACCTAATCCTGCTATTATATGAATGACATACGAAGACCTTGGTGGATAATGTTGTGAATAGAATCAAAAACTATTTTTTTCTAGAAAATGAACTCTACATTCATCTATACATATAAATAAAATTGGAGTGTTCGTCTGTAATATTCTCCACTGTATATCTACTGTTTACGTACCTTGTACCCTAAAAATTCTACTTCTTGTTTACCAAACTCGCATTTCGAAAGATTAATAGTAATTCTGTACTCGTTAAAACGTTGAAGAACTAATTATAAATGCTTGCGATGCTGTGTTTCATCTTCACTTGTGATAATGACGTCATCAATCACCAAAACTCATAAGTGGAAACTCGAAAAGACTAAAAGGTGTTATGATGGTAGTTTTTCGATATCCTCCCCGGCTACCGACATATTGTGGTAGACTCTAGAAATATCTAAACGACTGTACCATTTCTTACCTGCCAAAAGGTATGTAAAGTCCTGCAGCCGGGGTAACGGATAACTGTCAGGCTTCGTGATAGCATTAAGACCTCTGTAGTCGCCACAAGGTCTCAAGCTGCCGTTTTACTTTGCCACGACATGTAGGGGACTTGGGCAAGTCCACTACATGTCGGGGCTTTGCTGGCCTGTAGATTCCAAATTCTTGTATAATCCTAAATTCATTTCTTACCTTCGCGTATCTATCCGGCAGCAAGTATCTGGCACGCGCGAACACTGCAGTACCCGAGGTCTCTATGTGATGAAATACAACACTCTTAGAGTTAACTTCTTTAAAATTTACTGGTTTAATTATATTAGGATATTTACATAATATGTCGCTATATACATGATTCTCGTCTATAGTCTTAATAGATGACTCGCAATAATTAGTCATACTACCAATAATATTTAAATTTACACTATCTGTCAATTTTTTGTACTTGAATCTACCACTAATTTATGATAAAAGAAAATCAGCACCTAAAATGGGCTGTTTAACGTCGGCAATTACAAATGTCCATCTACATGATCTTCTTAGGTATAGATTTAATATTAGAATATGCATATCATATGTCTTTATTACTGAACCGTTAGCTGCAGAATTATAACTTATATTTATCACAATTATTTGAGCACTTAGAATAATGTTTACTTATCGGTAACACTGATGTATTAGCTCCTATGTCCACTAAAAATATTAGTCCACTTTGTCTGTCTGCTGCACAAAGGCGGTTAGTACTGAAATTTGCCGTACAGTCGCCAGCCGCAGCCTGTGTGGCATTTAGTTTTCCTGGTTACTGTTATCCCTCCAGTTACAAGGTTTAATGCATTTTCCTTATAACGAAAGTTATAAAAACATAGCCAGTCAGGGCTGTTTTTGTTACGTCGCTGAGAGCTTCCCCCACAGTGTAACCTTGAAGGATCGCGGCTCCTGGAAGTCCTATGCGCTGAAAACTTGGCCTTGACGCAAGCCTATTCACCTGAAACGTTAGTTTGGCGATAGATCCCAAAAAAGATAATTACATATATTTCGAAACCGTGCGTGGGTATTACATACATCTTCTTCCCCTTATCTCATTGATTGTGAGTGTGTATTATCCAACTTTAAGTATTCATTTTTTTTTGGCTCTTATCATATATACTTTTTCATTTTATACCTCCTCCATATATTTAATGACTTTCAACAACAATTCTGTAATTATAAAAAAAATATTAACTCCATTAGCAAATATTTTCGCTAACATTTTATTGTATATATATTGATCATCATCATTATCATAACCATTATCTTAATCTGACATTGTTAGCATCATTCTAAAAACTCATTCATACGAAGAATAAAATCATATCAAATTATTTCATTATACTTTCTTTTAAACAACATCCATTGAAATAAATGCATTCAGTGCTATTATTCATTATGCTTATTGAATTAAGATTTTCTTCTTCTAGATTCTTTGCAGCACCCACTTTGGACTATATATGAGACCAAATTCATTTGATTTTAATATTCCAGATTTCATATTGTAATAGAATTTGCGAGACTACTGATAAATACTCAACTGCCTCACTTTTTGCTGTAAATTCTACATACTAACAAGAATTATCATTAATATCGGTCGTTCGTCATATCTAAAGTTATGATTCTTATCTGTTGCGAATCTAAATCGGTGTAACTTGGGTTATGTAATTTCAACCACGTGTTGATTCATGTTTTATTATGCTCGAAAATGTAGTTAGTTTATTGTATTGATTATTTATAACATTATCTTAATTTATTGACGTCCTCGGTGGTCTAGCTATTTACTATACCGCTTTGCTTCCGATAGTCGCGGGTTCGTTTCCTCGCACGTTACAAACATTTGTATTCATAAGTATGATTGTTTGTATTGTGTTTGTTTGTATCAGTCTGGGTGTTTTCTATGTATTTACAAAAAAAATAGCTAAGTACTTATATCAGTTATCTAGTACCTACAACGCAAGCTCTGCTTACCATGTGACTATATGGCGCTGTGTTAGTTGTCCAGGGTTATTTTTACTTATTAAGGTTTTCACTGGAAAACCCTGGCTTCAAAAAATAATGGCTGGCTGCAGACATTTTTTGGAAGCCAGGTTACCATACGGATAATAATTTATTTTATTCTTCCACACAGATAAACATAATAAAACATTACTCTGGACGAACGTAAGCGACGCAGTGATTTATATTCCAGACTCCTTGCTTTCTAGATCTCGCGTCGGTTTTGTAATATTCCGACAAGACTACAATCTGGGCAGATTTAAAATTCCTTATGGTCACCCATATATCAACAGCCCAATCATCAATATTAACGTCGACATGTCACATCATGACGTAAGTGAGATACTTTGTTACTATCATCTATACATATAAATAAAATTGGAGTGTCTGTTTGTAAAATTGAAATAACCGTTTTTTACTACATGCATATGAATATAAATACGGTACATACACCAAAATATCATTTTTTACCATTTTTGTCTGTTTGTTCCGGCTAATCTCTGAAATGGCTGGACCGATTTTGACGGGACTTTTGTGGCAGATAGCTGATGTAATCAGGAGTAACTTAGGCTACTTTTATTTAAGAAAAATAAAATAAAATTCCACGCGATCAAAGTCGCGGGAACAGCTATTTCTTATATATAATTCCATACTAAAGCGTTACCTGAAACTGTACAAAATCTGGGGAACCTAATCAAAAATAAACTAATATGAATTGTATTGCTTTCATAGAGAATACAATATTACCTCAAACCGACCTTGGAAGCGGCTCAGTATATGTGCGTGAGTTGGTCAAGATCCAACGATAAGAAAGAGCAAGGCATTTGGACGCCTTCCTCTTGCAGGAATGCTGATGTTGAACCAGGAATACTGCACTTATGTGACTGTTCTGACACGTCGTACATTGCTCAATACATAACCATAAACAACGACACAGGTCTGTATAGATAAAGCTAATGCTTTATCTTTAAACCCCTTGAAGAAAGCATAATAATATTACGATTTTTGTCCCAGATGGGGTAACCAGAGGAATTATCCACTTTCATTCTCGTAATTAGCGCAACATTTGTCATGTCATGTCCACATTACTATTTGAACTCTACGTACCAGCTTGTGAACCTAACGTCATGTTTCGGATTAACGAAAATACATTTATTTCTGTAGGTCTATTACTTGTTGTTAGTTCGGAGTGCTTTCGAGCTTAAAAGAACTGATAAGAAACTCAGCGCTTATTCTTTTCAAATGAGTCTGTACATGATTTCAAAAACTTTAGATTATTACCAACGTTTCCAAAATTGAAAATGCAGTCTAAAATATAGATTTATACAAATGTGATGTAAGATAAAATTCATAATCATTGTCTTCAAGAAACTACAATAACAAATTCTATAAAGAGGTGGTACGTATGTTCACCCCTTGGATATGCTGCCTTGTAATTTATTCAGTGAAATATAAGCATGTCAAGAGTTTAAGTTCCTCTGATTAACCCTCTAGTATTACATTCGTGATGAACAGTTTTATTATATGTAACTATGTACGAATATATATATATATATTTATCAATTTATGATTTATTTTTACCAAATTAGGTGTTATTTTACGGAAGTTCATTTACACTAGGCTTCCAAACTGCATCCAACCTCATTCATTGCCTGATGATGTGTCGTTAAGAGTTGAACCACTTGTCGCAGTAAGGATGTAGATCCAATAACGATCTCAAAATAATAATAGGGACAATAAGTGGCCACTGTCCCTTAAACAAACACCTGTACACAATGGGTGATAAAACGGCCGCTCAGGTGATCCTGGCGTGCGTAGCAATGGCCACAACACGAACACAAATCCTCGAAAGAGTGAAGTCGCTCCGTGAAGCCTGTAGCGATACCAGGAGACTTTTGCTCTTTTGGATGGAGCTTGGCTACTTTATCAGTCTCGACTCTACACGTACAACGGTCCAGATGAGAGGCTAATTGCGGAAAATAGAGTCCAATTTAAATTACATTAGGAAAAATATATATCACTTCCAGTAATGGTGGTCAGGTTTTCGCACTGAATATTTGTGTTTTCACACATGCTAATGGTATCGAAGCTAACCATTATACAATATAAATACATTAAGTAATTTATGAATTCTTTGTAGTTAATAATACGACTACAACAACGAATACAACCCTCTCAATTCCTTATACGACTAGTGAGGAATCAACCGAAGCAGAAACGTCTACAAGCAGCACTACGTTAAAGACAACAACCGTTGTGTTAACAGTAAGTTTGTTTGTCTTCATAAATATAATCTTAATTCGCAATTTACTTAAAAAGAATGTGTGTTTCTAAAAATAATCGTAATTCATAGTTTACTTAAGGGGAGTGTGTCCAAGGGACAAAATTACGATGTAGGTATTTGTTCTATTATAGAGATTTATAGACTGAATCTCCCAATCATCCAAGCTCGATAGAAATAGTTTCAATCGTAATTTTAACGTAAATACTTTCTACTTGTCCCCTTACTAACTTTCAGTAACTGAAAATTACCAAATGAGATGAAGAAAATTAGTATAATAATTTTGAATACGTTTTGTTTTCAGCCTGACGAGCAAGTTGACCAGATTTTAGACGATCTTAAAAACCTATTAGACAGCGATACTACCCCCATATACATGGATGACGTCACCGACGTATTTGATCAGGTAAGATCCTTTTACAAATATTAGTACTAAAGGAATATTTCAAAAACCTGTTTATTTAAACCTAAATACCTATAATGGGAACATTACTACAACAGCTTTCAGAATAGCTGGCTTGGCTTGCACAAAAGTATATACAAAAAAAGTAGACTAAAATTCTACAAACTTTTTTGTTACTCGTACTACTCGTAAGTTAGTAGCTGCCTACAATTTGAACAAATAAATTATTTAATTTAGCGACCAACTTTTATTTTACACGGATGTACTTTAATAAGATGGAGATAGCATACGCATGAGCCTTTCGGAAGAAATTCTCGAATTTTTACTTACACAACTATCAATATAAGCCCAATATAACAATAGTAGTGACCCATGTTCGGTAACATAGCATATAACATACAATGCTCTTCTCGTTCTCTCTTCTCTCTTCGTGAACTCACACAGACTACACACAAACAAATAAGTTCTTGCTACTACGTACTGCTTAATTACATATAATGAAAACCGTGACAATATCCGTTATGCTGGATTACGAATCCTTAAAGTAATATATAAAAAAGAAAGTGGACTGTATTTACTAAAAAGAATAGAATTAATGAAAAAGGAAGCAGAAATATGATTTCGACCTGGAAGAACGTCTTCCACACTCCGAACAGCCCAAAGTAAGCAATGTAACACCAAACTTACTCACCTTTGCTCTAGAACGTCCCGATATATTATATTAAATAAATCATTAATTATCTTGTTTTATATAGTTAAAAATACGGAGCGTCCCTTTTATTCCAGTTCTTGTTTTCAATTGTTTTTTTATTTTAAATTCGAAATTTAATTTTTTAATTTAATTAAGTATTTATTTGTGGCCAGTATTACCGAGCGCCCTTTGCTTCAGTAAGTAAGCCGGTGATACAATCTGCTTAGACTAAGGAGGTACGGAATACGGAACACGTTGCATGGTTTAAAAGTAGTGAGTGGAAAAGCATACGATTTTATTACGTGTTTGGATTATACCTTATTGTTTCTTCTAGATAAATAATGTGCTAAGTATAGATGAAGACGTAATTATTCCTGGCGAGATGCTACAGATGCTGGATGAACTGGGCTCCAGAATAGATCTCAATGAGTCTTCAAATGCTATACTAGTGAAAAACAATATAGCAATGTTGATAGCTGACGCTGGGGACCTCAACCCTATCAGAGGGTTGAGGGTGGCCCGTAGAGAAGTCGATGGCTTCATTAATGATGCATTCGAGTTTATAAATGGTGTGTATTCTGTAATATAATAATAACTAACGGTTTAGCACGCCGACTTGCCTCCGATGGTAGCGGGTTCGAGTCCTCGCTCGGTACAGAAATTTGTATTCAAGTATGATTATTTGATCTGAGTGCTTTCTATTTTATGATGTATGCATTTACAAAAAAGATCTATCAGGTGTCTATTACCCATAACACAATCTCTGTTTAGCTTGGGACTAGACGGCGCTGCAAATTGTCCTAGATTATTATTATCATTATCATCATTCCCATCATCATTATAATCATCATCATCATGGTATGACTTACTATGTAATAGTCTATTGGTAAATCGTATAACTATGATTTTAACAAAATCTACTTTTGTAATTAAGAGGACATCGATGAAATGCATATCATGGAGAGCGAGAGTGAAGCTGTGGTGGACCTGCCACCGTCTGTACTGAATTCTCCGAGACGTATAAGCTTTGTGGTCTTCCACGATGACCGAGCTTTCCACTACTCAGGGGTGTCAGCAGTCAACAGTCGCGTGATCAGCATTAACGTAGAGAATGTGACTCTCTTCGACGCTGGAGAGGTACCTACCTTCTTCTTATTAAAGACATTTCTTTTTTCACTCAGATCTTCTGCACCCTTCTGTGGGAGGGGGCAAGACCCCGGGTCGCTGGACTTAAGTGTAATTATTATGGTAATTGAATTTTTAACCGACTCCAATATTTGATACTTCTTTAATAAGTTTTTTTTAATGAAAGATAACATTTTCAAATTGGCCAATTTTTTTTTTACTTTTGAAGTCGTTTTTTTTTTTTGCTACAATTTGTTCGATTTGTCTAACAGTACAAACATTTGTAACCACGAGCATAAACAATTGTTTGTATCTGTCTAGGTGTTTGTCATGCATAATACATGGAAAACATGTACTGGTATTTACATAAAAATGTAAGTATTTCTATCAGTTGTCTAGTACCCTTAATACAATTTCTGCTTAGCTTATGACTACTGTGTAGCTGGCAAAAAAAATATACATGGAAAGCACCACGGACTTCTTATCTGTGGTAATACAAAATTTTTGCCATTCCGTTGCATTAAAATATCATGCCTACGTACCATGTAAATTCACTGCCTTGTTCACCCTTCAACCGAAATACAAGTTCTAAGCTACTTGGAGGCGATATCGCACACTTATTATAATACTGGCTTAACTCAAAAATTTTGGAAAGTCCACTTTATTACTGTCGAATTAAAGTCTAATTTCAAAAATTTTTATGTTCTGCATTACACCAGTATTGTACTAGATATGCGATATGTGAGGCAGAGATACTCATACAAAGTCTTCCTCGTTAAAACTCCCGTTAAAAACGTCAAAATATAAATTGTTTTTGTAAATCATCTCTCGTCTCCGTCTCTAATTAATTTATGTAATTATTATAATTGGCTCTAGATAATTATTATACTGAAATTAGATTAGTTTAAAATTATAATATTCTTTGTTATGATCGAATATTATAGTATTCTAATCTAAATCAGAAAGTACTAGACTATATAAGATAGTGGATAAAATGTTTTGTTTTTATTAAATAATAATTAAAATATAAATAAAATTGGAGTGTCTGTACATGCATATGAATATAAATACGGTACATACACCAAAATAATATTTTATACCATTTTTGTCTGTCTGTCTGTTTGTTCCGGCTAATTTCTGAAATGGCTGGACCGATTTTGACGGGACTTTTTTGGCAAGTAGCTGATGTAATAAGGCTTCATTTAGGCTGCTTTTATTTTAGAATATTATTTTTCTAAACTATAATTCCACGCGAACGATGTCGCGGGTACAGCTATAATATATATAACAGTGTCTCTGACGACACTATCGCCGTCATGGAAATCGCAGTATTTGAAATATGCATATTTTACTGGGTGTATTTGAAATCCAATGTGGCAGAAAGCGAGCGTTTCGCTGTATCTCGTATTCATTTGGTTTTTTATCGCTGCTTCTATCACCATATAGTTAAAAGATATAACTGTTTCGTCGACATAATTCAAACTCATGTCATTTATGTAGTCGACTAGAAACAGAAAATCCTTTGTGCAAATAAACTTAATTTAAGCACTCTTGAATAGTAATAACATTTTTTTATCTACCCTTCAACGGAAAGCTGTCGCATTACAAGAAAAATGAGCAAGAAACTATTTTAAATAATAGTTGTAACTTTACATAAGTCGAAACGTGTGAATATCAACTAGCACTAATTTATTAGAGTCAAATATTAAATACACAACAAGATTTATGTGATTAGAGCAGACCAGTCCAACAAGCAGAACTCGTTCACGAGTATGATGTATGCGCTAGCATTCACTGCGCTCGACCATGTTTTACGGAGCTCAATGACACGGCCAACCATGCCATTTGTTTGGTCTAAAATACTAAACTCCCTGTTAATGAATTATTACATTTATTTTCTTATTCTTCCTTTCCCAGATGGTGAGAATACATTTCAGACGTAAAGTTGGACCAGAACGAGATATGAGGCGATCCTGCGGTTACTGGGCATTTTTAGAAAATGGTGCCGGATATTGGTCGCAAGAAGGATGCACTTTCATAAGGTCAAGCAATCCCGCCATTTTAGACACCTGCCAATGCAGCCATCTCACACATTTTGCAGAGATTTTAATACCGCGACCTGTCTTTTCCGAACGCAATGAACATATATTAGAAATACTATCTATAATTGGCAGCTTTTTATCCATTTTTGGTGTACTTATAATAGCACTTACAGCGGTTATGTTTAAATCTTGGCGTTCTAACTTTCGCAACAGAATTTGGCTTCAGCTGTGCATTGCACTGTTTCTTTTATCCGTTTGTTTCTTAGTAATCATATACATGAGATATGATGTATACAACTTACCATGTTTGATCAATGGTATCGTATTGCACTATTCTTTACTCGCCTCATTCTTTTGGATGTTGATGGTAGCTATAATTGCTTATATAGATACAGTTGGGTTTAAATATGCTTACACGAAGCATATATCTCATAAAGTATTAATAACTGCGAGTATTTCTTGGGGAACTCCTGTTGTGATTATTGGTATTTTGCTTCTAGCCGCTCCGTATTCATACGTAGGTACTTTTGAAGAGATGACTCCTAGTGGTACTTTCTGTTACCCGTCAGGTATGGGTTTATGGTTGACTGTATACACACCAATATGTATAATATTACTGGCTAATTTCGTATCATTCTTCTATATTATGGGAGTGGTATCGTCGAGTACAAGGAATAAGAAGTTGGGCAAACAGAATGTGGACGAATTTCAGGAGGCAGTCAAGTGCGTGCGCATCGCTTTGGTATTGGTGTTCCTATTCGGTCTGCCATGGGTGTTTGGACTCTTTTCTCACAATATAGTTGCGGCCTATATCTTCACAGTCACAGTGACCACGCAAGGATTCTTTCTGTTCTTGTTCATTGTGTGTGGCAATAGAGACACGAGAACCTTTTGGCGTCGTCAACTGATGTGGAAAACAAAAGATAAATACGAATGTCACAGTTTAAAAGAGTCGAAACGAAACACGGGATCTACGACTACTTTTGCGTACTAGTATTTGCATCTTTTTCTATATAAGACTTTATTGAAAAATGCTATAAATTTCCATATTATTTATAAAAACATATCGCTTGTTTTATACCTGAAATAAATTGTATTAACAAAAAAAAATTTGGAATTGAATGTTAAATTTTTAAGTTGGTACCTTTTGTAGTTTCCGTTTTTTTAGATAATGCATTTTAATATAAATTATGCAATGTACCTACTGCAATAGAAATAGAATACTACTAAAATATAAACTGTAAATATAGTTTATTTTATTTTTATTTATTTATTCATTTAATACAGGCTACATGGCCCATATTAGATATATATAGTGTATACATTATAGACTAACATACGTAAGAAATAATAATAAAAAGTAAATAAAATTATTTCTATGGTCACGGCACTGACAAAGGCAATCTGCCTCGGTAGCGCCGATAGGTCACCCCTTTCTGCCAGTAGTCTCTTTCATGAAGGTGAGCAGCATATTAGTAGGGACCCGGGCCACGAACGATTTGGAGCTCGCGTTGTGACTCGATTCCAGCTGCGTCACCCTCAATGTCAGGTTACTTTTGGTCCGGATATAGTCGACAATGTCCTGTTCCTTGGTAGCGTAGTGTTTATGTTGACGACTGGGATTACCTGGGGCATTATCATTAATTTGGTGACATCGTAAACGAATTCTTATCATATCAGCCAAATTCACCTTCACTGCCCTAGGTGAGTACGGACGACCAGTGTCAGGCTTTTTGGATCTTGCCACGACGCTCTCAAGCAAATCAGCATAAATAATATTATTATTATATTAAATATTAGCAAATACTTCAACATGTTTATTAAGGAGCCTTTTAAAAGAATGTATTAATATGTCTATAATATCTGTAATCTATCTAGTCATTTTTTACAATTATATCTACTTAGTTTAATTCATGTAGGTAATTGTGTAATAAAAATATTTTCAGGATTCACAAACAAAACAAAGAAATTCTTACAGAGCTAATTTTGTCGGTGCATAATTACGTACGTCTATTCGGTCATTCGTTAAAAATATTGTTGCTGTAGTCGTACAATCCGTCCAATTCAAACGGGTATCGAAATTACGACGGCCTGAGCCGAGGTTCGAACCCCTAGCGGTGCCCTCAGACTAAAGCCGTATCCGTCAGACGGAAGTTGGCCCTCAGCCGCTCCATAAGTCCTTCCGCGGGTTTGAAGTGCCATCTGAACTCGCCACCTATCGTCCAGTGAAGCTGTAAAGGCCAGCTGCGGCTAATAGCATTAGAGTAGTCCGAAAAAAAAAGTCGTACAATTTGAAATACAAAATATTTGTATAATAATTTGTATTCTAATGTTATCTGTGTAAACAAAATAGTTAAAAAATATTTTCTCTAAATTTAGAGTACAATACACAATAGTCGGTATTTATTTTACATTCCGTCCTGTTTTATTTAAGTGTTATGGTTCCTCTCTTTAGAAAGAGACACAATTAAATACGTTTGTCTCTTTCAGTAATGATATAAGTCAGTGTACGTTTTCTTCCCTTGTAACTTGTCTCTTTCACACTAATTGTAGCAAATGTTAGAAGACACTAATCAGCGAGATGTGGCGCTCTATTTTACTATGTAATATTATGTTATCTGTGATTTTACTAACTTTATTTTCTTTAATGTAATTTCGTTACCATTTAGGTTACAAGGGTAATTTTTATTTGTAATTTAAAAATTTATGATATCTTTTAGACTTAAAATAGATGTAATATTTATGAAAATAAACTTAATTATAAACACTCTTAAATAGTTATTTTCTTTGTCACACCATCTCAATCACAATGTATAGTAGATTTAACCGTGAAAAATAAGTAAGAAACTCGGAAGTTATACGTACCTTATACGTAAAAATTGAATTTGTATATCGCCGCCATATTAGTCTTGCCATAAAATTTTATTTATTTTAAAGGAATTACTGGAGTATTGTTATATTTTCATTATAATTATAAAGAGTTAAATATGTAGTCATTTCTATTATAATAAGTCCTAAATTATTCAATAATAAAAGGAACTTGTAAAATATTAACTAAAAAATATAATGTACCCCCCCCCCTAATTTTTTAATGTAATTAACACCATTTTAATTCGTGGCTCGTATACATACTACTCGATTCATACATTAATATTTATTGGATTTGGTAGATATCTCTAGTATTTAGATTATAATCGTATTGAATAATAATACTCGTATCGCAAACTTTATCTACTATTATCTTTTGTCTTAGTAGATTATTAATTTAATATATACCTACTCTGTGATGTAGATGATTGACAGACATCATAGCTAACCAAAACCTTACTTCCCTAATCTATGGTTACGTACTTATTGTCTGTCAGTCAAGTGTCATGTCATAATGTCATTCCATGTAATGTTTTATTTCTTTCTTTCGTTCCATTGATCGTCACTGAATTAATTTTATTTTGTCCTGTATTTTAATCTGTTGTGATAAAATATAACTTTCTTAATCACTTAAACTTCGAACACACTTAAATGGCTAATGGTGGACACGTGTAACATAAGTTAGAACTACAAAAACCTTCACTTGCCCTCAAATCTGATGGACCTATTTCGACATCTACGTTATTGAAAATATTGGCCCGAAGAACTGTAATGGAAACTATCTCGAGTGTGCTAACTAGACGGAAAAAAACAGCAGTGGAAGGTTACAAATGAAGGATATTTAGAATTAAAGGTTGCATCTTGACTTTCTAGATAACGAGGGGGCTCTGATTGGTCGTTGATCGACAGGTTTTATGTGCGCGTGACGGTGACATGAGCACAAACAACAAACGGCGTGGAGCTAGCGGTTCCAGTTGTTCTGTGTCTGGAGTACCCGCTCTAGTAAACGTGCCCACCGCAATGTCAGCGGACCTAGCATCCCTATTTGAATGTCCGGTCTGTTTCGATTATGTTTTACCCCCAATACTGCAGTGCCAGAGCGGGCACCTCGTCTGCTCCAGCTGCCGCCCCAAGCTGTCCTGCTGCCCGACCTGTCGCGGCCCTCTCGGCAACATCCGCAACCTGGCTATGGAGAAGGTAGCTAGTAATGTGATGTTCCCTTGTAAACACTCCAACACTGGTTGCACAGTAACATTAGTACACACAGAAAAAGCTGAACATGAAGAAGCTTGTGAGTTCAGACCTTATTCTTGTCCATGCCCAGGGGCATCATGTAAATGGCAAGGTGGTCTGGACCAAGTAATGCCACACTTAATGATGTCCCACAAGAGCATCACTACTCTGCAAGGTGAGGATATAGTGTTCCTTGCCACTGACATCAACCTACCTGGAGCTGTAGACTGGGTGATGATGCAGTCCTGCTTTAATCACCATTTTATGTTAGTACTAGAAAAACAGGAGAAGTTTGATGGTCATCAACAGTTCTTCGCTATAGTCCAACTCATAGGGTCTCGTAAGGAGGCTGAGAACTTTGCGTACAGACTGGAACTGAATGGCCACAGGCGGCGGCTCACATGGGAAGCGATGCCACGGTCAATCCATGAAGGTGTATCATCAGCTATTATGAATTCCGACTGTCTTGTGTTTGATACGTCACTTGCGCAGCTGTTTGCAGACAATGGGAACCTCGGAATCAATGTCACAATATCTATTGCCTAATGACGACTACAACTGCCGTCTGCTGCTGTCGCATGTTATAGAAACCGCAGTAACCCATTGCACATTGTGTGACTGGTATATTTTTAATAAAGTAATTCAACAATTTTGTGTATAAAGTATTGATAGTGTATAATTTATGTTACAAATTTGATATAATAAGTAATGAATATTTTCGTTACAGCTTGTAATAATCGCCAATTATAATTAATTTTGATTGACATTTTTTTACTATTAATTGTCAACTGATGAAGCCAAAAATATTCCTGTTGATTGTTCATAATGTCTGACTGAAACATAACTTTAAAACATTCTATATTATTTGAAAAATATTTCATAAGATTCCTTATTATTTTTTATAAGTAATTTATGGGGTCATGAGTTATATAGGTGACAGAAGAAAAAACAATAGGAATAAGGGTAAAATTCATGAACAGTTTAGTAGGATTTCATTGACAGGTGCTAAATTATATTAATATTTCATCATAGTAACCGAGTTCAAAAAGTAAGCAATAATAAACTAGCATTACTATTTCAGGAAATTGTTCCAGGAATGGATAGATTAATATATTATATACTGGTTAGTATACAGAATATTTAATAAGAATGACTCTAAAAAATTTAGACTAAATGTAATTGATCTGTTTACAAGTTACTGTCAGTTACTGTAACTTCTATTAGATAAATTACCTATTGCAAAATATCATCATATTTCTGCTATATTAGTATTCACACATTATTCCTTTAAAACCAATTCGCAATCGGTAATAAGAACATTTTCATATCTGACGTCTTATATTAAGCAATTTTTGTAAACTAGTTTTGTTATACTAGCTGACTCGAGCAACTTTTCCTGCGTCACACTTTACCTGTTTCGCAACATTTTTCATTCATACTCAGCACCTATTAGTTGTACCGTGATGTTAATAGCCTAGGACCTTCCTTAATAAATGAGCTAACCATCACTGCTGGAATATATCAATTTGAACCAGTAGTTTTTTAATTTTGCGCTTTCAACCAAACAAACTTTATGATAAATAGATATAAATTTTGGTTTCATTATATCTTGAACAGTCTGTCTTCACATGCAGTCATCCTGTATTTAAATATATCCTAAGGGATATTACTTTTCAAAATATTTGATTTTGAAAGTTATGTTACCAAAAATGTCAAACCCATTGTATCGAAACTAATTATAAAAATATTTACTTTTGTTTACCTGAGCAGATATCCAGATGTCGGTATATCAAATGATTTTATAATGAGTTTGTTTTACAATCACTTATATATTAAGAACAAGAAATAATTATGGTACTCAGGCTATGCTCTTGCCTCTACCAATCCAGTCCCTAAAAAGTCGCACCTCCCTCGCGAGACATCTACCAAGTACCAGGTACGTTAGAATAGAAATAGATCGTTAGAAAATAATATCAATAAATAAAATTATTTTATACCAGTTATTAACAGTAACATTTATCATTAAAAATAAAACCTTACTCCGCATTTTTAGAGTTGCATTTTCGGTCAGACATTATTTTTTTTGTACATGTGTGTTCATCATTAGGTTTAAGTAGACATTGAGAAACTCGAAGTGAATGCCTTCTGAATATAGATATAGAGAACATTTTAACCTCTTACGAGTGTTAGTGATTATTTAATTCCAAACAAAGAACAAATATATAAAGTAATGATAATAATTATATATATTATATAGATGCATGAAGTAAAATGTTGATGAGTTATTAAACAGGTTTGAAAATGCTTAATGCTGGTGCTCCCACACTGAAAATCTTTGTATACAATATATATAATTGTGTATACATTTTATATATTATAATAAATTTTAAACATTGTGTTTAGTGTGGGAGCGCCATCATAGTATGCAAGGCGTAAAATAATATGTTACAATTCGAAATCTGAGGATGGAAGCCGTGATATTAATGTAATAATACTTATGTATATTTTTCAGCAAACAAATATTTGATTAAAAAATCGTATATGAAATAGTTTATCGTGTACTCAAACATCCCATTCGTACGACAACTAACCGCCATATAATGAGGGGAGGTCGGCTGTTAATTAGAAGAACAAGTATCCCCATTGCTACCAATTGAAGCTGGGATCTAATCTCAATATCCAACCTATAGGACCAACTGACCTAACTTCATTCTCATTCATCTCTTATCTACCATTGGTGCCACGCCAGCATATAAAGTTAGCGTAGGAGACATCCATAATTACCCCCATATTATGGCTTTACCCCCTTTATACCACCGCGGTCCTTGTATTACCCCTATTTTGTCATGACATAGTGCTGCTTATCTTTACAAGCAATGACTTACATCAGACAGGCCGTATTTTTTTTGCATTTACAGTGTTTAGAAAAATTACTCAACTATCAAAGCTCCTGTTGGAAATGTTAGTAAAAACAGATCTTATCCCAGTTTACAAATCAGGAGAGTATTACGTTATCAAGTATATTAGATGTCATACCTAATCTAATGAAATATAATATTGTGGTTTACCTACTGCGGAACTTTCTGTAAAATATCTTAAATACAGGATATAAATAATAAAATTCACTTCCTACAATATTGCAATTTATGGAAAAATATCAAAAATATATAAACATCATAATTTGAATTTATGTAGCTTTGTTATGTATTTGATTATGTAAAACATCTGTGGTTAAAAAATACTACATATTAAAAAAGCAAATATTCCATTTTTAAAATACACCCGATTCGTGAGGGTTCATATTATCGTCTATTGATAATCAGACGACAACAATAAATTAAACATCTTTACGTCGCTATCTACCATTTTAGTAATAAAATAATAGATGGCGTATTGAAAATATGTTGACAAAATAATTATATTAGCTTAAGAGAGTATTTTTCTCATCTTTCTTTAGTCTATATATTGCCCCATATTTGACATCTGTGAAAATTCATACCAATTCTAACCATTTTTGTTTGAATTCTTAACACAAACAACTACGGTTTTCGCTTCGTTGTAGTATTAATAAGAAGCAGCATCCCCAACAACATATTCTTACATATTGCAAATTTCTAAAATCGACTTTAAAAGTATACCATTAAAATCGAGTTTCGAACATTAGAAGTTTATGTTATTGTTTATTAAGCGTGCGATTGCGTAAGAATTGGACTGTAGTCGTATTCTAAATACAAAATCTTATTTTGACATTTGCCGAAATTGAACTTTAACGACGTTTAAATAAGAATATATTCTATAGTGAATTAAGCATTGAATAAAAATTAAACGGTTATATAAGATCTTTTTCATTGCTTTGTAATCGTAAAAATATTTTTGATATATTTAAACCGTTCAATATGAGAGTAAATAGTTATAATTTTGATATGAACAACTGAGGTACAGGTACCTAGGTACTTAATTACCAGTTTAAACATTGCAAATAAATATATGAGAATATGTTTGTATTAAATAGGAAACAATTTCTAAAGCTGTCAGAAATCGAATTTGTACTGAGCTCAATGTATCATTTATTTTTCGTCGAGAGGGTCTATACCGTAAACCCCATATGTTTTGACGGGTGGAGTTTTGCCTTTTTCTATTATAATATTACACACAATGGGTCATCTATAAATTATTTTACACGAATGTAATGATTTTATGACCTCTTTTCCGTCCTTGTCACAACTGGCCACATTTATGGGAATCCGCTCTGTCTAATACGACGTCACATAAATATTTTGAAATACACTAAAAACTTAAAGTTGGACTAAAAATAATGTTTAAGATTTTCACTGGAGTTAAATTTACCAATTGGAATATTTAGATATATTAGATTTTAATATGTGAAGTTACGAAACTTAAGACTCCACTCCTTGTCACACAATGTCTTACTCCATCAACTCATTCGTCCTACCTCACCCTCAACATGTGACGATATTTATAGATGGCCCCCAATTAAAAAGCAAAGTATAAATATCAAATTGTCTATGGTTTCTCTAACGGATATACTCCTCCTTATTTAACTCTATTCTTGGCACTTTAGTCTCAAATATAACCGATGGTTTCCAGATTATAAGCGTCTCATTACCGAGGATTGGGCTCAAACTTAGTGCCTTGAACTTAAAAAAAAAACATATACTCCATATATAAACAGCTATATTATATGGTAAATACTACTAAATACTCTCAAGAATACATTAAAATGAAATTTATAATCCACCAGGCATTATAGTTCGCCAGTCAATATAGCAGAACGTCAATGCCGCCAAAATATAGAGACATCTCTATACAATAGTCTATTCTGTGACAATGAAGACACTTCTCATAAAATACCGCGACTGCCAAAGTTCCAGTCTAAATTCCACTATTAGTTTTACTTGTAATAATTAGGCGTCACTTGATGCGTGTTGTCCTGGTCACACAGATTCTGTATCATGTAATAAAATTTATATATGTATATATACCAAAAGTAACTCAATATACAAATGAAAATGATCTATGTTACTTTGATTAGTACGTTTTGAAAATTATATATTATTTGCACATTTAGGACCGTTTTGACACAGTAGTTTTCTACCGATATATTTTCATTGTTTCATCATCAAACCCAATCTGTGTAACCGTAGTAAATTAACTATGCATTATGCGACACCTAATTAATAGATATAACTATTAGTTAAATTTATAGCTCCAATATACAGTATAGACCCTCATATATCAGGGATTTGGTAACTATAGATTAGTTTATTACTTCTTTTATTTTAATTAATACAAAACATGTTACTTAATTGTAGCTTTATCCACCAATTTCGTTACTCTCCCTTTCCTCTTTCGTCCGCCACATATTATGGGCTGCACATGATCCTAAAGTCAGAGTCAAAATTGGAGCAGTGAAGATGGGGCCAAACTTGTATACACGAGGCCACAACGCACCGTAGACCATAAATTGTCGAAAACGATTTGCTGCACAAGTCCATCTAGGAATCGATCCAGGATACTCCCCACCACTGCTATACTACCCCTAATTTTAGGGTCGTGTGGAGAACATTTATACACATGTTACCTCTTATGGAAGATTTAAAACGAAATAGTATCAAATTCTATAAGAATCTAGTTGAAATAAATTTTTATATTATACGACAGTGTAGTTTTAATATTAAAACAACTGTTTTGATTGTTACATTGTTTATTGGCCTTACACAATAAATGTATGGTATTTTTACATTGTTCAATAAATAATATATTACTATTCGGCACTACCCAGTGTTCTGCTTTCATATAGTCTGTGGATATTGATAAGCTTATTAGGGATCGTCATATTAATCACACAATAAAGTGTTGGCAAAGGATTGATGAAGTGTGACATTGTGACAAGCAGTGGGAGGAGTCGTGAATTTCGTGACAAAACATTTCAAAAGGTTCATTAAATTATTAGAAATGAAAATAATACGTATTAGGTAATTGCTTCTTGTTCGTTAATTAAATTTCTAGATAACAATATATATATATATAAAGGCAACACAAATCTAAATTACAAATTGTTAGGAAAATAACAAAATTACAGTAACAAATAATTAATGAATTTATATATAAAGATGTCGAATTTCACACTAGTATTATGTTGCTATTTGTGAAAGTTTATTAGTGTGTTAGTTTGTTTTGTAAATAGTGTCAACATTATATAGAATAGTCCTGGTTTTCCTAAAATAAACTGTAAATATATGCCGTCACACTAAGAAGTAGCCACACAAATCTGACCATCTGTGTCAAAAAGAGGATGGATAAAATTCATGAAATTCGCGTGACATTAATATAGGGAATGACATAATTTCGAAAAATAAATTAAGGTATCCACTGGTTTAATTACATGATGTTCAAAGTGCTTTAGAATTTTTTTGATGACCACTTATGATGAGAAATACTAATGATCCGCCCCGGTTTCGCTCAGGCGATCACGATTTTGTAATCGATATTTACTTTGATAGTCCCCGATGGTTATTTATCATGTACAGACAGTAATGTGTTCATTCTCATTATTTGTATACATTGATGCATATATTCTTGTCCCCATACGTACAACTTTTAAAAGCCGAAAATACATTATAGGACGCTTTAGGATGTGTTACATTACGGAATTCTTATACTGTAAAAAATAGCATGTGTTTTTGTAATGAGGTCTTACTTTACCCTTAAAATTCGCCTATTTTGCACTTATGACTTGACACCTATCACAGAATTGATTCGACATTTCCTATTGACTAAGGTCATGTTTATCATTTATCTATATATTTTATCATTTTCTTTTATTACTTATATCATTAATTCATTATGAATTCTATAATGATAAAAGTAATAAAACACATAGCAATGACTGTTTAACTCTGTCTACAGACAGAAACTGGTAATACAATCAAATCAAAATTCCATTGGCATTTCTATACCATAGCTTTTATCTGTTTGTGACATCAGACAGATAAAATTAAGTTTATTTCAGATATACAATTAGGAAAAATCAAGGGATCATTATGTCTGCCCATAAAATAATTAATTTACCATCTACCCGCTGCTCTTCACAGTTTACCCGTAATCATGGCCGTTGAAACACCGCCGAAATATCGGGAACGTGGTAAGATCTCGTGATTTTTTCTAATTGTATGTAAAAATAATGACACCGTCAAATTTAAAACAGTACATATATATACAATTTAATTGCATTTCCGTAATATTTGAGTTTCAAACAATTATATTCCAAACTAATAATAAAGTATTTTCAATTCGACATGCATTATGTCAGACTGTACATTATAAAACAACATCGTTACAAATATATGATTTCTATACGCAACTGGCAAATGGAAATAACTTGAATTAACATGATTTTTAATAGACAATCTAACACTTGTAAATAATATATCGTCCTTATATGTAACTGGGAAAAAATCCTTCACCTTATACCACTCAATTCACTGTATTTTGCATTTTAACACTGGCTGTATACCATCTAGCTATGGGTCAAACGTGCCATCTCTAAATAGAATTTCATTTTGTAAATTATCAGCACCGACCAAAATTAACTTTGGTTATAACAAATGTCAACAATTAACTAAACTCACGCTCACATTATGACGGCTTCTCACTACTTTGAGGTTGTAGAGGAGATGGTAACAAAGACGCTGCTGTGGGGGACTCATTATCGTCTAACAGTGAAGTGGATTCTTTTTGTACTGGACTGAACGGGTCTCTACTGCTAGTCTGTGGCAGACTTGGACCTGGAGGGCTGAAAGGGTCAACTCCTCTATGAACTATTTCAAATGGATCTAGCGTTTGATTAGCTCTATATGTTAAGCTGAATTCGTCGAACTTGTCTAATATGGTGTTTAGAGATTCAGGCGCAGCCGGTTGTGGGGCGAAAGGATCAAACATTTGCTTTTTAAGCACATCAGGACTAAAAGGGTCTTTGGCTTCTGGTTTTGGGGCATCTTCGGCTATACTGTTGTCGCCACTCAGGTCTGACAGATCTATATCGTAGTTTATATTACTCAAGCCCGGCGCCATCTGGTCCGCCCCGAATTCGTCTGGTGTCATCAGTTCGTCTATAGATCTGGAGTCGAACGGCGAGAACCCTAGTGGTGATGGTGTAAGGAGTTCCAGAGAACTCGTCTGCTTGAGATCCCATGGCTGGTCTAGGTGTTGTGGGGATTTAGAAGGTGACGATTTGTCTATGACTTCGAATCCTAAAATATTGAGCTTTTCTATATCTTCAGTTGCTTGAACAGAGTTTGCGGGTGTTTGTGTTTCCATTTGATGGTCCTGTGGAAAACTTTCGCCATTTGTCTGACTGACTGGCCGGTTTTCAGAAACCGTTTCTGGAATAGGTCTGGTGTCTTCCAACGTGCTCGTATCTAAATCTATGAGCGGTGTTAGTGGCGTTTCTTTTAATTTTCCTATGCGTGGGACCTCCCGGCGCGGTTTTATTTCCAGTGGTGTTTTGGTGAGAACGTCTTGAACTTTCTTCGATATTTGTTCCTGCGCATATAAAATCGTCTGATTGATAAATAACCCAAAAAAACGTATTTATTGAAGCGCGATAAACCTAAAGTTAAAATAACCAAAGAAAATAAATACTAGGAGAGTATAATCATACAGGAATTTCCTGTATATTAAAATTTGCCTTATTCTATAAATAAAAACCAATTAAAGTAATCAGGACAGCATAATCTTCTGATACTTTATAAGCTGTCATTTATATCATTGTAATATCTTTTTATAATAGTAACCGATGGTTTATTATCTTGAGTTGAGTTTATGATATCAAGAACTATCTCGCATAGAGAACTCTATCGGATGTCCAGCTGTAAACTGTAAATAGTAAATCACATAGACAGATACATATGTATATGAGTGTATATGTATATAATTATAAGTAAAAGCAGTTTTGAGGTTTGATGTATGCTTTTCTTTTTTAGTGAAATTTAAAAATGCTTTTCTAAACTATAGTCTGGATCAGCAAGTAATCAGAAAGTATAGATCTTTTATACTGTAAATAGTAAACCGCATACATAGACACATATGTATATGAGTGTATATGTATATATAAGTAAAAACAGTTTTGCGACTTGATGTAGGCTTTTCTTTTTGTATGAAATTAAAATAAAAATTCTAAACTATAGTTTGGATCAGCAAGTAATCAGATAGTATGCATTGTTTTATATTTTAAATTTACGATCAGCAAGTTGGTGTGTACCTCGAACGTGATCGAGTCGACTGCGAGGCGTTCCGCGCGGCGCTGCATGTCTTCAAGGTCTTCGTGCGCCGCCTGCAGCGCCGCCTGGTGCTCCGCCTCCTCGCGCTCCGCCCCACACAGCAGCAGCGCCGCAGCCTGACACCACCACACAATCATAATTTTTTTTTAATATATGAGAATGGAATGATGCGAGGGCATAGGGATTGCTAGTAATGTGAATTAAGTAATTAATTCACATTCGCTAGCAATGTACCAACTCGGATTGACCACGCGGTTCCACCTAGAAACCGTCGTGACAATTTCGTCGTAAAGTGACCTAACCTCATACCCATTGTATCATCCTCCACTGGTGCCCTGCCAGTGTAACTCATGCAAGCGAGGGCATTATTCCATTATAATATTTTTTTTTTAGTGGATGATAATGGAATGATGCACCCGCCTGCGCTAACGGTTTACGCTGGCGGGGCACCAGTGGAGGATGAATTTATTACGAATTTGTCACGATGGTTTCCAGGGGGAACCGCGTGGAGGCTACCTGACATGATACCTTGCTAGCACTGGGATCATCAATCCACATCACTAACAAACACTTTCCACCGATTATCATTAATTAAAAAAATGGAATGGAACATGAGGTCAGGTCAGTTGACCCATCATGACATATTCACCAGGAAAATATCATGAGTTCCATGGGGAAAAAACCTCACTGAGCTATATTTAAATATTTATGGTTTATCTTTATAAGTATTATTATTTAGTAGTATGTGTGCCGAAATTTTCAAATAAATGATATATCTATCTATCAGAGGGAACCGCGTGGAGGTTAACCTGATATAGTACATTACTGGCAATGGGTTCATCAGTCCACATTATTAACAATCCCATTTCCCTTACACCGTAGTAAAAAGAACATCATTTTGTATTGTGTATGCTGTTGGTTTCAAATAAATAAATGATGTGAACTTACCCAGGAACTTCCCCCGATGGAGGCAGGCATCGCCATGTAGCAATCGAATTCCTTCTTGTCCATGTTCAGGGACTCGGCCGTCAGGTTCTCGATGAATGATATCGCGCAACACTGATTATAAAGATAATAACAATAAACATTTTTCTTATTCACATTTTTAATGGATGGATATCCGACTAAGCGGTGGATTAAAAAAATTGTTATCACTATTAAAAACTGCTAAAATTAAGTTTATTTGAATTCTATCAAATAGAAAATTATTCAAATAAACTTAAATATAAGCACTTTTTAATGTATTTTAAAGTGTTCCCATCTGCGCTACCGGTTTATGCTGGCTGTACCAGTGCAGTCAGGCATACAGTACAGGCACCAGTAGAAATAAGTGAGCCCATCGTGACAAGTTCACCAGGAATTTATGACGATTATAAATTCCTGGTGAACTTGTCACGATGGGCTAACCGACCTGATCTCATATTTTCCAGGGGGCAACGCGTGGATGTCGACCTGACATAGTACGTCGCTACGTAATGGTGTTATTAGCATACATAATGTATTAGTCCACATAATTAACATTTATTATCCTCCCCCAATATGGCCAGCACGGGGTCCGCTTGCACGTGGTTGAAAACAAGGAAGACCAAGCTTCGCACGGCATTTTCTTTAAACTAAAATAACACTAGTAGAATTTTCAAAATCGGATCAATAGTACCAGATTAGCTTGAACATTCAAATTCACAAATATTAGCATTGTAGCAAAAAACTGGAGTCGTGTCGTATCAACATTTATAGAGGATGATGGAAGATCATGGAAAGTAGCAAGAGCTCCACCGCCAAGAGTGTGGTTCTTAAATTATGTACGAATGAATATTAGTATATATTGAAGTATATTACAATTCTATTTATTTGAACTAGTAATAATGTTGTCAGCTACATACCAAATTTGTGAAGTAGTAACCGCCCTCTCCAGTCATCAGGCGTTGTGCGTTGCAAAACCGAGTCACGAAGTTTATATTGCTTACTAATCGAGGCGGATTAGCCTTTAGCACCTGGATAATAAAATAAAAAGAAATTAGTATACAGAACACCTTAGGACATAGAATTGTTAACAATAATAATAAATCACACAACGCCATTTCGTCCCATGCTAAGTAGAGCTTGAGTTATGGGTACTAGATAACTGATATACTTAATATATATTTTGTAAGGTATAAATTATACAGAGGAGGGTAAGGGAATTGTTAGTAATGTGGTCTGCTAACTCCGTGATTGGCAATGTACCAAATTAGATTCCTTCATGGGGTTCCCATTGTGATATATTCTTGGTAAATTTGCCATGATGGCTAACTGTCCTAATATTATATTCATGTTATCTTCCTACACTGGTGCCCAGGCAGCGAAAAGCGTTAGCGCAGGCAGGTGCCACATTCCATTAGCATCCATTAAAAAATATATACATAGAAAATATATACCTATAATTTGTTAGGTCGAAGTCTATATAGACTACCATATCCTTATGGTAAATAATTACCATATAGTAACCCATGGAATCCATCTCTTAATTATCAAATTTCCATCATTACATAGTATAAAACAAAGTCGTCAGTGCTGTCTGTTCGCTTATATCTTTTAAATTACGCAACGGATATCAATGCAGTTTTCAGCAATAAATAGTGTAATTCAAGAAAAAGTTTCATATGTGTAATACACGCGTTTTATGATATAGAACAAGCCGAGAAATCAAAAGTGAAAAGCCAGGACGATTCGATAGTTAAATATATATAAAAAAAAATTGGAAATAGCCATTTCTAAACTTGAACCACCTTACATTAAACTTGGCGGATGATTTATTGTAAATCGGTCGGCGGTAGGTATGATGGGCTGACCGTAAATATGAGTGCGGGCAGCAGGTCGTCAGCGGAGGCCGGGGCTCCGTCGCGGGCGCAGAGTGCGAGCACGTGGCGACAGCAGCGCCGCACCTGCCGCAGCTTACCGCCGGGTGACGGCGCGCTGTCCATACCCAGAAGTTCTACAACCAAATACATATATAAATAAAATATTTAATAATAATAATAATATTTATTTGTCCCAAATAAATGATTAGATTTTTTGCTTTTCAAATAGCATATGCTGGTGATCACTATTCTCCTAAATATGAATTTAAAATGAATCCGTATTATTGTAATATGTACAACATTTATTTGAAAATACGACCTGAGTTTCTTGTCAGTACCTCTCATCTTAAAATCATTCCGAACTGACGGACATATCAGAAAAGTCTGTAATAGTAGGTATATGGTACATGGTCATGAATAAATATATTTTGAAATTGAAATTGAATAAACTATTACTTTTTTCTATTATATTATACCACGTAGCTGGCAAAAATACAAACGGCCCATCTGATGGTAAACGGTTACGCGGAGAAAGTCGCGAGTACAGCTAATCATGAATAAAATTATTGTACTGTTCGAAGAATCAAACCCGCGACCATCGCAAGTTAAGGTATGCTAAACGGCAAGACCACCTAGACAGCAAGATAAATTATTTACTTGAAGGTTTCTATAAACATGATATTTATCCTTATCGAAATAAATACATTAACAAATATTAGGCGCTTGCGAAGCCGGGTCGCGTTGCTATTATAACTGTAATCATACAACATAATAAAGCAAGTAAAATTTACCGTTTATCGCCTTGTACAGCAGCTGTCGACAGGAGGCGCTGTTCCTGTCCAGCTTGCACTCGAGATGCTTCTCCCCGACCCAGCTCAGCTGCTGTATCCGTTCGGACATCGCTCGATCCGCTCGTTCGTCATCAGTGCCAATCGGCGAAAACACAACGGACGGCAGACTAAAAATTAAAAAAATAACAATAATAATAATAATCTGAGGACAATTCACACAGCGCCATCTAGTCCCATTTAAGCTAGCTAAAGCTTGTGTTATGGGTACTAGATAACTGATATAAATACATAGATTTTTTTTTTCGTAAATACATACATATTATAGATAGAAAAGACCGATACAAACAATCATACTCATGAATACAAATGTTTGTGACGTGCGAGGAAGCGAACCCGTGACCATTGGACGTAAAGCGGTGTGCGAGACCGCTAGACTACCAATGTCGTCAGTCACAATATAGCCGCGAACGTTTGGTTCATTCACTATTCGGGTACATCATGTTTCAGAGAGGGAAACTTCGAGCAGTTCCCGGGACGTGTAGTTTTATGGGGGCCCTTTACCGACGTACGACGTTACCAGAACACTCACCTTTACGGCTCGTGTTTCTCTCCCTGCCCAGCTAAATCTGGTAGGTGCCCGCTGGTACAGCTTCTATATACCGTTTCTATTATATATATTGTTGCCGAAAGCAACGTTTTTGATAGTTTTTTTTTATATATTTTTTATTTTTATATTTTGACGTTCTATGTATAAACACAGAACGTCAGGTATATAAATACCGATTGTTTTCTAATGCCATATTCCTGCTATTTTCGTTTTTGCTAACGAGCTGAGTTTCTTGTCAGTTCTTCTCATCTCGAAATCATTCCGAACTGACGGTAGATTTGACATATCATAAGAGTCTGTAATAGACCTACATGAATAAAGATATTTTGAATTTGATTTTGAATACATATTTTACCTGACCTAGGAACGTGTCTCATTATAAACCTGTTTAATACAGTCCTTTCGTAACAGTTATAGTTATGAAATATATAATAGTTACATTAACATTGTTGATGTTTTATTATTAAAAATCATAGGCTTGAAAGTCTTTTTTAATAACTTTATTTGAATAAAGATGAGTAGAGATCTTTCAGTACTCACTCGTGTAAATAAGTCATGGCGTGTTTTTCAACGAAATCCATAAGCTGTTCCTTCATGTCTGGATCCACGCTGGCGAAGTGTTGCGACGTGTCCATATGTTTCATAAAACGCTATCGGACAATACATTTAAAATACAGTAAAATAATAATTATTATAACCATGAACAATCTACACAGGGGCATCTAGTTCCAAGCTAAACAGAGCTTATGTTATGACATAATATAGGTACTAACTAGACAAATGATATAAATACTTAGATACATTTTTTTAATACATACATAATATACATAAAAAACACCCAGACCAATACAAACAATCATACTCATAAATACAAATGTTTGTACCGTGCGAGGTATCGAACCTGCGACTGTTTGTTTAGGCAATCCTATAACCGCTACACCACCGAGGACATTAAAATAGGAAGAGAAAACATCTAAGTACGTTCACTGATATATATGTTATTTACATAAGTGTTTATACCGTTCGAACCCCTAGTGGTGCCCTCAGACTAAAGTCGTATCCGTCAGGCAGGAGTTGGCCTTCAGCCGCTCCATAAGTCCTTCCGCGGGTTTGGAGTGCCATCTGCACTCGCCCACTATCGTCCGGTGTAGATGTAAGGTCAGCTGCGGCCAACAGCATTAGAGTTCAAAAAAAAATGTTTATAATTTTATGCACGACCTACTCTAATTTTTGTAAATACTCTCTTTACAAAGGTTGTCTGGAAGATATTGCATAGTTTTATTTTTTACAATTATTTTTGTTAATATCAATATGCTCCCTCTAATATGGTTGAGCGCAATGATGGCTGGCTCATACGTCATACTCGTGAATAGGTGTTGCTTGTGGAGACTGGTCTGTTCGGGTTACGAACACTGATTAGACTATTTGCTTTTGCAATAGCATATGCTGGTGGTCACTCTATTCTCCCAAATTTGAATTTAAATTAATCTCTATTATTGTAAACACGTCCAACATTTATTTGAAAAGAATACGAACTGAGTTTCTTGTCATTCTTCTCATCTCTCGAAGTCATTACGAGCTGATGGTAGATTTGACATATCATGAGAGTAATAGACCTAAATAAAGATATTTTGTTTTTTTTTTAATTTTGTCCTTTCTATGTTGGTGCAAGGGTTATAAATTTAAAAAAATAAGAAAAATTTTCGCTTACCTGGTACTGCCTCTGCACTCTCTCCGACAATTCGTCGACAGTCATCACATTGGCGCACTTGATAACATCCATAATAAAAGTGTGGACAAACACCCGCGCGTCTCTGTCCACTTGTGGGGGTAGTGTGGGGAAACGTGTGCGAAACTCCTGTTTCATACCATCTTTGACCATAGGCGGTATTTTAAACTCCGGCGGCCTCTTCTCTGGGGTATGATCGTGATCATCTGTTTAAACATCAAAAATATACTTAGTTTGGAGCTAGATGGCGCTGTAGGAATTGTCAAGGGTTATTAATATTATTATTATATCCTATTTAAGGTATACCATGAAAGCTCGTGGTATCTGAAATTAAATTATACTATCTGAGTATTTATAAAGTTTTGGCACTCTAATCCGTAACTCCTACTTTCAAGTTCCTATATTATTTATTTCATATTAGCTGGAAATGTTGAAAATTTTTGAAACATTCCTTTTTCAGTTAATGTAGTTTATTATTAATCAAGAAATATATTCTAACAGGTTTTTTTGAAACTATTCTATGCTGTTGGCAGCAGCTCACCTTTAGAGCTTCACAGAATGATAGCGAGGGCAGATAGTACTCCATACCCGCAAGACTTGCAGCGGTTAAAGGCCAACTCCTGCCTAAGGGATAACTTTAGTCTGAGGGCACCACTATTGTAGCAAGTAGACTTGTTTGTTCTTCCAATTAAATAAAGTATAACTCTTTAATCTGATCGCATACACAAAGTTTACCTGTGCTGCTTTTCTTGAAAACTGTAAACTTAAGGAGATTGTGTTTCTTCAACGTCTCGCTCTGCCGCTGCCGTTTTTCCTCGAATTTGGAGAATGACGAGCGTGCGGCCAGCTTCAAGCCCTGATCTGGTTTTTTCTGCTCAGGTTTTGGTAGAGTGGCTGATGTTGCTTTCTCTGATGATCAAGAATATAAGAGCTACAATATTAAATAATAGGTTATTAGAAACGGGCAAGAGTGACTAGCATTTTGCCAAAATTAGTTTCAGGGAAACTAAATTTGGCAAAATGCTAGTGAATATATCACACTAATTGACCTGACCTCACGCTCATCTTGCCATCCTTCACTGATGCCTCGCCAGTGTATACCATTAGTGCAAGGGAGTGCATAATTCCATAATGATCAATGAAAAAGAAATTAAAAAATATTCAAACAGTAATATTAGAAATAAAAAATAAAATGAGTGCAATTATTATGGTGTGTGAATGTAAAGCAATGTCAAGGAAGCAAAAGAGTTCTATTTGAATATGACCCTTATGGATTCTATTATTTTTGCTGAAAATAATGTTATGATGAATAAAACACTTTCTGTGAACCATGATTCACGCTGCGCTCGGCCCACAGGCCTTAACTGTTCTCTGGGCAGTATCAATAACCATGATCGCACATATATTTTTAACCAACCATATATTATCTTATACATATAATCATATAATTCTCATGTCACAATGTTAGTTACCATACTCCTCCCAAACGGCTTGACTGATTTTTATGAAATTTTATATGCATATTCAGTAGGTCTGAGAATCGGCTACTATCTATTTTTCATACCCCAAAGTGATAAGGGTTGTCCACCCCTAACATTATTTTTTGGGCAAAATTTATTATTTATATTTTTTTATTATGTGTCATTAAAAAATACATACAACCCTAAATTTTCACCCTTCAATCACCAATCCCTATTTTTTATAGCATTATTAATTTATATGGCAAAACAATGTTTGCCGGGACAGCTAGTATACTATTATACTACTAACTAAAAAAGTAAATTGTTATAATATTCCAGTAAATATACAAAATTGATTTTAACATCGCTGACAAACACCAAATAAGAGATTACTATACAGTCTATATTAAGACATTATCTATTTCCTTGTCTTCACTTCCTTATTCTGTTACTTTAGATATAAAATCGATCTGTAATTTTTCCATACTTAGATACTTTTGAAGCCAAGCTCTATCAGCCATCAACTACATATCTGAATAGTGTACTTAAAGCAATATTTAGATGATGCCACAACAGATCTTTAAATATTTAAAAAATATCTATACACATATGTAAATACATATCTGTCACATTCTATAGAATAAAACTGTTTATTATTTTGTTTTAGTTTATTAATTGCAATCAAAAAATAAAATAGTTCATCAATATTGTATTCAGAATATGTTATAATAATGGCAACATTATTTGATCTTCTCTAAAATCAAAGTTATCTAATCTGTTGTATAAAATTAATTATAGGTATGATATTTACATATCACCATCATAATTATGTATATATACTTATAATTATATATATATATATATATATATATATATCAATATATACACTTTATTACGCCTTTAAATAGGTACTTTATTCAAGATTTAATCAAGGCACAAGACAATTGTTTTTATTTCTATATTCAAACTTTCCCAAATGCAAAAATTAAACATATATATTCTTTATTCAAATATTTCTATAATTTATTTAGTATTTCTAGCAAATATTCTGTTTAGTTTAATGCAGTGTAAATTGTCCAGGGTTATTATTAGTATTACTTCACTAAATGCTTTAAAAAAAAATAATAGAGTATAAATTAAATTACAGTTTTACAATATTCTGTTAATTATACAGGTTTTATATATTATTGCAATTAAAAGAACTTCAGCCAAAACAATATAATAGATTCACTGTAACATAGTAAATATAAAATGAAACATCATACCTGCCCTCCGTTGTCGACTCATTTGCTCTCTATGACACATGGAGCAGTATCCCTGCCATTGCGGGTTCCCGAAGTAGTCACAGCCATTTTTGCACTTCAAATCGCTCTGCTCGAACCTCAGCAGAGGCATCTTGGAGGCAAACATTATATACTTATAGGATCGCTTCAAATTCGGTCCGTACAACATTGTTACAGATTACAGTTAAACTCTAGCAACTACCCTCACTGTTTATACTAATTTTAAAGCCCTGCACTCGTATATTCTCCCAAAAACAAGGTTACTGCCCTCAGCCCATCTCCTCAAGAAGTTGCCACAATTTATACGGATTTTCGACTGTAGAGTAGCATTCATTGCAATACAAATGTAACGGTGGTCGTTCAACGATTTTCATCGTTATATAGGCGCTTCTTATCAGAAAAATGTACTTAAATGGCCCAGATAACATTATGAATATACGTCAATACAAAAAGTTTTCATGCAACCATTCTTACACTCCATTTAATATTATACTAAAGAATTAAGACCGCCAGTACTCACCGTAACAAGTTTCTTAATTTAATACGTCTGTATTTTATAATATAAATTTTATAATTAGACGAAATTGAATTGGATAAATTACTCAATAACAAAAAATATTTTGACAATCTTATTATTATTGATTGACACAGTGAAATGACTGCAGTAAATGTGTGACTGACAGTGATTGATGTTAAAGAAAGAGAGCTCTCCTTTTGGCTTTGGAATCTAGCAGTTTACAATAAAATTAGATAATCAGTTTAATTACTTTATTATGCGTAACATACTTATCATTTTTAGTAGTAAAACAATCAACGTTATATTTAGAACATGTATATAAAGCTGTCATCCTAATAGTATTTTTCTGAAAGTGAGATTAATTCTTGGTCCTAACAATTTTTTTCGTATTGGCAAAGAATGATACCAAATTTCATTTGTAGGTGGGTTCATAAGTAAAATACTGCCATGCTGGAGACTAATTTTTACTGCAAAGAAAACAAACATTCAGTTATTAATTTCCGTGTTATTTTTAAACGAATTCAATGAGTCAGCCATACTATTTCATAGTTTAAAATCAAAGTTGCCATGACAACGAGTTGTGGAACACATTGAAATAACCATATATTCAAAACTAATATTGCTGCTTCAATATGGACTATTTACAAATAAAAGACGGCCAGTATACTAAAACTATTTACACTATGGTAAGAATATTTGGACGTATACCGCTTTAGTTCTATTTCTTATTATTTATCACATAATTATGACAATCTATAGATTATAACTTCGCTTTATCGTAAAAATAATAAAATCCTTACTATTCTTATGGTTTTACCCAGAGTTATCAAGATACCCAAAATACAATGAGCATAAGACCTATTACCGACCTAGGGACTAAACGTACCAACATCACAAAGTACACAATTAATAACACACCTCTCTGGAAACTACTTACAATTTTATGATGAAATGATAGACCTGTTGTACATATGTATATGTAAAAATAAAATCTGGTAACTTTTTTGTAAGATCATGAAGTCGACAATTGACAATTCCCCCATTGATTGATTGATATATTGATTGATTGCCCTCATCTTAGATAGTCATGTAGAATACGAATACATATAGATGAAATAACGAAACACGACAAGATCCAAACGTATTTCAGAAATTCATCGGAATCAGGTGGATCAGTATAACTGTTCCTCATAAACGTTGAAGTGTTAAAGACCTTAAGCATTTGTATACTTAAATATTAGTTTTTAAATTATACCGTTTTAAATTGAAATAGTATTCCTTAATATATGAGTAATCAGACTGAGATAAGCGATTTGCTAAAGCCATCAATTAATAAAAACATCAATCAATCACTGGTCCAATGCGGAAATATACAAAAAAATTGCAAATAACATTACGCGGAAAAATGCGGTAGAGAAAGAAAACAAAATGCTTGCCCCCTACATGCCATTGAATAAGTACCTAATTAGTGCCCTTGGATCTGTGTTGGGGCGGGTAACTAGTGAATATTAAACTAGGGTAGTTTAATATTCACTAGATACCCCGGTATCGCACGGATGTACATGTATTATACATATACACCTTGATTCTCTCCATCTTTTGCTAAAGACTACATTCAATTCCGTTGAGTTGTTTCAGTTGTTTAAAATATCTAAACGTACAGACAGCGGAAGCAATTTCATTTTATACTATGTAAAAATCATTGTTACTTTCATAATAACAAACACAGTACCAACTACTGTAATGTATTGTGCATTATAGTAGTCGGTACTAATATTATAAATCTGAGCTTGTCTCTGATTTTTTATTGGCAGTTAGTCATATTTGTATTATAGTTAATGTTTTACTACAATTCTGAATTTTACACTAATATTCTTAATACAATACTCTATTAACTCAAGAACTATAAATTTTGTAAATAGAATTTGAGATATAAAGACAAAGTCGCGGGTAGAAACTAGTAACAGAATAAGAACGAGAGCAAAAATTGTAGCGATAAACGAAATCCACATCGTTTATTCGCCGTTGTACGATAAATAACAATATTGAATAATAAGTATGACACGGACACAATTCGTGTAACGAAAACGCGATAAGATTAACGACATGAAATCATGTTGACTACAGATTAAAATTATTGTATATGATATATTTCTTGTCTCGGATTATGTAAAGACAATGTAACAATGCAGGTTCTATCGGAGATACTAATACTTCCTTGTCTAGATATAGTTAAAATAAATAAATACCTGGTTCCAAAGATCATAAGTACATTTTTATGTAATCGAGAATAATAAAGTATAAAATTTTACAAATATATAAAAAATGTGGTCTAAAAAAATTATTAATATAATTTTGTTCTAACAACTTTATGTAACACGTATAATTACATAAAAAAAAAACTCCTGACATAAAAATTCGTGAAATCCCTTCAACTAGAAAATGAGCCTGGTCTTCATATGTTTTGTAAAATAAAGTTACCTATTTATGAATCACTTTATATACATAGAAGACATTGCAATAAACAGATACACAAGTAGAACATTAATATACCTAGAAAAAGGGATTCATTTAATATAAGGAATATTCTATTAGCGATAAAAATTAATATAGAACAAATAATTAAACAATTTTTATTTATGTATGTATAAGTTTGTACTCGGGTCATGTCAGTATAGGATTTCTATATTATTAATTCATTGAATTCCCAGTGTCTGATTCAAACAGTTAACACTCAGAGAATTGAAAGCGTTAAGACATTTAGATAACGTATATAAAGTACAAAAGAAAGGACATCCAAGTAATTCTATAATAGCGCAATGCGTACATTACGTTGATAACGCTCATAAAAAACATACACATGCCGCATACGTGAAACAACTTGTCCTTTTATGTTCCACTTGTTTTATTAAATTATATCTATGAATAATCTATTCTGATAATCGGTAAACAAAAGGACTTGAAGGCGTCTTATCATACGGACTTTAAGTAAACAATATTTCCCCAAAGGTTCCTATGTTGAAACTCACATATTTTGCAGATAAAAGATGGGAGATACGACGAGGCAATCAAAGCTTTGAATGACGCTATGAATTTTACCCCGAATCGCGCTGGACTCTCTCTTCTCGGGTATTGCTACTTCCGAACACAGGCCTTCGTCGAAGCAGCCAACTGCTACGAACAACTGACGGCAATGCATCCAGACATGTCAGAATATAAACTTTATTTCGCTCAAGCTCTATATGAGGCTTCTATGTTTGACGAAGCCTATAAAGTTACAATGCAGATTTCCTCTCCAGAATTAGAAAGAAAAGTCGTTAAATTGCAATCCGCAATTAAATATGGTGAAGAAGACACCATTTCCGCAAAATCACTAGTAGATTCTTATCCAGCAGAGGATCCAGATAAAGATATAAATCTTGGATGTTTACTTTTCAAAGAAAATCAGTATGATGAAGCTTTACAAAAGTTCTCTCGGAGCTTAAATGTATTAGGTTTTAACGCACATCTTCATTATAACGTAGCGCTATGTTATTACAGACTTAAAGAATACCCACAAGCTTTAAAACATATAACATTAGTTATAGAAAGAGGTATACGAGATCACCCAGAATTAGCTGTAGGCATGCAGGCTGATACATCAGAAGTGAAATCAGTTGGCAACTCTTTAACTCTGCATGAAACTGCACTTACTGAAGTGTTTAATTTAAAAGCTGCGATAGAATATCAACTCAAAAATATGGAGGCTTCAAGAGAAGCACTAAATGATATGCCTCCAAGACACGAGCATGAGCTGGATGCTGTTACATTACACAACTTAGCGTTAACTTCTATTGATATTAAACCAACTGATGGGTTTGAAAAGCTTCATTTTCTATTACAGCAAGACCCATTCCCACCTGAAACCTTTGCAAATCTTTTACTATTGTACTGTAAATTTGAATATTTCGATTTAGCAGCAGATGTTTTGGCTGAAAATGCTCAATTTACTTACAAATATTTGACACCGTATTTGTATGACTTTTTGGATGCAATTATAACAAGTCAAACATCGCCCGAAGAAGCATTCCAGAAATATGAGGACATTGCTTCTAAGCATGCAGAACAGTTACGAAAACTTACAAAAGTTGTTCAAGAAAGTCGATCACAAGGCGACAATGACCAGGTTAAGAAAGCGGTAGTCGAATATGAAGAGGCATTAGAACGATATATACCAGTGGTTATGGCACAAGCGAAAATATACTGGGATATGGAAAATTATGGCCAAGTAGAAAAGATATTCCGTAAGTCTGTGGAATTTTGCAACGAATCCGATGTTTGGCGTCTTAATGTCGCACACGTTTTATTTATGCAAGAAAACAAATACAAAGAAGCTGCTAGCTTTTATGAACCGATTGTAAAAAAACAATATGACAATATTTTAGATGTAAGCGCAGTTGTGTTAGCTAATTTATGTGTATCTTACATAATGACTTCACAAAATGAAGAAGCTGAAGATATCATGCGTAAAATAGAAAAAGAAGAAGAACAACAGATATTCGAAGATCCTCAGAAGAAATTCTATCATTTATGTATTGTAAATCTAGTCATTGGCACTTTATATTGTGCTAAAGGGAACTATGAATTTGGTATTTCAAGAGTGATTAAATCCTTGGAGCCTTTTAATAAACGTCTGGGTACTGATACATGGTTCTACGCTAAACGATGTTTTCTATCATTCCTTGAAAATTTAGCCAAACACTTGATCGTTGTTAAAGACAATACTATAAAAGATTGTCTGCAATTTCTTGAAGGCTGTGAAACTTACGGTAGACGTGTGAGCACTGTTATCGAGAGTCCATTTCAGGAAGAAAACGTGAATACGAAAGCAAAACAAACCGTCACGTATGAAGCACGTTTGCTACGTTACATGTTCTATAAACTGCGTAATATCGACGACTCTGTCACAATTAACAAATATGAGGATTTAAAATAAAGATTCTAACCTGGTGGTATTGCTTTCTTGTCCTTTCCAGTCTTCCTCGCGTCTTTATGTTTTAGAACAAAATCTCTTTCTTGTCCTAGAGATATAGAAGCAATAGGACAATTAGCGTCTAATTCGTGCTCATTGTCTCTGTGTTCTCCTATATGATCAAGACCGTTCTTATATCTAAAAAAAATACTAAATTGAATAAAGGTAGCAACTATTACATTATTTCATGATGATCTGAAAAGCGTAAATACATACCTATTTACCAGCACAAAATTATACCGTATACCCTTTAGTTTTAGAATGTATTCTCGCAAAGCCAATACAGGTTCGGGCCAGGGTAACGCAGGCACTGTGACTCCTGAATATGTATAAGTGATACCAACATCACCGTATGCCACTTGTTGTCGTGGCAGTGAATAAATTTTGCCAAAAACCCTATAATATAAAAAGTTTAATTTAATCCAACTGTGTAGTTACTAGGATTATATATCTCAACGTTAAATCAAAATAATAAAATAATAATGCTACCACTGTTCTTTATACCAATATTAAAGAAAAAATACGGCAAGAGAAATGTCGAAATGCTGTCCTTTTCTCAATGGTTTTTCTCTCAGTACCCTCATACATATGTATGATTCTTCTGTGTGTTTGTCACCAAATTACTTCTAAACGGCTGGACCATTTTGGATGAAATTTGTGGATTACTAAATAGTAAATGGTTTAAAAACAATATACGCATAATATACGCAAAATATTTTTTTGATTAAAAATTTTATATTGGTTTTCTATGCTATCAATATAATAACTACCGATTTTATGATAACTAAGATTATAACCGACTTTTGGTTTTTCAGAAAATGCTTACTAATATAATAAATGTGAAATTAGCACTGTCTGTCTGTCGCGCTTTTACGTTAAAACTACTAAACCGATTTAAATGTAATTTGGTACACAGATAGTCAAGACCCTGAGAAAGGACATAATGACCCTTTTTCGCATTAAAACCATTTTTAATGCGAAAATGGGTTTTAAGGGATTGAAATGGGAGATGAAAGGTTGTATGGAAGTATCGTCATTTTTAAACTTAGACGATTGAATAATTATCTTGTCGATTGAATATCCATAAATATATATATAGCATTCAAAGTTTGTAAAAAAATTACTCTGAAAGGAGTAAAATAAAATAGGGGATGAAAGTTCGTACGGAAATTCGTTATTGTTTAAACTGTTACAATGAAACTTTTTTTTTTTAAAATTATTAAATCGTTTTTTCTTCATTTTGATTGGTTTTATCAAGGTCACTATTCCTTGTAGACGAAGTCGCACAGCTAGTCTTGATATATTTCCTTTACGTTACCAATTATAATATTAATATTCTTACTTTATCTTCGCCAAATCACCAGTAAAGTATTCGACTGAATCTTCTAACTCTTTGAATAATGTCGTTGCGATCGTTTTGCTCATCACTACAGCATAATCTAAATCAAGATCATTCTGTTTTATAGATTTCCACTTTATACCTATTGTATCTATTCCTTGCAACTCATTCATATTGTAATATGTATTATTAATGGGGAAAAATAATCTGTAAGGCAAAATGGTAATTATATAGTAGCAACACCTTATCTGTCACTATCATATCGATCACAGTTTTCCTTTACGCGTTCCTTTTCCTTTACGCTTTCCAAAACGCATTCTCTATGGTTATTTTAGGGTTTTTAGAACGTAACCGCACAATAGTGGTAGCGAACTGATAGGGCACGGAGTGGTGCGATGCTATATGATCTCAAATACCACGAAATTATTCTTTTATTTTATTACGTCCATCCATTATTACTCATAAATTATACACTCAAATTGTTCCAATTGTCTGTTCATTGATGGTAATAGCTAATAGAAACTTAAATGTAACCCTACATACGGAATATTATAAACGAAGAACATAAACTACCACATGAAAAAAGTAGCGAAAAAAATATAGTAGATATAATAGTTTATTATATACAGTAGTTTTCATAGGCTACAGTAACTGTTTACCATCAACGCATGTTTGCCACCATAGTGGTATAAAAAAATTACAGTTTCTTACCTTATCATCAACACAACGGCTTCAAGTAAGCAGGTAGTACGGTTAATAATACAAATTACATATGGGTAGTTTGCAGTGAATAGTATGTAATCTTTAAAATACAAAATATCAGTTTATCAGGTGCAACCAAATTCATACGTATTAAGATGTGCTGCTATTTTTTAAAAGTACTTTGCAATAAGTAATTTGTAAACATCCTATAAGATACCGACATATTTATAAAAAGAAAATTTCGTTTATTCTAATAATGTTGCCAGGTTACTAATAAATTACCACTGAACTAGAATAATACGAATATGGTTTAAAATAATGTAATACATAATTTTTTATTTTTCACAAATTCAATATGAATAAAAAAGTATTCACAAAACTATGGAAATTTCGTTAATGTTCACGTTGGAATAATATTATTATTATCTCGTAAAAATGTTTTAAAAATTTCAGAACCAGTTAAAAATCTTTCATTTGCCTTTGGGTAATTCATAGTCGAATGTGCACTTTGTAGTCCGGGACCTGCCGTTTCTCGAATAATTGTTCTGGAACTATAAAAGATGATAGATATATATCTATTTCAAAATATATAAAAATAATTAGCAATCTTTTTTATGTAACTAATTGAAATAGCGAACATGATGCCGATCTGCAAGTGGTAATGTCGCCTACGTTCATGAACAGCACTACGGACATCACGTATTCTAGTGTGACGCCTATAATATATTTTTAAGACCTGCCTATTTTATTTTGTCCTATAATTTTTATATTAAAAGATTATTATCTATATTAAAAGAAATACTTTTAACTACAGCATATATAGGGATGTTAAAGCATGGGTAAGACTGAAGTACTTATGCAGACCACTTTTTACAACGTCTACTTCGGTAAATCTTATTTTATGTCTATCTACTTACTTTGTAAAATCCAATAGGCAATCTTTGTCAAAATAGACTGAATATTGTCTAATTCTTCGAATTGTATCACCAGTATCAAAGTCCGACTCGTAATCGTATTCGTATAATTTTTCTATTATACCATCTTTATCTTTAACAGTCCAAACATATTCTCCAGGGAGACCTTTCAGTCTTGGTGCATCTGAGGCTAAGTGATCCAAGTTATTGTCTTTCTGTAGTATTGTGTTTTCGGTAAAGTGGGGACTAGTGCCTGTAGGAAAACTGTTCGTAGAATTTATTGAAAATTTAGATTGTGTCAACAATTGACAATATGAGTTATTTGCAGCAATACATCTTTTAGGATTATCTAAAAATTTTTGTATTTCTGCATTCACATCTGAATTCAGTAAGTTGTCGTTGGTTCGGTCAATAAAACGACTACAATATTTTCTAAGTTTAGTATTTTTTGTTTTATAAACTTCATTTATCAATCCTAAAAGGTTTTTCTCTGCTTCTTCCTTTGCCAATGTTAGCTTCCTTAAACGGGCTTTTAAAAAAATATTCTCCTGATGTGTAACTAAATATAAATGTTGGAAACTAACATATCTAGATCTATTCTCCTTAATTTTTTTCTGTGTGTCATCCATATGTCGCAAAAGTCTATTTTTGGCCATTGACTCCAGCTGGTATTGTACTCTTATGGTCTTATTTTCATGAATCGCGGCTATTAATAATTGTCCTAAATTCTTTCGTTCTTCTCCTACTTCTTTTAATTTTTGTAGTAACAAATTATGTATATTTTGCTGGTATTCACGTCTTTTAATATTTAATAGCAGTACATCTCTAATTAACTTTATTACGACTTCTTTAATATTTACCCCTACACTAAGTATAAATTTTGAAGTAGCAACCCTGCTGTTAATGGCGGCCTTTTTTAAACGTTTTAGTAGGGCATACACATTTATTTTGTAGACGAAATATTTCGTGTATGAAATGATTTCATTCTTCTTGTTATATAAACAAACAGCAAAAGCACCAGCTAAGAACATTATGTAATGTAATACGGCCATGCTTTGATGCCGATAGCCATTAGAAATCTTCAAATTTTCTACATGAATACGTGTTAGTGGTTCTACCGGAATAGAGGTATTTTTAAAGACAACTCCAAATGTTTTAGGGTTCGCATCTAAAAGCAATAAAATATCAGTAAGTTACGAGAAGACAGGCACGCAATTAATACTTATGTAATGTCACCATAAATAATATTGTTATTCTGTAGCGCGTTGGTCATTAACTCACCAGTGTAGCGTTATGTATGATTTTTTTTAATTAATATGTTTTACGGCTCTGGATCTACACAATCAACAAATCCGTTATGAAGTTACGTATGCTGTGATGAGGTGTTGCTACTTACTAATGTACAGTAAGTAGCACAATCATTACACCTGTATACTCACTACCTAGATACTACAATAAACAAATAAATTATGTAGCGACACATTACATCATACATAACGCTACACAATAGAGATCTTAACACACATTACTATTAAATCCCTTTGCCCCAATATTGCGGGTGTTTAATGGGAAATGGTAATCACAGGCAAGTAATGTATTTCTTTCGAACGTTCATGAAAGTCAAGTTATAGCGGACGTTATTCTGTATGATAGCCACTTTTTTTTAATAATGTAAATAAAAGGAATCGTTTTACCTGGCCCTTGAATTTCCTTAGTCTTAATCAAGTATATGTCAATACAACACATAATGATCCACATGGCCGAACACAAGCCAATAAGCCATTTGAGAGCAATATACATTTCCTAATATTGTTTATCGAACTCTACACATTTATAGCGAGGTCCCCATGGATTATGTACCATTAATTTATAATAAATACAAATCATATTTTGTAAATTACAAGAACTGTACAGTATGACATTTGCATAAGAAAATATATTTTTAAATGTTATATCTATGTCTTTGCTAGTAATTAATACTGTCTATGAAAACATTAAAAAGGATGAATGTGTCACTCTCGTACACCTACTCCATGTGATGCAGAAAACGATTTTAGGAGCGCTGTTTTTTTTTTACAAGGTAATATATGCAATATTCGTATTTGACACTACCTGCTGTGTCACCTTTTCAAGACTTGACTTTATAAACTTTTTTTTAATTTGACTTGAAAATTTATTTATTCATGTAAGTTTTTATAATATTGTAAATTTGAAACTATCTATTGTGTCATCAATACTTAACAGCTGATTTTTTTTTAATTAGCTACAAAATATATTGTATCATGTAAGCTTTTATCTACAGAAAAAAAGACAATGTAACTCGGGTAACGCTGGTTGGTTGTAAATTATAGGAATGAAAAACAACAAATAGGACATAACAATTTATTTAATATTTTTTATTCTAAACACTCTTCTAAGTTTAACTTGAATAGCTAGCTGTAGTAACTTTATATTCTTTTTATACCATTCTATATTGTATGTAATATGTGATTGCCAATTCTTGTCCAGGAATGCTTTGTAGAAAACACTCATTTCGTCTGCTGACAAATTCTGTTTGCCTTCGGGCAGATTTCTCTTAAGATATTCTTCTCTTTCCTGAAATAAATGGTTATTTAAGCAAATTAATAAGTGCCATAACAATGATGGTACATAACAGGTGTTGATATAAATGGATATAGCAATTATAGAAGCTTTCATTGTAAACTTTTTCAGAGTTGCTACAAAGCCACTCTGTAAATTTCGGTTCACATCTGATAGCTATTTTATTTTAATAATTTATTCATATAAAGTATTTTTTACCACTTATGCTTTGTCACTATACTGTACACTTTATTAAAAATATTTTTACAGAACTTTTAACATGTTATACACTACATTGAAGGTAATTTTACACATAGGTGATTACCCATGGGCACTTTAATTGAAATAAATGTAGGGGTTAAATAATGTTTACCTCTAATTATTGTACACTAAAAACATATTTAAAAAATAATATACAATAAAAATGCCGGTCCCAATGTAAAAAATAAGATTTTTCAATGCAGTCTTCAACATGTTAAAGAACATGGCATGTAGGTAATAATTGTAACTGAAATATTAAATAACATAGTTTGGCCCAGATATTACTACCCCAATTTTTGTTGAAATACTGTCTTTTTCAAATTTGAAACTGAATAAAACTAAAAACCTTCATGTGTTAATTTACATTAGACTGTGAGGGAAACACTATGATCAAACCAAATTAATGTGATATACTGAATGAAATGTAGGTGTCAATTGTTACATACAGCACAACTATTACATTTGATAATACCTCTGGCTACCCAGTCTGTGATAACAGTCGTGAAGGTATGTGTATACTACCTGAAAAAACCTAGTATTGTGTCGAGTCCAAAAGTCTTGATTCCATTCTTGCACTTCTGCCCTCATTTGCCTATATCGTTGTTCTAAGGCGCTCTCATTCTGAGGTTGCTTAAATATAATCCTCCGTAAATTCGAGACAGGGTCTGGCGGTCCAACCATGTCATTGGAGATATTTGTCGGATTTGGTGGCTGTACAACTTTTGAATCGGATACTGAACGTGATTGGCTTAATAATGAAATAATATACTTATGCCTATTGCATATCGGTATACGAATAGAAGGTAACATTTTTTTATGGTTGAACAGAATTACATTTTTATGTAAGACAGTTTTGAATTTATATAAATTCTCTGTACATAATATATCAAAACAAAAATTACCTAATCAAAAATAACAGCACAGATATTCAGATATAATAACGGTGACAATGTCAAATTGACGTATTCATTTTTTCACAAGAGTGTAATTTAAAAATAAGGTTTTTTACGGCTGTATGGGCTGAGTCCTTTTGCCTTTCTCTAAAAAGGGAAAAAACGAACCAAAAAAAATAATGTTTTTAACTGGTTTAGAAGGTAACTTTTTACAAGTCTGAGATTGAGCAAAATTTAACTGTAATACATGAGACTCATTGATATTTTTTTTGTAACTGTTTCTTCCAGAGCCGGTAGCAGATAAAAAAGAGAATGTCAATGTCAAACATGACATTGTTGTCAGTATCAAGATAAAATAATTTTTCACTTTTTTCATTACCGAATTATGTAAAAGTGTCTGCAAAACTGCTGCACACATTTAATAATAAATATAAATACTGATTGCGACTGCATTTCAATACGAATTATTATACTAGTGTGATTTTCAACGACCTCGTTATTTATAAAGAAATAATTTAAAATGACCAAAGGAAAGAAAGATGTTGAAGACGAGTATTCCGCTAAACTGGACATGTGTCTCACTGATGGAATTGTAAAAACCGGTAAGGACTCAACATTTTACTTTAACAAAGTTCATTTCATTTCCTTTCATTCTTATGTCTGAGTTTATTCGAAGTTTGGCGGAATAATTCCTCTTTAATGATTATTAAACATCATCTCACAGGAATCTGATCATAGACTACTGACCTTATATGCTAGATATTATTTGGCACATGTATGTGTAGTCATAATTACTATAAATATATCTTCATCTATGTTTATGTGCATTATTCTGTTTAATTCCATTCATCTGTTTCGAAAGAAAATAATATTATAAACTTTACTATTTCTGTTTACAAAGTTACAAAATGTTAATGAAATAGCCGTCTCTTCTGTGGCAGATGCAGTAATTGAGAAAAATGAAGAATGTGCCACGGGGTGGCCAGGCATACCACATGATTGGTTCCACAGATCCCTAAAATGAATATTTTTTAATGCCCCTTTATAACATTAATTCGATTTGAATATAGTCAGTTCACACTTACTTGATAAACTTTCAGGTGGTGGAGTGTTATTAGGAACATTGACATCAGTACTGTTCCTTGGCAGGCGGAGATGGCCCATAATAGCTGGCTTGGGTGTGGGTATAGGGCTTGCATACGCCAACTGTGAATATGAACTAAATCCAAAGAAAAATAATACTGCATAGTATTGATATCAACGATAAGGGTCTACTATAATCAGGTAATTGTTGTAACATTATTAATCTGCTTTTATTTATGTACTTGGAAAGAATGGATTTTTTGTCATTTTGACAGGTCACCTGATGGTAAGTCCTATGTTATTATTTAGAATACAGGTGAGCCTATATATGTACATGAAGTGTTATGGACATTGCATTATTATGTGACTCCTAAGATACCACAACACCATTTCATAGGACGAAGAATAAGAATAATTTATTGCTGCCAATAATATTACATAAAAGAAAATACATTTAAAGAATACTTAATTAAAGGTGGCAAAAGCACCCAGGTCCGTTTATGCCAATAGGATGATCCTGATTACTGCCTCTTATCCTTTAATTTCACTGCCTAATCACACTACAACCAAAACATCTTATGAAGCAAGCTGCTTGCTGGCTGAAATAAGTGAGACTGAAGGACCTATACACAAGACTTTTAACTACCTTAGTCAAATATAAGGTATATTTTACCTTGACTGTAAAAAGTAATAGTGACTGTTGCCATAATCAACTGTCAATATTTGAACATATTACTTAATCTATCCACAACTGGCCAAATGTAAGTGAGTAAATCCAATATAGCAGATAGAAAAATATTTGTACTGGCAACATAAAAAACTGAAGAGTGAGAAATTACTTAATTTTACTTAACAATATTTCAGGTTAGATAACTTCATTTGAAGATTTCTCAGCTTAATATGTTTTATAACACCTATATATAGAAATATAAATAATCTTTATTCAAATAAACTCAATACAAACACTTTTGAATAGTCATATTTTTTATTCCACCACTCATTCGAAACGCAGATTCATCACAAGAAGAATGAGCAAGAACTTGTGTGTTGCTCTTTTGAATAGATGTTTTTTATATAAAGATGACGCAAACATACTTTATATTTGCAACATGTTATAATTCCATTTTATTGTTTCAGATAAGGGAATTCACAAGTTACAAAAATCATGTGCAGTTGGAATCGCGTTTCTGGCGGCTGTTGAATACAGTAGGCAATTAGTTAAAAATATTGTAATTTTGTTCATGTACAAATGATTATTATTTAATGATTATCTAATAAATACTTTTATTTGTTCAATTGTTGGGAAATCATTTATAGATTTATAAGCATTTATTTTACACTACAAATTATACATACAAGATAAAAAAATGGAGACTCTATTAAAACCGTTTTTAGGAATAGAGGATTGAAATATAAAATCCATAATCTTTGAAGAACAATATTTAATAATGGAATTAAGAGAAAGGATAGATTTAGTTTCTTAATAATTTTAAATAAATTAAATTAGTTTGAATAGAATAGTCAAAAGCTTTGCCAACAACCCATATATAGACACCACACATGGCGATTTTTAGACTATAAAACATGGCAACACAGGTTAAAAATCACATTTATAAAATAAAATGGAGGACTCCTCCAGATAACTGCCTTCATGTGACACGATATTGAATATGACTATATACATACTTCTCTCATACAAATGAGTCATATTTTTCTGCAACATTGTTGCCATTCGTAGGCATAATATAAACCTGCAATATAAATCTGACTGTAAGTCAGATAAACCATGATGACTATAATTTCTAATTACCTTATCCCCGCCCTTACTACCAGTTTCTAGTCAGTTAGATAATATATTTTGTAGTTAAATATTGAAACGATGGCATATTGCAGAAATAATATGAGCCATTTCTAAGCATCTGAAATCCCGTTTCCGTATAAACTATATACTGAAATATTCCTCCATTAAACAAACAATACAATATTCACATTCACAGTACATAATACATAATATTTATACAAAATTTGTCTTTTAATAATTAAACAATTCTCTTTAGAAATGCAGTTTACACTTTTCACATACATACAAATAGAAAATAGTAGTTTAGTGCAAAATGTTTCTACCTATAACAAATAAACACTAGTCTCTGGCATAATATTAAAACAAACAATACAAAATTAAATTATTAATTAACTTAGAGAGAGATATTAATTAATTATTAATCGATTGATTGATTAATTACTTAATGGATTAAGTAATTAATTATTAATCTGAAACTAGCATGTAATAATCGGTTTGGCGAAAGAGAGCGACTTAGACACCCATAGTGACTGTAACTGTATCATTAGGAGAAACTTCTTGCACTTAAACAACCAACAACAAAATATTATTTGTTCCAATTTTTAGACAATAAAAACGAAATAATCTAGCAATATATTGGTAACAATGTTTGGGTAAGTATATTATAACAATTGTGACTATAATACAAATTAGGATAACCAGTAACGAAAATATTAACTATCGCAGATAACTACTTAATTAGTTACTTTATAAATAATATTTGGTAAACAAATCGACTAGCATAATAAACCCGACTTAGTAATTATTATACAAATATTCATATAACTTCTGAAGTGCTTTGAGATTTCGCGAATTAAAAACACATTGCATGGCTACTACATATTATCTTAAGGCATAAATATCTTAAAATATTATAAATAGTAAAAAAAATAATAGATAAAAAAAGGCAGTTGAATCTAATAATTACATCATATTACAATATCAATCAATTCAATTAATAAAAAATTAAACAATCAGCTATGTATGCATTTAAATAATAAAGTTCTATATCCCTAAATAATAGAATTAGAAACACGCTAGATTTTGTTATAACTATTAACGTCGTTTTTTTACAATATAATTTGGCCATTTAAAACACTTTTAGCAAATGGATTGGCAATCTCCAACATGCTTTGTTTATGAGATTTAATTTGAAAGTGCCTTTTGTTATAAGGACGCAATTCTTTTAGATCGTAACATTATAGGCGAGTAGAACTTGCATTGGTTATTATTTTTAAACTCAGAGGCAAACCAAGAAGTATCTAAACCTTGGGTAGATTAAACACATATGTAGACGCGAATGCAATGAAGTTTAAAAGTTTTCACCATAGAAACAATACCTAAGTATAAAATAATAGACCAAAACTTATTGTGGTGTTAGCATCTCTTTGTATATGCTTTTGCAATTTTTTTTTTATTTTAAATGGCTGCCACCAATTTTGATCGGAAATTTCACCAATCATGGTTCGAGAGACACAGTTGCACTTTGTAACTTTATTGTGGACATAAATTAGAAGAGTCTTTATACAAAAGTGATAATAATATAGGTTCAAAATTTGGTTCACTTTTTTAAAGATAGTTTTTCATTTAATTAACAAACTCCTTGGTTTTGTCCTTTATTTGATTATGTGTATATCGGTGTTATTATGTATTTAATATGCCCCAGTTTGAATAGAGTATTTTTTAATTTGCTTAATGCAGTAGATTTTGTGGTTCCATATTAAATTCTTAAATTATTACAATACTTAAAATAGGTGTATATTAAAAAGCCCATACGATGCGTGTCTTACTGCGATAAAAATTTCTATAACAATACAAAATTTCTCTACATAAAATTCTAAGATTTGCATTAGGAAACTGGTGTTCATTACCCAAATATTTTAATTAACAATCACGCTATAAGTGTTGCTTGTCAATTTTAGTAGCAGTTGTTAAAGAGTGCTGGTCTAATACTGAATTTACTGCAGTCTTAAATTCAACTCTTAACCCAACCTACTTTCAAATGTGAAATCTAATTTATTGAGGTGTTTTTAATTTTAATTACAAACTTTATTAAATATCCTTTGTCATGGATTAAACTCACAGTCTAAAATAATTTAGTGATCAAATTTAATTTACCTATATATATAAGTACACAAGATGTAAAGCATAGGGTATGCATTTAGCATATAATCTGATATCTTGCGTCAGTATTATCTAAACTAAACAGTGATTAATAGAACCTAACATTTGTATATCGACTGAACCAATAAATAACTGAATAAAAAAGACTATAATTTTTGGTCAATGTATTCAATCACTTTTACCCAAGTGCTAGATTATTTTACTAAAGATTAGTAATACATAGGAACTAATCATTAAAATTTATGACTAACAGCCAATTTTGTACAAATGAGCTGTTTATTTACTAAGGAATCCAATAATTTACTATGAAAGCTGTAAAACTTAATTCCATTAAGCACATCTTTCTTTACATCTTGAGTTACTTAATGAAACGTATTATTACTCTAATAAAATTAGCATTTCATTAAATTCGCATTATAAAAGTACACAATACGACTTTAAATATATTTAACTAGTTTACATTAAGTAATATTGATATAGAGGTGTTATTGGAATTGTTATAGGCTATAGGCACTGACAATACTAAAAGTGTTACTCCTTCTTAGTTTCTAAAACCGCATGTACACATTAGCGAGCCACATGAAATTTCACAAACACAAGTGTGTTAATTAGTTTTATTATCCAATGTCCTGACCACAGCGGAAAGGGGACTGTAAATAGATAACCCTATTGTTAGCAATGTAGGTTGTGTGTGGTAATGTAATGTGGTTCTCTTGGAAAACATCAGGGTAAATCGCGATTTGCCAATATGAGCAAAGTGACCTGACTTCATGTTCATTTTATTATCCTCCACTGGTGTAGCGCCTGCGAGAACGGTTAGAGCAACCGGGTGCACCATTCCATTATCATCCATAAACAAAAGAATGTCAAGTCCGCGTCCCTCTAAACATATACCATTAGAACAGGCGGGTTAACAAATTCATATTTATAAAAAACATGACAGCCCCTCGACACATATCCAGTCAAATTTAGCTATCAAAGTTCAGTAAAGGCTTTTGAAGAAATAAGAAAAAAATTGAATTCATTTGAATTCATTTTTAGGTTTATTGGTATCAATATATCTTTACCATGTCTGTTAATTAGTCCGCTTGACTTTTAATTCGACACTAATCATTTTGGGTCTAACAAAGCTATTATTTGTGTTACTTTGGGTCTAACAAAGGTATTGTTTGTAATATTTTGGGCCTAACAAAGGTATTGTTTGTGATATTTTGGGCCTAACAAAGGTATTGTTTGCGTTATTTTGAGTCTAACAAAGGTATTGTTTGTAGTTTTGGGGCTAACAAAAGTATTGTTTGTGTCTTTGATACATGCGAATGTGTAAATGCGGCATAACATGATATAGTGATAAGCGATATATTTCAAAAAACCCTATAACTTGACAATTTTACAAATAGATATACTGTGACAGGCATTCTGTTTCATATTAATTATATTATAAATTTTAGTCACAGTAATTTTCAGAGAGGCATAAGCGACAGTTGCTTACGCCTGTCACAATACACAATTGCATCCGTATCGTTACATCTATGAGGTGCTGTGACGTAATACTGCCTTACTATAGTCATTATACCTATTATTGTGATATTCGTGGTAACAAATTACTTATTATACAGCTAATTTATTAGTTTAAATTTATCTGTTTCTAATTTATTTAATTTTTAGCCAGTATTCACACTTACAAATTAATTACATAGGTAAAATTTAAGGTAAATTATTATGTAAAAATTACGATACGGTAAGCGATAAATTTATCATAAGTTGTTCACATTCTTTGTACTTAAATCGGTTGAAAAACTTGTAAGTGTGAATACGGCTAAACTAAGCGTAAATTTAATGACTAATGCAATATTTAATATTATAATTAATACGTAGAATTAACTACGGATTGTTGTACAATTGTAATACATCCTAATTTAATTACGGGAATTGGTTTATAATGTGTTGACTGTTCATTTTATCATTGTTAAAATAGTTTCATAGCTCTCAACATTCCGCTTTTTGCACTGAAGTACGTATGAGGTCACCCTTATTGTAATATGACAGTTAACAAATTTACACCATATAATAACAGTGTTACATTTTAATCATATTGAGCTGTGATTTAATTATTTTTTTAGTGAAATAGTTAAAAAACACTCCATTTTTAATCTAGTGACTAGCTATAGGTACTTATAATTTGGATTATTTAGACTTTATTATATCACTATGAATTATAAATTATGATATACCGAATCCGATATACTTATAACACGTACACGCAGACTACAGACTTTCTGTCATTTATATGACCACATAAATATACAGACAAATCGTTGTAATATACGTACATACTTCCATATATATATATTGAATAGTTTAATTAAACTATCGGCCGGTGCAAAGTCTGTAGTCTACGGGGATCCTAAGATAACCATAAATTAGCCACTACAATATATTGGCATACAAAGTAAAACAATAAAACTGTCAAATTTGACGTATTAAAAAAATGTGTCAATCTAAAATAAGACTGACATCCAAAATAAAAATGTTCTAGTCACAAAATTTATATTGTGTTTTATTAAATCACATATTAGCAGTTAGCAACGTATATTTCAATTCAGATATTAAAAAAAAAAAAGAATAAAAATTGTGTGACCTAATTTTTTTTATTTTTCATTCTTCATTTGAACACAAAAATGTTTTTAAAAATATAGAACCTGTTTTAAATATGTAAGTTTCCTATAGAAACTCTGACGTTATAATCGAATAATCGAGGTCGAAATTCAAATAAATCTGGCTGAATTTAAAACTGCTTATTTTCATTTTTAAAAATGAAATACGTCAAAATTTGACAGTTGTGTTGAGAAAACCACTGGTATACTGAAAGTGGTTTCTCATTTCACCATAATTTATCCTAACATATCCCTTGTAGATAAACATACAATGAAGACTAATAAGGCTATCACACAAAAACTGTGGTCGAAAATCTTAGAACGACTGGGCAGTATAATCGCTTGAGGCTAAACACTAGTACTTTAGCAGTAATAATATAAAAAAATAAAAACATTTAAGAGCGTACATAACAAAGTATAACAATATATGTATTATCTATCAATTGTCAATAACAATATAACATATTGCAATAAAAGATCACTTCTAAGTGTTCTTTAAAAATAATGTTTTAAAACCTCTATAGGTAAATAAAATAAATGTTTACTAACGTAAGATTGGGAGCCCATAAACAATAATATCCCGGTAAATATACCGTTTACATAATCTGTACGACTAGAATATTAATTTATATGAGTTCTTTTTTTATTTATAAATTTAAGAATATTATTAAACAATTGCAATATACAAAATATTGAAAATACGGAAAAATTTATATAATAATTTGCAATAAATTATTCGATTTTGAAAATTGACAGATATCGATAATTGTTATGTTTCGGTATGTACACATTCAAATGCTACCTAACATTCTTACACACATAATGTAATAAAAACAAGCGATTAAAAATTCAAAACTACTTAGAAAAATCGAAATATTATTAATCTAAATAAATATTTTACAATCCACTTTTGTGATTAACTAGTTAAAAATTGGCTAAGATATAGTCTTAAGAAAGTATAAAGAAACATTGGAAAACGATGTCGCATCACTAGCGCCATCTACAGGGCTAGTTGTCAAGGTTACACCAAGCTGAAGAAAGAACCAACCCTACGAGGTATCTGTACCAGCGACACTATTGTCGCCCCAGAGAAGAAGCCGGAGTAGTGGGGTTCCCGTGGTCCCTAATTGCACCTCTAGTAGTGTTCAGACGACCCCACATTAATCGTTCAATTTAAATATAAACTGTACCACTTACAACAAGAAACAAAGTGGAAAATAATTGGTATACCCTTTCATTTTTAAAAATATTAAAATAATCACAAGACCGCAGATATTCTATTAATGTAAACCTATTAACGTTTTGAGCGGTACGTAAAAGTACGTCCAACGTAAACAAAACGGGACACGCTCGTACACGTGAATACATCCTTGAACGGATGGGACGTACAGTTAAAATGTTTTTGTATTTTCTTTTGTGCTGTATATACAGACAAACTGAACAGAGCTTTCATTTATTTAAAGTATAATTAAAATAATATGAATAAAAACAAACATTACGGCCTGGCGTGACAAACTGACATGTTTTAGTGAAAGAGTTCGCGCCCGTTATATGCTGCGTAATTTTAAAGGGTAAATTAAAAAATCGCAGTTAAACAACTTAATTTAATAACATTCCATTCCTTCATCATACATATTCCACTTTGATTCTTTGGTAACATTGTTATCACCAGAAATCAGCTTGGTACACCCTTTACGTGTAACCCTGGATTATCCACGGTACATCTCAGAGCACTAGCGTTTACCCTTACAGTAAAATAATCCTTCATTTGTACTCATTATACAAAACGGAATATTTACTGTCATAATATTAATTAAGAGCTTCGATATAAAAGTCGGTTGTACCAGCATCGAAATATCGGGACCTCGTAAATAATATGATAATACCAACTATTCCGTTTATAAAAATGTAAATAATCCTTCCTTTATACACATCTTATATAACGGGTTATTTACCATGATAATATTACATAAGAACTCCCAATATAACAGCCTTTTTTTGAGTGTCGAACCTCTTAAATGATGTTATCATACTAAATATCTCGTTTATACGATGTGTACAATTGTAAACAATCCTTCATTTATACACATTATACAATACGGGATATTTACCATGAAAATATTAAAGAGCTCCCGATATAATAGTCGTTTGTACCAGCATCGTAATATCAGGATCTCGTAAACAATATTATCATTGAACATATCTCGTTTATACAATGTGTACAATTGTAAACAATCCTTCATTTGTTCATATTCGTACTCGGAATCAATTAAACGCAAACTCGAAAGGAAACCTAAATGTTCTCACCTTGACGGTCGCGGAAGAACCAAAATGCTAATTGTCGGATTCACTTGGTGGTCATGTCTGGCCAGTAGTTGATGTAGTATCTATGCGTACTGCCTTCGAACAGTCTGTCCAGCCAGTTCTCCAATCCGTCCAACAGATTCTCTGGAAATCGAGTTACTTATATTAAAAAAAGCAAAGTGTAAGGTCTAAACAAAATTAACCCCTGGAGAAAGGGATAAAAGATAATGAAAGTATGTGTATTTTTTAACTAATATTACGGGCACATAGCTTATTAGTACAGGCGGGTCGGGCGCGTCGTCCCCGGAGGAGGAGTCGGGGTCGGTGTCGGCACTGTCGTCGGAGGGTGGGTCCGTACCTTGTAGCAGCACGGGCGGGTCGGGCGCGTCGTCCCCGGAGGAGGAGTCGGGGTCGGTGTCGGCACTGTCGTCGGAGGGTGGGTCCGTACCTTGTAGCAGCACGGGCGGGTCGGGCGCGTCGTCCCCGGAGGAGGAGTCGGGGTCGGTGTCGGCACTGTCGTCGGAGGGTGGGTCCGTACCTTGTAGCAGCACGGGCGGGTCGGGCGCGTCGTCCCCGGAGGAGGAGTCGGGGTCGGTGTCGGCACTGTCGTCGGAGGGTGGGTCCGTACCTTGTAGCAGCACGGGCGGGTCGGGCGCGTCGTCCCCGGAGGAGGAGTCGGGGTCGGTGTCGGCACTGTCGTCGGAGGGTGGGTCCGTACCTTGTAGCAGCACGGGCGGGTCGGGCGCGTCGTCCCCGGAGGAGGAGTCGGGGTCGGTGGTGAACCCGATGAAGGCGCCCGCCTCCGGGTCGGCCGCCGCGCCGCCCAGCGACCGCCGCATGCGCGACATGCGCTAATAACATATTTATTTTATAATCGATATTGTACCAGATATTATATTAGTAACATTGCATACATATATATGTAATGTGAATGAATATTGATACCTTGTGCGGTTTAGCACACTCCGGGTGCTTGGCGTGGTAGATACAGAAGTACTTGCGGTGCGGGTTGAGCGCTAGTACTGTGCCGACGGCGTTGCGCGCGTTGACCCGCAGCTCGCCGCCACCCAGCGACAGCTGCAGCACGCGCTGGAACCAGCCCACGTTGCGCTCCGCCACCAGGTACGCGAACACCAGTGTCTTGTTCCTACACAACAACTCATACAACAACAACCTTTACAATCCATACATAGCTGCTTTTACAATTATTTTGAACTGTAATGTCGTCATTTACTTTGAATTAAAAGTAATTTATATAAAATTTTGTCTTTGGTCGGAATCGCTTATTAACAGTTTTAATGATATTTAAATATATACTATCATAGCAGGGTCTACAGATAATATATGTACAGGACCATTTATGTATTAATATAAAAGAACTCACTTGCGATAAGGCCACACAATTTTATGGAATTTCGAGAGCAGCTGCACTCGACTCTGCATATCCACGAGGAGTACGATCGTACGGCAACCGGGCTTCAGTAACCTATGGTGAATTAAACAAATACATCATGTAATTTTTTCTATGTAAAAGTTCTGAAAACATATTATGTTTATCTGAATAGAAATTACTTTGATTTTTATTAAGATATATCGCTACAACATATACATACCTAACAAGTCCGTTATATTTCTCAGCGCGCAATTCGTGCAGCCGCAGCTCTGACTGCGGCTCGTTGTTATTTTTCTTCGCGTTTCCGTTTTGCTTCTTCCTTTCATCTTTTTGACGTTGCACAGACTCTTCTTCTACTCGTCTGTTGATTAAAAAATATTAGATATTCAGAAAAAATATATTTTCTCAATGTATCCATGTTTTCTTAAAGTTGTATTGTCATGTTTTCTTAATGCTGATAAGTTTTTGAATTTATGGATTTTCTTTATTAACAACTCAACATTTACTATACTGCACTTATAAATACACCAATAAAATTTATTGAAGACCACACTCGCAAATATAAATGTTCTTATTGTGCAGGAATAGAATCGGCTTTAAAAAAACCCTTCCGCTGAAAAAATCCTACCTATATAGGACATGATGTTAAAAGGGATGATTTATAGACGTTCATATTATGTACTAAGCGTAAGAGATGTGAGGTTCGCACCGCACTCACATGAGGTAGCCGGCGGTGAGCACGAGCGCGACGGTGGCGGAGATGGCGGAGAGCGCGTGGTGTCCGCGGAGTACTCACATGAGGTACGCCATGAGGTAGCCGGCGGCGAGCACGAGCGCGACGGTGGCGAGCACGGAGGCGGCGGAGATGGCGGAGAGCGCGTGGTGTCCGCGGAGTACTCACATGAGGTACGCCATGAGGTAGCCGGCGGCGAGCACGAGCGCGACGGTGGCGAGCACGGAGGCGGCGGAGATGGCGGAGAGCGCGTGGTGTCCGCGGAGTACTCACATGAGGTACGCCATGAGGTAGCCGGCGGCGAGCACGAGCGCGACGGTGGCGAGCACGGAGGCGGCGGAGATGGCGGAGAGCGCGTGGTGTCCGCGGAGTACTCACATGAGGTACGCCATGAGGTAGCCGGCGGCGAGCACGAGCGCGACGGTGGCGAGCACGGAGGCGGCGGAGATGGCGGAGAGCGCGTGGTGTCCGCGGAGTACTCACATGAGGTACGCCATGAGGTAGCCGGCGGCGAGCACGAGCGCGACGGTGGCGAGCACGGAGGCGGCGGAGATGGCGGAGAGCGCGTGGTGTCCGCGGAGTACTCACATGAGGTACGCCATGAGGTAGCCGGCGGCGAGCACGAGCGCGACGGTGGCGAGCACGGAGGCGGCGGAGATGGCGGAGAGCGCGTGGTGTCCGCGGAGTACTCACATGAGGTACGCCATGAGGTAGCCGGCGGCGAGCACGAGCGCGACGGTGGCGAGCACGGAGGCGGCGGAGATGGCGGAGAGCGCGTGGTGTCCGCGGAGTACTCACATGAGGTACGCCATGAGGTAGCCGGCGGCGAGCACGAGCGCGACGGTGGCGAGCACGGAGGCGGCGGAGATGGCGGAGAGCGCGTGGTGTCCGCGGAGTACTCACATGAGGTACGCCATGAGGTAGCCGGCGGCGAGCACGAGCGCGACGGTGGCGAGCACGGAGGCGGCGGAGATGGCGGAGAGCGCGTGGTGTCCGCGGAGTACTCACATGAGGTACGCCATGAGGTAGCCGGCGGCGAGCACGAGCGCGACGGTGGCGAGCACGGAGGCGGCGGAGATGGCGGAGAGCGCGTGGTGTCCGCGGAGTACTCACATGAGGTACGCCATGAGGTAGCCGGCGGCGAGCACGAGCGCGACGGTGGCGAGCACGGAGGCGGCGGAGATGGCGGAGAGCGCGTGGTGTCCGCGGAGTACTCACATGAGGTACGCCATGAGGTAGCCGGCGGCGAGCACGAGCGCGACGGTGGCGAGCACGGAGGCGGCGGAGATGGCGGAGAGCGCGTGGTGTCCGCGGAGTACTCACATGAGGTACGCCATGAGGTAGCCGGCGGCGAGCACGAGCGCGACGGTGGCGAGCACGGAGGCGGCGGAGATGGCGGAGAGCGCGTGGTGTCCGCGGAGTACTCACATGAGGTACGCCATGAGGTAGCCGGCGGCGAGCACGAGCGCGACGGTGGCGAGCACGGAGGCGGCGGAGATGGCGGAGAGCGCGTGGTGTCCGCGGAGTACTCACATGAGGTACGCCATGAGGTAGCCGGCGGCGAGCACGAGCGCGACGGTGGCGAGCACGGAGGCGGCGGAGATGGCGGAGAGCGCGTGGTGTCCGCGGAGTACTCACATGAGGTACGCCATGAGGTAGCCGGCGGCGAGCACGAGCGCGACGGTGGCGAGCACGGAGGCGGCGGAGATGGCGGAGAGCGCGTGGTGTCCGCGGAGTACTCACATGAGGTACGCCATGAGGTAGCCGGCGGCGAGCACGAGCGCGACGGTGGCGAGCACGGAGGCGGCGGAGATGGCGGAGAGCGCGTGGTGTCCGCGGAGTACTCACATGAGGTACGCCATGAGGTAGCCGGCGGCGAGCACGAGCGCGACGGTGGCGAGCACGGAGGCGGCGGAGATGGCGGAGAGCGCGTGGTGTCCGCGGAGTACTCACATGAGGTACGCCATGAGGTAGCCGGCGGCGAGCACGAGCGCGACGGTGGCGAGCACGGAGGCGGCGGAGATGGCGGAGAGCGCGTGGTGTCCGCGGAGTACTCACATGAGGTACGCCATGAGGTAGCCGGCGGCGAGCACGAGCGCGACGGTGGCGAGCACGGAGGCGGCGGAGATGGCGGAGAGCGCGTGGTGTCCGCGGAGTACTCACATGAGGTACGCCATGAGGTAGCCGGCGGCGAGCACGAGCGCGACGGTGGCGAGCACGGAGGCGGCGGAGATGGCGGAGAGCGCGTGGTGTCCGCGGAGTACTCACATGAGGTACGCCATGAGGTAGCCGGCGGCGAGCACGAGCGCGACGGTGGCGAGCACGGAGGCGGCGGAGATGGCGGAGAGCGCGTGGTGTCCGCGGAGTACTCACATGAGGTACGCCATGAGGTAGCCGGCGGCGAGCACGAGCGCGACGGTGGCGAGCACGGAGGCGGCGGAGATGGCGGAGAGCGCGTGGTGTCCGCGGAGTACTCACATGAGGTACGCCATGAGGTAGCCGGCGGCGAGCACGAGCGCGACGGTGGCGAGCACGGAGGCGGCGGAGATGGCGGAGAGCGCGTGGTGTCCGCGGAGTACTCACATGAGGTACGCCATGAGGTAGCCGGCGGCGAGCACGAGCGCGACGGTGGCGAGCACGGAGGCGGCGGAGATGGCGGAGAGCGCGTGGTGTCCGCGGAGTACTCACATGAGGTACGCCATGAGGTAGCCGGCGGCGAGCACGAGCGCGACGGTGGCGAGCACGGAGGCGGCGGAGATGGCGGAGAGCGCGTGGTGTCCGCGGAGTACTCACATGAGGTACGCCATGAGGTAGCCGGCGGCGAGCACGAGCGCGACGGTGGCGAGCACGGAGGCGGCGGAGATGGCGGAGAGCGCGTGGTGTCCGCGGAGTACTCACATGAGGTACGCCATGAGGTAGCCGGCGGCGAGCACGAGCGCGACGGTGGCGAGCACGGAGGCGGCGGAGATGGCGGAGAGCGCGTGGTGTCCGCGGAGTACTCACATGAGGTACGCCATGAGGTAGCCGGCGGCGAGCACGAGCGCGACGGTGGCGAGCACGGAGGCGGCGGAGATGGCGGAGAGCGCGTGGTGTCCGCGGAGTACTCACATGAGGTACGCCATGAGGTAGCCGGCGGCGAGCACGAGCGCGACGGTGGCGAGCACGGAGGCGGCGGAGATGGCGGAGAGCGCGTGGTGTCCGCGGAGTACTCACATGAGGTACGCCATGAGGTAGCCGGCGGCGAGCACGAGCGCGACGGTGGCGAGCACGGAGGCGGCGGAGATGGCGGAGAGCGCGTGGTGTCCGCGGAGTACTCACATGAGGTACGCCATGAGGTAGCCGGCGGCGAGCACGAGCGCGACGGTGGCGAGCACGGAGGCGGCGGAGATGGCGGAGAGCGCGTGGTGTCCGCGGAGTACTCACATGAGGTACGCCATGAGGTAGCCGGCGGCGAGCACGAGCGCGACGGTGGCGAGCACGGAGGCGGCGGAGATGGCGGAGAGCGCGTGGTGTCCGCGGAGTACTCACATGAGGTACGCCATGAGGTAGCCGGCGGCGAGCACGAGCGCGACGGTGGCGAGCACGGAGGCGGCGGAGATGGCGGAGAGCGCGTGGTGTCCGCGGAGTACTCACATGAGGTACGCCATGAGGTAGCCGGCGGCGAGCACGAGCGCGACGGTGGCGAGCACGGAGGCGGCGGAGATGGCGGAGAGCGCGTGGTGTCCGCGGAGGGCTGCGAGCGCGCGCTCGGCCCACTCGGCCGCGCGGCCCAGCGCCGCCCACACCGGCCCGCGCACGCTCTCGTCCACCAGCTCCTGTATGGTTACCACACTTTCCAAGATTATACATCAGTCGAGCTACTCCTGACACTATTTGCAATCAAACGACATTGATATATGCTATTTTGCACGTATGGACGCATTGATACATGTGTTTAGAGCATGCTCTTATCCATCAGTTTCTGTCGCGGTACTACACTTCCTAGCTTAAACATCAGCCGAGCTGCCTGCCCGACTCTATTTGCAGTAGACATTGATACACAATTTTATCAATGTATTCAGTTTGGTCCTAATGAAAAATCAAATTCTACATTTCTAAAATGATCGCTTTTTTTTTACTACATACAATCAAACAAAGATCTAAATTTCAACATGAATATTTTATAGGACAAGCAAAATAAATCATAAAATAACGATGTTCTATTCGCAAATTCTGTACACATAAATTTCGAAAAAATCAAATTCCTAAAAATGGTCGCTGTTGCATTTTATATGTCATAAAGTATAAAATAAACTGACCTGCACGTAAGTCTCGTAGGCGAGCACCTCTGTGGACCTGAGCAGCCGCCGGACGAGCCGGTCGAGGGCCTCCTTGGTGTGGTTGAGCCGCTGCTGGTAGTCGAGGCGGCCGCCGGTCGGCCAGGTCTCGTTCAGCCACTCGTACTGTATGCGGGTCGCCTCGCGCCGCCAGATTATCACGATGCGATGTTCCATCTCGGACACGTCGCTGCCTGCAAATTAAATTATTTATTCACTACTTTTAATTAACCACATATCCTTTGCTTTTTGTTGGCTTGTACAGCTATAAAATGATATCTATTTGCGATTGGAAGTAGCCTAATCTGATATATAAAATTCTCGTGTCACTATGTATATTCAGTAGGTCTGAGAATAGGTTTACAATTAATTTTTATACCCCTAAATGTTAAGAGTGGCTCACCCTTTACGGCTTCACCGGATGATAGGGGGCGAGTGCAGACGGCACTCCGCAGAAGGAGCGACTGAAGATCAACTCCTGCCTGACGGATACGACTTTTGTCTGAAGCACCGATAGAAGCTCGAACCTCGGCTCAAGCCGTCGTAATTTCGATCCCCATAAACGGGGGATTGATATCGTATGTTATAGAACAACAGTATTACTTTTTTCTTTTTCACACATCTCGAACATTCTGTGGCGTCACCAATTTAGTATATAGTTTACAAAACCGTAACAAATGGTTGACGGTAAGCCCATTTACGCTAATGTAATATTTTTTTAATCTGTCGTGTGAAATATGTAGACGCACACAAACACACACAAGTGAGTACTCATAGTGAGTGTATTCATAATCATATACTGTAATTATCACCGTAGATTTTATTTTTTATAAAGATTACTTATTCATTTTTCTCTAAATCTATATGATTTTGTCTGAGGCTGGGCGCAAGTAGATACAATACAGAAAATTTTAAACTAATGCAGTTGTTTATGACCTACAAATGTTACTGTTATTGTTATGCGTTACAATAAATCCTTTAATTTATACAAACCGGATCCATTAGCGAGCGCGCGCACGAAGCCGGGCTGCTTATGAGCGTACACGTAGGCGTAGTGCAGCCGCTCGGGCGCAGCTCGAGCCAGCCGCCGTAGCTCAGCACGGGAGGCACCGGCACCGTCCGCACCGGCACCAGTGGTACACACCAGCACGCAGCACAGACGACGCCGAGGCGCCCGCCATTCAACAGGGCACACCGCGTCCAGCATGCTCTGTGTACAATAATACAGCCTTGCCAATAAACAGTATCTATATAACGAAAGATGTTGTGCTTAGGGACCATAGGTATTTTTTATACTTATTTAGTATACATTATTTATATTATTAACCGGGTCTTAACTAGAATAGAATACTTAGATTTTTCAAACAATCATACTCATGAATACAAACGTTTGCACCGTGCGAGGAATCGAACCCGCGACCATCGGAAGTAAAGTGGTGTGCTGCTAGATTAGCACTCCGCTTTACTACTATAGACCTACTATACTATATACTATAGACACCATGTGACACCGTTGTCCCACCCACACGAGCACGAGCGCGACAAGGAGGGAATGGAGTGTTCACATTTTAGTTCTATCAATAACTAATTCCTTATATATTTATTAAACACTATATGTTATGTATGTTTCAAAAAATAATTTTGACAACTTTCTATGTTATAAGAAATATTTATCAATGAATATTTCAGATTTTAATTCAGGGAGGGGAGTATGTATCATTAATATTAAGTAAATAGTACTATACATATGTAAAACATCTTTAACAAACCTGCGAGGAGAGTCTAGGCAACGTCAACATCTGGTTTGCCTCGATCAGCTGATGCAGAGTCTGTGTGGGAATTTCTGTGGTGCTGACTGTGGCTGCAGGTTCCTCACTGTCTTCCTTCAGCAGTACCATTGTGTCCACCTGCCGCTGCACCTTATACCGCGCGGTGACGTTCTGTGTATCACGTGCTGTCATATCAACGAAACTGAAAACAAGGAATTTTTATCTGAATTAATAATTTAACTTATCTATGGAACTTAAAGCAAGGAAATTTTATGTATACTAATATTATAAAGTGGTCTAACAGACCACCAGCCAAAAGGCTATGGTAACCATTTACCACCAGATGGACCTTATGCTTGATTGTCACCATTGTAGAAAAAAAGAGGTAAAATTTATGAGCTTAAATATTCTAGGTAATCTCCAGTACTATTACTCCGTTTCTGAAAATAGTTTTCGTCTTGGATAGCACATTTATCGAGAATAGATATAAGCTATATTCGCACTACTACTAACAGGAGCAGAGCAGACGAAGTAACGCGGGTCAGCTAAATTTTGACATACAAAAATATATGACTATATTTTTCAAATCAGTCCAATTATGGAAGCCTATAGAATGCAAACATAAACAATCAAAATTTCCTCTTTATAATATTAGTATAGCTTTATAAAAAAATGTAATGAAATAAAAGAATGTAATTGGTGGTTTGTATTCACACACGTAAAAGGGCTACACGCAAGTTTCTTGCTCGTTCTTCTTGTGATGAGACAGCTTTCCGAACGAGCGGTAGATTAAAAAAAAATGTAATGACTATTCAAAAGTGCTTCAATGTAAGTTTATTTGAATAAATGATTTTCTATTCTAATGTATAGGCCATACCTGACTTGTCTGGTGACTATAATATATTATTTAGTTTGGGACTATAAATCATCAGAATTTTCTTACCCAAAAGCAACTCTATCTCTATAGTGGAATGCCGTGATAAGGTACCGCAGTCGTATAGTCTGCCGATCCTCGAATATCAGCGCCTTCACCTTGTTGTCCTCAAAATCAGTGACAAATGACTCCACATTACCATTGTTTATATTCTGTACCAGTTTGTATGGGAACTTCCATCGCACGAATTCTGTAACAATGAATATTAATTATTATAACATTACTATTATACTATAATTACACTTAGATTGTGGAATTAACTACCTGCCGAGGTTTTCTCACGAGACATGGGGATGGGTGGGATGGTATAGCATGGGATTTTCCTAGGGTATATTAAGGTTTCTTAAGAGTCGGCAACGCGCACGGGCGCACACCCCTGATGTTTCAGGCCCATCTGATGGTAACCGTTTACCATCAGATGGGCCGTATGCTTGTGTGCCACCTACGTGGTATAAAAAAAAACGTAGCAATTACGTTATTATTTATTTATTATATTCGTTGCTTGCATAAACTTGTGACCGGTTTTTGAGTTTAGTAAAAATATCTTGTTTGGTTTTCAATACTAGCTGTACCCGCGACTTTGTCCGCGTGGAATTTCAAGTCCCGTCAAAATCGGTCCAAATATTTCAGAGATTAGCCGGAACAAACAGTCAGACAAAAATTGTAAAAAATGGTTATTTCAATATTACAAACAGACACTCCAATTTGATTTACATGTATAGATGTATAGATTCATACGCAATTAACAAAAATATGTAAATAATTAATTAAAAAATACACATATATAATAGTTACTTCGCTTTTACAACATTAGTAAGTATTAAAATACATATAGATCTGACCTAGTATCTTGGGCAGCGAGGTGAGCGCGTCCCTGTAGAGGTAGACGTGTCGGTCGAGCACGAGCGCGAGGCACGGCACGGCCGGCAGCCGCAGGCGGCGCGCCAGCCCCGCCTCGTGCGCGGCGTGCACGGTGGCCAGCGTCGCCCCCAGCGGACGCAGCGCCGCCACCAGCCGCCGCCACGCCGCCGCGCCGCGCACGCACTCCAGGCACCAGTCCGTGTAGAACAGCACCAGCGCCGGCGTGCGCACGCTCTTCTCCATTATGTTGTTCTCGAAGTGGCTGCGACGTTACAAGCACGTCATCATTTTTTATTACTTACCCCCAAGGGTTCTCAAATATGTCTTAGTTTGTCTCTACCCCCACCGTGCCCTGCTCACGCACTCTATGTACCGATTTGTGTAGAACAACACCGGCACCGGCGTGCGCACGGCCTGGAGAAAATCCATTATGTTGTTCTCGAAATGGCTGCGACGAATCACCCGATTAGGAACTTTCTATCTCTCAAACACATAATATTTTTTTACCATTACCCCCAAAATGGTGCAGGGCTCTCAAACATGTCTTAATTCATCACTACCCCCACCGCGTGCACGTGCACTCTAGACACTCCGTATAGAACAACACCAGTGCTGGCGAGCGTGCTCCATTATGTTGTTCTCGAAGTGGCTGCGACTATGACACACGATTATGACCTTTCTACCTCTCAAACATGTCATCATTTAATACTACCCCACCGTGCCCCGCACGTGCACGCATGGAGAAGATCCATTATTTTATTCTCGAAGTAGCTGTGATGGTACACTTTACATAGTATAAAATATAGTCGCCGCCACTGTCTGATAGCTTATATCTTTTAAATTACGCAACGGAGTTTAATGCAGTTTCCAGTAATAAATAGAGTGATTCAAGAGGAAGGTTAATGAAATTGGACAAAAACATTTGTATTCATAAGTATTATTGTTACAAAAAAAATACTTTAGTATTTATGTCAGTTGTCTAGTATCCATAACACAAGCTCTGCTCAGCTTGGGACTATATGATGCTGTGTGAATTTTTCTGGTTTATTATTATTACTACTTGTAGCAACAAAATTTATATTTTTGATCACAATTAATATGGCGATTTAGTAATTTACACAAAGTTGCAGTTACCACTAGTTAGCTATAAATTTTTAATCTGAATTCAATTACATCAACTTACTTTGAGAGGTCCCTTCACCCTTCACCCAATCTAATTCAAACCGGATCGAAATTACGACGACTTGTACCGAGATACGAGCCCCTAGCAGTGCCATCAGTCTAGGGTCTTATCTGTCAGTTGAAAGTTAACCTTCAGCCGTTCCATAAGTCCTTCCGCGCGTTTGGAATGTAATCTGCACTCGCTCCCTATTGTCGTGTAGTGCTTTAAAGGCCAGCTATGGCTAACAGTATTAGAGTAGTCCCAAAAAAAACCTATTCAGTACTTACCGAGCGGTAACAGACAGCTTATGAAATAATGTGATGTCTTGGTCTTGAGTTCGAAAATGTGTGCCGAAGAATTCTTCAAATGGGTCATTGCTGAAACGTGAAACAAATATTTGAGAACTACAGCCAACAAATACAGTGATTGCAGGTTTATTAAAACATTTATTTAGAATACTGACTAATATTGAGAAGAATGTTGGATATTTTGATTCACATATTTAAATATGAATCATCCTTTTAAATTACTTTTTAAATACAGTTCTAAACTTAAATATATACAAAGTGAGCAAAGGTGGACTTATCTCTAAGAGAGATCTCTACCAGTCAACCCAACAATGTGGCATAGCTAGTATTGAGTAGGTAACACCTGTGCAATTAAAACTATTATGTTAAAATCTCCAAAAGATGAAAAAATAAAATATTTAAAATTCAACATATTAAATAAAGTTCGAATTATATTATAATTATAATAAAATATACAATAATAAATAAAATAAACATTAATAAAAGTTATATATATATATATATATATAAATATATATATACATACATATACAATTACTATAGATATCTACATATATTACACAAAATACAAATAATAAAATACATGATGAAACTAATCATACTAAGGTCGATAAATAGTACGATTTCAACCTTTTCTTAAAACAACCGATTGATGGACTTTCCTGTATCTGTACTGGTAGTTTGTTCCATAACCGAGCAGCGCGAAATGAAAAGGAATTTCCTAAGAATTGTGACTTGCCAAGTGGAAGTTTTAACATTTTGGAGTGGTTTTGGCAAAGACGTCTCGGTCTAGTAGGAGGGGGCAACAATTGAAAGCGGGATTTAAGGTAAGCAGGAGCATTGGGATTATTAAGGATGTTATAGAGCATGGTCAGGATGTGCATATTATGTCGAAGGCGGATTGGGAGCCACTTTAAACGAGCGCGAAATTCAGAGACGTGATCGTATTTACGTAAACTGAAAATAAATCTGATGGCTAAATTTTGTAAGCGCTCGAGTTTATTGAGGAGCTCCTCAGTCACGTCTAAGAAACAAACGTCAGCATAATCAAGAATGGGAAGTAAAATGGATTGTGCGAGCATAATTTTGGTACTGAAAGGAAGAAAATATTGAAGTCGTTTGAGAGAGTGATATGAATAATGCATCCGTTTACTGATTTCATTAACATGAGGTGTCCAAGACATTGTGCCATCTAAGATAAGCCCTAAGTTTTTAACTTTGTCAGTATACACTAACTGAACACCCTCATATACAAGTGCGGGTATAGTAGACCAATCCAACCGGCTCCTCAGTCTACTGCTACCAACAATCATAACTTGGGATTTGGCAGGATTTACAACAAGACCGAAAGACCTAGCCCATGCTTGTATTGCCGAGAGATCACAGTTCAAATCTGCAACTGTTTGTGCCACCTCCGACAATGTAAAGTGACGGTATAATTGCAAGTCATCTGCATACAGATGGAATGGAGAAGTAATGATACGAGATATATTGTTAATAAACACTGAAAATAGTAATGGAGAGAGAACACCGCCTTGAGGTACACCAGCAGTTAAAGTAATCCAGTCTGAGGAACCCTCGCTAGTTTTTACACACTGCTGGCGACCGAAAAGAAAAGAAGAGAACCATTCTATAACAGAAGCAGAAATGTTAATAGCACGGAGAGCACCAAGAAGGATGTCAAAATCTACAGAATTGAATGCGCTGCTGAAATCTAGCAGAATTATAGCAGTCAACTTGGTGTCCTCCATAGCCTGCCTTATATCCTCAGTAATATTAAGAAGTGCCCCAGTAGTGCTATGGGAGGGACGAAAGCCAGACTGGAAGGGACATAACAGGTTATTAGAAGAGAGAAACATGTAAAGTTGACTATGAACAACGGATTCGAGAACTTTGGAGAGCAAGGGAAGTATGGAAATGGGTCGAAATTGGGAGAAACAAGTAGGGTTTGACGTTTTAGGGAGAGGTATAACATAAGCCCTCCTCCACTGTGATGGAAAGACATTTTGCTGCAGAGAAAAATTAACAATGTGAGTGAGTACACGCAAAATATCTTCCAACACAGTAAGAATCATCTTAAGGCTAATGTCGTCGCTACCGATAGCTTTAGTGGATAGGGAAAGGATACACTTTCTAACAGCATCTTCTGATACCGTACTGAAAGTAAAGGAAGGACAATTCTGTGGGAGAAGGTTAGAAAGAATGGAAAGGGAATTGGCTTTAGTGGAATTGCTAAGAGTAACAGGAGTAGAGGAAAAATGTATGTTTAGCGCATTGAGATCGAGACCACTCAGCGAAGAGTCGGAGGCCTTGCCCACTCCTAGCGACTGGAGAAACTTCCAAATTTGAGGCTGTCTAAGGTTTTGTATAGTATTATGGATATATCGGCGTTTAGCATCCCTACACATTCTGTTGCAGACGTTGCGTAGCTTTTTATACAATTCAAAGTTAACCTGTGATCTCTCGTGCTTGTACTGACTTTTAGCTCTGTCACGTTTGGCCATGGTTCTCCGAATAATAGGAGTAAGCCAAGGAGCAGGAGCGTGTTTAACGCGGACTGGACGCACTGGTGCATGGATGTCAAAAATTTTAATGATCTCTTTGTTAAATGTTTCAACCATGCAATCGATATTATCAGCTAGCAGTAAGGGAGACCAGTCAATATTCCTCATATCCTCTCTCAAACGATCTAGATCTATATGCCGAAAATCGCGAAGTAATAAAACCTTACCCTTATTCTTCGGAGGGCGCATGTTAAATGATAGATAAATTAAATCGTGTTGAGAAAAGGGAGAACACATTTGACCATGAGATATAACTTTGTCGGGTTGTGAAACAAGAATTAAGTCAATAAGGGAAGGTCTACAGTTATGGAAGTAATGTGTGGGTTTAAGCATAGGCAATACCTGGAGATTAAGGCCAGAAGCCAGACCCATGAGGTTATCAGTCCTATAGTCATTTTTTAAGATACATGTATTTAAGTCACCCATTAGAATGACATGATCAAAACGTGGAATTAAGTCTTCCAGAGTATTCTCTAATGCACAAAAATAGTCAATTTTGTCATTAGGACTATACAAAACACCCAGTAAGAGTTTTTTATGATGTAATGTTATAGAAAGAAATAAATATTCAATGGAGGCAGTGAGCTGAGAGTGTGATGCACTCACCGATTCCGCCGAAATTTGGCTACGTAGATAAATCGCTACACCGCCACCCCTATAAGTGGTACGGTCATTTCGATAAAGTTTATACCCAGGAATAGAGCAACAGGTGGAAGGAAGGGATGGTTTAAGCCAAGTTTCAGAGACAAGAATACAGTCGACTATGCCGGCGCTGAAAGACGTGAGAAGATCAGTATGATGAGCTAATAAACTCTGAGCATTAATATGCACTAGGGAAAGATGTTTGGAACGATAAGCAAAGGTTGTTCGTAGTTTGTCATCAAGAGGAGCACAATCAGATAAAGAAGAATTATGGCTCGAGGCAGTGTCGAAATCGTCTGAGGATGAGCAAGAAAAGTAATCATCATGTATGGACATAATAATATAAAGACACGTAAAATAAATACAAATAATAAACAAATAATATGTAAATAAATATTAAAATTAATAAAATACCAATAATATAACCAATTAAAAAAAAAACACTAACAAAAAAAAATATATAGCTGAATGCATTAACTGCTTAGGTTGACTTGACGAGATTCATTATGGAACACTTACTTACAAATTAAACACTAGCAATATATTCACAATAACAATAGTAAATCGTATAATAAATTAAAAAAAAAAAATAAAAACTAAAGGTACCTAAAAAAGAAAATACAAAAATAAAGACTACTTCATTATAATGTCAAAGTTAAGTAACACGAGCCATAAAAAAAAAAAAAAAAACAAAATTGGTTGAGACTTGACAATGACGGAACCGAACGCAATATTGACACATTGACACAAACTGATTGAAATTTGACAACAACGCACAGATTACGTTTATTGTTTATGTCGTGACGTTTAGTAACACTTAAAATTTAATAAATTATATACCCTAAATTATACTATTATAATATACCTTATTTATATATTAAGTCTGTAATCTAAAGAAAGCAAGATCTTTGTGTACCCCAAATAAGACTAATTATAAAACTTGACAATAAACCAACCAAATCAAAGAGTATCACATAAAATATATCGCACCAATAAATATGCCGGATATTCAGATATTTTTAGGATGCTGTGAGATAACAACTTTCAATTCTGCCATGGAAGTTATCTTCTTGCGGTCTTTAGTAGGAAGAAGAATGACAATATAACCGTCAGCAGACCAACATTTCTTCAAGCCGAAGTGATTACGTGCCGCAACAAAAACACATTGCCTAGATTTTGTAAGGAACTCAGATATGGATATTTTTGAGCCCTTTAATATGGTTTTGGCATTCCATATGGTCGATCGACATTGCATTGTGGTGAACCTCACAAGAATAGGTCGAGCAGATTCCTTTTTAGCCCCCAATCGGTGACAGGATTCTATGGCTTCCGGCTCAATACTGTTCAACTTCATTTTGACGCGTAATATCTCCAAAAGTTTTTTAGAAGTTTCCTCTCCAGAAGTCTCTTGAACCCCATGGAAAAGTAATACCTTTCTGCGTGTGTGGGTATCAAAACGGTCCTGTGCAAGTTGTAGAATCTCCACCTGTGACTTGATTAAGCCGAAACACTTCCAGACTAATGCCTTGAATGAAGCATAGTCGGCAGATAGGCCTTTTACTGTGGTACCTGAAGATACGGGAGCTGGTTGCTGCATGCCCTTTTCGAACTCCTCCATTCGGCTGCTAAACATTGACGACAGATCCTCCATATTTTTCAAAAGTTGCTCAGCAGTGGTATCCATTGCAGTAAGTGGTGAAAATTTAGTGAGAGAGTGTGTAAAAATAGTCAACCAAATGCAGATCAGATAAAATTTAATACATAAGATTATATGTATATTTATAAACAATTAAAAACTAGAGCACAACAATATAGGACTTTCTTTATCCGTGTCTACCCACCGAAATACCTAAAATTTACTTGTAATATAAACAGATAGAAATTTGAAATAATTGCAGCAAACAATTGTTATGCTTCACAAGTTTATATATTTGTACATGTTGTAATACTTCCATAACCTGTGACATAGACTTATAATGGTATCAATGGTAACACTGTCTATTTATGTCACAAACAACATAAAAATATCACCCTTTTGTATTTAACATTCACATTAACAAGGATATATAGATAATATGTCTTTATTTTGAGATTTATCATCAATGAGTGTGTTCTAAAAGTTTGTTATTTATAATACTGTTGATCTTAATGAGCATCTGTCATTGCACTTAGTATATAATTTAGTACAAAAAGTGTAGAATCATTTGGTAAGTACCATATTGGTACCTGGTAGGATTAATGGATTGCCTCAGTACCTAAATAAGGACCTACAAGCAAGAAAAAATATTGAATGATTTTTTAACTAATTATTGCTGCTATGAAGTAAAAATCTCTTATTATAATCAAAGCTTGTAACATCATAGTAGTAAGACACTATACCCTATAGTAAAAGAATACTCATAATAGTAACATTATTGTTTTTTATGACATTAAAACTGTTTTTTGTTGTCTAGGGTAGGTAAATTAATGTTGATTTGTAGATAACATATTTATATAGATACATTACATCCATAAACATTCTTAAAAATGTTAATTATATACTTTAATAATGCAGAAATTATAGTAGCCCTGCAATGAACAACCCAATGCAATTCTTTTCCACCACAGCAGATCAATATGATAAATAAAAAGTTGATTGGATATAATTAAATTATGCAAAGTGGTGGCAATTAAAAAAATACAAAACACAAGATTATTATCAAACTTTCAACTCACCATTCTTTAGCTAGCTGCTTGTAAGCTTTCCGTATCTCAGGCAGGGAGGCTTTGCTGTGTATACCTAAAATTTTGTATGGGTCACCTATTTTCTGGGCAATGAGCACCGGGCAGAGCATCACTGCTAGCATTACCCATAGCCATCGGCCTTTCCAACCCTTGTAATTCCATTGCATATTAGTAAACTGTCTATAAACCTCCTAGCTAGCGAATAACCGCACTATTCATAGAACTATCATTACGGAGTCTTGGACTTGCCAACAAAACAATGAGTAATTAATACAAAATACTCAAAAACCTTTAACAGTAATTGGTCTTAAAATAGAACTTGAATATAATTGGTCCAAGAACTCAGAATCAGAATAGAGTCGAGAAAAATCATAAGAAAACTAGGGAATCCACAATCTCGAGAATGTCAATTTTTTTCCTTTTTTATTAATATGTTAAAGGCTCTGGATTCCATCTCTTTTTCGGAGCAATGTTGCCAACCTGAAAATAGGTGTACATGTCAATGCTGTCAGCCAAACTGTCAAATTTCGTGACAGAAACATTCTGTATAAGTAATCTGTGATATTGAGTGACATTGACAGCCAATTAAATAAACCAAGTACAAATTTCTAAGGAATTTTATTTATTTTTCGCAGTGCTTAGACATTGTTACGGAAGTTAAATTAATAAATTTTAAAAAGTTGCGAACCGTATTAATTTTTACTACAATACGTTGAATACTATTATTTGTGAGTATTAATATAATAAGTGCGTATTGCTAATATTTATTTACTGCAAGTTTTCGCCCGTGACATGACATCAAAGTGTACTCGAGTAGGGTGACGATTACTTACGTGGTATTGATGTGGATAATTTTTTTAACTTTAAATAAATTGACAATATATTTTTTACATACTTTTTACTATTATTATACTATTAGTCTCTATAATCAACATCATCATCATCATCACTATTAGTCTATTAGATTTAGAGCTGTGTCTTATTACAAAAAATCTGTTAAAACTCGGACGAAACGTGGTCTAAATGGTCGTGGTTTAAACCATTCCTAATGTTAATACTTGGAATAAACCTAACATTATTACGAATCCAGATCTGAGGACTACTTAGTACTACAGTTAAATCGTTCATTATGTATTCCATACAGAAATCAGTCACTCATGTCTGTCAACGTACAATTACGTTCCATTTTACCATAAAACTGAAAAGATCAAAAATAATATTAGTTCAAAGAAAAATGTATAAACTAAAAATAAATTTTCTATTTATCTAGTCTTCATTATAACTATTTCATTAATATATAATATTTATTAATGTACTATTAGTAAATAAATTACAAGTAGGAGTCTATACGGAACTATTTTTATTGGATCGTTCGAATGGTGACTATTTTCAAATGAGTGAAAAAATAACAAATAACGTCTTTTATATATTTTTACCGTAAAATTTGCAGTTAAATATTTTTAGTTAATATATTTTTAATTTAGTTAAAATATTTTTCCAAAAACTACAACTTACAATAGAATTTTTAAAATGGAGTTTGTATTTTTGCATTTAGACCACTGTTAAACTAGGGGCATCGCAGGTCTAACTTTAGACCATAGACGAATCACGATTTAGAGATAAACTTCATTTTGTAATAAGGAATACATTAGTGAATGGTTTATTACTAGTGCTAAACCAGGTTTATCTTTTTGTAATAAGGCAGTGTTTATAATAAAGATAAATAATTGCGATTTGATTACTATAGAAACTAGTTTAAAAAATACTTTATTAAATACTAGATAAATATTACGGTATAACGAACAGATTTCTAAGAAGAAACTTCTATTTTTTTATTTTACTAAATACATGATATATATCAACTGGTTAAATATTATTTAAATTACTTGTATATTTTTGTACTAATAAGTAAAAAGAGAAATGGCGAGAAACTGTTCCGTACGTATTTAATTACAATATAGGATCGCTTTACATAATTAACCATTGACGAGTACGCCAACAATTTCTTGTTCATATGTTTACTACGGATATTAACCCTGGGGTGAAATTAATACTGTCGTCAAATCATGACTCGAAGTTTATTATGTGGTTTTGAGTGTGTAAGAATCCCCCACACTTGATCTGTCTTCGTCCAGCTGGTGGACAGTTTTCGTACATCCCACATGTAAAAAAGATGCAAATATTAGTAACAATATAAGAATATATTACCTAATGGTAAATAATATAACTAACTAACTATTTATTTTCTACTATTTTGTACGCTATGTTACCTATACAGTTAAACATAATCTGTCAACTTTTCAATAAACATTTCATGCCTGTTCAGGTAATGTAGTGTTTAAGTACATATTGCCCCAAATTGAAAGTCAAAATCGTCTATTTATATAGTGCATTTTCCCTTCATTCGACAGTTGGATGAAAATAATTTTTGAGCCATTGTTCCGACATTGGTATCGTAACCATGTTCCAAAAGCCGTGCGAAAAACGCATGAGAAGGTCAAACACGTTAAGTTTTATTCTGCCAAAAGAAACCCAAAGGCAGTCCCTTTTAGTTTCCTACTTTACGGACTCATACTGTAATTATTTACTCTACTATAATAACATGCGAAACATTAAATACAATAGATATTCCTTACGTAATACTTTACGATATCTGATATTATAAATCACGATTAGTCACTATGTATTATCTACCATATTATCGTACTTAAAAATACTTGTCATTATACGTTGGAGAACTGTATGAATCGTTTCTATTTTATCGCAATTATTAAATGGTTGTTATGTCAGTTAATTAGATAATATGTAGTTTTTAATGCCTTTACAGTTTCAAAGATTAGTTAATTGTATTAACACGTATTTTCACTTACAGACTGTTTATCTATTAGATATTATTCGCTGCATCATGCTATTCTTGAGTTATATCAGTGTATCGCGTCGTCTGTTTATCTAATATGAAAAATAAACGACGTACTTAGGATGACAGTCTAATGTATTATACCTATACACTTTCGATTTTAAGAATACGACACATAAATTTTCATATAGTATAATTTGACACCTGAATGGTCAAGGTAATTTATTGGTTCGAAATCCTTAGTACACATATATTAATTTTGCCGAAACGGTTTATAGAAGTGTTTAAAGCTAGACATATAAGTGAAGTTTGGTGCTAAACTCTCTGCGTACACCTTAAAGGATGTACGTGAAGATATGACAGGAATTGTACTCGTAACACTACGAAATTACTATTCATTGACCAGAACAGCGGCTGACGTTAGTGTTTAGAACGTGACGCGCATGTTCAATTTAAAACCTATTTGCTTTAATAAAGCGACGATTGTTTTACTCGTATCTTTCTGATTATAGACCACATACGTCAACACGTGTTTTATATTCCGTAAATAAATAATTATAGGAAAGGAAATTATACTAATTTAACATAAGTACTCGATACCCATACGATATTTGGGGGAGGCCTGTGTCCAGCAGTGGACGTCTTCCGGGCTGAGATGACTCGATGTGCAATCCTTACGGAGAAATTGCAATTGCAAATCACATCAAATTTTTATTAAATCAGTGGTATCATTTAAATGAAACAACACACTTAGTATTTCTTGTTGTGATCTCCTTAGTTTGGTTTGTTAGTTATGTGAGGTTACGTGCAAGCTGTTAGGTCGACCTCTCTTGTTATGGTTTCATCTTTGATGATAAAGATAACAAACAAGAAATACTCATCGTACATTGGTCGTCAGGATATACGAATAGCGCTCGCGGGGTCTGAATACCGTCGTCATCTACAAGAAATACTTGGAACTTATTAAAAACAGTTTGAACTCCAATTAAATTGTTAATATCATTCATGTGCAGTATATACCTTGTATTATTATCATCCTTGTTGCCTCATTGGCATTCAAAGATAAAGAACATAGGCATGTTTGTGTAGTTATCAGTTCCTTTTGGTTTTTACATAAATGTTATTTTTGACATCCTCTTCAACTCATTTTCCTCATTGCTGAGCGTTTTAACAGATCCGCGGAATCACTGTCTCTGATTACCTCTATCTGTATCGGTCTTTTGAGGACGGACCATATTGTGAGGGTACGTCCTCTATAAGATTTGCCATCCATCCTGTATAGTATAAAATCTTATCAGTTTTATATTTCCTCTTGTTCCTCAAATCGTCGACTCTTTACATTACTTTTAAATTCTTCAGCTTATCTGATTAACATCATTATTATCTATTATAAATATATCTTTCCTTGAGGTACTTTTACTACATTAAATTCTATTCTAAATCAAATTAATAATGTTCATGTATTTTTGTTTTATATAGCGTAGATAGGACATCTATACACAATGGAGGTACTTGCGGATATACTACAACCATATAAAGAACTAGTGGGGAATATAGCGGCTATAGTAACTATAGGGCAAATGTTCTCCGGCACGTTCATGTGCTGGGATATTTATAAACAAGGCAATACAAGCGGAATACCCAGTACACCTTTCCTGGGTGGATTAGTTATGTAAGTTTTGCAAAGAAATTCTTTTTGTGCGTTTAATTTAATCCAAGAAGAAATGTTCATTTTTTAGAGAAATTACTAGTAACGTGACTCAGATCTTCAAATAATAAAGTACTTCTATTGCTGACACAATAGGGATGGTATACTAGATTCTTTTGAAAATATAGATTTCATAAAATTGAAAATATGGAAAATATATTACGTAACACTATAAAATTCTAGATATAAACTGACGTATTCTGAAAAAATGTACAAACTCTATTATTCATGATGTTCAGCATTATAATTTCAACATATAATAATAAATAAACATAAAAAAATATACGCAAAATCTACTGTTATAATGATATTGTTTTCTTAATGCTACTTAATATAATAAACATATTTTCTTGCAGGGGTATAATCAATTTAAAGTATGGTTATATACTACGTGATGATACTATGATACAAGTGAATTTGTTTGGTTTAGCCCTCAATATTATATATGTATTGGTATATTTCACATATACACAAGAAAAAGTAAAAACATGGGCTCAAATGGGAATAACAGGAGCAATATCTGCGGCATTATTGGGTTACGCTGAAATGGAAGACCCGAAATTAGTTGAACACAGATTGGGAATCATCATCACCGCTTTTATGTTCCTTTTAATCGCTTCACCTTTGTTCGGTCTGGTAAGTAGGTATTAGCAGATAATGGCCTAAATATTGTTTCAAAACTAGACGATTAACTTAAAGTAAATTTTGCGCAAATATTACAGAATGATGTTCATATTTTGAAGTGTTTCTGACAATGTTTATAGTCACGCTTAATAGGCAGAACTAATTTAATTAAAATATCCTTCTTTTACTTCTATCTATACATATTTATTATAATTAGAGAAGAAATCTGCTGCAAGAATATATTATATCGTCCGTAGCACAACTTTGCGCTACCATTCTTGAGACCCATGACGTCGCATAATACTCGTAACATTCGTAAAACATTATGAAATAAAAGTGGCGTGAAGTGTGAACTATTTCATTTCTTTTGTAATGTTTGTTACTAATATTATCTTATATTGTTAATATTTTTTTGAAACTGTAGAATTATTCTACAGAAATTTTCTTAATAATGTAGTCTCTATTTTTATAAAAGAATAAATATCCTATATGTTTATTCCTAAAGCCAAACAAACAAATTTCAGAATGAGATAATCAAGAACAAGAGCACGGAAGGTTTGCCATTCCCGATGATATTGTCTGGATCAGTGGTGACGTTCATGTGGCTGTTGTATGGAATTATATTAAGGAATCAGTTCCTAGTTGTAAGTACATTATAATCTCAGATCTGCATTGATTTCGCTAACACATATACTAGTTAATTATTAACTCTTAATTAGGGAGTATAATGCCTAATTGGCTATCAAATTTCAAATCAAACTACCTATATAAATAATATTCGTTAAAAAAATAGTGAATTGCTAGAAAGATCATTTTTGAAGGTGTGTCAAAGCGAAAGAGTGTGACAAAAAAATCATTGTTTTAGTAGTGGCATGCTTATTTTTTTGTACCTACTTATTACTGTGTACGATTACGTGACTACAGTTGTACTTGATATTTTATTTTATTGTAAAAAACGTATTAACAGTTAATATTTCCCCATATTTTATATTTCTTAGAATATATCATATAATATATTGTGCAGTTCCAATTGATAAAATTCGATAATTTTATCATCTCCAGCGATATGTAGTGTAAGTATATAAAGGTTGATTAGCAATAATCTAATCACTGTAGTACAGACTTCCGCGTATGTATATCTGATCACATTTATAGATCATAACATCTTTTGCATACTATGAGTTAATGATTGCATCCAATTGTAGCAAACGCAAGCACTGAATTATCGAATGAAGGCTGGTAAACTATAATACAGATGTTCATATGCGAGTCAGCGATTGTTCAAAATGAGCCTTTTTATTGTTATACCATTACGATGGCAAACAAGCATACGGCCCATCTGATAGTAATAGGACGGCTGAAACACCAGGACTGTTATTATGCACACGTTACTAAACCTTAAGACACCCTTTTTGAAAGGCCTCATGCTGTAGTCTTTACAGAAAATCTCCGCAGGTAGTTTATTCAACTATTTGGCCATTTCTCAATGCTATACTATCGTAATTTATTGGTATGGTTATATTATATATATATATATGAATTAATTCTATTGAATTTACTTGTAACCTTAATTTTTTTTTACAGATACAAAATGTAGTGGCACTGGTGTTGTGCTCAATTCAATTATCGCTGTTTGTGATATACCCCTCAAAACCAAAGGGCCAAGAGAATGCCAAACGTAAAGCGAAGAAAATTGACTAGAAATTAGTATTAAGTAAAACAAAGCACGCAGCAGATGCCTATACTTAGGAGTAGTTGTAAATTAATAGATCAAAGATGTAATTGATTGTGTTCCTTGCATTGACTCGTAAAGATGAACTGCACATTGACTGTAATCGCTTGAATAATTAATACTGTTCGGTAATATAACGAGTCACAACCTCTACTAGCTTATATACTACACGCTACCGTGGATAGTGGTTTAAAATAGTACATCCATTGGTAGACAGTTCGGTTCTCGAAATACAAACATGTGTACTGATATGTACAAGTTTCTGTAAAGAGTATACTTGGATATTATATATTGGACTTGAATATATTTTAAATATATTTATAAAAGTGTATTGAACTGTTTCTATCAGTTCTTTGAAATCTAATTTTGGGACTTGAAAATACTATGTGATATCCCCAGGGTTATTTAATTGACATGATTGTATTGAATTAATGTATGCTCGACCGGAAGACTGTGGTATATACAACTTAATAGTGATTAATGTATATATATTATATACATAAATATAATAAATTAATTAACTACAAAACATTGGATTATATGGTCACCCTACACATAATAAGATAAAATATCACTCACTGTTTCTTATTTAATAATATTAAAAAAAAATTACAAAGTGCTCGGAAAATTACAGTTACCACCTAAGTGATACTAGTTGTGATATAATATTTAGGTTACATTCAGAATACTTAATCCTTTAAAAATCGAGAGCTAAAGGCCTCGTATGAACACCAAAAATATTTTTCTTCCAATTTTTTTATAATTTTGTTGAACAGGTACTGTCTATTTCTTCCATTTTTTTAGAATTTTGTGATCAACATGTCTGGTAGTTATTGTGTGTAATAATTGTATAAATATTATTTCACCTAAGAAGAAATATAATTTATTGTTAATAGTAGAAAACCATTATCATTTTCCATTATATTGTTTTTAGTAAGAAATCAACCAAGATAAATGTTTTTGTAATTATTAATGCAATCAGTAAATTTATTATGAATTTTGCTTCCGATAAGTTCTGTTACTGTACTTATATTTCTAAAGTTTCATTATTGACAATAAAACTTACAAGTACTAATAATTAATAAAAAAGTAGATTATTTCAAAAGACAAAGCCCAAGTGTAAGTACTTATATTTTTATATAATGTTGAATAATTGCTGAAATATTTACAATATTTTCTGCTTAATAGTTATCTATTGCCAGTTCTATGGTGAATTACGAAACTTGCCAAATGATACGAAAGGCGTAATGTATAATAAAAAGTTATAATTGAAAATAAATATATTTTATAAAATTATTTTGTCATATTATTTTCCGTTATTCATTGTTACCCTATTTTGATTTTTCCTTACGAATTAATAGTGTATAATACATAGACAACACTGGCCTGTTGCCCAATAAAAAAAGAAAAATGATTTTGTTTTTTTTATGGATGAATATAAAATGGTGTTACCGCCTGCTCTGACAAGCCATCAGCAGAGGAGTCTAAGATGAGTTTTCACGTCTGTCTGGAATTTATCACGCTGGTTTCCAGAGGGAACCATGGGAAACATGTGGAGGTTACTTATAATATGAAGGTCTGGCCGTCATTGGCTCTTGCTCTCTAATACAAGTATATACTACATAGTTATAAGACCTTCGTACATACACTACTCACGTGTGAAGCCGAGGTACGTCTCTAGTCGCAACAGAATATATACACACATATAGTGGAAGAAGAGAACTAGTTATAAGATCTATTTGTACTTCTTCAATACCATTTATTTCACTTGTCAATAAATAATTAAAAACGATAGAAAACATTATAGCAATGTCAAATTTCATACTGAAATTTTAATTTATTATTCAAGTAAACGATTATTTTTTATTTTTTTAAAAACCTAATCAAATGGTTCAAATGTTGTAATAAATTGATTACTTGATATTAAACAAATTTATTATTTATTTTACTTTTTAATATGTCAGTGCTCCGGCCTAACATTCTTTGGAAGGTATCGCAAAAATCATTTCAAGTGTGGTCACCTACTGTGGTGAGTATGTATTTTTGTACGGATAACGATGGTATGGTATAGCGCAGGCGCGCTAACGGTATACGCTGGCGGGGCACCAGTGGAGGATGATAAGATAAATCAGTTCAGATCAGTTAACCCATCGTGGCAAATTCAGGAGGAATAACATAATGGTTTCTAGGGGGAACCGAGTAGAGGTCAACCTGACATGGAGGATGATTAATCCACATTACTTGGATGAATATGAGGCCACTGATGCCAGTAAAGGATAAAGTTAAGTCCCATCAAGTGGTCATAATTTTGGCACGCATGGGGGTCGAATAACAATAATAAATTTAAAAAACTTTAGTGATCGCGATACACAGGTAAAAATAAATATAACAGGCTCTTGTAGCATATTCTACCAGTCAATCATGGGTGGTATAGAAATAAGTTGTTGATGGTTTTTTTGTCGGACTACTCAAATGCTGTTAGCCACAGCTGAAACTGTAAAGACTTAGTTTCACCGAACGATAAGGGAGAGTGCAGATAGAAATCCAAGGCCGCGGAAGGGCTTATGGTGCGGCTGAAGGCCAATTTGACTTTAGTTTGAGGGCACCGTTAGCAGTATGAACCTCGACTTAGGGCGTCATAATTTGGGTCCTTATTTCAATTGGACGGATGATCGATCAGAGGCAAGTATAATTAATCACATATTTTTTATACTAAAAATACAAATATGTATACATATAAAGGTATACCTACCATACGTAAATAGGTAGGTACATCAAAAAATAGGATATTAATGTAAACAAAACTCACAAAATTATGAGCTACCGAGCGGAACCACTAGTAAATTTTATTTTGACTGATCTTGACCCCATTCTCCTCTCTAGTATGGATTAAGATTGCAATCAAAATATTCGTCAAACGCAGACTCATTCCTTAACGGAGCCAATGCGAATTTCCTTGAAGCGCAATACTTGGACTGGTCAAAAAGTAAAGGAGCTATAGATTCGGTAAGCTCTCGTAGTTCACATGATTTAAGCTCTCGTACGTCAGATGATTGTTATGATTATTATATGATGACGAGTCACTAGTGGAAGATGATAGGATGGAGAAGAAATCATGTGGATTGGACAAGCCTGGCGTGGAAATGGGGTTACGTGGAGATCTAAGTACCTACATTGCTGAGCAAAGCATAGATACATGAGCGAAGAGACTGTATTATTACTGTCTTGTGTTGTGAGGATGGCCACTTGGGTTTTATAAAATAATAAAGGCGGACGACGACGATTGTATGTACTTTATTCCAGCACCGAAAACAGACAACAACAATCAGAAATAATCTAAGCACAGAGTACAAAATAATAACTTTTTCTAAATATTAAGTATTTGGATACTCTAACAATTACTATGCTAGTCAATATAGTGAAATAACATGGAAAGACGGTGGTTTTGAGATATTTGATATGAACAGAAAGATAAAGGAAGAATGACTGTTACAATACTTTTTTATATTAAATAATAGATATTAACAATACCGATAACTTAGGATTATTATAAAAACTTCAATTTCTTTTTCAGTCCTGGGATGAATTTTATGTAAGTCTCAGTGGACCGGCGTTGAAAATAGAGGAATTTGAAAATGAGTTTAGTCCAACGACTATACGTAAGTATGGAATTGAGTTTATATTGAGACAAGTGCGAGTAGACTAGTAGACTCACGATCAGAGGCTCTTATATGTGGTTATACGCAATATACTCAAAAAATACAGTCGATTTAGTACTTTAAATCATCTTTAACAATCAGCTGGAAAACAATATATACTGTAATAATACAGAACAGTATTGTCTATTCTTGTAGAGTCTAGAGAGAAAACAACATCAGCTGCAAAGGATAAAGAGGCCGAGCGAGAAAAGATCAAGTTACATTTGGCTGTCCAGAACCTAATAAGAAGTTATCAGGTTCTTTGTTTAATCATTACTCCTTGCTTTGTCCTGAACTCAAACGGTTCTAATATGCTTGATAAAATATATTGAATGTTTACTTAAAAATAAATATGTACGAAATATTTATAACACCCACATCTGTTTATAGTTGAGTATAATCAAATACGCCACTGCATCAGTCAGTAAAAATCTCGCTTATAATAGATTCTATACATAGAATCTAATACTATTAGTGTAAAGTGTATATAATACATTATAACATATTGATTACGGCTCATTAAATGTAGCTGGATATGCAAAGTATACCTTTATCCGTATACTGTAACGTTTTTAAACCTCCCGGCTGCTGGTAACTACTGCCATGACCTCGCCCAAACAATACTATTGTATATTCTATACTATTGCTTTCAAAATTAGTTTAATTTTATTACTATGAACATTTGCTAACATAATAGATAAAATAGGTTTCAATAGACCGTTGTTGATAGAATAAATGTATCCACCAATAGTGTCGTGGTCATCTACTTGCGAAGACTGATCCGCTTGGTTTGACCCTGGGTGCAAGATTCCTGTTGAAGAACGACTACCCTCACAACATGACCTTGAAAGGGGTGGAATGTCAGATCGTTGCGAGGGAATTGGGAACGGTATTATGTAAGTTAAAATACCTATACTTTTTCTTTCATTTTATGATCGTTCTAATTTTGACCTTTTCTAAATTTAAAACTTATCATATACCAGTACGTTGAAATGTAGATCTCGCCTGCATCAGCATCTAGTAGTATATACTCCATCTGCGCTGGTTGTTCCACTCCCCTGACCTAAACACATATGCAAATTAAAGAGAGAAATAAAAGCGTATAGAAATAGAAATAGAAATAGAAATAATCTTTATTCAAATAAACTCATTACAAGCACTTTTGACTAGTCATATTTTGATTCTACCACTCATTCGGAATGCAGATTCATCACAAGAAGAATGAGCAAGAAACTTGTGTGTTGCTCTTTTTAATAGACGTTTTTTTTATATAAATAATTACAGTGTAACAAGTAAGAGGCATGCGATAATCAACATAGAAATCGCTACGCACTCATTATTAGTGTAATCAGATAATATTGTCAGTGCTATGTATTTAAAATTTTTCTACAAAAACATTATTATCGTTAACGAATTCTTCAATTTTATAGTAAGCTTTTTTGCAAAGGAAGTGTTTTATTTGACATTTAAATCTTTTTTCTGGCAGATTTATAACAGACTCTAAGAGACTAAGGTCTTATATACACACCTTAACATTGGTAGCAATATCTGAACTGTGGTTATATCAAACAATAGAGTGAGGTGTTGCCTTTCTTGCCTTGATGTTGTTACTCACACGTTTCTGCACCTATATAGTGTATAGTTGACTGACCAGTGCAGTTGTGTTTATACTTTTTATTTCTTTATATTATTGGCACTTCGGGGTCTACCATTTAACGCAAATAAGATTTTATCTTCCTTATTTTGTTCCGCAAATCATCAGTAATGATAATTATATCAAGCACACACAGCAAGGGTGTTCAGCACTATTATGTCTTTAAAAATTAGGGCTTAGTGTAGGTGCTTTTAGGGTCAGCAATGCACATGTGACAGCATTGATTCCTGGATAATAGATAAATATATTACAGAACTTAATTATTTTTAGCGAGCATTTCATGCGCCATTCTATTACAGGTGAAAAACATATGGACATGGTATTTGAACTGCCGGATCGAACATTTCTTGGCGGAAATGAGACTGCCCTCACACTTAGGTGAGTGATTTTCAAATACTCTGCCTTTTTCCTTAATATATCCGCTAGTTGCCAACTTCAAAATTAAGTGGTCCTCGTATTTCTCCTTGATTTTAGGCATGTGTCAATGAGTTGCCAATGCTGAACGGACTTTTTATATAAGGAGAAACTTTAATCACTTGAAAATAAAATGGCATACTTGCGATAACAATCTTATATGCGCTTATAGATCAACAAAACTGAAGACAGTTTTGTTGATACATAAGCACTCTTCGTATTCAGTTTAGAAATTTGCGTTTTGTTTTTTTCTTAGAGAGATAATACACCGCCTTGAAAAAGTGTACTGCAGTTCAATAGGCGTGGAATATATGCACGTGTACAATATAGACAGCCTCCAATTCATTAGAGAGCGCATCGAGAAGCCTGGCGCGTTTGACAAGACAATTGAAGAAAAACGACTCATTATGCGTCGGCTAACCAAAGCTGTGTTGTAAGTTATAGAATAGAATATAATATAATCTACTCGTTTTATACAATAATGACATAAGAAATACAAGCAACAATATACATACATTTTAAAAACAGAGTCGATTTGGACCACAACTCAGCATAATGCTGGAAATATAGTTTCCGGCGCTGATTTTCAGTTGATAACTTAGGAGCAGTCAAAAATGCTCTCATACGATTTTTTCTTTACGTCTCCCCATGTCCGCGTCACATATGATCATGTTTGTATACTAACAAACTGAGTGTAAACAAATTAATAATAACCCCAGGACAATTCTCACAGAGCCGTGTCTAGTCCCCAGTTAAACAGAGGTTTTATAGGTACTAGACATTTCTATAAATATGTATTTAATTTCTAAAATGATATGAATATTTATGAATAATATATTTTTTTTTTTAATACATGCATAATATAAGTAGAAAGACCGATACAAACAATCATACTCATGAATGCAAATGTAAGAATCGAACCTGCGACCATCGGGAATATCGTAATTCATTAAAATATGTTATGGATATTTTTAACAAAACATTCATTTGTATTAAATTTATTTTACAGTTTAGAGAAATACTTCGCAACCAAATGGCCGGCCGAGAAAAGATTCGGTCTGGAAGGCGGCGAGAGTATGATAGTCATGTTGGAGGAAATCGTTGACAGTAGCTCCAGATTAGGTGTGGAGTCTATAGTCATGGCGATGCAGCACAGAGGTACTACATTGTCCAATAGTACTTTAAGAATGGTACAACACGCACCACCACAGTCGGTACAGACTAGTGCCTCTACAAGCGACTCGTTCTGTGAGATATATGGATTTGATTTAAACACTACACAATACAGCTATTAACGCACAAAAGTAGATTCGAGCTTTTCTTATCAAATCCCGAATTTTGTCCACATATTTCGCGAACTATCATGAAGCAATATGAACTAATGTGCACAGCATAATAATCACTAATATAATACATTGTTTTAGACAAGAAATACAATGCCATTCACACAACACATGATTATGGATTTAGTTCTATTTATTTCCAATTGTCACTTTAAATTTAAGGACTTTTGTACAAACTAAAAGTAGGTGCTAATCCCATTGTACCATAATCTGCATCACCTCATCAACGAGCAAATTGCCTTAATCACACTATCTGTTTATACTTAGAATGCAGTAATAGTAGAAAACATATTCACGCATTTGCTACAGGTCGTCTGAATATGTTAGTGAACGTGTGCCGGAAACAATTGACGGATATTTTTGCACAATTCAAACCAATGGAGCCCAAGGAACCGGTTAGATTTAGAATAATCTGTTTACATTGAAAGTTATCCAAAATTTTAAATTATAGACAATTATTATTGATTTTAGAATCTCGATGCCTGCGATAGGGTGTGGCGAATTTGCAATTCAAAAGCTAAGATAGAATTGTAATATTCAAATTAATTAGATTAATATATCATAAGATATTGTAACATAACCTGGAATCTATACCCTGTTATATTCCAGTAAGAATTTAAATTAGAGTGGCTTAAACAACGGTTCGAACCATTTCTTTTATCGTGTGGATTAATCTTCAAAAGACAGTTCCGCTGGATGGGAGACGAGGGAGTGGGTAGGATTATTACCCACTTAAAGACTACACGCTGTACCTACGAATGCCATTGGCAGAGTCTCGAGGTCGCGTTGAGGTTTGAACCATTAGAGATGAATGAAAGAGTAACAAACATCCATCCATACTCATGAACTTCCACATTTATAACATTAGTACGATACACTCAGGGTTCAGGCGACATCAAGTACCATCTGGGAACGTACATCCATCGGTTCATACGTCAGACCAACAAGTATATCAAGGTGTCTATGAGTGCCAACCCCTCCCATTTGGAGGTGGTGTCGCCTGTGGTCGTCGGTAAAGCCAGGGCAGAGCAGCACTGGAGAGGGGACAATAATGGCGATAAGGTTTGTGTGAGGTTTATTAGTTTCAGCATAGAAATAACGTCATCCGAGATTATAGTTAGAAGTCACGACTCTTACCAAATTGTTTATTAAACCACTGTTTAAGTAGGTAGTAGATCTTCTAGATGCGACTTTGTCTAACTTTTGCATTTCCTGCTACCTGACACAGCTATTTTTATACATCAATGGTATTTCATCTTATTTAATTTCTATATCACTTTTTGGTTATGATTGTAGTATTTATGATGTTTGGCATACCGATAGGAAACCAAATCATAATTTGGTTTCCTATCGGTAGGTATATCTATCACCTGAGTGTTAATAAACAAATTTATACATAAATATTGTTGATTGGGTCGAACCCACGTGGTTCACGACGCTCCTAAAAAGTATTTATCGGTTTCAAAAGAGAGAATACAATAGAAATATACGAATCACTTTTAAACTTACGTGTTTAATATACATAGTTTATATTGGTAACCGGGTCTTAACACGAATAATCACGTTATCAGGTGATGGCAATAATAATTCACGGGGACGCAGCATTCTCCGGACAGGGGGTGGTGTACGAGACGGCGCACCTGAGCAGCCTGCCCTCTTTCACTACACACGGCTCCATCCACATTGTGTGCAACAACCAAATTGGATACACCACGGATCCGAGGTTCGCCAGGAGCTCACCGTACTGTTCAGGTTTGGAGATTTATACGGGTCACACGTAATACGACAATAATAACTAGACATAATTTTAAAATTTGTAATGAACACGTCTTATGAGCGGGATCTCGGGGCACCTCTGAGTGTATAGTTTGTACGGATTAATTTCTTCCCGCCCCGCAGATACATTTTTCTATTTGAAACCTCCATTTGTGTCAGTCTTTTGTGTAATGGAGGCCATCATGGAACGTAGTGTCCAGCGATGAGTGGACTTGGTCCGACCATCTTATGGGGCTGCACCCTCTAGGACATTTCCTATCCACCCCGCCTGTCAACATCAATTGATCCAGGTTGTGACCTTCTTTACGGGCTATGTGACCAAAGAACTCTTAATATTCTATGGATAATATAATTAATCTATAGCCACGACGCATACATAAATTTAATATTTTCTTTCAGATGTGGCCAAGTGCGTGGATGCACCGGTACTGCATGTGAATGCTGACGACGCGGAGGCGGTGGCACACGTGGCTCGGATGGCCATCGAGTACCGCTGCAAGTTCAAGAAGGACGTGGTCATCGACCTGGTGTGCTACCGTCGCTTCGGTCACAGCGAGGAGGATGAGCCCATGTTCACACAACCGTTTATGTATAAGAAGATACGGACCATGGAGACTGGTCAGTTGATAAGCAGACCGTTTTACCAATCTTCACATCGATCTCTTGGGCGGAATCGAACCAATTAGCTTGAGGCGAGACTTCGCATCGCTCTGTGTATTCTATAGAATATACAACGGGCTGTGTTCTGAAGATTTGATCGACGTGATGACTACGGCTACCTTTTACCATCGCGCTGCTTGCCATCAACAGGGAATTCATCCGCACTCGCTAGAACCTAAGTTGTATCGGACAGTGCAGTTTCAGAGGAATGGTATGGCTGATGGTAAACTTTTACCGTAGCCTATGGTCGCCTGGTATATGGGCCGAAGGCGTGTTTGCTACCATAATTGTATAAAAATAAACAATATAATAATTACCTCACGGGTGTTATTCCAAATGGGATAGTTACAGGCGTGTCGTCATGGTATATACAGCCCACATTTCGCTACTTATATGTGACGTGACAAAGTTTTCAATAATGAGAAGAACATGATTTAATTCATTAAATCATAAGTGTCGACCACAATTGAACTTACGACTTTTAGGATCTAACCACTAGATCATGACGCTTTCTAGTTTTTTTTTTATTTGATGATAATGGAATAGTGCCGTTTGTGCTAACAGTTCAAGCTGGCAGGGCACCAGTGGAGGATGATAATATGAACATGAGGTCAGGTTAGTCAGCCCATCGTGACGAATTAATCAGGAAATTATCACGATGGTCTTCAGGGAGAATCACGTGGATATCAACCTGACATGCTTATACTGCTAGCAATGGGTTCAGTAGTTAATTTTATTATTAGAATTAGATTGAATTATACCAACCCCTTGCTCTGTCTTGACACCCTTAGTTGATAAAATCTATGGAGCAAAACTGAAAGCTGAAGGAATAGTAACAGACGCCGACATCAAACAATGGGAGAAAGAGTATATGGACACATTGAACAAACACTTTGAACTCGCCAAGAAGATAACAAAGCTCAGCATAATGGATTGGATTGACACGCCATGGACTGGATTCTTCGAAGCCACTGATCCTAACAAGGTACTACATGTTTAAAATTGATAAATATTTTCCACCAATTTAAAAAAGGAGTTAGGCGTATAAATTTGCCGGTAAGCATCTCGTCTTGGTTTGGTTAGGCTGTGTTCTTGGGTCAGGAGATATGGCAGTGAAATTAGAAGGTATTGAGGCAAAACAACTGTTAGTTCCAATGGTAGTTCTCAGGAATGGCAACGCATGAAATGTATGACGGAGGTTATAATTAGGAAAATTACCGCTTTCCATTAGTGTGTGCGGCAATCCAGTTTCAAACAAAATAATTTATCGGTAAGTAATAATTATCATCGTAACTGAAAATATTAAAATCTACAGACTATTTTATAGTTGGTATTGCGAAACGTTCAACAAATGCAACTATCAAATAATTTATAAAGAATCTTCCGATTCTTATATATACTTATTTGATTTCAGTTATTTTCCGATTTAACATGTTTATATTGATATGTCTAATTTTGGCATGATAATATATTTTTCCATCCGGCTCGAAGGACTATTTATTGGAATACTACTGCTAGGAGACAAGATAAACTTCAGAGGACTAAAAAAACTCGTATTATAATTGTTAACTGGCCACATTATTGCAACACAAATAGAGGAGACACGCCTATAATACTGTGACAAGTAATAGAAGAATAATATAATTAAATCTTTTGTTTATTTATGTTTACGCAGATCCAAGAAACGGGCATAAGTGATGCCACTATATCCACTATATCGCAGCACTTCTGCAGACCACCGGAGTCGTCATTTGAGATTCACAAGGGCATCATGAGAATACTCGCAAACAGAGAGAAAATGGTATAATATTTGCCTAAATTTATTATTATTATTCTAATAATTCTTTCGTGTCTATTGTTTCGACTTCCCCTAGAAGTTCTTCAGGGTGAGTACAGTGCATTGGTACGTACTTATACGTACGTCTATGATTCTAGATTAATGTACTCGTATAAAGCTGAAGAGTTGGTTTGTTTTGAAGCACTAACCTCTTGAACAAACAGTCGGGATATAAAAAAGTTTACATTTACCCAAACCACTTGGGCTATTAAATTTACACTGATATTCGCAACATGGGCGTAGTTTCAATAACGATCGGAATTTGATCACTAAGGTCGTAACGCTCCCAGTAGTGGTGATCGTTTTCCGCATTTAATATTTGTGGAACCGTCGCATATGTTAATGACAGTGGAATTAAACAAAATAATATTAATCCATTAAATAAGAAAACTAAATTCCGCAAAATTACACCTAATTCGGTAAAATATAGGCAATTAATGGTCACGCTACGACCCTTCTTTTAAATTAAATGGAGAGTAAAACTGAACTGCACTGGATAATATACTTCTTGTAATTTACCAGGTGAAAGAAGGTATTGCTGATTGGGCAATGGGAGAAGCGCTTGCATACGGTTCGTTGCTGCGTGACAAAATACATATTCGTTTAACTGGTGAAGACGTCGAGAGAGGCACCATGGCCCATAGGTACATGACAAAACTATACTTTATAGAAAATAAATGTAGTTTTTAAAATAAAAAGGTATACTGTAATATGGGTAATGAACATTCGTCCTCGCAAACTTTCGCAGTAATATTAGATATTAGTAAGATTATTATATTCCAACACTTCACAGGCACCATGTGTACCACCACCAGGGTGTTGATGGAGCCACCTACAGAGTACTGGACGTGCTGTACCCTGACCAAGCGCGGTATAGTCTACATAACAGTTCTCTATCTGAATTTGGTGAATATCATTCATTCATTGTACCTATATATTTTTTTTATATAACAAAATAGCAAGAATATTTACCGTCCACATAACGAAAAGTAGGTCTAAAGAATTAGAAAATAAAATGCTCATAATTGTACTGTGTTTTTTTGTTGTTACACGACCAGTTGGTAGTGCATTTAATATTTCGACTCTAATGAATTAATATTTCAACCTAAAAATGTAAAGTGAAACAACTACTGTGTGCTGTACAATTAATTAAAAGAGCAACACTCAAGTTTCTTAGTCGTTCTTCTTGTGATGAGTCTGCGTTCCTAATGAGTGGTAGAATCATTATATATTACATAGTATAAAATAAAGTCGTCTGTCCGTCCCTATGTATGCTTAAATCTTTAAAACTACGCAACGGATTTTGAAGCCATTTTTTTTAATACATAGAGTGACACTAGAGGAAGGTGCGATACCGGGGCGAGTAGCTAGTCAAAAATATATGACTATTCAACTTCTGCTTCCATGTAACTTTATTTGAATAACGGATTCTCTATTCTAAGGTCTTAAATTATCTCAATATCCAGGTATCTTGGGCTTCGAAGTGGGTTATTCGTATTCGAGTCCATATCTGCTGACGATATGGGAGGCACAGTATGGAGACTTTGCTGACACTGCGCAGCCCGTGTTCGACACGTTCATAGCTAACGGCGAGAGCAAGTGGGTGTGTCAGTCGGGCCTCGTAGTGCAGTTGCCTCACGGTATCGACGGAGCTGTTAGTATTTAATCATTTATACACAGTTCCACATAATAATAATATCTTAGGAATACGGGTCGATGGAGTGTCGGGCGTCAGGAGGAGCAAGATGGACCGACGACATCATGAAGGTGGCCGGGAGTGGAAAGATGCGGAAGGCGGAAGATCATTGGCAGGCATTGGGAAAGGCCTATATCCAACAGAGAATAGATTCAGGCTGAAATTATGATGATAATAGTAATATTCACACACCGCTACCTAGTCCCAAACTAAAAAGAGTATGTGCTATGGGTACTAGATAACTAATATAAATACTGAGATACATATATTTTTATAAATACATACATATTATACATCATAATAATAATCTTTATTTACTACTCACAAGGAAACTTACAATATTAAACAAAGTAACAAAAGTATACATAGAAAACACCCAGACCGATACAAACAATCATATTCATATATACAAATGTTTGTACCTGGATGGCACCTTGTACCTGGTGCGTGGAATCGAAGCAGCGACCGTCGAAAATAAGGCGCTGTGCTAAACCTTTTTTTTTCCGGACTACTCTAATGCTGTTGGCCGCAGCTGGCCTTTACAGCTTCACCGGACGATAGTGGGCGAGTGCAGATGGCACTCCAAACCTATGGAGCGGCTGAAGACCAACTCCCTCCTGACGGATACGACATTAGTCTGAGGGCCTAGCGGTGGCCGAGGTTTCAAACCTCGGCTCAGGCTGTCGTAACATCGGTCCTCGTTTGAATTGGACGGAGGATCGATCGGAGTGGGCTGTACCACAGATAACATAATATTACATACTACTGGTCACACATTCAAACACCACATTATCCTTTTAGAAGCCTAACAAATGCTACACAGCAGGGAGAAAATTGCCATTATGGATAATAGTAACAAAAAAAAGTTGCTATTGCAGAAAATGTATTCCACAATTCTTGTAATTTATTGGAATTAAGTTGCTATCATTCTAAAGTAGTCTTTGGTCGGTCCAGGGTCCAGAACATTCGTCGGGGCGCGTGGAACGCTTCTTGCAGCAGGCGGACGACGATGAAGATAACATACCAGACCTTGACGACAAAGACATGGTCTGTAAGTATCGATTTCAGTGTTGATCAATTGATGCGAAGATTAAATTAAGGCCAATAAACTAGGAGCGACATCTAGTATTAGAAATTAAAGAGATAGAGACGACGACGAGCGTGGAGAACAATGAAATATGAAGAAAATACAGTGAGTAAAAAGAAAGTAGGTGTATAATTTGTGCTATTAGAGATAAAGAAAGTATTAAGAGCGGGAGATTAATGTAGGAGGAAAGGGATGGTTGGGAGAAATAAGGGGAAAGGAATAAACCATCTACCTACAAATAAGCCAATGAAATGAGAACTTTGTTGGGAATGACAAAAAACCGTAAGTATCAACCTACATATTGTCCGTAGTGAAACAACTCCGCTCTGCGAATTGGATCGTGTGCAATCTGACGACACCGGCAAATTACTTCCACATGATACGGCGGCAGATCGCACTGCCCTTCCGCAAGCCAGTGATACTGATGACACCGAAAATAGGCCTCAAGCACCCCTTTTACAGATCGAAATTTGAAGATTTCCGGCTGGGAACATCCTTCCAAAGGTATGGAATCGTTATTTCAAATTATTTACTAATTAAATGGTATTCAGGGACATTATCGACTGTCGATAAGTCTTGATATGTGACTTTGAAAATATTAGTAACCTAAGATCCTTTCTATAAAATTAGCAATCTGCGAAAGTCACGTCAAAATCGGCCAAGCTGTTTCAGAGGTTAGCAAACGTAAGCAGACAGACAAAAATTGTAAATAATTTGAGACCGAATACTTTTATATGCATTTATTGAGAAAGCTGATAATTTGAAATTCCAAACAGACACTACAAATTTATTTATTTCTATCGACTGTATTCCTAGCAACTCTCGGCGTGATATACAACTCATGTACTCCCTAATTGTATAGGTGTAGGACTTTTTAATGGGTCACGTATTTTTTAGCAGTTCCATATTTGATAAGTAAATTATTGCTTCGTAATATTAGTTTCTGTAGTGTATGTGTCTTAACTATCTTTCGCGCCGGGCGCACATAGACCGCGAAGCGAAGAGGGTATGTAGTTTCGTCTATTCCCTAAACTTTGTGTTTGAAATTATACAATTTTTACTGTTAACAAATTCATCAACATTATTAAAATATTATAACAAAGGAAAGAAACTCAACCTACCCTTAAAAAGTTTTTAATTGTCTTTAAACTATTGGGCAAAGCCTTAGTGCTTGGAAACTCTCAACGTGCTTCACAATATTAAGTTATAACGCTAGGGTAGTCCATTAGATATTCCCCGTGTAGACGCCGCGGAGTCAAGACATGAAGCTTTGTCTAATTTGCCGATATTATAGAGATAGCAACAAATATTGTAGAGATATAAGACTTAAAAAACTAAGTGAACACTAGTTTCGATTATTATTTCGTTTTTAAAACAGGGCAATAAGAGAATCAGGACCGGCAACGAAGAAGCCGGAATCCGTTAAAAAACTTATATTCTGCTCCGGAAAAGTGGCTATTACAATCAGCGAATTACTCAAAGAGAAGAAACTAGAAGACAATATAGCTATGTGCCGCATCGAACAGTTGTACCCGTTTCCATACGATATCGTGTTGAAAGAGTTCTGCAGATACGAGAATGCCAAGGTTTTCTTTTGTCAGGAGGAACACAAGAATCAAGGGCCGTGGCCATTCGTCAAAGTTCGATTGGAGAATCTGTTTGGGAAGAAAATTGGGTGCGTAATCAAGTCCCCCTGATTTGGCGACTTAGGTGGTGTAGCGGATACGCACACCGCATTACTTCCGATGGTCGCGGATTCCATTCCTCGCATGATATAAAATATTGTTGGGTGTATGGTACATAGTTACAAAACTATGTATATTATATATGTGTTTACAAAATAATGTATCTAAATATTTCTATCAGTTGTCTAGTACTCATAACACAAGCTCTGCTTACTTGGGGCTAAAGGGTGCTGTGTGAGTTATCTAGGGTTTATATTGTATTATTATTATAATTGCATGCCCTTGTTGCCACTCATGCCTTGACTGAGGGCTAAGATATAAAACTTCTTATAAAGTAATCTGAAATATATACTGTACACATCTGCCTCACCAGCAGAATCAGCAGAACTTGACAAAACCTACATCTTGATTGTAAAAAAATAACTATTTTCTATATTATTTATCAGTTGCATATCCAGACCATCAAGCTCGGCGTCAGCGACTGGCATAAAGTGGGTTCATGCAAAGGAGCTGAAGGAGTTAAAAGAGAAAATTGTTACGTTATAAATTGTGGTTTGTTTTATAGAGAAATTGCGTCTAAACATATGTTAATAAATTATGCAATGCACTTGCACATATTTATATTTATACATAATTATTTATTAAAATTCTGGTTTACACTAATTGGTTCAAACATTTTATTTAAATATAAAAACCTCTGTATGGCGTTTATGTTTCGAACTATTCTAATGTTACTGGCCCATTGAAGTTTAACGACACTAAAAATGGGGACATGTGCACAGGCCATTTTAAATCCAAGGAAGAATTTGTAGAGCCTCTGAAGGTCAACTTCTACCTGAAGGATACGACTTTAGTCTGTGGGCACCGCCAGAGATTAGAACCAGGTCTTTGTAATTTCGGTCCCTGATTTACAGGGACAGCGAATCCCATTGCGATGTATCCCTGCTTTAAAGGGACTGGGAGTCCCATTGCGTTAGACATATATGGCCATTGTATAAACTATTTTTACTATACTAAATATTTTCTCTTACCCTACTCCGGAAGGAAGCTGGCTGATATTAGAATTATACTCGGGCAGTGCTGTAGAAACATTATGTAGTTGATGTTACTCAGAAATTACCTACAGTATTGAACAGCTGGCTTATTAAAACACTTACTACTTGCTAAATAGTGTAGGAACCAAACCAAAAAAAAAATAGTGTAGGTATGTCAATCTTTGTTTAAAACATTATGGGTGTAGCATCATTGCCTCAAACATTTCCAAAGGAAAACAATTCATCATTATTGATGTCATTCAACTGTCACTATAGTAAAATCAACAGTCAGTCATGTACCCATCAAATTCAAATAAATGTCAATCAGTTTAGTTTTTTGAAATTGTATTTATTTTCTTTGACTTTTGAAAAGTTCATGCGTTGTTTCAAACTATACATTTTATTAGTTTAAAACAAAAAGTAATGTTTCTTTCAATATATACAGGTATCAGATATTTCTTAAATAATTGATTAATTGTTTTTATTTTTTTTTTCCACGTATGTGAAATTTCACATCTATTTATCAGGTAATTATTAACTATAATAAAATGTCCTCTTATTTTGACTATTTTTGTGAAAATGTAAACAGTAATAAAGCAGCATGCAGCGACAAGATTCTTGGGATATGCTATTCTATGTGTCCACAGACTGAAGTTACTTTGTAAGTGAAACTTTATTTATAAATTTTTTATTTTCATTTTCATGTTCCATTTATTGTGTGATTAAATTCTTGTTATATTCTCTAAAGTTCATATATTTATTAGAAATTATATAAAATTTTATTACAGAAGAGAAAAAGAGGGTCTAGTACATGTATTAGAAGTGTTTGGACCTGAAAGAAAACTGGTAAAATGCTACAGCAGATCAGCAGCGGATTCCAATATGGCAATACCGAGCATCCTTCGACCATATAATGTCCTGAGGAACACTGTTGATTATTTAGTACTTGAGTGAGTGCTTCTGAAACATTATTAGCTGTAATTTTGTTATGTTACTGTCAAAAACAATGTTGTCTGTTCATCCCTATGTATAGTTAAAACTTTAAAATTACGCAGCGGATTTCGAAGCATTTTTTTTAATAGATATATTGATTCAAGAGAAACATATATATATAGTACATGTACACCCATGCAATGCTGGGGCGAGTAGCGAGTATAATATAAACTATTACAAGTTTAATGTTTGAGACAAATATTGTGAGCAATTTACTCTATCATATTAACTTTCAGGCAGTAAATTTATCAAATTTATTTACAGACGAGACAGAGATGTTCTATAGTTCATCTATAACATTATCTCATGTAATCTGTCACTCATCATATACAGTTCCATTCTCAATGTAATTTTCTTCTATAAATTTACAGAATCGTTCTTTTAGTATACTTATTATTTGTTGAGACTCTATTATGATATTCCTACATCAATTTCTACCAACCCCACAACATTAATGAAGCTTGTAGCACTTGCATTAAGAACTATATATATATATATATATATATATCATGCTTGAGATAAGTAGACAGTGTCTTGAAAATTTATTGTACTTGCATGAAGACTACATATAAGCTATAATTCATGTTCTATTCAGTGTTACCAGGAGAGCTGATGTCCCAACGTCAACCATTTATGACTTTGTCAATGATCGACTTAGAGCCGTCCGTCAGGATATGACCATTCAGAGGCTGCCACCGGAACAATGTGTTCAGTTACTTGAACCTATGATTAGGTTTTATGTCTACTTTGGATACAAGTGAGTTTTAATAATATATATATTATATTACTTGTTGGGTTTTGCTTTACAAAATGTAAAATACTATTGTTTACATATTTCACATATCATTATCAAACACTACATTATTTGTACCTATAGATATCGTTAATTGTCTAATGTGGTTGTGTAATTATATTTTTTCTTTGATTTAAATGATCAAGTAATAAATTCATTATGTTATAAGTTATATTACTAGCTATTTTAGTTATGTGTCTTCACACATGTATGCTTCTGTATATTTTGTAATTTGATTATATTTTATTATTCAGTCATAAAACCTGAGCCTCACTATACATTTTTAATAAATTTTGAAATAAATATTTAATAATATTTTATCTTAAATACTCATAAATGTATCCTTTGTAAATTAATTATTTAATATATTTAATTAATAAACATTCAATGTTTCACAGATTGTGCGAGCAGCCACTGAGTGACTACGATCCTGTACTCAACCAAAAGTACTTATTGGAATGCATGAAATGGTTTTTAAGTTGCTATGAAAATATACAACAGGCTGAGGACAACACTAACATTAATGACATTAGCACATCCTTATCAAGTTTAGAAATAAATAATAGATATTTAAAGAAGTTGACCTGTGACAGGGAGTTGATGGAGAGTCTATATATATTGTGCAATTTGGACGATCTGCACCCGTTGTATCGCTATTTCAAGTTACCCAAGGATATAAAGAGGTTTTCATTCTTATAAATAGTTATAATTTTCTATATTATTTAATAATAATATTCAATTTCATATATTACATTAGGGAGGGACCTAATGGAATATATGAAATTGGAGGGAAGGGGGTTGTTAACAATTTGAACTAAGAACAAGAACCTTATTGCCAGCAATGTACCTTACCAGGTTGACCTCCATGTGGTTCCCCTGAACACCATTGTGTTAAATTCATGGTGAATTTACCATAATGGGTTGACTGACCTAACCTGATACTCATCTCAACATCCTCCACTGGTGCCCTGCCAGCGTAAACCCTTAGCGTGGGCAGGTGCACTATTCCATTATCATCTAATAAAAAATATATAAAACTCTTGTCATCGAAATGGCTTAACCAATTTGATGAATTTTTTTATGTGAGCTTTATGGTATACATATATATGTATGTAGTGTTGCTTTTATTACATTATTTGACTTTAAGTATTAAGTTTTCTTAATATGCTAGTCTTTATTTTCAGCAACCGAGCAGTGAAGTTAGCATATAAAATAGCAATAGCAAATTTAAAGGGGAACTATGCACAAGTATGCAATATGCTGAGTCAATTGTGTCCTCTAACATACTGTGCTATCTCTGTGTATTTGCCTACAATACAGAGGTAAGTTTCCTAATAAGATAGTAAGTCCTTGCTAGAATTATTGTGTCATATAGGATAGAACCTAGAAATTTATTTTACTACATTATTCCTAATATTTACTTACAAATATCTAACAGTATGTTTGTTTATTGCCATTTATTTTATTAATAAAATTTGGATTGTTGCACACTAGGGGTGAATGTATATTGGCGTCTGAATCGCATACGCTGAGTGAATAATAATAAAATGAGCGTAAAATCATGTTAGTTGACACATCGAATTCATCGTGGCGTATTTATTATTTCATCATCTTTTAGTTGCATGTTAAACTACTAAATAGGGTATCTATTCATTTTAGATCTAGGCCAGGGGAAAGGGGATTGTTAGTAATGGGATGACCAATGACCATATTGCTAGCAATGTACATTTCTAAGACACTACGTGGATTAGGTGCCCTTAGAAATCATAGTGATAAATTCTTGGCGAATTTGCCACGATGGGCTAAATACCTAATTTCATCCTCCACTGGTCCAATCACATCTCCACCAAATTAACAGGCGCGCTCTGCAAGTGCTGAGCCATGGATACAACAGCAAGCAGTTGACAGTGCCCACTGCTGTAGTCCGACAGTGGTTGAGGTTCCCCAGTGACGCAAACGTGATCGATATATGCAAGTACTACGGATTACACGCTGAGGGACCTACTGTACGGTTCTGCAAGGCAGACTTCAAAACGGATGTGACTACTGTGAGATTTTTACTATTTTTTGTAATAGATGTATATTTTAAATGAAGAGTAGTAGAAAAATAATCAATAAAATTTAAACACTATTTTCTATTAATTATTTTAACAATGTATGTGTTACTTGTCTGTACTGACTAATAAGTGGAGGAGATTTTTAAAGACCTTTTGTTTTTTTTATTTTTATCTTTGTTTCTGATGGATATATTCAATATAAAAAACTTAATTACTAAAATTTCAATACATTCCATTTTAAACATTCACCTATAAAGTTAATTTATCAACGAGACCGAGAACCGTACGCTGTATTACAAGTGGAGCGCGCCCCGCGTACAGCTACTATTTAATAGTTTAAATCAGTATTTAAACTATTAATAATGTTATATTAATCCATTTCCAACATAGGATAACTCTGAAAAAGGTCTATACAAGGGTATATTTGTCTATAAAAGGGTACCTTAGGCATGATTTTTCCGTTTTAGATAGTAGGTAGTGTTTACCTACCTTGCAAACTAAATAATAGCAGTTTCATGCAAAATGCTAGTTCATATTCATACATCTTCAAAAACCACGCTCTTGTTGGTGCAGCTCTTGCCACTTCATCATCCTCATTAAATGTTGATACCACACGATCCCATTTTGTCATTTTCTTAGAATGTATTACGACATCAAAATCGTATATAACATATGCACTATCATTAGGTTGGACTCCATTTTCCGCAATTGGCCTCTCATTCGGGCCGTTGTGCGTGTAGATGCACTATCATTAACGAAATAATGTCTTTTCAGCATCAACCAAGAAAATTATTTTTACACGAGAAATCATTGAAATTAGATGTTGAAAATATTTTTACCTACAACACCGAAAAGTAGCAAGTTTCTACAAAATAAGTACGGTTGTTAACACTGGACTGCTGTGATATTAGTGTTTAATAAAAATAAAACTACATTAAATATTATAAAGGACTCCTTTATTTGTTTTATTTACATAAGAAATTCTCCTAATTCTGCAATAACTAATTACAATAGACAACAAAAACTAACTAATATCAAACGGTTGCATGGCTCCCATCTTAAACATTTCTCAATAGCATTACATATGTGTGCGGTTGGTATATTAAATATATATTTACTGTTGTGACCACGTAAATTAAATAGTATTTATGCAAGTTTTGGAATGTCTGCGTTATCTGATACTCTTCAATATTATAGAATAATTATTTATTTTAAGGTTTCTTAAGGGACATCAACGCGCACGTGGTGTAACAGGCGATCATAGGCTACAGTAACTATTTACCTTCAGATGGGCTGTATGCTTGATTGACATCATTATTAAAGTATTTTCGTAGCAAACTAAAACCTTAATCACAACTAGTTACACAAACATACCATCTTATTTTTCTGTGAAAATAATTTTTATCATTATTACCAACCAAAATATTAAGATTAATGTTCTAGTTTACTAAACAGCACTTAATATACAGAATTATAGATAACGCAACCATTGCAAAACTTCAAGTTAATTGGTAACATATCGCACGTATTTCTTTCGGAAATAAACGACTTTAATATTTTAACCTCTAAAGTTTACTTCCCAAAAATTATATTTTCTGTTAATGCAGTTTGAAACGTTCGAATTATGATTTTTACATTATACATAACTATGTCGAGTCAATTTTGATTTAAAATTAATGCCTATTCAACCTATATCCCTGTTTGGGTTCATATAACAATATATGGCTAAAAGTATATTAGACTTTATTATAATATTCAAATAAGGTTTATAAATTCATATTTTGGTAAAAAAAAGCGCGTAAAGGCATGCAACACCTGATATATTGATCGTGTCCGAAAACTATGGAGTTAATATATAACTTCACTGCTATATCCCATGTTGCTTAAAGGAATACTGAAAAACGACATCAGTTAAGAGGTACTTGTATAGGCTAGCTATAGCTTTATAAGTCCTGTTGCATTAGAATAAGGTCTAAATACGTACAGCTACCGTTTTACATAAAATGGGGCGAGATCCCACGGCCGTTATGCATAGTGGAGCATGAAATCTGCAGCGAAGCGAATGATTCGAGATCAATACAATTAATATTTTCCAATTGGCTGTAATATCTTTATATAGAAAAATTACATGTCACGTTGTTTGTCTGTGATGGACTCCTAAACTACTGAACCGATTGCAAATTTGATTTGCACATTGTGTGCAATTTGTTCCAACTTGAAAGATGAAAAGAACGACTGTAAATTGAGATGCAAGTTACATCTTAATTTATAGTCGCAATATTATTTTATTGCAAATTATTTTTATATGCAAAGAAACTGTTAGTCACAGCAACACGTGGTCGGGTCTGCTGGTAAGATATATGTATAGAAACAATAATAATAAGATGTCTGACTTCGGAGATTGTATAATCAGGTTTAGCCACTTTTTCTTGGTATATTTGAATCCACTGTCATCTCTACGATTAACTTGAAGTGTCATCAGTGTTATCATTATTGTTGAATTAGTAAAAGTCAGGAATATAAATTGACACAAATTTTTACTATCGGCCAGATTGGAAATCACGACCTTTGTAGTCTACACTTGAAGGTACTAAACCACTAGGCCAGGACGCTTTTAGTATTGTGTAGTAAACAAATACCATATTTTGAATAAATGACACTAAAACTTGTGGTAGACACAAGTGAATCAGCTTTGATGTGTTATTTAAATTTAAACTGTATATATTACTATTTAGATTAAAATTCGTCTGCGTAGATATCTCAGTCGCACCTATTTCAACCATCAAGAATCATGCCTTAGAAATTGTTTTTGGTTGAAGGGTGATATAAGCAGTGAAATTACATGATATAGAGACATTAGTCCACCGGAATGGTAACGCGTGAGTGATATCACTGGCTTCATGATAACGTGATGTCCGTGATACAGTTTATGTATATAGGCGACGGTTACCACATACCATCAGGTGGGACGTCAGCTTTTCCAATCACAAAAAAACGAAGTTACATAATTGCAAGCGCTATGATATACAATGTACTAACACTTGTTCAATAAACTCATTCAAATTTCTATAATTATTCAAATACCTGTTAATTGTTTGAAGAGAATTCATTAACTTAAAGAGTATACATTCATTTTTGATTGTGCGGTCATTGAAAATAATCTCAAGGTAAAATGAGTTACAAATTCCCAATAAACATAATTAGACGTTTGACGTCGAAATGAATTCCTTCTAAAATGTATAAACTAAATTATAAGGTAACCATGTGGAAAGTTATGTGTAGCCTAGAGTTGCCAACCATCCTAATTTCCTAGGACAAGTCCCAGTTTTATATAGTGTCCTGGGACGTCCTTAAAAAAATTTAAGTAACGTGTTGAGTGTAAAATTCCATTTTATACTGTAAAATTGAAAAATAAATATAATTTATTCAAGCATTTTTATAAAAAATATGATTAGTTTAATTAATTAAATTTCATTTTACCTATTTTCACTACCTATTAATTTAACTATTGCAACTCTATTACTGCGTCTTTAAAGAGAATTGTGCTGGTCATTCCAATCCAGTTATTTTTTAATTTGTGGTTGGCAACCCTAGCGTCGCCGCATACACTGGAAATAACATAATTGTATATGTATATTAATATTACAACAACAGTTTATATATATTTAACACATTTGTTGGTGGGTGATATTCATATAAAATCTTAATTGTGTTTATATATATATACAACATTTGTTTAAAATAGCAACAGGCAAGTTTCGAACAAGTTGTAGAATAAAAAAAGTTTATTTCAATAAAGATTACTAATTTTTTTTTCATGCTATGGAATGGGATGAATTTTTAACTTAAATCATGAAGTACAAGAAGTCAATGCCATTTCTAAATGTATTCGTTCGAAATTTGCTCGGATTCATCTGTATATACATTACTCAGAAGTATGAATGTAACAAATATATAGGGTTTATCTCAAACTATTGGACTGCTATGTCATCTCTTTCTTTTTTTATACCAATTTTAACCTAAAGACCAATTTTAGTTGAACCTAAAGACTTATAATTATTTCGCAGAGCCTCGAATGCTTTTGTATTTTACTATCTAGTACATAGCGCTCACAAATATAATAAGCGTTTAACATTATTACATGTAACAAAACTGAAAAGTGTCTGCGTACTCCACAACACTGAATTACTTACATCTTGGTATTTCAATTGTAACACGAAGACAGAAAAGAATAAAAATATTTTTTATACAAATCAAATTTAAATATAAAGGAACCATTGTAACCTAATAATTTCAATATAACAAATGAAATGTCATACATTTCAAGGCGACATAAAATATTCCGTGATTTCATTGCTAACACGTAAAAATTGATAAATAACTTTAAAACAACAACAAGGTTATTTTTATAAACAGGTATATCATTCAACTATACAAGGGACCTTATGGTGAAATGTACATGGTTTAAATTTGTTTACCTTCCTAGTAACCTATTAGCTGCCTTTACACGTACGCTCTGTCACGCACGAATCGGCTTTCACGAAAGAAAGAATATGCATGTAAATGAAGACGAAAGAGAACGAGAAAGCGCGTCAATCGTGCGTGCTTTAGCGCCTTTTTAAAATACTTAATTACCATTCCAAAATGATGGATATTTGACTATGGAGCAAAGACATAACTATAGACTTATTGATAATTCATTTATCTTAAACCTGTCTTAGTATAATAGGCTATGCGGAATATATAAAAGCTAAAATTTTAAGGAAAGTACAGGTCCTGAGCCATGCCTGAAAGACTTACTACAAAAAATGTAGAAAAAAAAAAACAAATTCAAATTGCGCTCGCTAGTTTTCCCGCGGTAAAACAGCGCGCGTTCCTGATCACGCATGAAAGAACGTATCGTATAAAGGCAGCTATTCTGACTGCGAATTTTTCTGCGCGCTTTTTCTAACAAATACACAAATGTATGAGTCATATCGGAAAAAACCTCGCAAAATTATCTACACATACCCATACTATTGCATAATTAAACGCGCGTAAAAATTCGCAAGCGCATTTAACGCTAACGGTTTCGTGGGGACGTAACTCCCAAATGTCATGTCATAGTCGACACCTTGGAAGCAGTCGATTGAAAAGCTTACTATTTCACTTAAAAAACTATAAACATTTGCCAGCCCGTTACATGTCGCTGTAACTAGATTGCAATTTAGTTATTGTCTTTATAATTTATAGAGCTAATTAACTAAACCCAAAGTCCCTAATTCCAGCCTAATTCTCCCAAATGGAAGGTCCTATCCGATTCCAATTTAGTTAACAAGCAATAGTTTCAAGAAATACAGATATATATTGCTTTCTCTATGAAATATTTTTAGACTATTATTAGAATGATAAAGATATTATGTCTAATTTAACTGTATAAATACAGTATTAGACACACAATTAAATTTCTAATACTGTTGTATTTACTTCTATCTTTGACACAATAAATAAATGAATCCTTTATCCTCAGATATGACAACCCATAAAGCCAAAATATTTGCTTGATACTGTTCGTATTACCCCAAACAATAACACAAAAAAGATAATCGGCCTATCCACTGAAGCATCCAGCTACGCTAAACTTACTTAATATTATAAACTCGAAAGTTTTTGAGTATGGATGGATGGTTGGTTGGATGGATGGATGGATGGATGGATGGATGGATGGATGGATGGATGGATGGATGGATGGATGGATGGATGGATGGATGGATGGATGGATGGATAGATAGATGGATGTATGTATGTATGCATGGATGGATGTTTCTTATTTTTTCCCATAAAGTTTACTGAATGAATTTGATGCAGCTTTGCAGTAATATATCTTATCAGAATAACACATAGGCTATAAATTTAAAAAGATATTAATGTATATAATATGAATTGGGCGAAATATAACGATAAATGTTAAGTAAGCGCGAGTCTATATAAAAAAGAGAGAAGTTCCACACATGCAAAGTAGGGATGAGCCGCTAGTATTACCGAGTCTCTGATGTACGCACAACGATCTGTGACGGGTCTGGTACGAATAAATTAAATTAAATAAATAACTTGCCTACTGCTATTTCAATCTACTGCTTAAGGCCGAATTCGATGTCGTTCGCGTGGCGGTCGACGGGCGGCGTATGAAGGCCGCCTAAGGCTGGCAATGAACAGTTTCACCCGCCTCCATTTCGCTAATTTGACTGTAACAGAATATATATACAGTCATTAAAATAAATAACATTACTAATAACATATCAGGACAACTCACACAGCGCCATCTAGTAGGAAGCTAAGCAGAACTTGTGTTATGGTTAGTAGATAACTGATATAAAGTCTTAGATATTTTTTTGTAAATTGTGCTGGATGAAGGCGGTGTCGAAGAGTTACAGCTCGTGGCTCAGGTAGTTGGTCTTATTGCTTAACTTTTTGGCGGAGGTGGACGAATGGTCCAGGAAAAAAAATTAAAGTACGGTACTGACCAATATGAGCCAGCTGAACGCTTAGTTATGCTTCAGGAACGCGTCATCGAAGAGTTCCAGCTCGTGGCTCAGGTAGTTGGCCTTGTTGCGTAACTTCTTGGCGGAGGTGGACGCATGATCCAGCAGCTTGATCGCCTCACGGACTTCGCTCAGCTCCGTGTCCATTTCCGTAGTCGCCTCGTTAATGAGCTGGCACAGCCGCGCGAACATCGTTGACAGTTCCCTGGTGAGACATTTGTTATACTTAGCGATATTTATATAATAGCCAAAGTGGACTGTATAATAATTCGCGTCTGTAGCCCCGAATTAACATATCATTATAAAGGCAAAAGTTTGTGAGTATGTATCGATGTTACCTTTTCATATTTTTCATCATCAGCTCATCGGCGACCTCACCTGCACCAACTGCTGTAGCCGCAGTTTGTAGCGGCTGGCGCGGATATTCACTGCTGCACCTGGTGTCTGGAGTTGGCGGAGGTAAGGTGTATGATGATAAGCCGGCAGCCGAGCAAGAGCCTGTAGGGGCGGGCGCGGATACTCACTGCTGCACCTGGTTTCTGGAGTTGGCGGAGATGAGGTGTATGATGATGAGCCGGCAGCCGAGCATGAGCCTGTAGGGGCGGGCGCGGATACTCACTGCTGCACCTGGTGGCTGCAATTGGCGGAGGTGAGGTCTACGATGAGCCGGAGCTTCTTGCCGGCGTGCGCGACGTACTGCTGCTTGAAGACTCGTTCCTGCGCGCGCGCGGTCCACGTCATCCGCTCGTACACGTACAGCGCCGCGTACACCGCGCTCACCGCCGCCACCACGCGCCACCCCACTGTCTTCAGCAGCTATTCACAACACATCACATCTTATTAATAACTGCTGCACTGTGCCAAACCACTCAGCTGCTCAACTCAATATTTTTTAGATAATACTAAAGTCGTGATGAGGTGAAAACTCTTTGTGTGTTTTCACGTAAAAACAGTTGAAGGAATTAGGATAACATATTGAAACTTATGTTATTATATTTATATCTGGCCAGATAGAAGGAATTGCGATTAGAATTTTATATTTTATTAAACAGTGTGCATTAGATGTCTTCTATTGTTCGTGAGTTTCGCTGTTGACATACTGTAAGCCACCAATACTTTTACCAATTATATACACATTTTACTTTTGTATTTCTCTACATTTAAACAGCGGATTTAACCCCTACATAACATATTCATAACAAAGTAATCTTAGAAAAATACTTCTCAAAGGGGTATATTAATAAGTTTTTCTTATTAATTTTAAATATGCCATTTAATACTGTAAATTAATTTGTTATAAAATAATAGATGACGTTAATTTACGACGTTTACGAGTACAAAAAGACATTGGATGAATTCATTATTACTTTCCATACATTCTTCAACCTATTTATTCATTGTGGTTTCCAATTAGAGTAGCTTTTAATTTGGCCTTATTGCTTACTTAAGATATATAATATAAAATATATATATTAAAGTGATTGTTTACAAGTCCAGAGAGTAGCAGTCCGCCCATGGTGCCCTGCGAGGTGACTGCTCCGACTGCGAAGCGCGACACGAGCCCCCACTCCTCGGCGCTGAACGGGCCCATGGCGCTCAGCGTCGTCACGGTGCGAGACTCGCCGCTCTCCAGCGACGGCAGGCTCCTCACTGTTGGCGGGATCTGACCACCAAAATTATATATTTCAGAACATACCAATCGAAATATTCGATGGTCTGCTGTCAGGGTTGCAGAAGATTGCTTGCGCACTCCCGTAGCTCTGACAAAAGGATAAGAGAAGGAACTCCTTGGGGTTTTTAGTCGGTAAGAGTCCAGCAGAACCAGTACTTCCCCCGAGGCCTACCTACAGGTCTCCGTGAGGTTTAACTCCAAGTAAAAAAAAAAACCTCGCTGGTCTAGCAGTTGATTACACCGCTTGTCTTCCGATTGTCGCGGGTTCAACTTTGTATTCATGAGTACTGAGTGTTTTCTATATGTATAGTATGTATTTAAAAAAAATCTAAGTTCTTGTATCAGTTGTCTAGTATTCATAACACAAGCTTTGCTTACCGTGGGGCTAGATGGCGTTGTGTGAATTGTACAGGATTATTATTATTTATTTAATGTGTTACTTTGGTCTTACGTCGTACAATTATGTGAAAGAATTGTTTAGAAAACGAACCTAAATTAAATTAGAATAAGAATAAGTTTTATACGCATTATGTTTAGCATCAAAAATATTTTGTCTAACCTGCGTGTACTGCGGTGGGTTTTTAAGCGCGATCTTGTTGGTGTTCTTGCCGTTGAAGCGCTGTATGAGCGCCGTGATCCCGTACGAGAAGCGGAACCGCAGGTCCTCCTGGAAGTCAGCGCACAGGTTGTCGCAGTTGAGGCGGTAGAGGACCTCGAAGGGCTGCTGGTGCGGCACCATGCATGCCGCCGCCGCCGCGCGCTTGTGACTAGGCAGGATGTTGTACATGCGGTCTGTAGAATACCATCGATATTATTATTTTTTATTTCTACCATAGTGCATTAGTTATCACCTCACTGTAGCGTTATATTACAAGTGTAGGCACAGTATGTAATACCGTACACTGTCAAATAAACTTACTAATGTACTTTAATTATTACTGCTGTATATTACACGAAACAAATCATCACATCATATATAACGCTACAGTGGTGAGGTAATAATCACCGTGCTACAATACTAACCCGTATATTAGAGGTACTTTACTGAACTTAAATCTACGTTGTGTGAAGACGTACATTAATGGAAGGGTGTCGAGTGTCGACAGAAGTTCATAGTGTTTGCTTTTAGTTTGCTGCCGCCCCACAGCCATACTAATAATTACAATGACGAAGCACATCTGACCGGCCATCTCCTGCTGCGCGGACTGCATCTCAGCGCCGATGTCCTTGGAGAGCCTCAGCTTGAGCCGCTCCCCGAGGCCGGACTCCACGTGGCGGTGTAGCGCGCGCTTGTACTGGTCGAGGGCGGGCCGCTCGCTGCGGAACGGGGCTTCATACTCGCCCACCAGCGCCGACAGACGCCTGATCTCCTGACTCAGCGTCAGCGACACCTTCAAACAAAACATTACTTGCGGATCCGTCTCACTATAAGAGGGGGATGTTGTACCGCCACATGCATGCACCTCACTCAGCGCTAAACTCTAAACACGGTATACACTCTATCCTGAGGAGATAAAAACATCGCTCCTAATAATAGCCAAAATGTCTCAATAAAAACAAGGATTAGGTATAATAAAATTTTGCTACAATGTCTGTACCTGGTGCTCGACACTCTCGACCATGCGGTTGATCTTGTCCTTCATCTGCCGCGTGATGGTGGTGAGCTGGTCCTCCACCGCCGACAGCTGTTCATGCAGCATACGCTGCTTGTCCACCTTTTCAGACTTCAGTTTCGTCGCGTTATTATAGACCTGTACAAACATTTCAAGATTACACATGCCTTTTTTTACTGTATCTATACATTTATCTTATACACAATATATGTAGAAAAATTGTAAGACACAAATAGAGAGTTAAAAAAAAAGATATTTTAATTAAGAATAAAATTTTTGCATTGAGGGGATCGCACTAACGGCGACTGTAATTACCGTTGTTTATGATACTTTCAATAATATAACCGATGTATATACACTGACCATGTTATCTCTAGACAAAAGAAGGTTTAATTAATTCAATAAGTAATTTTTTACCATATTCATTAGAAACAAAAATTTAAATATTTATAGGGGGGAAAGGAATTGTTAGTAATGTGAATTAATTATTCCATTGCTAGCAAAGTACCAACTCAGGTTGACCTCCACGCTGATCCACTGGAAAGTATCGTGATAAATTCCTGGCCAATTTGTTTGCCAACTGACCTGACCTCATGCTCATATTATCACCTCCACTGGTGCCCCGCCAGCGTAAACCGTTAGCACAGGTGGGTTTGCCATTCCATTATCATCCATAAAAAAAATGTTTTTTAATTAGTTTTATGTGCGTATATTAAGATTCTAGAGTGATAATTAGATATGGCATGATACCTCTTCTAGTGCAGCCATCACGTCCCCGGCGATGTTTTTCCCGCGGCGCGAGTGCTGCGCGAACTTGGTGCGGACGGCCGACTGGCTGATGCATTCCTCGAACTTCCGCTCGAAGTCTACGAACTCGAAGTACCGCACCTGGTGACCCTCGGCCATGATCGGCGCTGCAAATAATCACAAATAACTATATATTAATATGTAAGTAAAAACTTTTTACCCTCTTTTACGAATTGTGCGCAGACTGAGGAGTATGAAATTATGCATAAAATATACATTAAATCAATAAAAAATCATTACACACTATGTATTTGACACACGCACATATTCTTTTCTTTATTTGTTATAGCTGGTTCAAAGATTTTTTTGTATTTTTTATTATGATCAAATTTCGACCACTGGGTGATCAAAATTCAAAATTCTTTATATAGGAAACTGCATTTTTACTAAGTTACGAACTAACAACTACTAAGCCACGACCGTCACTTGACTACATTTCATTAATTAATTAGAATCGCAATTACCTAACATCTACCAACTTCTCATCAATTGACGCCGAACCTACCACTACAAGAATTCACACGGTTTCCCTGTTTTCCTTCTGTGTAATAGGAAGGACTTGCGCCTCTTCACGATCACCAATTACACCCAACATAGAGGAATGGTTACAAAACAAACTCACATGAGACAGGTTTCTCGCGTTCGCGCATGCGCGTCAGCAGCGCCTCCTTCGCGGAGATGAAGAAGATGCGGTCCTCCGCCTCTTTGGGCGTGCACACGCGCAGTTCACTTGCCAAGAAATCCACGCAGCGGTTGGCGTGTTGTGTACGCACCTAAAATGTAATAATAGTAATATATTTATTTGTTAGAATATGGTATGTACAATGGTAATTATATTAATTCAATAATCGAAGCATTAAAAATTTTAAATACATTATAAATTCTAAATATTAATCTTTCATCATAATTTCTAACTTTAAAATATTATTATAGACAATTGGAGCATATTTTCTTTTTTTGTAACCCATATAGATAGCTCTATCTGGTGCCAAAAAAATTACTAATGTCATAATTTTTAGATTCGTGAAAGACGTGGCGTCTTTGTTACAGCTGATCACTTCACAAATATTATAGCATATGAGTATATCATATATGTTTGTCGGTGTAAAATCAATAAAACAAATTTCTTTAATAGTTCAAATTTCGTGATTTAATAGTTAGGTCTATTAGACTTTAAAATATGACGTCTAAGAGAGGTTTTAGAAGATCTTAAAGTCGTTTATGAGGTCCTTACGCCAATTTAAGTCTATAGAACTTGTAAAAAATATCACTTGGTATACAAACCTGTTCTAAATATTCTGGCTCGGATGCCGACGCGTCCCATCTGTTGTTCAATATAAAAATATTTGGTTGCGATATTTTTGTCGATACTTTATGAAAGAAATTCTTTTCCTGGAACACAATATTAGTCAAATTAATTTATTAATGTATACATATAAATACAATTAACTAATGGCTATCTGGATACGAAGAAAAATATTATTAGGCGACTTCATCAACCTAATAATAGACCTCAAAGCAAATTTGTTAGAATGCTTGTGTATGCGTTTATGTACGCTAGAGATTAGTAAAAAAGTCATATACATACAAACAATTGTATTCATTAGTATATTTGTATTTATGATTGTTTGGACTGGGTGTTCCTTTGTAGTTCATTATGCTTGAATTAATAAAAAATGTGTTAAGGTATTGCGAGTACTATACAAGCTTTTCTTAGCTTGGAATTAGATGGCGTTATATATACGTGTGTGATATGTCATATCAATGAAGTATCTTAAAAATTTCTGTAATAGTTATATTATTAAAAATATTGTAGTGTATGTGTATTATTTTTAATACTCATAAAATATAATATGTTCTATCTTCATTCTCTGGTCACAAATAATTATTTATAAAGAATTATAATTTATTGATAAATTTATTAAGAAAATATTTTCTAAATTCAATAGTACATTCATTTAGATCTTCAACGCTAATAAGTGTTCATAAACTAAATATATGTGTGCGTGTACTCACAGTGACCATGAGCGTGGACTCAGCGTTGGCGACGAGTACGAACACGTCTGCATCGAGGCAGTACTGGTCGATCCAGGTGTCGAGGTTGGGCGTTACGTCTACGCCGGGCGAGTCCACCAGCACCACGTCGTCGCGCAGCAGCGCGCACAGCTCACGCGGCCAGTACACGTGCACCAGCGAGCACTCCTGCAGGCGCGACGCACACAGCGCGTGCCCCAGCTGGCTCACCGACTGACACCAAACATAGCATTATAGTCCTCCATCTGACTATTTGACACCAAACATAGCACTACACTCCTCCGTCTAACTATCTCCCTCCCCACCTAACTCTACAGCGCGGCCAGTACATGTGCACCAGCGAGCATTCCTGCAGTTGCGAGCCTGCTTGCCCCAGCTGGCTCACCGATTGATACCAAACATAGCACTACACTCCTCCATCCAACTATCTCGCTCCCCGACTACTATTAGTAATGTGGACTAGGTATCCCATTGCTAGCACTAGTTACCATGTCAGATTGACCTACATGCGGTTTCCCCTGTTCCAACAGAAATTTATTATGATGGTTTGTAATAAGTGGTTCTGGTGGATTTGCCACAATGTGTTAACTAAACTGACCTCATGCTCATCTTATCATCCTCCACTGGCACCCGGCCAGTGTATACCATTAGAATAGGCAGGTGCACCATTCCATTAACATCCATTCAAAATTGATATAACTACGTCTTAGTCATTCACCTCTTCCATCAATGTTTATAAGTTCATCATACACAAATATTTTAAATCATCTGTATTCATTAATGTTTACGATTTTTTGTTTTAACATGTTATAGGACTGGTACCCCTAAATTTAGGATTGTTAACCCAATTTATAAATTTTTTTTATATTTTATGACATTCAAGAATGGTTCTTAGGAAGAGAAAAATTGTAGGAAAAAACCTAATTCTTGCTTTCACATTCCTATACAAATTATTCTTAGTTTTCATTTATCGATATATTAAAAGATTAATATATTACAAGGATATATATACATATAATGGGTGACCAATTATATGTAGATATATCCTTGAAAAAAGTTTGAATTATTTAGGCTTACTAAATGATTCAAAAATTTTCCTTAAAATACAAGTATACATATATACCTGAACATTAAGTTTCTCCTCTGATCCATCTGTACGAAGGAATGCTTCATCTGTATCGGAGCCCTCTACCTGCAGAAAGCAGTTGGTGGTGTGCCCAATACCACTGGGTAAGATCTTGTCATGCAACATGGCATTTATCACCGTACTTTTCCCATTGCTTGTTCTAAAATGTTAATAAAAGTTTTAAATCTATTTAAAATAGCAAAGTAATTGTTAGATGTGATAATAAACACAACACAAAATATGCTGACATTTTGTTAGGTTGAATCCGTGGCGGTTAATAACTTCGATATATTATAGCTGTTTCTATCACCAAAGTCAGTCAGAATTAAGCTTTCTGATGTTAATAAGAATCGAGACCTTGTAGTCTAAGTTGGGATAGTAAGTAAACCATTAGACTATCAGGGCAATAACGATGAATTTTTAATTTTATGTGTAGCTATTGGAAGGTGGATGACATCTGTCTCTCACTCTACAACATATATACATATGATCACAACCGGTTCTGTCAAGAGTGTATCAAACAAGAAGTATCCTAAATGATAATAATAGCCATCAGGCCAAATGGTGTAGGACACAGGCCACCTCTCTGTCAATAGTAGGTATAACAGAGGACACTCACCTGCCGAAAAAAGCAACTTTCATGTGATCCCGTTTGAGTACTTCTCGTATAGCCTGTACTTTACTGATGTATGATTCCACGTGTGCGACATCCTGTGCACTCGAGATACCTTTGTTTCCCGATACAGCTGTAAATATGCATTATATACATAAGAAATAATAGCAAAAGTATACAGAACTAAGATTATACTAAAGATATGCCAAGGGATGACTATGGAGTAAAACTGGAAAAAAAATAACAATCAATTGCATTGAAGAAAATAGAGCAGAATTGTGATCAAAATATGACCATAACATTTTAGGTGGCATGGTCTGAAAACGGTTAATAAGCTAATTTCAAAGACAAAATAATACCTATATAACTGAAATGTGAACCTCCATAACATCCTCAGACAGTTTGAAACATTCAAAATGGAATTAATGGTTGCAAACTGTCTAAATTTCAAAGAATATTATGGAATTAATATAAGACTTAAGACAAATATTCTATTCAACTTTTTATTGCATAATCAAATCTTTAATATATGCTTTAGTATTCAACTCATATTTAAATTAATGTTGGAATTGTTGATTAAATATGGATATAGATCATTTTACTATAAATCTATCTTCATCACAAATCTGTTTGAAAGAATTAAGGAGAGTGTAGGCAGAGAAAACAGAGTGTATTTGGCTGTTAACCAAATTCACAACTCTAATTTTATATTCACTATGTCATTTTATACTCAACAATTAATATTTTATTTTATTTTGTATAATATATTTATAACACATACATAAGCTTTATCTTTTTGCACATCTTCCTGAATTATAATTATGTTGAATATTAAACTCTGTCCAGATGATAAATTTATATTTAATGTGAATGTAAACAATTGATGTGTCATTTTGTTTTGTATACTACAATTCTTACACACATACATAAGTTTTATCTTTTTGCACTTCTTCCCGAATTATAATTATGATGAATTTCAAACTACGCACAAGTACCATGCTTAATAAAATTAAAAGGACAAAGGACAGTCTTTTTAATTTTACCTGTTTTTAATCATTGCTTATCATCTGCATGTTAGTAATATTATGTAAACATGATTAATTAAATCATCATTAAACAGAAGGTAGATACCAGTATTATATAACTGATAGACACTGACATTGATTTCTTTGCAGTAAAATTATATTTACTCATATTATTATTAATTAACTCTTTAGTATTTCATGTCTATGTTATCTGATTTAAATTGTCTAATTAATGTAATAACATTATACTACAACAACAATCACAACAACAACTCATCACATTCACAGGAATGAGTTATATGGTAATATTAACTCTAATGAATATTACCATATAACTCATCAAAAAAGAAGGATAAAGAACAAAATGGTTTATTTGTTCTATTTTCTAATGATATAGTAATATAATTTTATTACATAAACAACTCTAATACCTTGATAGTGACATTAGTACCAGTTCCAAAGGTTCTATTCTATGTATAGATAAAGTAATTAATAAGTGACATAATCATATATTTATTTATATCACTATAGATGGAGAATGTGTCACATTGTGAGACAACAATATTAATAAAGGAATGAGAAAATATATCTTATTAATATTATAAATGCGAAAGTATGTGAGTATGGATGGGTATTTGTTGCTCTTTCATGCAACAACTACTGAAGGGATTTTGATGAAATTTACAGTAATATAGCTTATACATTAGAATAACATATATGCTATAAATTTAATGTGGGTAACCGCATGCACAGCTAGTAATACAGGTATATCATTCAAACTCACATCATACACCTGTTAAAGTCCAGTGACTTGATTGTATAAGGTTTCATTACAATTACAATAGTAAATATTATTTAACACTCTATTCGGATCATTATTCATTACAATAATTTGTGTTGTAACTAAATTGTTTAAAATTTATTTTAATTACTTTTATAAGTAATTTGAAAATACCCCACTACTGTAGGTAGTGTAGCACAGGCTTATATGGTGATGTGATGTCTAATGGTGTTGTATGTATATTGGCAATAGTTGATATTTTCCATTTCATGGAACATCTGCTTGCTTCCCATTCAAATAAAATAAATAAAAAAAAAATTACTTACTATGCATGAATGTGACTGCATCTTTAACATAGTCATCAATCTCAACAAATATATCATTGATCTTCTTTTTGGCTCTTACAAATATCTGCAGTGGTGAATCCACATTGGGCATGTTGACGCGGACAGCGCCATTGTTGAGTGTCGCAACATTGTGGGGCCCGTCGCCAGCCATCATTGACATGGAACGGTTAACATATGCAGCCATACGGGAAGGAAAGATGCACGGTTGTCGTTAGCTGAACCTTATGCCGGACAATGCCAACAATATAGTCAATGTATCACTTCTACAGTTCTAACACAACATGCAGTGGGTGACTGCAACAAAAAATAAAAGAGGCATAAACAAAAAGTACATATATGTATATAATATGGTGCATATTCTTTGAAAAGAATCCAGTGATATTCACAAAAAATAGTCTCAATATTATTTAGGCATCAGAACCTACATATAAATGAATTCTTTAGTCATAGAATAATAATTATTTATAGACTTAAAATCACTACGTAATTAAATATGATATATCAAACCGTTTTAGAGATAGATGGCATTTGTTTGTAGACAAACAAACAAACAATATCCTAAACACAGACACCATATTCAATTGATCATAGATAATAAAAATATACAGCTGGCATGCTAATATAAAGAAAATACCATCCATCCATCAAACCATCAAAACCAGGGGTGTTTGTCTTTCATACAGATGTTTTTGACAATGAACAATTGCTTATGTGTGAGTTGCGGAATATTAACTATTGCTATAATAAAAAAAAGAAATAATTTCATGGGTAATGTACGTATAATATACTTAAACTAATTAAATTAACATTTAAATAATAATATGACTAAACTATAATAATTTATTTATATAATCATTATTTAAACCATTTATCATGATTGTAGATCGGTTGAACAAAATTACATCTAATATGACAAAACAGTGTGCTGTTTTCTCTTGAGTTCTTGCAATAATATCAACAACATTCAATGAATGACAATGAATGAAGGTTAACAGAGTATAACATTGAACGACAGTTTATAAAAAAAAATATTCATGGGTTCTTGCTTTTTAGAGCCCATTTCGGATACGATGGTATACTGCTTTATAGAACTAGGTGTTATTTTGCTGAAGTCCGTTTCATTACTTAATGGATTTATATAATTCAGATTTGTATGGTAGCGGAATTCCACAAAATAATGTAATTTCATTAAATAACTTATGAGAGAAAAATATAATATGAAGATAAGAAGTAGCTCTCAGCGAACCAGTTTTTTATATAATAAATTATTTCCATTTACCCACGCGTATCTTTACGTTGTGGTTTCGCTTTCGTAATAAGTTGTTTATTTTAGTAGATTATTGAAGTTATTTTCAAAAATACTTGTCGAAATGGAATAATTAATAATCAAAAATAACTTTTTTCAATTTACTATATTTTAAATTTTAATTTATTAGAAAAAAAAACAAAATACTGCATACTTTTGTATATATTTTGCAATGATTACACGCTAAATGCTTTATTAGCAAAGAAACTTATATTACCTACTGAAATGTTGTTTACTTACTTTTACTACTAAAATCACTACGTTATGAACATGCTATTTTTGTAATAAACAAAAATAGCATGTTCATAACGTAGTGATTATTTGCTTCGATGGAAGTGTCAAAGTCAAAGTTGTAATATTAATTTAAAAAAACACATTTTAGAAAGTTCGTTACATTTCGAAAGTTTTTAAATTGTTTCTTTTCTTGTTTCTTGTGTTGAATAAATTAGCTCTTGTGTTTATGTTTTGAATATTATAGCAGTTGTTTGTATGCTAGAATTGATTCGCTGCAACGACTTGTATTTATTCATATTGTGGATATTGGGTATAATCAACTATGTCTACGGATGCATATAGAAAGTGTGCTAAATGTGGAATAACTGCTATTCAGGATGGGGCACTATCATTCCACCGGTTTCCTAAACCTGGAAAAACAAATGTCGGACGGTATGGTGACTTTCACATCTTATTATCGTATTAATATTATAAACATGAAAATTTGTTTGTGTGGATGGATAGATGGATGGATGGATGTTTGTTACTTTTTCACGCAAAAACTACTGAACGGATTTTGATAAAACTTTACAATAATATACCTATGTATCAGAACAGGCGGGTGAAACCACGGGTACAGGTAGTATTTTCAATAATATTATAGTATAATGTAATTATACTATAATATTATTCCAAATGATAGTAAACTTTTATTATACATACATACATTTGATTTTTCCACCTCACAGTCAAATTGGATATGATTTACCGGGTATGTTATACCATTGTAATATCTATATAGTAATAATTTAATCAACCGTTTTTGTGCTATGTCCACATTTGCATTTCTAAAATTCTTAAGCCACCCTCCCCCCCACACCTCCCCTTATGTAACATACATAAAATTTTGATAAAAAGAAATTGAATTGTTCACATAGAAACCTAAATGACATGTTTTATGGAGAAATGACTAAGTTTGCTAATGAAACACGTTAGTATATTTTCAAAAGATATATTGACAAACTGAAATTAAAATTCCTAAAAATTATCATAAAGATTTTTCTATATTAGTTTATTATTTTAATTTAGTGATAAAACTGTTAATGGCCAGAACCAAAATTTATAGTTATCATAAAAGCAGTAACAATAAAAAATCTAATACCATTGAATATTTTGGTTATTCTATTAAATGATTAAATTTGTTCAAATAAATTAACTAACATATGTAAACTTGACAGAAAAAGTAAACATATAATTGTAAATAAAAATATTTATATTGTTATTACTGTTTTACAGGGCAAGAGCTTGGGCTAACTTTTGTTAGATAAGACTGGACATCACTGGATGATTTATCCAAACTTTTTAAAAGCAATAAAGTGTTATGTAAAAGACACTTCAAGGATTTTTGTTTTACCAACACTACAAAAAAGCAATTAGGAAGGTATTCAGTGCCTACTGAAGATAATGTTGCAGTAGATAGCTCTCATCAAGTTGCACTAAATATTGAAACTGTAGCACAAGTGACTTGCGAAATAAGTCCACAACCAGGGCCATCCTGTGTAACTAATCTATCAAAATCTAAAACCAAAAAAATTTCCACAGGAATTTTAAAAAATATAAATGTTAAGAAGTTTGTTGAATTAAGTGCTAGAGAGAAAAAACTGTAAAATTTGCAGTCAGAGTTTTAAGGAGATAAGTAGATTACGCAAAAGTTTAAAATGTAAAAAGAAAGCTGCCAAATTAGAAAAAATATGTGAGAATGAAAATGTTCAAAAATTGACTGATTTGAAGTTAAGTAATACATTTATAGTATTGTTGCAAAACCAGTTGCAAAATTGTAAAAGACAGTTAAAAGGTCGACGATATAATGTTGATCAAAAAATTATGGCTTTAACATTGTACAAAAAGTCACCTGCATGCTACAGACTTTTACGAAGAATGTTTGCGTTACCCTGTCAGAGTACATTAAAAAAGATGCTGAATAAAATACCATTAAAAACAGGCATTAACAAACAAGTATTCGAAAGTTTGAAGAGAATGGCTGAAGGCCAATTGGAGGATGAGAATCTTTGTATTCTAGTATTTGATGAAATGACGATAAAAAAACATCTGTATTATAATGAGAAGACAGATATTATTGAAGGATTCCAAGATCATGGTAGTCATAACAGAACAAATCAAATAGCTTGTAATGCCTTAATGTTCATGTTGACAGGTTTAAGAAAAAAATGGAAGCAACCAGTATCATTTTATTTTTCTGGGAAGTCTGTAACCTCAGACAGATTATCAGTCATAATTAAAGAAGTATGTTTTTTTTTAATATTACATACAATATTCTTTTAATCAATTTCTTATATTATGTATAGTAAATATTATTGTATTTTTAATATATTATTACTTTTCAGATATTACATGAATGTTGGAAGACAGGTTTAGTTGTAGTGGCGACAGTATGCGACTTATCAAGAGTCAACATAAAGGCTCTTGATATCCTTGGTTCCACAAAAGAGAATCCTTATTTTGTGCATGATGGACATGAAGTTGTCACAATATTAGACCCGCCGCACCTCATCAAATGCACGAGAAATATGTTTTTAAAACATGATATTGAATGTTTAATAACAAACATAAATAATATTGATGGTCAAACTGCTAGAGGTATGTAAATAATATTAAATATAGTATAATAATAATGTAACAGAAGAGTCATTTAAACAATAACTAACTATTAAAGATATATTATGTCTAGCATACATAAAAGTAGTTTACTATGTTGTAGTATTATCATTATCTGTAATACATGCATTAACCCTTCAAATACTATTTTGAGTTTCTGATTCATTATGAAAAGTGGTTAAGCAAAATAAAAGATAATTTAATAAAGTTATTTATGTATTCTAACTAGTATAATATTATTATTGTTGTGATGTTCTAACAAAACTTTATCACAACAGGTGTGGCGATGGTCACATGTGCAAAAATTTTATGAACTGGATAAAAACAATCCTAATTTTGTTTTTGCACCTGCATTGACGGAACACCATTTGAACCCTAATAGTAAACAAAAAATGCGTGTCAAATTGGCTGTGCAAGTGTTCAGCCATAAAGTTACAGCTGGAATATTGCATAAAATTGCAACAAGTAAGTATTTTTTAATCTATTTTGATAGCCTGAAGTGCTCTAGCTGTAACATAGCTCTTTACTTCCAATGGTAGCAGGTTTGATCCTCACATGGTACAAACATTTATATACATGAGTATGATTGTTTGTGTTGGTCTGGATGTTTTTGCTATTATTAATATTTACTGAGCAAAGCCTATTACTCACTAAACGATTACTTGAATGACGAGTGTAAATGGCAATAGTTGTTCACACACTGAATTTTCATTTAATGATAATAGACATAGACACCTATATTAATATACATTGTAAATAAACTGGCTTTTAAAAAACAAATAAGTAATTCAATTGAGTTTCTTATCAGTTCTTTTTCTTTGTAATAACTCTACATTTCATATCTTACACATCTTTGACAATATTTGTGTTGTCTTAGTTTTCACTGCAAAGGTTTCTTTTAAAGGTTTCCATTAGTATATTAACTGAAAATTTTGAATATAATTATTATATAATTTTTTCAGATGAACTCCCTTCAGAGGCGTCAGCTACAGCGGCATTATTAATTAATTTTGACCAACTGTTTGATGCCGTTAATGCCGATACTCCTGACTTACGTGGCGGCAAAAAATTTTCAACCAATATGACACCACGGTCATCTCACCTTCAATTATTTAGGAATATGAGAAAATTCATTTCGGAAATGAAGTTTATTGGTTCGAATTCACCCCCACCATCACAGGTTGGGTGGATTCGAACTATAAACGCGGTAGAAAGATTGTGGAAAAATTTACAGGACTTAGGAGTGAATACTCTTTCGACACGCCGCTTAAACCAAGATCCACTTGAAAATTGTTTCGGTTGCATCAGATACCACTGTGGATCTAACGATAACCCAAGTACTGGACAATTCATCGCGGGAGCAAAAACAGCTATTATAAATAATTTACGCCATTCTGGCTTAAAACGAAATTGCGAAGATGATGAATTCATCCTTAATGATAATTTAAAAAATTTTTTATTCCCTACTGATAAACAACCTGATAACATATCCACAGGTGAGAGTTCCACAGTGGATTTTGAACCACTAATTGCTGATGCAACCGAAGCAATTGAGCAGGCATCTGCTGAAGCGCAAGCATGTGCGTATGTCTGTGGATTAATTTTTAAAAAAAATAAACACAAATGTATATGCTGTAAACAAATATTTTTATCATCGGAATCCACGGACGATATTAATATTTTATTTACAGATTTTAGGGAATATAATGAAATGGACAGAAGTCTTACATATGTAAATATACAATTTGTGCAATGTATAGAGGTATGCGCTTCAGCAGTGAATAAAATATTAAATGAGGAAGGTTGGAAAAAGGGATTAAAAAATAATGTAATATCTGCTCTTTCTCAAGTGGACTTTAATTTTTTATTAAAATGTCCAGAACATTATGATGAAAATAAAAAACATTTAATAATATCTACTTTTCGTATTTGTATTAAAAGGTATACTGTATTAAGAAACAGAGAATTTAATGAAGAGGAGAAATCAAAGAGTTTACAAAAAAAAATGCGTATATTAAAAAACAAGTAATTAATTGTAATTACGATTGTAAGCTTGATTGTAATACGAAGAACAGCTAGGAGTTAGGTTCAAAATTATGGTAATTTCTCTCGCTGTTATTAATTAGGTATCATTCCATTACTTCCTTATCCATAAAACCCCATGTTGATAAAATATAATACTTTCTACAAATCTATTTTAACTACATGCTTATTTTTATGAATATGGAGGTAAAACGCTGTCTTATAAACCTGTTTTAGCTATTGTACTCTGTGGTACTCGGTTGTTCTTTTCTTACTATTTTCTATAATAGAAAGTGGTAACTTGCTAATAAACTAGCTGCAATCCCTTATGCAGGGTATATGTAGAATAAAATGTACACATTACATTAACCGTTCTTGAAACATCCAAAATTTTTTCCAAATGTTTTGTTTCAATTCATATAAAATACATACAACATTCAGTTTTGTATAAATTGTCGCCTTTAACAAATAGCTATTGTCGTTGCTACTTGGATACAATAAACATAGTTAATAAAGTCCTGTTTATTCTTAGATTATTTTTATTGTATACCGCTACATGAAAAAACTGTAATATATCTAACACAACGCTCTGAAAAAAGAAAATACAAATAAATTTACAGCGCCATATCTATAAATAGAAATATGTAGTTCATATTAGGGCTATTTACATAACGCTGTTAAAATATTTAAATGTTTAATATGTATGAAACACTGATAACTGTAGTTCCGAAATTTAGTTTGTATCTGCCACTGTCATATATATATATATATAGCATACAGACAGAACCGGGAATGACCTAATTAATGTATTACAAGAAAATCGCAATTTATTGTTTAGAAGTTATCAAATGTTATGTTGCAAATAAGCAAACAAAACCAATTTTTTATTATTAAAGTATACCAGAATGTCATGGATATTCCCAGTTCCTTTCGTTTCGCCCGTAGATAAATAATTAGCCACCATTAATATAGATATTAGTACAAAACGAAAGAAAACAAAAACTGTAATATTCCCTGTTCATTGCCTTATACCCTTCACATGGTTCATACATAATGCAAACTATGAACGTTATTGCTAATAAAACACCATTGTAACAGTAAATAATAATAATGATTTTAGTAGTCCTAAATTATAATTACTATGTAGTTTTAACACAGTGTTATCACTGTTTTCTGACAACCTAATAGATTCAGTATATTATGTGTACATAAAGTACATAAATACAATTCCTAAATAAATTAATTTAGAAATTGATATATAAAAGTTTGTTCGTTTTTGTATTATTTTGTGATTGTATGTATTCAGTATGTGTAAAAAATCAGTAGTTTCTTTTATTTTTAGGGTCAAGATATTGAATTCTATGTAAGCGTAACACGCCACTCAAATGAACGGGCAAATGGAATGAAACTAATAAAAGAAAATCAAAATCTTTGTTCTTATTTTATCTCCAAGAATACATGAAATATACTTTTTATTTTAATGCTTTTAGACCTGCTTTCATAAGCGCCAGTTAATCTTATAAATTAAAATTTAAACATTTTTAATTTGTAAAGTTAACTAATGTTTATGACGGCTTCTCTGCCATTTTATCCATCAGGGTATGGTAGTTCTTATGAAGCTTGTAGAAATGCGGCCAACAGCTTGATCAAGCACGTGTTATTTTTGCCATTCAAGGCTACATTTGCCTGATTTTTTTGTTCCTAAAGGCAAAATATCCGTGTTTGATGAAGCTCTTGACCGTCTAAAGACTTGAGTAATAAAATTATAAACACAAAATATTTGAATTTCCCTCCACTATTAGTGCTAAAATATTCCGTGCGGAATTTGTAGCGCTAGTGGTATTGGAGTATTTCCCATTTTTTTTGTACTAGGTTACCCTTCTTCTCTTTAGAGTATTATGTTCCTTGATCAAAACAATGCAGGTAAGGTTGATTTGAAAATGTAGCAAGCATCACGAGTGCACCAAACTAATACTGTAAAAACGATAGAGGTTATTTTGGTGGTTTGGGAACTTAGAGTAACAATAATCAAAACATCAAAATAAAAAGAGGCAAAGGTATATCTACGCAAAGGATATAAACATTAAAAAGCATTATTTTTGTAAATAAATGGCACCTTATCATCTCGTTGCATCATCGAAATCAATGCGCATCCCTGCAGTCTGAGCCGCGTGAAAATTTGTGCACATACAGATTAATGTTATTGAAATTTAATATAAAATAATAAATACAATTGGTTGAATAAGAGATAAAACAACTGACAGCCGCAAAATTTCGTTTGAAATCACTAAATTAAGCACAATAGTAAAAAAACGTAAGTACACCAAACATAAAAATATTCAATACATACCTAGATTTATAGTAACATGTTAAATAAATATTTATTTATTTATCTCTAAAACTATTTTTAGTATTTTGCGACACGAAATAATAACAATTTTTTTTTCATTTAGAATTTTTTGTTTTCAATTTTCATTAAATTTCAGAAGATTGAATGAAAAGACTGAATAGATAATCTATGACTTGAATGATTGACTGAATCATACGGAATGTCAATGTTGCCAAGTCTAATTTCGATTTCCTTGTTATAATTGTATTTAATTGCTCGATCAAAGATTATCTATTCTGTGATCAAAACCAGATTGTTAAATAATGTGAAAAATGAAAGTTATCAATGTAACCATAACAAATTTTGTTTAAATAATCATGTAGTTATTCGAAATCTAGACATTTAAATTTCTTATAAAATACAGAATTAACGAAAACTCTTTTAAAGAATTAAGACATTATCAAATCCTTCACTTATTTATTTATTCAGAACTATTTTTTGTACACATTCGTACGTTCACATTGGTAAACATAGATCAGAAAGTCTAAACGGGCAATACTGAAAAAGTTAGTTCTCCACTAATTGCATACTATTGAACCATTAGAAATAGCAGAGTATTCAGTACTTGGATTGGTTTGTCAGTACCGATTGTCTATGTTTCTACGAATGACAATTCAATCTGTAGATAGTTCGACTTGTAATTTTCATGATCGATTGAATTCATTCGGTCTGTCATTTAGCTTCATTCATTCAATTCATTCATTTTAATCTGCTCTTCTTGTTTTATCGGTGCTTGTTGAATTTTGCATTTTAAGTTTGAATTATAGGTTAAAATTTGCCCAATGATATATGTGTATCTTGTAAATTAAACTTGAACTTAATTTAAAATGTCTCGATCTGTACGCGCAGAGACTAGAAATCGTGTCAAAGATGACATCAAAAGAGTCATGCAAGCTGTTGAAAAAGTTCGCCATTGGTAAGAGTCGCGTATTTTCTACAATTTAATATTTTCATTTGATAAAACTTGTTATTATATATGATTTCTGTTTAATTGTATCTTGATAATTGATTTTCATTATATTTTCTAGGGAAAAAAAATGGGTAACGATCGGTGAAACTACAATGAAAATTTATAAATGGGTCCCAATATCCACTAATGAACAGAAAAAGAAGCACGCAGCGAAACGGGAGAACAAGGAGAACACATTGACGCCTAAGAAGATGCACGATTCTTCTAACTCCAATTTCGGATTGGCAGAAGACTCAAATACATGTAAATAAATTTTAATATTATTACATCTATTAACAATTCCGCGGCGATGCCTGCGTAAATTGGGGTAAAAAGTCCTTCTTGTGTTAACGAAAGATATAATCTATAAGTATACAAAATTACATATGAATTGATTTAGTAGTTTTTGCTTAAAAGCATAACATACATTCTACCATAAATTTCAAGTTCTTTTACATGTATTAGTAGGATCAAATACCTGAATGAAATTTTGCATTTACAACTAAATAACTTCTACAATAACTTAATAATTATATAAAAGAACTATTTCAAAAGAAATCCCCAATTTCTGACAAAAATTGAAACCTGTGTCAATGTAAGTTTTAGTCATTAATTGTAATTTAGGTCAGACACTACAAATTTAAAGCTGTGAATATGTAGAAATATGAGAATTAGTTTTATTTAAAATTTTATACCCATATTGATTATTATAGTTAATTATATAGTTTTAAGGATTTTTTCCTGCAATTAATCATACAGAATATTCTGTTATAAGGTAATAATGCATTATACATTTACCTAGCAATTCCAGTTACTTCAGTTTTACAAGTTATAATAAAAAAAAACAATACTATTACAGGTTTTTCAACAGTGAGTGATTCCCAGGGTCCAACAGAATTCACCTCAACGCATATGAACTTTTCTGAAGACTCAAATTCTCAGAGCAGTGGCACCACAACACCAGCGAAACGGTTAAAAACTGATTGAGTCAAACAAAGGAAAAGGGATATATAAGTCCTGATAATGAAAAGACTAATTCAATCTGACTAATTATATTGTGACTATTATATAGTGAAGTGCTGTGAATTTGCTTGCATTTGTGATTTATATGCATATATGTACAGGTACAGACAATGGTGTGACAATAGTGTGGCATAGCTGTTAAAATAAAGACCATAGACAAACTAACTTTTATTACCTTCATAATTAAAAAAAAATCTTTAATCAATTTAAAAAACTACAATGTCATGACAGTTTAGATGTAGGGATGACCCTACTGATGAATTTGCCACAGAATTCAGATGGGCCATATGCTTGTTTGCCAATGTCATAGCATAAAAAAAAACTTTGTATACCCTTTTTTTTTAATACAGTTGAATATCACACACCTAGTATAATATTGTATTATTTAAAAAAATACAAACTTAGGCAAAGCCACTTTAGTTTTATCTTTAAAGTCTAATTTTAAATATTCAATATTTTTAGTTAATTCATTATTGTACTAGGTGTGTGATAAATTACTTTTTTGCACAGATATAATATGCTTCTACCCATGAGATATTGGGAGTTTACAAAAATGTTTATAAAACATAGTAAATATCTTGCTACAGAATGTGTACAATAGTATTCTATTTTTTATAAGTAATTAATATTAATATATATTTGCAATATGTATAAGTCATATAAAATTTTTATTCTAATTAATTTTATATTTATACAACATACATAGGCATGAAGTAAAGATTTATTACCATAAAATGATTATTGTGCCTATCTTATTTTTAAATGACATTAAATGAAAAACAATACTAAGATTGTTTACTCCTTATCTCAGATAAACAAACAGAATAGAAAATCCTAATTATACTCTAATTATAGAGAAAATCACTGTTCAATTTCACTCAGTACTTAGTGTCTAGATTAGTGTACAACTGGTATGGTAGTACCTTAATAAAGTTTATGAATTGTATTTTGTACTGAATTGTTTACAAAATGGAATGTATATAAGTTACACATATAAATTATTTAAAAGAATCGTCTGGATATATACTGTTTTATATGATGCATATTAGCAAAAGGTTAATATTAAAAATGTTTGAAATACTCCATTGTCGGTGAGATGTAACACTTCAGACGCTGCCTCATACTTTTATAAACTAGAATTTTAATATTATGAACTATGGGTTTCAGGTTTTTAAATAGCAATTAGTACCTATTTTAGGAAATATTTGCGGAAAACCAATCTATGGTTCATAAAATACTATAATTGCTATCATAGATTATTTCATAAAATACTTATAACTTATTATTTTATTTAATTATCTAGACTTACACCAATCACTAATGTTTTAATTACATTTTTAATTTAATTACAAACTGGAATTGTATAAATCAATACACTAATTTTTAGAACAGTGAGTTCACTCCAATATGCCTGTGAAGATACTACATCTTCTATGCTTTTAAAATCTTGGCTGCATATTATAATAGGTTTTGCTTTACACACATAGTTGAAATGTTACGTTGGGTATGGAAATAGAAGTCCATTTCACATTTACATTTTTACCAATATATAAATTGTTCTCTACATGCATAGTTGAAATATGACTAAATAGAAGTTCATTTTACATTTTTATCGCCATGTAAATTGTATAAACCCAGCTCTCATCGATTCCATAGTGAATACGTAGTTATCACAGGGTTACCAATGCAGTTTACAAAACCCTAATTCATGGCCCTGTATAGATGGTAATTAAATTTTAAAAAGACCTAATTCAGGAGGCATTTCTTCAACGGCCTATTATCGTTGCTTGCGATATACGAAGCTGTATCTATGTTATTCTATATCTATGTAGTGTGAAATGTATGAATTTTTAATTTTGCAAATGAAATAATTTTGTAAATATAATGAAATTGTAATGTGACTTAATTACTTTATTATTTAACTGTAAGTTTCTGTATCATGAAAAGGGGAACTGAATGTTACTTCATTCCAGCTTTTATGATATTTTTCAAATTCTCACGGGAATGGCAGATAATGTGTTCAGGCAAGCTAATACATAAGTAACAGTTATATTTTGTCCCATCGAACTTAATTTGGGTATGTAATATTATGTTATCTGTGATTTGGGCTTTGTCTGGTTTCGGCGCAATTTAGAGTTTGATTCACATTGGCCAAACCAAATTGATACCAAAGTATATTAACCGAAACTACACCGGTTTCATTATTTGGCCAGTCTCGGCTTCGCCCTGTCGATCGTAACTTTAAGCTATATATATTAACATAATATATAGCATAAGTCACTCTGGAATAATATGCCTTTCAAACAGTGAAAGAATCTTAAGCGCAGAGGTTCCAGAGTTTACTTGTGTCATAACAAAATCCGCTCTCTTTATGTTATATATATAAATGACTTCTCTTGGTCACGGCATCAGGCGTGAACGGTTAGACCCATTCCGCCAATTCCTTTTTGTCGTGTTTGTTATTGTCGAAAATAATGAGTCTTTTATAAAAACTTCTTATGAAAGAAAAAATAAGAAAATTGCGCTGAACATTACAAAACTAATATGGTCGTTCTATATATTATATAATACTAGCTGTCCCGGCAATCGTTGTTTTGCCTTAAAATAAAAAAAATTTAGGGGTGGACTACCCCAAACATTTAGGGGGATGAAAAATAGATGTTGGCCGATTCTCAAACCTACTCAATACGCTCACAAAATTTCATGGTCAAGCCGTTTCGGAGGAGTATGGGAACGAAAACTGTGACGCGAGAATTTTATATATAAGATTTGTTCAATAGGTCGACTGTCTGGTCAGCTAGTTCTATATATTAATTCACACCCATTCTCGTTTTAATTAAATAACTATCCCATTTTTTCCATTACTTTTTGTAAGTAGAAGAAGAAAGAAGTTTGGAAGAAGTTAAGTTATAATCCAGTCGAAATCAAAAAAGATCGTTATTTTGTCTAATTTAATTGTTTATTGCACAAGTATGCTAATTATATACAATTGAAAGTTTTACATAAACAATTTGGAAAAATTATATTTAGTTTAATGTGTACAGTAATAAAATATATTGGTAACAGAGAAGATAATAAATGAAATCGTAAATAAATCAGTTGATTTTCTCTTCCGATTCCCCCGAGGACACTGTCTGCGAGCCCAGTGACTCCATTACCGAGAACTGTTCAGACAGATTGTCGACATCTTGTATGCCCATTATTTGTGTGAGCAGATAGCTGAATGTGATTTCCTAGACAAAATGAACAGCAATTTAATAATAACAACGCAGGACAAATCACACAGCACAGTTCCAAGCTAAGCAGAGCTTGTACTATGGGTAAGTACTAGACAACTGATATCACTACCTTTTTTATTAACACATGCATAGGAAACGTCCAACAACAAGGGGGAAAGGGATTGTTAGTAATGTGGACTCTCGACCCTATTGCTAGCCATGTACCATGTCAGGTTGACATCCGTCCACGCGGTTCCCCCTGGAAATCGTGATAAATTCGAGTTGAATTTATCACGACAGGCTAACTGACCTGACTTCATTATCATCCTCCACTGGTGCCCCGTCAGCGTATACCGTTAGCGCAGGCGGGTGCACCATTTCATTACGTTATTGGATTTTTTTTGTATATAAATACAAAAAAAACATCCAACTAGGTTGATGTTGACCATCAGAAATAACGGTTACATTTGACAGTTGCAATTGTTGACAGTATTATTCTGTTCTCAATTGCAATTGTGAAAAAAATCATTAATAGATAAATAATCCCTCTCCATTCTCTTAATTAATATAAACTTTTTTTTTTCTATAAAATTGTATCGCGGCACTAGAAATAGTTACGTACCTCTGGTAAAAACGAGAAGTCATCTTCAGCAATTACCGCTCGATCATCGAAACCGTGTCCAGAGAGTATGGAGAGGAGGTACCATGACAACTCGCGGGAGAAACATTCCCCTGTGCAGTGTAATTATAGCTGTTACTATATGAAAATGTCTTTAATCATTATATTAATACATGACGCAAAACTATACCCTTTTTTAAGTAATTACGCGGACCGAGGAGTATGAAATGTTGAATAAATAATAAATTGAGTATGATATGAAATGTTTTTTTTATATTCCATCGTAAGTCAAAAACTAATTACGAGGCAAAAATATTTGAAGTACGCAAAGGAAACCCAATTATATAACATTTGATACCACCTATTCTGTTTAAATTTTTTAAAAACACTTGCCTTTTTCAAAGAAAATAATAATAAACAATTAATACAACGCCATGTAGTCCCAAGCTAACAAGAGCTTGTGTTATGGGTAATATACAAATAACAGAAATACTTAAATACATACATAATATAGGTGGTACCTATAACGATAACACCCAGGCCAATATAAACAATCATACTCATGTCTGATTGTATCGTGTTGGGAATTACCCGCGACCATCGGAAGAACGCAGTATGATAAACAGCTAGAGCACCGGTGCTGTGAATAGCTTTTAATTTTTTTTTACAATGGATCCACGGTATCTATAATATAAGTATCATAAACTTCAAATCTATATCATTACTTTTTAAAACAACTCCGATAAAGATGAACGCAACATATAGGAGTATTTTCATATAAGAATTTCTTTACTAGCTGGCCCGCGCAACTTCGTCTGCATCATTATCATTATAGTTCGCCTAATAGCAGCGTTTTACCTGAAATAAAACGCATATTAAAGTACTTACCTTATTCGAAGCTTATTATTGAGATAGGCACTTCCGTTTCCCGTCATTTTTACGTCATGTCCTACCTATTTACTCGAATATTGGTACTTCCGGCAGCGTCACCGTGCAGTGGCGCCCTCTATATCCTTAAAGTAAGTTTAGTTTTTAAACCCTGGCGCCTGTATGGCTCATTGGATCGAAATTGAATGCACCAGGCAGAAATAAAAGATAAGCTTCGAATAAGGTAAGTACTTTAATATGCGTTTTATTTCAGGTAAAACGCTGCTATTAAAGCACTTGACCGTTATTCGAATTATTGAGAAGTGTCTGTTATCGCCTGGTGATGCTGCAACCAAAGTACCAAAGGAATAAATACGCCAATGTGAATAAAATAAAATAAGGAGAAATAATATTATATTATAAATATTTATTTTAATCAAAGTTATTATACATAGCGTAGAAAATTTCAAACAAAAACAGTTCCTCCATATAAATTAAATACTATTTTATAAGTATATCGTTACCAATAATTAACAAAAGAAAATCAATTCATGGGACTAAATAAGTGCGCTACATGTGGAGAATCATCTGCGGCAATTATTTGACGTTGATAAAATTTGTGAAATGTATTGGCTGATCGCCAATTCCCACGAGCTAATATATCATCCAAGGGATAATTCTTGATCCAGTTCTTTGAAGCCACTGCCGAACGCACGCTTCCTGGTGTTCCAGTAATATTGGCCTCAATAAATAAGGTTTTTATCCAACTAGATATAACAGTACGAGATGCAGGCTTAGGATCGCTTCTTAATGTAATAAATAATTCATATAAATTATTAGTTTTTCTTCTATCATTTAATATAGCTATAGTTTTATCTAACCAAAATACTGGATTAAGATTATTATTGTCCGTATTATTTAGTAATTTCCACCCAGATTGTCTGTGTGAGCTATTGTCGGTTTTTGAACCGAATTGCGGCCATAATATAATATTATCGTTGTATTTAATACAATGTTCAGGATCAATTGTAAGCAATGTTTGGTCATGAACGCGACGCCCTGAACACAGGAGTAAAAGAACTGCTGTATGGCGCACAGTTTTAAAAATATTATTTTCGTTTACTGTATAACTAGATAAATAAGAAATTAATTTACTAACATCCCAAATAGGTATCTTTGGGGACTTAGTTATGTTTGGGGACTTCAAGGAAATAGCTTTCAAGATATGTTTAACTAGGACATGAGAGCTAAGCTTACTTGACGTTTCTACATTACATAAGGTAGACACAACAGATTTATGTAAAAGAACTGTACTGTACGATAAGTTATGTAATAAGTAAAGGTCTCCTAAGAACTGTGCTAACTGACCACCTGTTGGATTTCTAGAGTCAACCTTGTTAGTATTAGCCCAGCTAAGCCATCGTTTCCAAGCTACATCGTATGTTTTTGAAGTGGATAGACGCCAGGAATTCTTAAGTAACTGACGCTGTTCAGGTGTCCAAGTGTTTAATGCCGATGACCACCCCCACATTTCCATATCTCTAGAATCAATTCCTCTACCTTGGGAGGTGGGCGACCTGTCGTTGTGTCTACTAGATACCGTTCCAGATTTTTCAGTGTGAATGGCGCTGCGAGTGATCGGGCTTTGAGGTCGGCTCGCCAGTATACCTTCTTCCAACGAGGCACCACTAGAAGAAACGTTCCTGTTGAATTGTTGAGGTGAGTAAGCACCTTGGGAATTAGAAAAGGTGGTGGAAATACCCAAGCCAGGGGATAATTCCAGGATTGGCTGAAAGCATCGTGATATACAGCCAGAGGGTCCTTCAAATCTAGTGTGACATAATTCAATACCACGTGAGCCCTGTGGGATGCAAATAGGTCTATCGCAGGCAATCCCCACTTCTTGAATACTTTTTCTACGCATTCTGGAAGCAGGTGCCATTCGGGAGGTTGACGGTGTCTCGACAGATGATCCGCGTGGCTGTTGAACCTCCCTGGAATGTAATGTATTGTAAAATGTATTTGAAATTCGTCTAGTATTTTCAGAATTTGATAAATTATTTCCAGCAATTGAACTGATTTTGTGCCTCCTTCTTTTCGCAAGTATGTAACGGCAGTTTTGTTGTCGCATTGTATGAGGATGGAGTTGCGACTCATCAGATGGCAATGACTTTGAAGTACACGCAATATTGCAAGTAATTCCTTCTGGTTGCAGTGTAATGGCTCCTCGTCTTTCGACCATAGACCGGAGAGGGTAATATTGTCCAACTGCGCTCCCCAAGCTATATCTGACGCATCTGTTGTCAGGAACATTCTTGGTGGCGGATAATGAAGGGGTGTTGAGAAATAACAATTTTGAACCCACCATGTCAGTTCTTGCTGAATTATTTGAGGTAAAGTATAGATCACCCTCGGATTGTCTGGTAACTTGCTCACGAATAGAAGCAGCTGACGATGATTGAGCCGGCCTCGAGGAACTACAAAGCTTGCGAAGTTCATGAGACCAATCAACTTTTGTAGTTTTCTTAATGTTCCTCTGTTGTGTTTTAGCACTTTGCTTACATTTTTTACAATTTTTTCTGACTTTTCTCTTGGTAAGCTCTTTTGGTTCTGCCATGGCCACCACTGTACTCCTAGAAATATCAAACTTTTTTGGGGAATTAGAATAGACTTTTTGAAATTTATTTTCCAACCCAGATATTTCAATATGTTTACTGCCTTTTTTACTTGATGTTTCAGGATGTTGATATTTTGATGAGCAAGTAGAAAATCGTCCAGGTATACGACAATTCTTACATTTTGTTCTCTTAATATCTGTGCTACCCAATTGGTAAGAGGAGAAAATGTTTTGGGTGCGGTGTTTAGTCCGAATGGTAGGCACGTCATTTCGTACAATTGGTGGTTGTAAACTAGACGTAGGAATCTCCTGTGAGATGTTCGTATTTTGAGATGAAAATAAGCCTGTGAAAGGTCTATTTTGCAGAGCCAATCTTGAGGTTGTAAAAAATCTGGAATGCGGTACATGTTTATTAGATGGAAGTGATCTGTTATTACAAATTTGTTTAAAGCTTTTAAATTGAAGATTGGACGAGCTGTGCCATCTGTTTTTAGTACATGAAACATTGGGGAGATGAAACTTGGTGAAATAGAGACTTTCTTTATTATTCCTTGATGCTCCATATTGGATAATATTACTGACATCTCTTTCGAAGTAGGAGTTTGATATGGACATTTCTTCAGATTTGGTTTTATTAGCGGAGGTATTTGAGAAAAGGGTATGCGATATCCTTGTATTAATTGCAGGATGACCTTTGGTGCTTCCATTAATTTCCATTGTGGATAAAAATGTGCTAATTGGCCTGCTTTGAAGTGTTGCGAGTCATTGTTTATAATGCCTTTTTCTCCCTCTGGATGCCCGAGGGGGAGACTGTCGGCTTCGATCACGATGTCCTTGAGTACCGGACCGCGAGCCACGGTTACGAAATGTGCCTCGGTTATGAAAAGACTCTCTTTCTGATGTGCTTGGCTGATTAAATTGAAAGTCTACATTTTATCCTTGAGCATGACCCTGGTAATGTGGGTATCTTCCCCGGGGAGATTTATAATTAGTGCATGACGTGTTAAAATCAAAATTATTTCTCGAAGTACCACGCGATGGTATTGCTTAAGGCGAACCCAACTCCCGCGAGGGGTGGTAATATTTTACGCTGTGTCGCTCTTGAAACCTTGCATCATTCTTTGCAGGCCAGAATGCCTTGCAAACACCGCCAGCTTTTTCTAAAGCCGATGAGAAAAGATCACTGTTAAATAAATTTGTTGTTGATGGCGGTATTTTGTTAAGGGATGCTTTAACAAGTGGATCTCGAATTTGTCTGAGAATAGTATCTCTGCGCATTTCAATACTCTCGGCTCGGTGTCCACACGCTAATTGCAAGAGGTCAGTAGATATTTTGTGTAAATGGCCTTTTAGAAATATTTGTTGGATCTTTTCATCTAATTTATTTAGACTTCCTTCTGGTGACTTTGACCATGTCACAAGTTGCCTTAAGCTGTCTTGTAATGCTTCCTTTTGTTCGAGAATGCAGTATGTTATAGCTGCATATGATCTTTCTGCATATTTTAAGTTACACGAGGTGTCGTAAGTTTGTACCTCTTCGTTGGTATCTAGATCAATGAAACCTGGAGAATGAATGTATTGCTTTTGGGTATCAGCATATCTAACTTCTGACCAAGAATTTTTTCCCAGTTGCTGCACCTCATTAAGCATTTGTAAATAAATGTCTGGTGTTTTAAGGACAGAAGGTTCTTTTAGTTTTGTTGTTATCTCAAAAGCAAAATCTTCTGGCGGATTCTGTATGCTGTTATTATTAGATTGACTCTCGTTTGTATCAAAAATATCGTTTCCATATAATTCACCACTAACCTCTGAACATATAGATGCTGCTTCCTGGTCTCTGTCGTAGAAGGACCGGCGTAAGTCACCGACTTCTTTAAATAATTGTTGTATCATTTTTTCTGTCCGTTGTTTTTTAACTTTCTTGTTACATTTTCGTCGTGATCTTTTTCTTTTAGAATCATACGATGCATCAGACGATGACGTGTTCGTTGAGCTACAATTATTACATGAACTATTACTGCAATTACTTTTGCTTCGACTACGACGCCTTTTACGAGTCTTTTCACTTGGTCCAGCCACTATTTGGGCATTTGGAGAGCCCTCAATTGCACTCATACTGTAAGAGAAGCTGTAGATGAACACTTACTTGCTAAATGATTAGTCAAAAATAACTCACTGTTAAACTAGACTAGAAATGTTTTTTTTTTTTTTTTTGAAATAAAAAATAAAAAGGAGTAATTCCTAAACTGCGAGTACTTTAATATCTATAGAATAATCACAAAATTCCAATATTTTTCATTAGACATCTAATCGTTTGATTAAACAGGTAGGTACACAAAATTAGACATAAAAGCTTAAATATATTTAATTTAAAATCAGAACCTGTAGGTTCAAAATTATGTCGAACGGAAAACCCGTTAAATAAAATCACTGGAAATATGTTCATATTACCTTAGTTGCTATTTGAAGATTTTAATACTGGAGTAGCAAAGCTGCTGCACTCAGGTTACTTCGACGGGAAACAAAACGCCAATGAGCCATACAGGCGCCAGGGTTTAAAAACTAAACTTACTTTAAGGATATAGAGGGCGCCACTGCACGGTGACGCTGCCGGAAGTACCAATATTCGAGTAAATAGGTAGGACATGACGTAAAAATGACGGGGAACGGAAGTGCCTATCTCAATAATAAGCTTCGAATAACGGTCAAGTGCTTTAATATACATAATATCTTTTTAAATTACAGCCTATGTGTTATTCTGATGTAGGTATAAGCTATAATACTTTCAAGTTTCATGAAAATCCGTTCAGCAGTTTTTGTGTGAAAGAGTAATAAGCATACATTCATACTCACAAAATTCGCGTTTATAATATTACTAAGATATATTCATTTACTCATGTAAGACATTTTAGCCGCTTACGAACGTCATGTTTATTGAACTTTTTTCCTACTGTGCATATCAGTCATTTTATAGTCATTCATCAGTCTTTATACCTGCATATATAAAAAAAACAACTATTAAAAAGAGCAACACACAAGCTTCTTGCTCATTCTTCTTGTGATGAATCTGCATTCCGAATGAGTGGTAGAATCAAAATATGACTATTCAAAAGTGCTTGTAATGAGATTATTTGAATAAAGATTATTTCTATTTCTATTTCTTACCATGCGAGCCCAACATATCAATAAAGTCATCACGATGCATCATGTATGTCTCTTTCTGAAACGTGGCGAAACTTCTGAACGCGTTGCGGACCTGCTGGTAGCTATACCCGAATGCTGGTCTGTGGTTCAAATACAGCTTAACAAACTCCTCAAAATCTATCTCCGAACACGGCTCCCGTAAGAAGACCTTATATTTCGCTTCCACTATTAAATTTTCCACCTGAAAATTTCAAGATTAAGATAGACTATCGACGAGACTATAGGTACATATATTTACATATTAATATATTTATTTAAGTAATAATTTGTGTGTATCTGTATGTGCATATAAAAAAGAGAACTGTCAGTGCATAAAGGAGGAAATTTTTTCTAATGCTCCGCCCAACTTAATTTTTTATTTCATAACAACCTTCTCCTAACAATAACAAACATACCAAACAAAGAATTAACGAAATCGGTCCAGCCCTTCAGGCCATTTTCTTTTTTAATTATTGTAGTCGTTTTTTTAAGAAAATTATCAGACGTAAAGGAAGGTTCCATGGGAGTAGTTTACTCACATGCATGCAATTCAGTCATGTAAAAAAAGCCAACTGCAATATACCTACCTCATATTCAGAAGGAAAGTAGCCAAGTGCTCTCATTAGATCAGGTAAGGAATCAATTGGTATGTAATCCCTGACGCGCCTCACCGCCGGCGAGAAGGTACCTTGGCACAATATCTGGATGTAGTAGAAAAGATCCCTGATTTCCTGGAACAGCCAGCCTGGGCGGCCGTTTTCGATTAAGCAGTAATAGGGGTCTAGGTTGCTGCCGCCTAGCTTTGTAGTCGAGTCCACTGATCTGATTATCAAATTATTAATTACTTATTATTTTTGTTGCTAGTGCTTCTCAAGTGAAAGGAATGATTAAAGACGGTAAAATGTTTTTTTGACACAAGTGGAAGGACGCTGCTCTTCAACTCTCGGACCTACAGCTAACTTTCACTAGATTTCATAATGTTTTAACCATCGTAGAAGTTTTCTACCGAGAGGAAATAATTGACGAAAAAAGCCTCTGGCTCGTGTACTATACTGTCTTGATAGTATAAAAATATATATTTTGTTCCAATAAAATCGACTTCAATCAAAATTATATTAGTCTGCAGTTATATATATAACCTGCAGTTTTAATCAGTAGTTAGGTACTTTATATGCGAATTTCTTGTTAAACTGGGCTCATATTATCAGGCTTAGCCCAGACAGTCCGTGTCGGCGACGGCTTTTCATTGGAGCATTTCCAAAGAGGGTCGGGCTTAACAAACAAGCGCCAATTGAACGGCGTCGTCGAACCAGCCGTCCGACTTATATCGAATATATACACCCATTCTTAAATACTGTATACTCAAATTATTAGGGTAGATACCTGTAATTAGCTGCCCATTGGCACATACAACTGTCCTTCGCTCCAATTGTAAACAAGGTGCCGCTGTCTTCTCGGAAACACATGTCTATAACCTTCACAAGAAGCATATCAGTATAAAATCTTATTTGAAAAGGTACGACGAATTGAACTTCATGACTATTATAACAGATCGGATATTCAAAGTTATTGTCAACTGTCGACATTGCGGTGAATGTACATGACTTACAATTTGATGGGCTAGACGGTAGTGTTACAATTGCCACGTTGGGAAATTTGGCTGGTTACCGATATTTTCGACCCCGGAAAGTTGGTAAGAAATATAACATTTTTAGTGTCGAGCTGATTAGAAATCAAATTCTAGGTCGGAGTTATAAAAATTTTAAATCAAGTAATGCAGATGAAGGATGACCAGACCTGTATAGGATGACCCAGCAATCCAACATGTTTCCAAGGATTCCCATCTAAGGGCATCTTCTGTAGACCTATAACATTCTTTGTCGCAAACAACAGATACCGCAGCTCTTCACCTTCCTCTCTCCTGGAAATCAGCTCGATCTTACGCACAGGATGTTCATAACGAGGACCCAGCACCGTTGACATGGTCATTGTCGTTGCGCAGTTGATTAATTTGTATTTATGCTGGAATTGTATGGAGATTGATGTAATTGAATGGCTGTAGAGATCGTTTAACATTCTACTTACCTACATAAAAACTACTATTAAGACGACGCATCGTAAATATTAATATTAGTGAACTCAATTTTTTTCAGCAATTACAAACTTTACGGGGCTGATATTTATGTACTTCATTTTTAATATCCTTGACATCATTTTATACATTTGCAATTTTGTAGCAGATAAAAAAATGTCAATGAATTGTCTTTTAAATCATAGATTTACATTGTATAAGAAGACAGATCCAAATTTTTCTGTATACATTATACTAAGTACACACTTCAATTGTTTATTACGGCGTCGCTTTAAGAATAAGCAAATAAATAATGTATATAACTTGAAATCCTTTCCCCTCTACCCATAGGATGTCTGGAAGCGCTTAAGCGATAAGACCGCCTTTTGTACCTACATACTCCATGCGCTGTTTTTTTACTCCATGTATTCTTTTAAGATGCAAAATAGAGTAATAATTAAAAAAAAGTAAATAGTAGACTACCTCGTCATTTGCAATCAGTATCAAATTCATATCATTACGATGCTCTAAAGGATCTAAGGTCATTGGAGACGGCCACGCGATCCCGACCAGCGGCACTGCACTCTGATCCACACGGTCTAGACTAAATATTTCCAAGTATTCTTCTGAGCTGTTGCCTATATCGTATTCGACTATAGTTCTGTCTGCACCGAAGGACACTAACTGGTATTCATCCTTTTCTGTCTTATACGGCAAGAATAGGATAGATGTTACGTCTTTATAGTGAGCACGATGTTTTCCAATGAAATTCCATTTAAACGTAATGCAATCATACTTATATACGCCGACAGTTTTGCCTGTATCCTGAAAAAAGGATGTAGTTTCGATAATTTCAGTTCCATAGAGATGAGTAAAGAAATTATGAGAATTAATTTATTTTAAAAACAACTTATTTATACTTAAAATATTTTGAAACAAAATACAACAACATTTAATTATGTTAGCATTTAAATAGATTTTTAATTAGTTTTTTGTCAAATTGAATGTTGAACAAGAAGCCAACATATTTTTTTGTAAATTGGCTCTGCTTTTACATAGATATGTAATACTATGTTATCGGTGCTATAGATATCGGAGCTTTAACATTGAACTGCATGAAATAAAAAAATTGAAATTTCGGGAAACTAACTTTAAAACATTATTATTTATGTATTAGCCGTAATTTTTCTAAAATTGGATTTTTTTGGGTTAATGCATTTTTATTACAGTCAAGGAAGGGAAGGTAAGGCAAGAGGCATTAAAGGTTTTTCATGTGATTTGCATTGTCACTTATTTTAAGAGATGTTTTTCTGTTGTCTAGGAGGTCGGCCTGACCTGACAATGTGACCAATATTCTCCACATTACTGACAATCGAACTGTTTACAAATAATAACATTAAGCCCTCTGTTCTGTAAAGGATATATTATCGTTATCATTAGGCACGTGTTGCAGAAGCTAAGGTAAATAAAATGATAAAGACATGTTTGCTTACAGCAAAAGCTAAAGTCAGGGAATCACAGCTGTATGTAATATCTTTTATTGCATGACTCGTGTCCTTGAATGGAGTTTCCGTTAATATGTTGATAGTTATTGGATCTAAAAATAACAGCTCGCCAGTATTTAAGCCACATGCAAGATGGAAACCTGTAGAATAAAATATCATCAATCTGGTGGTGCATGTATACCTTATATACGAGTATACTAGTTGTAGGTATCTGGTGACGTAACGTGGATATGACCTATGTTATTGACTGTTAATGTAGATTTCGATAGAAAAGTGTCTATTTTTAATGTTGGTTGCAACAAAGCATTATAAATAAATGAACCGTGATGGTTATCATTTCACCACTGCAGCTGTATATATATATTTTGTGGATGATAATGGAATGGTGCATCCGCCTGCGCTAACGGTTTACGCTGGCGGTGGCCAGTGGAGGATGGTAATGTTATCATGTTCATCTCAACACGAGGTCAGGTCAGTTAGCCCATCGTGACAAATTTACCAATTACAAATTTATTACGATGGTTTCCAGAAGGAACCGCGTGGAGGTCAACCTGACATGGTACATAGCTAGCAATAATATCATCAGTCCACATTACTAGCAATCCCCTTTCCCCCTGCAGCTGTATATTTGATGTGATGAGGTGTCGCTACTTAATTTGTTTGTTTATATAATACTAGTTTTTGCCCGCGGCTTCGCTCGCGTTAATTTATCCCCTTAGGGATGGAATTTATCAAAATCCTTTCTTAGGGGATGCCGACGTCATAGTAGCTTTATGCATGCAAAGTCTCAGCCCGATCGGTTTAAAACTGACAAAGTTTCATACAAACTTTCATCCTCTATTTTGGAGGTAGAATTAATCAAAATCCTTTCTTAGCGGATGCCTACGTCATAACATCTACCTGCATGCCAAATTTCAGTCCGATCCGTGCAGTGGTTTGGGCTGTGCGTTGATAGATCACTATGTCAGTCACCTTTGAGTTATATATATTTAGATTTAGACATTAGAGATGCTACACACGCGGGTGCATTCATTTAAATATAGGTTTGATTACCTGAAGGAGAATACTTCAGACACGTAACGGAAAGCTGCGGTATTGTCACTTCGTAATTACACTTTATTGAATCGCATTTAGGAGGTATGACCACCTTGTAGTGGTCTCGCAGATCGAGCCTCGAGATCAGCTTGTGTTGTAAGAAATTGTACAACTCTACCATACCATCTGCGTATCCTATGCATACTAATTGCCTGAAATATTATTGGAATACAATAATGTCTCTTGACAAGAAGAGCGAGTATACTTGCTCGAGCAAGAGCAACGGCTCTTTATTATTGCCCATTGTTGATTTTAGATAAGAACTTCTTACATTGATTTGTGTGTCTGAAATTTCCAGATTCTTGTGATTTGGTTGTGGTCTACATTGACTTTTAAATTGTTGTTTTTTTATTATCTAACTAGCTGTTTAATGTTAATGTTAACATTATTTTTCGAAAATAAAAGTAGCCTAATTTACCCCTTATTACATCAGCTACCTGCCAAAAAAAGTCCCGTCAAAATCGCCCCAGACATTTCAGAGATTAGCCGGAACAATTAAACAGACAAAAATGTTATTTTGGTATATATAAATACGGTATATTCACATGCATGTAATAAAAAATTCAATATTACAAACAGACACTCTAATTTTATTTATGTGTATAGATTATTGTCAATACCCTCCTTTCAAGCCAACGTTGTCTGTAAGAAATCGCTATTTTCCGACAAGTCCTTCTTTATTACCTCTGTATCTTATTGTAATGTTTATTTTTATATTTGTATACATATTAATTTATGTATCTAATTGTTTTTTTACTGTGTATAGAACAATGAAAAGTTTTTTCATTTTCATTTCATTGTTGTACCTATGTGTATTTTGTATTTGAGACGTTCAATGGCATTATATTCTTTGACTCTGCTTTGTCTAGAGATATAAGTACTTTTACTACGCTACTTGCCGAAAGTGAATGAATATTTTTTTACTTCTCCGGATGAACTGTTAGTGACAATGCATGCGATATCTTGTTGTCCAGCACAGTAACCAGCTTCTCAGTCACGAAGTCCACGAAATTAACACCCTGATTGTGAGTACCTGCAACATTAATTAGGGCTGCTTATTATATATCTTTATAATTATACTAGTTGACCCGCGCGACTTCGTCTTACTCATCATTATATATCGCACAAGTTACATACCTAATATCTTTTTTAATTATAGCCTATATGTTACAATTTTTCTCTACACAACCTGCGGTTGACTGGTAGAAAATGCAGTAAGTCCGCTATATGTATATTTACCTTGGTATTTTGTGAATTGAAGTTATATAAATAAGTATAATAGTACTGTATACTTACATACAATAAAATCTCGGACGATGATCGGTTTGCCTGCCATAGTTGCGTCGCTGGGCAACTGTTGCTTGAGTAACTTCTGTCTCAGAAGCCCAGTCTCAGAATCTATTTCCGTTGTTACTTTCTCCCAACAAAGGCATGGATTGTTACCTAAGTCGTACATTAATATTTAAACATACCGAAAGCAACCAATTCGAAAATTTATGTATAAAATTCTCGTGTCACAATGTTAGTTACCATACTCCTCTGCTTGACCGATTTTTATGAAATTTTATATGCATGTTCAGTAGGTATTTTTCATACCCCTAAATGATTAAGGGTTGTCCACCTCTAAAATTTACTTTTTATTTTTTGTAATTTTGTTATAACATTACTTTGGAAAAGAGTGGATCAGCAAAGAATTGGTATTACTGATTTTATACTAACATTTTGGGTCAAATATCTGGTAGCTCCTAGGCGAGATGTTGAAACTGAGGCCGTGCACGCTATCCACTTGGAAGCCATGCACCCAGTACAGCAGCTTCATTTGCTCGTCGTAGAAGTGGATCTCACCACCGTTGTTTCCTGTTGTTATCACTCTAACACCAACAAACAGACAAAGTACAATTGTTTTTAATTTCATCATTCATCATTCTTTCTAATTCTGTGTTAAAATGTATTTAAGTATCAGGTGTTTATTACCCGTAATAAAAGCTCTGCTTAGCTTTAGGCTAGATAGCGCTATGCGAATTGTCCAAGGATATTATTATTATTATTATATTAGCTGTGCCCGCGGTTTCACCGTCGTTAAATTTCAATAAAAAATACAGCCTATATGTTATTCTGATGCATAAGCTATATTACTGTAAAGTTTCATCAAAATCCGTTCAGTAGTTTTTGGGTGAAAGTGTAACAAACATCCTTACTTACAAACTTTCGCATTTATAATATTATTAAGATATCAATAGAATATATGTAATTATGTAATGAGCTCTAAATATTTACCCATCAATGCTTTTGATGACGTTTATTTTATACTTTTCAATTCTGAAAACTTTCACAAATCTCAAATTCTCAAAGCTCTTAGGTTCTACTTTCTTCTGGTACTCTATAGTGTACCCATAGACCAGTACAGCGCCCCTACTAGTGGCAACGAGTACTTGTGAAGTATCTTGGACGAAAGTGAAACAGGTCAGCTTTCCAAAATCCGGTTGTATATTTTTCTCAGGCTTTTTTACTTTTAATTCATATTTGTCTGTTTCTTTAATAAGACCTCTCTCCATTACAAATACTTTCTGGCGAGAATAAAATATAGACATAAATACATTTTTATTTACACTTTATTGCACCAGATACAGAAAAATAATAATTTATTAAAAAATATACATATATAACTAATATTATAAGTTAGTGAGTTTGGATGTACTGAGTAATCTTCGGTACTGTAAATCCAAATTTTAATGTTCTTGTAGTGATGGAAAGCCTATTTATCGAAAAAAGCTTTAAGTTACATGACGCTACCACCAATTGGTTGAAACTGTAATAAAAAATATTGCAGAAACGACGAAAATGTGGCGCTGACATTGTTACGTAGGCTAGCTAGTTTCTAATAAATTGATAGAGTATAGGATTATTAGGTGCATTGGTTAAAGGGATACTAACGCCCGAAACTCCTATGTATATATCGTTTTTTGATATCAACAAAAACTGTTCCGAATGATAGGGATTGAAATCCATCGCCACGACAGAGTCCCGAGGCAAATCTACTTCTAAGATAGCTGAAATCAACAACAATCCAAATTCAAATTCAAACAAGAGACCATAATTTTGGTCCATCCCATATACGAATAACGAAACTAATTTACCGCTCGGTCTTCACAGGGCGACAGGTATATTTTGACTTACTACGTCGTAAATAAACAAAAATCTTAGTTTTCTCTATAATTATATTATATAATCCTTCCGGAATAAATCGCCAAATTATTCACAGTTAGAATTATAATAAATTCCATTGCCTTTTTATAAAAGTAGATAAATGGAGCATAAACCACACGACAAGGTGATTTTTCGCTTTGTATGATTAAAGTGAGATTCGCAGCTACTCAAAATAAGTGAAACCTTTGTATTATTTATTTTATTTTAAATTATTACATTCTTACCGTGAGGTTCATCTTCTCCAAGTGACCAAATCCACCAAAACAGAACAGCCTTTTCCTTATACCCTAAAGTTAACAAATACTTGGCTTCTGCACTTAAAGCGACTTTAGAAATTTTGGTGTCGCCGTGGGGTGAGAATAGGGTCCTCTGTGGGAAATAATCACTGCTGTCCCATATTATAATAATGTTTTCAGGGCCAGAGTCTGCTGTTACAAGCCACTTGCCTTTTCGATCAGATGCTATACATGACACTATATGTCTCTGAACAAAATAAATATTCTGATATAGTTTTTATACCACAGTGTGCAGTTTATTAATTTTGACTTTGAAGGCAAAAATATATAAAGAGACCGTGTAAATGAGGTAGAGGTTAAAATTTTGCTGTTTATAAGTAGCGAAAAATTTCTTATATGAACATATTATTCAAACTTGAAATTAATTTTACATTGAAGATAAAAATTATTCAATTATTATTGGTGATTTTTTGGCCCGAGAGTCAGTCAGTGTGAGTCGTAGTGAGTTGGATGGGTGATCTAAACTGTGATCCTTACGTGTCCCTGCAGTATCCTCATTTGGTTGGTGGTCCAGTTGTACAGCACCCCACAGTTCGATGCTCCATAGAATATCGTAGTGCTACCCTTATCGTTTAAATTTATTACTCCCACTTTTGGATTGTAGCCGTGGATCCAGCGAATATTCTAATGTAAGTAAGTTCAATGAGTCATCTATGTATATTTTTATTGTTACGAACAACAAAACTATTCAAAAGACTATAATATAATTAATATATTGATACTCAGAATCCGCCTTTTCTAAAGTAAATACTGTCACAAAATTTTGGCAATATAATATGGATAACACACCCAGACCGATACGAACAATCATACTCCGAACCGTGAAGTAAAACGGCGTGCTAAACCGGTCACCGATGTAGTTACTATAATTCAATTAAAGAATGTTTATAGTATTTTATATACTCGATAAAATAATAAGGGAGTACTGGAAGACGCCATATGAGTTAATGTTTACCTGTTAGATGAACTATTTACAATTACCTTTACACATACAATCTTTCACGCGTTAATCGTATTTCAAAAAAGGCAGTGAGAACGAGAAAACGTCATCATTAGGCCTTACCTTACCTACTCGGGGGTATTGCTGAAGCGAATCACCCCTGCATCACTCGTTCTTAAAGTCTCTTATTTACTCAAACCACAAACCCAGTCTTATAATTTCACACTACGCGCTCTGTGTGCCGCTAAAACGAATACAAGATTGTATGACATAAAGCAGACGATTCTGAAACTTACAAAAGGCGTAGGCTTATGGTGGTACTCTGCGAACTCGGCGTGTTTTTTAATCTGTGACAAAGATAAACTGTAGAGACGGCGATCATCAGCCTCGCTAGCGGTGCGTGCGTGCACATTTGGTAGAGAATGGAACTTTTCTAATTGGCTGTTCGGCATTTTATTATACCTTATTTAGGTATATGCTATTCTTGAAAATATGCACAGTAATGTAACTATGACACAGTAGTATAATAATATTATTCTTAGAACACAATTCATGTACGCAATGTTAAGTCCTAAAAACCTACTGTCAACACATTGTGTTTTATTTATTTTTTATATTAAAAAGAGTCTTGTTCTTACTGACAAGATTTAATAATATATTTTATTTATATACTCTGCGTGTAATGTAAAAAGCAATGGTTTATTTATTATGGTTTGGATCTCATTTCAAGGACTTTCATGAGTGCACTGAACATGGCGTATAGGGGCAGAAGAACAGGACGTGGTCGATTGCTAACACATCCCCGTAACCTCGGCACTATGGCGGCGAGAAAGTATACCGTAAGGTTTTTAGTGTGTAGGAGAGGTTTTAGTTTATACCCTCATAGTGAGAGTTGCATGTACGTGATGCAGCTTTGTGCACTGTGCAGCTCTTACCCAGGTACCACTCTAGCGAATAGAATCGGTTCTTAGGACCGACTACTCTATCAGTGCACTCTAAAGGACTTGGAGGTTTATTCCATGTTTTTATCACGTAGATGTTCTTTAGAACTTCTTTCATACATTCTTCATTCGCCTCCCAAGGATGGCTAGTCTTAGCAAAGATTACTCCATATGTTAACAGAAAAAGTTACAAAAAAGAATTTTGGAATCGGGATAAAATAGAGTCCTCGCGAGGGTACTCGCGGTATAGGTGCTATTATTTGGATTAGTTGGGCATCATGATATTTTCCAACATAGGGTTCCTGTATAACTTCTAGATGGAATAGTCCAGCACTGTCTACATCTAATTCGACTGTCGTGACTTGTGAAGACATTAAATAAAAGAAGAGTATTGTAAGTAGTGCATTTTAATAAAGTATAACTAAAATATTCTCTTTTAATATTCACCCAGGTTTAAATTTGAAAATTTCAAATATTTTGTATAGTTTTTAATTAATTAAACCCTAATATTTAACCCTAATTTTTAACCCTATATAATTACCCAGAGGCAATTCTAATTTTAATTAATAATACAACTATGTAGATATCGTCATTGCAATTTAAGTCATAGGTTCATTTAGTGAAGGTTCTCTTTATACAGCATCACAATCACAGGTCACACGCATGATGCAACTGGATAAAGCTATCAGGCAGTACACTATTAATTATTTTGTTTTTAATATTACTTTACCTATTTTGTCTAAGTCGTGCGTGACTTTCAATATAATAAAAAACTCCATCAAAGGGCGTTAACCAGCTTTGTGTCCTCTATGAATCATTATCAAGAGGCAAAGGTCATCATCGTGTACAGCTATACAGCGATATTGGAGTTGTATCTTCTTTGTTCGTTGGACGCAACCATGCGCGCTTGCAAATATCTGTTCAGCTTTCTTTTACTCGCAGTCGGGCATCGTTATGTGACATGTAGAACTATATATTTGGAGGTTAACACACCTACGAAGGAGGAGGTCAGTGTTATCATATACTTATCTTTCGTTCGGATTTGTCAATAAGTTTGTGCGTTTTGTTTTATCTCAGTAGTAGTGAATGCAATTAATTAAAATTATAACATGTCTATTTATTATAATAAATTAAAAATACAACTCATAATCGCTAAATCAAATGGAAGTGGTTCAGCAGTAATCAAGTACCTACTATAATTTTCAAGGGCGACCGCGTGGATGTCAATCTGATTACATATACATTATAGACACAAATGGGGCAATAAGTCCCCATTAACAATTTTCTTCAAGGCAGGCAAATGTCGAGTAGGAAGACAGAGAAAAATATGGTCCGATCACATCAAAGAAATTGAATGAGTATAGCTAGACAAATAGAAAATTATGGAGCAAGTAGGAGGCAGTTTTGACCCTCCTAGGACATTATAATTAAACTTCAAATATATATTTAAAATTTGGAATTATATGGAAAATAAAGCTGAAATAAATAAATATGTATTAACAATCCTTTTCTCGCTTATTTGGAGCTTAAGTAGAGCTTGAAACTAATTTAGAAATTACTTAATTCTTTGGATAAGACTGTGAATCTCTGAAATGACTGGACCGATTTTGACGGGATTTTTTTGGCAGGTAGTTGATGTAATAAGGAGTAACTTAGTCTACTTTTATTTTAAAAATATTCCTTTATTTTAGAAAAATAAAGTTAAATTCCATGCGAAGTCGCGGGAACTAGTATAATTAAAAGCTAGTATAATATAAATTCTTACTACTGTTTATGTTAACGCTTTTCAATGCTCAGACTCAGCTCTCTCAGATCACTCAGATAACAAAAACCTTGTGCTCTATTTCTAAAACACAAGAAGTAAATATTCTTAGCTTTGTTTATTATTCATATAGGTCTTTTACTCAAAAATAGAATTTTGTAATTTGAAATAGCAAAAAATAGGTAAGGGAGGTCCATATAACGCTATACGTCATCTAGGGGGAGAGATGGAGGTGTCACAAATTTCACTTGGACCGTTGGGAGGGTCGTAGATTTTGTGACGTCACATGTCAACGTCACCACTCTCTTTTATATCTGTGCCGTATACTAGATATTAATTAATTCATTTATTTTATTAAGTAAGTGTCCTAGATATTATACGTTTTTTTGAGTGGCTTCACTCAAAATCAGCGCTGCAGTGACACATTGTGGCACCAGCTGAGTGAAGGCTCATAGCGCAATATTAGCTTTTAAGTTTTCTATATTTTTACTTATGCTACGCTGAATAAATGATTATTATTATTATTTTATCTATTGTCTCATTTTCTCAGCATTTCCTGGTTTTTTACGCTTTGTAGTACCACACATTATTATTATATTAAATATTTTGGTTCAGATAGCGTTTCTAAAGAAATATGGGTACCTACCAGAAGAGTCCGCCGAGGATATTGACTTCGCGTACACTCCGCAGTCCATTTCAGAAGGCTTGAAAAAAATGCAAGCGTTTGCAGGATTGCCAGCGACCGGCACATTGGACAGCGAAACTAAAAAAGTGAGTTATTTTTAAACTTACGTGTTTAATATAAATTATTTATATTAATAACGGGGTATCACGGACTCGCACGTTGTCAGCTCGTGACGACGGCTAGTGCAACCTAGTCGAAACGACGAGAGAGGTACTTATGATTGATTTAAGGATGAAAAACATAATCACTTTTCACACGGTGCATTTTCCAGCTGTTCAATATGAAACGGTGTGGCGTGAAGGACATAGAGAACAATATTTCGACAAGAAGTCGCCGGTATCTTGTCCAGCAGGGATGGAGTAGCAAGAACATCACGTTTAGGTAAAAATTAATACATTTATATCATAATTAGCATATATATTTTTATTTCCACTTATACGCTACTTAGTTTATATTTCCAAATGCTGAAAAGAGAGAATAAATTAAACAAATTAAACACCAACAACATCTGGAAAAAATGAAGACAATAGCGTTGGCGATCATCCATTTTTATGTCGTTGTATATATTTATAAAATAAAATATTAATATATTTTATATAAAGTTGTTGTCTTTGTGGAAGCTAGAACGATTAAACATTTTTCTTTGTCTTTTTAGGATTAGTTTAAATACCTTACTAATATTATAAATGTGAAAGTAACTCTGTCTGTCTGTTTGTCTCGCTTACACGCCAAAAATACTGAACCGATTTAAATTGAAATTAGATCCAAGGTTATATAGATGTATCGTCATTTTTAAAGCTAGAAGCTTGAAATTTATTTTTTAGCCTATTGATTAAATATAAATAAAGAAAAAGGGTTGAAAGAAATTGTATAAAAGTGTCCTCAGTATTAAAGTTGCTTGAAACTTATTTTTTAAGCAATTGATTGAATTTTATGTGAATTTTTGAAGTTAAAACGATGAAACTTTTTTATTTGAATGAATGAGTGAATGAATGAAATGAAAAAAGAGTTTCTCTTTATTGTTCCTCTCACAGAAAATATATTTACATATACAATTATGTATAAAATGATAAAAAATATATAATACAATAAACATAAAATAGGTAACGACTTATAAGTCAAATAAAAAAGTTTCATCGTTTTATCTATTTAATACTATTATTTACGCGGACGAAGTCGCGGGTACAGCTAGTGTACTTATAAATAGTAACGAGTTATACTCATTATTAATTTCGTTTTATGAAATATTTAGGTATACGTATTCTATTATGTTATCTGTGGTATTTCTATTGATAAATATATAGTAATACGTTTTATTAAATAGTTATCTGTTTAATGAAATGTATTAATGTTAACTTATAAATCGTAACATTAATACAGGTATGTATTCATAGCTGATACATTTGCATGATTGAACTTTCTTTAATTCTATATATTAACTACTTTTATGACACCTACCAGTGGCGTAGATACCCAGGGGCCAAATCGAACATTAATACCCTGGGCCTTCAAGCTCGGGGGCCTCGAACCCTTACCTTAAAATCTCGAGCAAACTGAACTTTTCAAGATATCTCCCATTTTCAAAATAAATATGACAGGTTGCAACCCAACTTTAATAATGGCAACTCAGTTGAGAGAAATTCGAAAGTTATACCTTTGGAATTCCCCTAAATTCTTTCTGGTGGTGGATGCCCTGCTGAGCAGTGGGGCCCCATTTTTTTATTTGTCCCAAGGCCCTTGGTTTCCTGACTACGCCACTGCTATTGACTAACCTTTTAATGCATTCTAAATATAAAATAAAATTCATTCTTAGAGTCTTAAATGAACCCTCTACGCTATCGAAAGAGCGCGTTGAAAAGCAAGTGGAAGCAAGCTTGGCGATATGGGCTCCGCACGGAGGACTCACCTTCACAAAAGTGGACACAGGCCATGCTGATATACGCTTCTCATTCATGCGGGGAGATCACGGAGATGGGTAAGTATTTAATGATAGAACTCAAGATGCTTTGATCTATGGTAAACCACTATTATCTCTCTCGGACGACATTAGAACTGTTACTTTATACCCTCATTAGCTGGTGCAAATCATTTCAATATCAAAACGCTTTATTTATACAGAAATAAGCAAAATATATACAAGAACAATAAACAGAAAACTATAAACCTTAAAAAATATAATATAATAACCAAAATATATTAAAAGGCAGTTCCTTTAGGCAAGGTATTTAATTGTATTAATGTATAATAATAATCAATTATGCGATGCTGAAACTTTCAAGAAAAGAGCTTATTCCTTCGCCGGTAACGCACTTGAGATTTGCCAGGTGTAATCACTTGCCATTAGGTGAGCCGTAACCAAGTTTGTCCCCTATGCTATAAAAAAGTACCTCCCGCAATCATTAGGTAAAAATAATCCCTGGACAATTCACACAACGCCATCTAGTCTTAAGCTAAGCAGAGCTTGTGTTATGGGTACTAGATAACTGATATAAATACTTAAATAAGTTTTTTTTGTAAATTAAAAGTAGTAAAAATGCTAATTAATTACTGTGATAAATGGACGCCCCCTAAGTAAACGTTTAATGATAATATAATAATATTTGTTTATTGCCAGAAAAAAAGACATACATTTGAAATCGTACACTGTTTGCAATATTGCTGTTTGCTGTATACAATTCTATATGCTGGTAGTCACTCTATTCTCTGAAATTTTAATTTAAAAATGAATCTATATTATTGTAAATATGTACATTTATTTGAAAAGAATACGAGCCGACAATCTTGTCAGTTCTTCTCATCTCGAAATCATTCCGAACTGACGGTAGATTTGACATATCATAAGAGTCTGTAACATACCTACTTGAATAAAGATATTTTGAATTTGTTTGTAAAAAAAGTTTTTCCTACATTGTTTCATTTAACAAAGGCGCATTATTATTACTACAAACGTATTGTTTTTCTAATATAGGTTTCCTTTTGACGGGCTAGGTCACATAGTGGCTCACGCGTTCCCCCCTCCGGTGGGAGCGCTGCACTTCGATGACGACGAGTTCTGGGGGGATAGTCCCGATAAGGAACAACAAGTGGAAAACGACATTACCGACTTATTTGCTGTAGCAGTTCACGAGATAGGGCACGCCCTCGGCCTGTACCATTCGGACGTGAAGAGCTCAGTTATGTATCCGTATTACAAGGTGTCGGTAGAGAAGCTAAGCTTGGATGACATAATGGGCATGCACGAGATCTATAGTAAGTAAAATATCTCTAAATATCTATCTCTAATATAAATTGGATAAAAAAAATTGGACTGTCTGTTTGTAATATTGAAATAACCGTTTTTTACTACATGAATATGAATATACATACTGTACATACACCAAAATAATATTTTTTACAATTTTTGTCTGTCTGTTTGTTCCGGCTAATATCCGAAATGACTGGACCGATTTTGACGGGACTTTTATTGGCAGGTAGCCGATGTAATAAGGAGTAATGTAGACTACTTTTATTTTAGAAAAAAAAAATTTTTTTAGGAAATTAAAACGAATTCCACTCGGGCGAAGTCGCGAGTACAGCTAGTTAAAAATGTTAGTGTTCTTACGTCTACCTTTGCGCTCTAGGTCACTACCATACTGCCGATAATCGCACATATCAATCCTTGCACAGTACAAAAATTTGCGTACGGAACTGAATATTTTAAAATTTATATTATTCTCATAAATTTGAAAATACGAAGAACAATTCGTACCACAAAAACTTACCCCTCCGATCGATCCCCCGTCCAATTCAAATAGGGATCGAAATTACGACGGCCTGAACTCCTAGCGGTGCCCTCAGACTAAAGTCGTATCCGTCGTGCGGGAGTTGGCCTTCAGCCGTTCCCTAAGTCCTTCCGCAGATTTGGAGTGCCGTCTCCACTCGTCCCCTATCGTCCGGTGAAGCTGTAAAGGCCAGCTACGGCCAACAGCATTAGAGTAGTCCGAAAAAAAAAAAAACCACAAAAACTGTTGGATAATAAGAGATACTTTTTTGCATACTTTTGTATGTCATTATCATAATTATCATTTAATTAAGTATTCATTCTTATTTCCTTACTTATAAATGCGAAAGTATATTATATATCTGTCTGTCTCGCTTTCACGCAAAAACTACTGAACGTATTTAAATGAAATTTGGTACACTGATAGTCTAGAGTTCTAGACCCTGAGTCCTTTACATTGGCTACTTTTTAATGCAAAAAGAGGGATTGAAAGGGGAAATGCAATGTTGTATGGAAGAATCGTCATTTTTAAAGCTGGAAGGTTGAAACTTATTTTTACACTGTTGATTAAATATAATAAACAAATATGACATTCAAAGTTTGTAAAAATGTTAATCTTAAGGGTGTACAATAAATAAGAGATGAAAGTTTTTATGGAAATTCGTAATTTTTGAAGTTGAAACGATGAAATTTTTCTCTTTGGTTTTATTGGATTAGATCATTAAATATTTTTTCATTATTTCGTCAAGATCACTATTATGCGGACGAAGTTGAGGGTACAGCCAGTATAATAATTTTTAGTTAGCAAAATCTCTTAGTTTACATTTACAATACAAGTTTAGTATAAAGTAATATTTTATAATCTACCTGCACTAATGTTTATTTCATTCAATTTTGTAGTGAAGGATGAGCTGTTCGAGCTGGAGGACATACCACTGGATGTGACGGAAAGCGACTCCTCAGTGGTGCCCAAGTTCACGCGGGCGGATGACGAGTCGAACGAGAATGAGATACCGGACCTGTGCTACACGAACTACGACACCATTCAAGTCATACAGGGGAAAATATTCGTGTTTGAAGAGGAGGTAATAGTCATACACTTTAGAGGAAAGGGGATCGTTGGTAATGTGGACCAATGATCCCATTGCTAGCAAGGTACCATATCAGGTTGGCCTTCACGTAGTTCCCCTAGAAACCATCGTGATAAAATCCTGGAGAATTTGCCTCAATTGGCTAACTAACCTGACCTCAGGCTCAAGATGAGCATGAGGTCAACTATAGGCCTGCTAGCGTAAACCGCTAGCGCCGACGGGCGCACCACTCCATTAACATCCATTAAAAAAAATCACACATCTCCAAAGAAAGGTCATATAGTAATTATATCTCAATGAAATTTACACAATGCCATCTAGTCCCAATCTAAGTAGTGCTAATGTTATGGTACATATACCAAGTCATAAAGGGGAAAATATTCGTGTTTGAAGAGCAGATAATAGTCTACACTTATAAATATCATAATAATATAATCAAGGTGATATTATATGTTATATAATAGAATCATATAATAGAAACGGCTGAACTAATTTTCATGGAACTTTCACTTACCTAACTAAATAAAAGTGTATTTATTTTAATAAAAAAATACTTATATTTCACCTGGATGAAATCGTATTTGCAGATAGTATATATCTATAAAGTCTAATAATCTCTTGCAGTGGGTATGGGTGCTCAGTAAGAGGCGACAAATCGAAGAGGGCTATCCGAAGAGATACCACGATGTGTTCATAGGACTCCCAGCAGATATCAACATTGTAAAGACCATTTATGAGAAACCTAACGGGAAAATATCTATATTCTCAGGTTAAATTTTAAACATAACATTAATAGTCTATAATTTTTTGCCACGCACAACCACATTGTGGAATCACCTTCCAGCAATGGTAATGAGTTAAATTTTAAACATAACATCACAACATCAACACATCTATAATTTTTACGATACATGTCATGTTGAACAAAGTCTAGTCAATTGTGGAATCTTCCAGCAATGGTATCTCCGAATGGATACGATATTGAAACCTTCAAAACGAGCAATTTTATCTCTGAACCGATAAAATATTGGAACCTTCACGACAAGACCTTATTCCTTCTTATAAGGCTAGCAAGGTTTTAGTTCCAATTCTTCTTTTTTCCAATTCCACTGATTGTGGGTGCTTATGAGCGGCAGTAATCACATAAGTGAGCCGCAAGTGAGTTTGTTCCCTATGCTATAAAAAAAAATACTACTTTATGTTATTTGTATGTATATATTAGCATTCTGCACTCCTCTATATAAATATTAAGTGTGCCAAATTTCATACTCCTCCATCCACAAAATTTTCGTAAAAAGGGGTACAAAGTTCTGCTTCACGTATTAATATACAGATATACAATTTTAGGGAGACAGTACTGGGAGTTCGACTCAAACTTCCACTTCTTAAAGCGCGGCAGTATAACCGAGTACTCGATACCTCGAAACGTGCCAGAGCTGACTACAGTGTTCATATCCAACTATAACAACAAGACCTACCTGATTGAGTACGAGAGGTTCTGGCGGTACGACGAGGCGAAAGGTGCCATGGACAAGGGCTACCCGAAGGATATGTCAGCATGGAGGCAACTGCCGTACCCAGTTGATGCTGCTATCATATGGGAAGAAGGTAAGACTAAGCAGATAAAACTATAATAATGACCGCGTCAAGTTTAAAACAGTATATAATAATACCCCTTGATAATGCTTGACACAGCGCTATCTAACGAAATCTAATGAAAAAAAAACGATGTTTTGTATCAGTTATCCATAACACAATGTTTAGCTAACTTAACTTGAGTCTAGATGGCGCTGTGTGAATTGACCAGAGATTATTATTATTATCTAGTCCCACAGTAAACAGAGCATGTGTTATGGGTACTAAACAACTGATATAAATACTTAATTTTTTTTATAAATACATACATAATATACATAGAAAGCACTCAGACCGATACAAGCAATCATACTCATGAATACAAATGTTTGTACCGTGCAAGGTATCGAACCCGCGACCATCGGAAGTAAAGCGCTGTGCTAAAATATCAGAAATAGAACACAGAGAAATCTGTGCTTTATCTATGTATATATATCATTGTGTTAGTTGAAGTATGATTGTAATGTGTAGGAACGAACTTTTGAAAAAGTATATCTCTATAGTGAATGAATGAGAAATGAACTACGATGCTTTCTTGGAGCACCGCGTGGAAAGGCTGTAATAACTTATTTAGTCTTAAGAATTGGCTTTAACTATATACAATTGTTTTAGTTTAGTATATTTTGGTTTCATAGCAGTTTCATACTTCTTCTGATATATAAATGTTAGAAAAAGTATAAAAGTGGCGCCAGTGTCGAAGAAGTTTAAAAGTAATCGTAATTTTAAGTAGTTTTATGACGTGGTTGAGTGTATTGAGTAGTCATGCTCACTAAAATGTCCAGACATATAACGACGTGGTGCGGCGGGTCATATGGACGAGCGCAGTAATGGCTGACTCATACGTCATACTCGTAAACGAGTGCTGCTTGTAGGGACTAGTCTGCTCTAATTACTACGACTGATTTAATCTTATTGTGTATTTATATTTGACCCTAATAAATTAGTGCTTACAAATTACCAAAATTTGTATTCACACGTTTCGACTTAAAAATACTAAACCTAAACTAAACTTACAACGATTTATAAAGCTTTATTTATAAAGCAACACCCAAGTTTCTTGCTCATTCTTCTTATGATGAGATAGCTTTCCGAATGAACGGTAGATTAAAAACATTGTGATGACTATTCAAAATTACTTAAATTAAGTTTATTTTAATAAAGGATTTTCTATTCTATTCTACTTTCAGACACGTTTTTCTTCCGCGGCCCGCGATTCTGGCGGTTTGATAACGAATTGGTGCAGGCCCACGAGTACTATCCACTGCCAACAGCACAGATCTGGTTCCCGTGTCAGTCCAACGATGAAATGTACAGATATATCACCAACGACGAGCCCTGATGTATGATGTCCGTGTGTGTGAATATTTGTAGTATATTATACACAAATTAATGAGTTATTATAATTGTATGTGGTGATATGAAATATAATCACAGAAACAGTTCAACGCTTAAAAGGAAATTAAACTTAAATTTAACGCTTTATATTTCTCAGGATTCATTCAATTATATAGTGGTAGTGTTACTGGTCGTTGAAAAAACTTGAAATATTTTTTATTCAAAGTGGATGGCATTATATGAATTTCTCTTATGTTATTGATATCATTTTTGCATGTCGAATAAGAGTCGGCTGTATATGTTCAATGTCTATTCATAATATTAATACTAGATTTAAAGACAAACTTGCTGTCCCCAAGTATCGTAAGTCAATAGGTCGTAGGTATAAAATTTTACAATAAGATACCAAAGGATATATTGGAATTACCATTAATTGTTAAATCAATAATAATTTCAATTTAAACAAAGCATGTTTGAGATTTTCATTTAGAGACCCACAAATAAACTGGATTTAAAAAAAAAGTAACAAATTCCAAACCAATGGATTTTGGTATCATAGAAAATGTTAAAAATGTTACTATAGACACTAGTTTTTTCATTTCTAACTTTGCAACTATGTTAAAAAATGTCCTATATAAGAATAACCGCGGACAATACACACAGCACCATATAGTGCCAAATAAAGCAGAGCTTGCGTTATGGGTACTATACAAATAATATAAATATATAGATAAAGTTTTTTGTAAATACATAAAAAATATTAAGAAATGCTTTCTAACTTTGTACCCGAGTGGAGTCTGATCTGAAAAAAGTAAAAATAATATTACAATTTATATAAATGGGATATTTGGCATTATTATATTATATTATTAAAGATCTTCTAAAAATACATGCTGTCCCAAAAGTTGAGGACGTTTGGGACGGCTGGTATTTTTAAACAGGTCGGCTGGAGATGGCGATGGATATAAACAATTATTACAAGCAGACAAGTCTGTCTACCTGCTTTCTTTGTATGATGTAAACAATTTAAGATATAAAACAGTGTAACAATAATACTTTAATAAGAACAACAACTCAAACAGCGCCATCTAGTCCCAACTAGACTGAAACCTAGACGACTGATATGTCTATCAGTCTTTCTATACATTCTTCATTGTAATGAAATAGAGAAAGACACCGAATATTTTATCAGAACGTTTTACGTTTTATCATAACGCTCATACAGGTATATAAAATTTGATGTCATACTTTGTGCTATAATCATACGCATTAATACATATTCATGACGAATTTACGGCGTTAAATATACAGCAACGTAATGTTACGTAGTTAATTACACCGATATGTACAAAATACTCATATCTTTATCATCCAAAGTGCAGACAGATAAATAGACGACTGAGTATAGGTACAGATATTTTTTAATGGATGATAATGGAACGTTACACCCATTTGCATTAGCGGTTTACGCTGGCGGGGCACGAGTGTAGGATGATAGGATGAACATGAGATCAGATCAGTTAGATCAACGTGGCAAATTCACCAGAAATTTATCATGATTGCTACATGATGACATAGCAAGTGCATGACTTGCAACATTTACTCCATAGCCGTCATATCTATAGATTTCAATCTTCGATCAACTGTGGGTCGATGTGTAAAGGTCGGCAAGAGAAGTATTTTTTATATAATTAGCAAGCTTACTGCCCACCTGACTTAGTGTTGACAGTCACCTATATACATGAAGAGCACCACGGTTATCCTGCTATCATAGATTAAAACAATAAGTATGAATATTCAAAAGTGTTTAAAATGAAATTTATTTGAATAAAGAATTTTCCATTCCATTCATATGGCGCCAGCTATAGCGTTCATGCATTTTCATTCTGCAGGACTAATATTTCATGACTCTTATACCACTGCTACATCTCCCTTCAACCGAAAAATTCGACTAGGCGACATCAGCTGTGATAACGAGTGGACGTAGAGTACAGCGATTTCGACGATACTGTGTCAGAAGTTTGTACAACTAGCGTCGTTAGATTGTCCAATCGAACCATTAGACAAAATTTTCATTGACATGAAATGTTCATTAAAAACCTTGTACAAAAATTGCAGCTGCAATCAAAAAAACTGACAGCTTGGCCTGTTATTCTAGCTGTTTCTTTTTATTTATATTTTTTAACTAAACTTTTTTCAAATTTCTTTGTTTAAAATGAAACTAAAACCACAGATAAGATTACATACTAAAACGTAGTGATTACATGCTCAGTGATTGAAACAATCATAAAAAATATATCACTTTTATTAATGTTTAAAAATCACATAAGTAAAACAATGACAAATTGAAGTTGTTAGTTTGTTCAGTGTGCCCGGAATGTTGTCTAATTGTGTTGGAAACATTGTGTTAACTATAACTTGAATCAACATTATACAATAATACTGCACCAAAACTGGTTGCTTAGGTTATTTAACAATATATAAATATCATTATGTACATAATTTTATTTATAAAATATCTATCCAGACAACATATCAATATATATATTTTACTTTTGAATAATTGCATACAGTAGAGCCTCCATATTCGCTGGCTTGGTGTTTTACGACGTGTGAGTACAATAACGTCTTTAAACTACTACTAATAAGTGACAAAACAGTTTAAATGATAATTGTAATAATTGCAATAAAAATAGAGTAGAGTATTACAGTATATTTGCTTTTTTTTTACAATCTGTTAGTTTTGTGCTACTTCTTTTGAAATCTGAGGTTCATCCATGAAACCAACTCCTGTGCATATTAAGGTGTTGCTATATAAATAACTACTATTTCGATGAATGTTGTAAAGCAACTAATTAAAACTTTTACTAGCAAATGATTTAACAATGTTCCTTGCATACAGTAATGTTGAACAATTATTAAAAATCCCCAATTTACTAACATTTTAAGATATATCCTTTTTAAATAGACAACACATTATAATTTTGAGTAATTCCACAATATCAAGCGTCTTTTGTGGTCGTTCCATTAAAATTATCATTAGACATACACAAGTTTCATGCAAGCATGAGTATTTTACTTACATTTGTTTGTAGTTTTGTTTGTTGAGCCCACGCCAGATTTGAGAATCGGCAGTCTTATGAGATGTATGTACTTTACGTTAAATATAAAGCACCATAGACACAGGCTCACAGCCATAAGATATAAACAGATTTAAAAAATCGCTATTAAGTGTCATAAACACTAGATGTAATATTTTAAAGTAGAGGAGGCATGCATAGAATCTACTATGAAAATCAGCCCATAATTTAATTTCAAAGCTGAACCAAACATTCTGTTAACTGAATTTAAAATGCAGCCTACATTCACACCGACTGACGTTTAAGTGTTTATTTACTTACATAATCCACCTACGACAAATTTAATAAATATAAACGGTCTTATAAGAAGCATTAATTTAAATCATTATGGATACAAATTTAAATAAATAATATAATTATGTATGTTTTATTGGCGCAATTAGGAAGAATAACATTACGGTGTAAATGCGGTTGTACGAAAAACAATGCCGTCAAAATGGTAATATAAGTACTGTAAAAGATATATAAACCTAATATTGAGACATAGAAATGCAATAGAGTTTGTGTTGCTCCTTCATCTGTACGTCCATCCTTATTGCATGAAACGAGTGTTGTATACTAACAAGGCGTAGTACTGCGTTTCACGAGTCCTTTCGGATACCTTTGGATTAAAAATAAAATGAAACTTTAGGATTCTATTTTTAAATTTTAATTGAACAGTGTTGCCAATTAAAAATTTATTTTTTTAATCCAAACGTCGATATTAGTGAAACGCATCTGTCACTGATTGTAATTTAACTGCAGCAAGAGGCGGGGTTGGGGTCCTTTCCGGAGCGCTTGGTGATGTTGAGTCGCGTGAACTCCTCCGCGACGGTCGGGTGGATGCCCACTGTGTTCATTAACTGCTCCATTGTAATGTTACACCTGGAAAATATTTTTTACATATATTTCTATGTGGTCTTAATAATTTGTATATTGAATTAAAAATTTTAATTTATAGTAGCCGTACGAAAGAGATTTGCTCAGTATGACGACATATCATCATTTAAATAAATGATAGAATTTAATTGTAAGATTCTATTTTTTTTTTAATAAATTATTGCTCACTATTTTAACAGATACATAATTATAACGTTTTTAAAATAGATTAAGAATATATTGTTTAAATTTATTTAAATTTATAATATAACTTTTTTTAATGTACGGTTTATTAGGCTTCATAACTGGTCGCACAAATTTTTACCATAATGGCAACACTTCTTTTGTACAAACTTTTAACATTTCCATTCATTTGTATAATGTCTAATGTCATTTCTATATTTGTCTGTTCAATATAACAGTAAATTCATTCATAGTAAACAGTACAGTTAGAATATAATAATACAATACTACGGTTTCGATGTACAAGCTAAATTATTGTAAAGTTTAATTAAGATCCATTCAGTATTGTTTGCGAGAAGAGTAATATACATCCATCCATCCATCCATCCACACTCACAAACTTCAGCTTTTATAATATTAGTAAGATATTCGGATATTGGCAAATACACACTTGATGGCGGCAGCGAAGCCCTGGATGACTTCCCCGGCGGCCGGGCCCACGAAGTGCAGCCCGAGGATACGCTGCGGCGCGTCACGGAGCGCCACCGCCTTCAGGTAGCAGTTGCGGATGTTCCGCTGCGGGATGAAGAACTCTGTGGGCTTGTAGTACGCGTGATACACCTCGATCTTATCAGCGCCGTGTCTGCAAATTGTATATTACAAGGCTTTTTTTATTATTTAGTAAAAAAATCTATACAAAATTAACTTCTCAGCATTATGCAGAGTTCATAGTGTGACAGAGAGGGAAACTTCGACCAGTTCCCGGGACTTGAGACGCGGGTATAAGTTTTAGGGGTGCCTTTGCCCTGGTGTTTCTCTCCCTGCCCAGCCAAACCTAGAAGCGTGTCTGAGCTGCTTTATATTCACGTTATATTATAGAAGTTACTGCATTTCTAGACAGGGTAAAATATTTTAAAAGATCCTAAAGAGATTTCGCTGGTATAGACCTCTAGCTCCCATTTCTATCACATATAAATTAACCACATACCAGTTTTCGTTTGTTTTTTTTATTACATGGTATTTTGGTATATTTGTTTCCATGCTACAATGAGCTCTACCCGTATTACACGTTTGAAATTAAATGTAATAAAATGACATGAATCTTGTATTTACGGAATGTTTAAGTTCAGTAATAACGTTTTAAACATGGTTGGTTTTAGAAATAATTGAACTCTCTGCATAAATACAGAATGTTTGAGTATATTTGTTTTACCTTTACCTTTTATCTCATTAAAGTAATAATTTTTCTGATTATTAAATGAGGTAAAAGGTAGAGGTCAAACTAAACTTAAACATTTCGTAAATAAAAGCTTATTGTCATTTTATTAGTGTTACTTAATTACTTAAATGAGTTGGTCCTGTGAAGACAATTCAAATAAAAATCAGTATTGTATACCATTGTTATAATCAAATACATTTGTATAATACGAAATATTAATCATGCCACTTAAGTACTTTTTATCAAACACTTTCAACGTAATGCCTACCATTTAATATCAGACACGTATCGTGATAAGATAACGAAATCCGTAATATTAAATACAGAGTATGTATATGATAGATAGGTTAATGATTTCGATTCGTATATATGTACATTTGACAACTCATATTAACTAGGTCGTCACGAGCTATATACATGAAGCGCAACGATCAATATATGAATAAAAGTATTCATTCCCAAATTATGTGTAATTTATTTTGTTACTCAAATAACTATTTATTTATATCAACTTTGCTATTTGGCAGTTTATATTCACAGAGATTTCTTGTGAACAACATTTATTTAACAGAGCAACTCTAAGCTTTTTGCTCATTCTTCTTGTGATGAGTTTGAGTTCCGAATGAGTGGTAGAATCAAATAAATTTGACTATTCTAAAAGGCATGTATTATATTTATTTGAAAATATTGTTTCTATTTCTGTATTTATATAAATAAATTCTTTTTAGCGGATTGTTGCGTGAATGTGTCGTGTACGCATTTGTATAACCTTCGGGTAACTATTGAAAATCAGTGTTTTGCTCGTTGAGCAAATTAATCACTATGTAGCAATTATATCCCTACCATACCAGTACCATTCACATCACATTCACTATGACAGATAAATGGTGTAAGTTTATGGTTTGCATTTTACGTTCAAATTTTAAAGTGTATTGTTGTTTTTATTACATTCTTGTGTGAATTCTTCTCTAATTCATCTTCTAAATGTGTCTCAAATTATATTAATTTTTATTTATATTCTAAATTTTAACTAAATAGATCTGCAGTAGGTCTATCCTTGTGCTATAATCGACAAACTGAAATATATGGGATCTAGCGCAAATAATGCCGAAAGCCAGTAGTAATAATAAAACTGAACAATTAACCCGAAGAAGCAAAACTGAAAATTCGAAAATAATATTTATAAACTTCATACAAAATATTTTTTTTATATATTACATTATATATATAAATTCATAGAAAAGATCTAAAATAATTTTTTAATTTCCACTTTGTTTCTTGGCGAAAATGGTTCAATTTGCCATACCGATGTAAATGCCTGTTACGATTAACCCTGTATACTATAATAATAATAATAATAATAATAATCTCAGGACAATAGACAGCGCCATCTAGTCCCAATTTAAGCTAGCTAAAGCTTGTGTTACGGGTACTAGATAACTGATACAAGTACATAGATATTTTTTTCGTAAATACATACATATTATACATAGAAAACACCCAGACCGATACAAACAATCATACTCATGAATACAAATGTTTGTGCCGCGCGAGGAGTCGAACCCGCGACCAACGGACGTAAAGCGGTGTGCTAACCGCTAGACCACCGAGGTCGTCGTCATTATTATTCACATTATTTCACGACATCGCGTATTTTCTAGTTAGAACACTGAGCGACATAACTTTGAGAATGTATGTACAACTAACCTCTGGGTGGCAGTCTCTTCACTCAGTCCCACGCATCCGTACTCCAATGGGGTGAAGACTGTGGTCGCCACGTTGTCGTAGTCCATCTGTTGGGTGGCGCCGGCGAATATCCGCTTCGCCAGCAGTCGGCCCGCGTGTATAGCTACCGGGGTGAGCTCCGGCCGTCCTTCCAGCACGTCACCGACCGCGTAAATATGAGGTACATTGGTTTGTTCCGTCGTTGCAACGATTTTGCCGCTTCCGGATAGCGTCTGAAAGGTAGTGAGGTACGATTGTTGATATATTTTTATTTATTTTTCTTCAGACAACTTAATATTATTTGTATACCTAACAATATTGGTATATATTATATATACCTTAAGCATACATATATACTCGTATATTAAATAATAATAAAATTAGTAATGTACATTTATTACAAAAAATAATATTTTATTGTTAAAAAATGTTAGTTAATGTATGTTCATGTATGATATTTCATTGAATTGTTTGATATGTCTAAAAATTCCAATTAGACATATAAAAATATTATAAGGCCGCTGATGTACATTCGGTAATTGGCTGAATGCGCTAACGTTCCGACTGACGCAGTGCGGTCTGCACATTTGGAAGATGCGCTCGAAACGATCGTAGAAATATTAGTAGTATTCTGGTAACCTGACGGTGGGTCGACTGCATAAGAGTAGCCAAGCCTGAAAACCTAAGCCTAGTCGGGAGAAAAAATATCAGTACTCAAAAACTTACATTGATACCGGCCGCTGGCAGATTCAATTGTTTAGTGAGCGCGTAACGGCCCGTGGCTATGAGTACGGTGTCGAACACGTCCTCAAATCTGGAAATACATGAAAATAAAGATATTAATAACCAATTTAATTACTACAGTTAATTCTAAAGGATTTCACGCGGAAATTAGTATAGCACTCATACATATAAAATTAACTAGAGCAAATCTTGTTAATATAATATTATAAACGCCAAAGTTTGCGAATATGGCTGGATGTTTGTTACTCTTTCACGCAAAAACTACCAAACCGATTTTGATGAAACTTTACAGTAATATAGCTTATACATCAGAATAACATATAGGCTATTAATTTTCAAGCCGGTGAAATCTCGGGCACATCTAGTCCTTCATAATGTGTCAAATGAAATCAAATTATTCAAGAAATCATGGGTAGTTTATGTCTAATTATAAATGCATTAAATTTTACACGCCTAAATTAATCTATTACACTGTATGTCAATGTTTGTGTAGAGGAAATAAATATATTACTATTATTTCAATTATGCAAAGTTATTACTAACCACATTCAATATACGATATCACAATACTCATTTTTGAGAATGAATAAATAAATAAAATAAAGGGATCACATCATTGTCCTCAAGGATGAGTGGTCTTGCGGGTATCACATGATAACGTGAGGTCCGTAGTGATGTTCACATGAACATGTATGTATGTATGTATCTATATAGATATGATATCTATGTAGATATGTAGAAAAAATGTTCCTTAGTCCTAGACTAAGGAAGATTTTTTCTTCAATGTTTTTTTTTTATAAATAAAAAGTTCCCAAGTTCATTCGAATACCTCCAAGAACATATGTACAAAATTTCATAATGGTCGGTTCAGTAGTTTTTGCGGGAAAGTGTAACAAACATCGCTACTTTCAAACTTATAATATTAGTAAGGATATAGAAAAAAATGTTTGCTTACTCCTCCTTGGTCTCGGTGTTCGACCAACGCGCCTTCAACTGTCCAGACTCCAGTTTCTCCACCGACAGCGGGACGCACTTGTGGTGCAGCTTGATGCCCTTCTCCTCCATCTCGTTGGTGACGATGTTCGCCATCTGCTGGTCGAAGCCACGGAGGGGCACCGACCGGATGAGTACCGTCGCCGGGAACCCGAGAGAGTTGAGGAATCCAGCGCATTCTAATCCGATATCTATTTGTGCGAGTTATGGCTGATTGGCTGATTTTTTTGGCATTTATTTAGTTTGATAGAGATTTTGTCCTTGCTATGGTATATGTCACCCGTCGTCGTGTCCGACTGTTTGCAACCGCGTCGGTACGCACAAGCCACGCTAATAATTGTCCCACTAAAGGAGCATTGCAATTATTCAATTTATTTTTAGGTAAGGTCTAAGATGCTGACGTATACACAGACACAGCCTTCCATAATAAATAAAATAAGAATGTTTTTGTCATTGTATAGTTTTAAGTAGTATAGTAGTATAAATTTAAAATATAAACGTTTTGGCAATTAGCTGTAAGTTTATATTGTGTTAATTAAATAAATAAATAAATAAATATGATAATATACGATTATACGTCAAACGAATTGGATGGATGAACATAAACGTAGATAGATGGAAAAGGAGAGGACGACCAAAAAAGATTAATGGATCGCGTGAAAGATAATTTGTATAAAAAGGAGAGCTCATGACGGCTGACAGAATCAGTGGAGGAGGACATACTGCGTCGACTCAAATAATGGGATGCAAGACAATCATGACGTCGAATAGTTTATGACCTTGGTAGTCTAATGGTTTAGTACACTGCTTTATAGTCTGATACTTGCGGGTTTTTTTTTCCTATACATAATAGCATAATAGAAAGATAACATAATAGAACCTAAAACTCTTATTATTATTATGCGTTTCCACGTCTGTGAGCGAGATTCTCAAAAATGGCTTAACAGATTGGTATGCTTCACTTAAAATTAAGAGCTTCTTTTATTTCAATCGGTTTAAGGTAAAAAGTAATACAAGTACATAAGTAGTAGGCTGAGCTAGTGAACATTATATTTAGACAAAGAGTGCATAGTACGTAAGGGCAATCTAGTAGCGTTATCATTGCTAGTCGAACATGTGTAGTACAGAGAATGTTATTGGCGGTGCAAATATGATAAAACTGATTACTCTATATTACAGCGGAACATACTAGAACAGTGTTTCCCAACCTATTTTGTCCCACGGCCCACCTTAGGTTTTCAAAATTCTTATGGCCCCCTATATGCCTATGTAACATACATAATTGTTAATATTAAAAAAATGAATCATTCACTTATGAAAATAAAATGATAGGTTTTATGAAGAAATCACTAAGATATTGTTAACGAATTACAGTAAATTTATAAAACATGTAACGTAAAACTTGAATTTCAAATTCAAAATAATTTTAATAACAATTGTACTATACTTATTATATTATTGTTTTAGTTTAGTGATAAAACAATTATTTAAGAATTTGATTCGTTAAATTTGGCACCGAAATTTAACGAAAATTGCATTTAAATGGGTCGAAGCGAAAAGGTTTAACTCATGTTAGATTCATTTTCGAATTGCCCCTGTGGAGCGTGGGCCGCACGTTGGGAAACACTGTACATCAACTAACTCCTTTAGTGCAACTTTGTACATCTGTCACAGCGCTATATTTTCTCATACATTACAAAAGCTGACTTTTTGCATCCTCAAGGTCTCAAACCGGTCGTATTGCCACCAAATCATTGAGATGTTATAACTCATGTATACATGTATGAACAAAACGACTATAATTATCGATAATTAATATATCTTTGTAATATTTGTATATTATGAATTTAATTGCCTATGGTTAATAATTTCTGATATGTATATAATAGCAACATAGCTTATAGTTTTTTTTTTAATATACTGTGCGAAAAATACACCTGCGAACAAGGTAAGGCAGTGCGTTAATCTGCTGGAACACCGACATCGTGATATTGACAACTATGTACATTTATGCAGTTGACCCATTTTTATTATTCTTTTTTATTAATTTAATCAATAGGAGCTAAGTGGCTCCTATTTAATTATATAGACAATTAACATACTCCACCATAGAGTTAATACGTATATCAAGGTGTTCTAGCGAATTAGCACCACTTTATTCCGATGGTCGCAGGTTCAATCCTAGCACGGTGAAAACATTTGTATTAATGGATATGAGCGTCTGTATAGGTCTAGATGTTTTCTATGTATATATGATAACAAAATAAAGTGTCCTTCCATCAGTTGCCTAGTACCCACAACAAGCTCTGCTTAGCTTGTGACCCGATGACGCTGTGTGACTTGTCCTAGATTATTCTTATTAGTAAAACTTAACCAATTTCAAAAAGGATACATCCAGCACCCACGACCAGCGTTTTCCCTGGTGGATGACTTAAACTGAAGATATCGTCACTACTGATGCAGTGCTCCACTGCACCAGGAATATCAGGGTAGTGGGGTCTGCCGCCCACTGCTATAACTATATTTTTAGCTGTCAGCTCCTTTTTAGAGCCATTCTTCAAAGTCGCCACAACTGTATGTGCGTCTTTGAACTCTCCCAAGCCATTTACGTATTCTATCTTCTTATCTCTGAGATCGACCCTGGTGACCCAGTTGACTGACTTAATGTGGTTCTGTACCGACTGTGTCAGCGCCGACCAGTCTATCTTCACGGAGTCCAACGAAGGCACTTGCCAGCCATAAGAAACGGCTTCCTAGAATATATCCATGCAATATAGTAAAACTTAACGAATAATAAAAAATGATGTTCATATTTATTTTCGTAGCTTCATTAGACGTCCACAAAAAAAATATTTATTGCATCTTAAAAAAAAATAGAAAAAACATATTATGTACAAAAGCCGGTCGTATCGCTTAAGGCCTTAAGCAATCTCTTCAGATGTTTAGTAACTATAAAACAAACTCGGCTTAGTTTGGGACTGGATAGCGCTCTGTCGATTATCCAGTTATTGTTATTATTATTATTGTGATCTGAAGATAAATCATATGCCTTTTTAGTGAAAACAACATCTATTGGGTGTATTGATATTCAAAATGGGGAATGGGGAGGAAAGAGAGGTGTAAAGTCTACAGTTGACAGTATAATTCCTATTGCGGGGAATAAACCCCATCAGATCGATCTCTACCGTACTCCCTGGATACTATTCTTTAATTAACAGTAAATTCATTCTTATGTCTTAATTTTATAGCCATATTTTTCGTCACGGATGCTGTTTGAAGGGGCTGGTTTATTCTGATTACTGTGACTGATTTATTTTGTTACAAGTAACTGTTTATTTACTTTGCTATTTGTCAGGTTGATTTCACACAAAATACTTAAATTTGCAACTCTTCAGAGTAATTTAAAAGAGCGACACGCAAGTTTCTTGCTCGTTCTTCTTGTGATGAGTCTGCGTTCCGAATGAGTGGTAGAGTATAAAAAAATGACTATTAAATTTATTCGATTAAATTTTATTTCTATTTCTATTTCACCGTACCAGTCACCGCGTCAGATTAAATCGACATTGGCGGATCATCATAAAAAGAACAGTTTTACTAAGGTTTTCAATATGAAACAGAGTTTTTAGTTTAACTTTTTACGTTCCATCAACTGAACTAGTTATCATGAACTTTAATAAAGTCGTATTATTTAGAGTGGAGCAGGACAGAGGCCACGCATTCTGGCCAATCAATATATGCCAGTCACGCAAACATAATAACGGGCAAAAACTAGTTTAGTATTACTGTAGGTAAAACAATTATCAGTTAGCCGATTTAATAAGAAATACTAGTAATACATTAAGCGATTAGATAACTTATATAATTAACTAAAAATATACATCTAAGTGACCATCGACCGATTGATTTGATATCTTTAGTCGGCGTCGCCATTCGCATGTTAGAATTACGTATAATAATAAATTATATAATTTATTGCAAATACCATAAACAATTTATATTTTGATTTCAATCGTAAGTTAATGCGGTAATTACTTGAAGATTGAAATCAAAACACGCGAAACTTCTATCGTATTCATAAACATTCTCGAAATGACTTCTTATACGTATTTTTGAAAATAATTTATTTTGACTGCCTCGGTGGTTTAGCGGTTAAAATATTAATAATTCAAAATATATATATATATTAAAACAATAACAACCGGCAATTTTACGTGTTATTCAGGAAATTCATTGCCATTCTGCTAAAATTCAACAAGTCACATGTAAATATGTCCAGGTCAGGAGATCGATTAACGACACCGTTGAGTAGACTCTTTAGTTCTGATTTCTGATGGTCGGGTTTATACGGGTACATAAAAACATTTGTAGCGCGTTGGTTATCCTCACCACTGTAGCGTTATATACTATGTGATGAGATGTCGATACATAATTTATTGTTTATTGCAGCAACTAGTGAGTATACAGGTGAAATAATTGTACTATTTATTGTACATTAGTCAATTTATTGGTAGTGCTACATGGCTTATAAGTAACGCGTACATTCGACGCGGAGTCGGGACGTAGACTTTAAAAAGTTTTTATCTGTCCGTCTGTTTGTTCTTGCTAATCTCTGACTTTACCTAATCTTATAAGGTTACATTAATTTAAAATATCATTTATTTTAATAAAAAAAAAAGTTATCTTTAACGCGAAGTCGCAGGTAACAGCTAGTCTACATATAAATTCCTTATAAACTGAACCATTATCTAGCGCTCAGAGGTATGTGTACTCAAATCTAATCAGGTACGATATACTTACTCATGAACCAGACAATTAATATTCTAGCCTAATTAACCTACGTTTGTTTCAAAAAACTGTTACACACGAGTCGATTTTTCCGATGTAAACTGTGAGTCACCGTATACACTGCTATAGCCTCGAATTGAAGAGGGGATCATTAGTAATGGGGTTTGAAGGCGCCCTTGTGGCTAAGAAATGTGTAATGTAATGTATGCAAAATGTGCCAGAGCAACATATGTGGGGGTCCCCCCTGGAGACTATCGTGATTTATCCATGGTGAATTCATCTCAATGGGCTAACTGACCTCCTTTTTTTATTCTGTCATATCTTCTACCAGTGTACCGCCAAGGTATACGGTTAGCTCAGGCAGAAGCACGTTTCCTCATTCATCGTACTTCATGCAATAAAAATTTATAGCCCAGAAGCTATACCTTATAAGCTTTTTCTAGATTGTTCTGTGACAGTGTACCTAATAATAATAGTACTTTTATGGAAAGCCTAGAAAGAATATACTTTATGCACTAACTGTTTATCTTGTAATTATACTTATTTATACTGAAGGTATAATTGTTTTACTTCTTTTGTAGTATAACAAAAAGTCGCCACCGCATCTTTTAAATTACGCAACAGATTTTAATGCATTTTTCATCATCAGATAGATTGATTCAAGAAGAAGGTTTACATGCATAATACATGCGTGTTATTAGTATAGAATAAGCCGAGAAATTGAAAGATTTGTAATGCATCCGTGCGAAGCCAGACCGGTAATTATAAATCTTCATAAACGAAAAATCTAAATATATATAACTCAAAGGTGACTGACAGTGATCTATCAACGCACAGCCCAAACCACTGGACGGATCGGGCTAAAATTTGGCATGCAGATAGATGTTATGACATACGCATCCGCTAAGAAAGGATTTTGTTTAATTCTACCCCTAAAGGGATAAAATAGGGCACGAAAGTTTGTATGAAACTTTGTCAATTTTAAACCGATCGGGCTGAGACTTTGCATACATAAAGCTACTATGACGTAGGCATCCCCTAAGAAAGGATTTTAATAAATTCCACCCCTAAGGGGATAAATTAACGCGAGCGAAGCCGCGGGCAAAAGCTAGTTATTCATATTTTTTTAGGAAACCATCAGATTATGTTCTATTAGACTGTGTATTGAACTAGGCCGTACGTTTTGCGAGCTAGATTAACTTTTAACGACCTGACGTTTATCTAAATACCTAGTCAACCATTATCGTGCAATTTTTCGAAGTCATCACTCTGAAGTACTTATAAAATGAAATACGAGATAAGTAATGACGTCAAAAGATCCGTAAGCAATGCAGAGCACTTGGTGTAAGTAGAGCTAGCTTGGCACTTATTAAAATACGTGTACGATGTCACGATTATCATATTTTCAAGTGGATGTGACTGGCAAGTATTGTACCCGTCTCTATTTATACCTAACTTATGAAAGAAGGCAAAATTGTTGGCATGGAGAAGTAATATGGACAATATAAACTCTAACGCAAAAAAGTAAGAAAGAAAAATTTGTTTAAAACATTTTTATTAGAATAAAAATGTCTGTAATTTAAGATATAAATTAACAAATATCGTACTATTCCAATTTTGTTATTTCATACGCCATCTTTTAACATTGCTTGACTAGTATATTTTTTCAGTCTGGGTTAAGTTTTTTTAAATTTAAATTTAATTTTAAATTTTTCGCCCAAAAACTGACGAATACTTCCAAGCAAGAGCAGTTGAAAGTTTAAATTTAAGGGCAGCTTTTAAAGAGTAAATGTTCGGGATTACACAACCGAAAAAGGAATATAGGGTAGTGAAAATACCATCACGGGGTGTAGATTTTCTGAATATGTTTTAAATACATAACATATTTATTTTTTGATAACTGCTATTACTTAGCCTGTTACCCGATTTTGGCTTGACGTGGACTTTTTTTTTTTTATGGATGATAATGGAATGGTGCGATTTTGACGGGGCACCAGTGGGGATGACGTGGACTTGACAACCTCACCACGACATGGATCATATTTTTATAATCAGTAATTACACTGGCAAATTTCACTATTTTCACAAAACCAGAATAATTGGTACAGCGGTTTAGCGGCAGGCAGTAAGTCGATACCTAACACCAAGACCTCTCCCTGGGGAAAGATGACTGTTAGTAATGTAGATGAATAACCCCATTACTTGTAATATACAAATAAAAAAAATAAAAAAAAACCTCTTCTGTCGGAGTTAAATCCAAGACGTAAGCGCCATGGATCCCCCTGGAAACCATCACAAAAACCGGTTAAGTAATTAAATGAATCAATTTTAACTGCTAAATTCCTAAAGGTCCAGACTTATAATAATAAAAATAGGGGATATTACTAAATACTTGTTTGTTATATGTAATTATTAATACTCTGTAACATTAGTTAATGCTTTATGATTTGGATCAAATTGCCACAATGTCAAATTTGCAGACGGTTCAATAGTTTAGCCATCGCGATTTTTATATATAAAGATTTAGCAACAGACATACGTCATTTTAATAAACGCAATTATCATTCTCCACTGATGGCACACAGGCGTATATCGCACATACATTAATGCATAATTCCATTATCATCTATTATAAAAAAAAAATAAAAAAACCTCTTCTGGTATTCTGGTACTTTTTACAATACTTATCGAAGGCGGATATTGTGGATTCCTAATAGAGATGTCGCAAGACGTAAGCGCCATGGGTTTTCGGTCTGTTCAAAGCCTTCATTGAGTCACGAAAAAACATCAACTCACAAAAACCGGTTAAGTAATTAAATGAATCAATTTTAACTTCACATACCTCTAAATTATATTTTTTATTTATCCTAAAGGTCATTCTTTGAGACTTATAATAATAAAAATAGGGGATATTACTAAATACTTGTTTGTTATATGTAATTATTAATACTCTGTAACATTAGTTAATGCTTTAGACGCGTTGTCGTTGATCTATCTTTCAAGTTGGATCAAATTGCACACAATTTGCAAATCAAATTTGCAGACGGTTCAATAGTTTAGGAGTCCATCGCGAAGAAACAATGTGACATGTAATTTTTATATATAAAGATTTAGAAATCATGCTCACGGGCTAATTACGATAGATTAATATGTTCAACAGGGACACAGAGACACGGATGCCATAGATTATCAGAAAAATTAAAGAATCTGATGAATAACGTATTATCTACTTCCTTAATGATAATATATTTATAGTGAAACGAATTTCACTAAATAGCACAAATTTTTGTCTGGTCAGATTTCAATAAAATTTAAGCTATAGATAATATATGGATTATGTGTACGACTGTCATAATTATTAACGATTCAAGTGTTAAATATGATAAGATATCAATAATTTTATTGACATTCCTTTGAATGAAAATTATCTGATATATGTATATTTGCTCACTAAGTATTACAATACTACTACAAACTAGGGAGCGAAGGGGATTGTAAAAAATAGGTACTAGTGACCCTATTGCTAGAACAGTAGGTGCCATTTCAGGTTGTCGTCCAACGTGGTACCATCCTATGTGCTAAAGGACTACCGTAAACAACTACTACTTTGTTAGTAGCTGGTTAATTATGCTCTATTTTAGCATACACATTAAAAAAAACTCTTAAATATTGATGACTATTGTATAATATGACAATTTTATAATTATTTTAACTGATTATTACTGATTTAAAAAAATTTCAAAATCTTAATAAGATTTTCTTTTAAAGTATTATAGAAGAAAAATAACGTTAAAAAGCTGAGGTGGTTCATATCAAAATATAGTCTAGGTAAAGACAGTGTAAAACTCCCTTAGAAGCCGATTCTCAGACCCATTGACTACGCATATAAAATTTCATAAAAATGGGTCAAGCCGTTTCAGAGGAATATGATAACTAATATTGTGACACGAAAATTTTACTTATAAAATATACTATGGTTTCAAAACTTATGATTTTTATATTATAAATCATAATTTTCCAAGTTTGGAGTAAAGTAGCAGCATCTTACGGTGGACCATCATGGTCACCAATTATTGAATTATTAGTTCTGCAGATTACTCTTACTTTCCTTTAAGACGGCCCACGTCAGTTTGTATGTAATTCCAATCATATAAAAATCTTTACAAAGGCATCAGTTTCTATGTCATTCCAATCAAACAAAAATCCGTATTATATTGAATGATGGTGTATAAATGGTAATTATGTATTGATCGCATGCAAACTATGGTTGGATTACACCGAGCGACCTTGGTGGATGACTAACGCCTCAACTGGTCACGGACTCTCGATCTCGACTCTGATAACTTACCTAACCTATCAGTCATGGTACCAAGACAGGACTACGTTTTTTTTTTATCAATGTACAAAGTTAAGATTCTCTTTTGCATTTGCGTTTGCGCTTACGGTTTACGCTCGCATTTGACGAAATTGTTTTGTTTTTTTATTCTAGATACAGTGGAGTGTCTTATTCTGAGCTCCGTTCAAATTAAAAAATCATTTATTCATGTAGGACATTTTAGCCGCTTATGAAGTCAATTGTTTTATATTATAATCTACGTGGTCTAGCTATTTAGACACCGCCTTACTTTAGATGGTTGTGGGCTCGATTCCTAGCACAGTATAAACATTTGTATTCATGAGTATTATTGTTTGTATTGGGTAATTCCTATGTGTATTATATATTTACATTTATAAACAAAAATAACAAACAATGTGACAGTCCACTCGATGGTAAGTGGCTACCTTATAATGTCCCAATTTAGTATCAAATGTAAACTGAAAAGAGTTTTACTGGAAAAAACAAATTTTAAGTAATTCTTTTTATCTTTGTATATTTTTTTCCTTTTGATACTGTTATTGTAACTGATTTTGGTTTTTATGAGCATTGAATATTGTAATTCATTTTATATATATTTATATTGTGTATCCTAGATCTTATTTAATACCCAGTGGAGCATCAGTGGAGGATTATAATAGCATAAAGTCAGGTCGTGATAAATTCGAGAACCGTGCGTGGAGGTCAACCTGACATGGTACGTTGCTAGCAATGGGGTCAAGAGTCCACATTACTAACAGTACCCTTCCCCCTAGAGTAGAATATTGTTATATTTTTTTAATTGAAGTTGGTATGGCATACTACTGGAGAAATAGTACTTAGGTATATAAGTTTAAAATTACGTAGCGTGTCTGAGCTGGGACTTGCAGACAATGGAGTACATTACTGGAATCATTCACAGACATCCGTTTTTGATATACTGATTACGGTTATAAACGAGAAACGACACGCATAAAGCCTATATGGTTTTTAAAAGTATGTGAACATTTTATAAGAACAATGCACGGTTCAAAATTATTACTACTTTCTATGACCTATATGGTATATATATGTAGGGAAGAATATGTTAATACTAAATAAGGAATGTATATTAAAATAAATCTGACTACCCAATATCAATATAATGATAAAAAGGCAAAATCATGCAAAAAATAATATTCTTTTATTGGAGGGAAGGTGATTTCAGCAGCTTAGCAGCGTGGAGTGTGACTAACCATAATGGTCATCCATTGGTTATTACCAGCCAGGTATAATTTAGTACATAATTTCTAATCAACGTTTCAGTGGCTTTACATCTATTTATTGCAATAAGTTTGGATTTAATTGTAAATATTGTAATTTGCTGGGCTATCGATATTAATAATATGACTCTAAACAGGAAACAGACTTAAAAAACATTAATCTATTTATATTACAATATTAATATATTTACTAGGAAAATACAATTTATTTTTAATTTAATGTAGGTACCTAATTATTTGACACGGATGACTCTATATCAGGTGGACAAGAAGAATTTTGTCTGCGTCATGTTTTCCCCGTTATTGCAAGGATTTTCATTCAGCTCGGCTTCTATTGGTTGTAGCGTGGTGTTATAACACTAAAAGAATTTTCAAAATTGGGTCATAAGATCCCGAGGTTACCCTCTACAAACTCGCAAACTTTACCTCTTTTTAATATTAAGTCATCCTAATATTATACTTTATATTAAAAATATAGATGAAACAAAACAATAGAAAATTTAATGCTCTAATTTAAATTACGATTTCTCTATTACAAGTACAACACTTCATTCTGATTTATTTTCGCGCGATTTGTACCGCTACAGAACTTAAGTACGGAAAATTACAATTTATATATACATTTCCATATGTTAATATGGAATTCGCAGTAATAGTCAGGGCGATAAAAATACCGTAACGCGTAATTCGTAACCCTTTTGAATCTTGACATTATTATGTATACATGAGCATGTGTAACAGTGTAAGTATTTATATTAATAAACAAATTACCTAGTGGCATTTCTACATAAAATACATTTTTGTTTGTTTAACGTTCAAACAAAATAAACAAATAATAAAAAAAAACTATAAAGCTTGCTACAGATAAAAAATAAAAACATAACCAGTCAACGTAATCCAAGTTATATGTTAGGAGATTTTCAGGGCCTTTGGGGTATGGGATATGGGATCCGTAGGGTGGAAAGGATTCTCACAGGATTCACTTACCGATTTCTAAAAAAAAGTAAACAAAAACATGAAGCTACGAAAACAAATAGAATTCATTATAAATAGTATGAAAGGGACTTACGTGGATGCTCTCCCCGAGCAGTGCTGCTTGGTGCATTAATTTCTTGGGTATACATCCCACATTGACACATGTACCACCAAGTCCCCATTTTGTGCCTTGAGGCGAAGGTGTGACATAGTCCAACACCACAACGCGTGCACCTTGGTTCACAGCCTCTTTCGCACACGCGAGCCCGCCGGACCCACCACCAATGACCGCAAGGTCATAGTCAAATACTCCATCTAGAAGGCAAATCCAGTCGGGATTGCTAAATGATGTTGGAAAATGAACTTAATGTAGCATAACATATGGAACCTTTTAATTTCTATTGCAATCATAGATAGGTTTGTACTTTTGTATCAAAGCTCAGATAAAAGCAAAGTCAGTGCAAAATATGAAAATTATGTCCAATAAAAATGTTAAAATTTTCACCATAACCACCAAAGCATAATTTTTTAATTACTGTTAAAATTTTCAGTAATATTTTATAATCCCTGCTTTTTTAAACAAATCTACAAAAATATAAATATCACCAGTACAACCAGAATTCAGGTGCAAAGTTAGCAAAAATATATGTTCTATGTGATAGTCAAACACAATCTATATGAATACCTACTAAATTTAATGTGTTTTCAAAGTAATAATAGTTATTTTGGACTACTCATGTTGAAAAACTGTAGTAAGTACTATCAGAAATAAAATTACAGAATAGTGACTAATCTTTGTGTGTAAAATTTTAAATTGGTGTTTATGCTGTGTATTTTTATAATTTAATAAAAATGTCTCTATCACATGATGCTTTAAGAAAATTTAAATTTTGTTAACCTATTTTTTATATAGATTTAATTATTTCCTGAATGAAACTTAAGCACATGCCATGTACAATTGCTTTATGTGTATTTACTCATTGTACAAAAATGAACTAACAAACTTCCCTGGTGTATCCTTTTTATTTTAAAAATTTTGATAATTCCACATATAATATTTTTAACTGACTAATAAATTTACATAAAAAATAAAACTTAATTTGGACAACAATTCAAACACCATCAAATAGATAAAGCTGTCCTGAGAGCCTCTTATTCCTACTAATGCTGCCATTTAGGTTGGGATAGGCAGAGTTACCAAGCATAACATATATGATAATGTTTTTTGGATATTTATGATTTCTTCAAAACCAGCACATACACAAGTTCTACATCTCTTCCTGATTTTCATTTATATTATTATATATAAATATAGGCTTTGAGTTACTTTTTTTTTCTAATTGTCCATTCCTGTATGTCTTACATGAAAATACTACACAATAATGTTTGGCAAATTTATGTTTATACTTAGAACCAAGAATTATTTTATATATATACATGATATACTTCTAAGAGTATCATAAGATGTGAAAAAATCTATAAATATCAACCCATAAGATAGACACAGAACTATATACATTATTTTAATGTGTCAACCCTTTTTAATTTTTATTTGTTATGTTAATAAGTCATTGAATAGAAGTCAATGTAGTAAGTCATACCTACAACCATTATGTTACATTGTACATGTATATTAAAGATTATTAATACACATGTGCAACTGTAAATTGAGATGGTCTGCTTTTAACAATATGCAATAGAAATTAATAGGTTCAGAAATGTGAATCCCATTATGCTATAGAACATAAAATCATGTGCAACAAAGCAATGCAAATGACAGTCACAAATGACCAACAGCACATTGTCCCCGGTGAGAAGTTGACTGTTATAATCTCTGATTACTACCGTACCTGTATCCACATAGTCTATGGGAGCTATAGACTTGCTCTTACGGCTACAACACATCCACCCGCCTGGTGTTACCAAACAAATTACTCAGAATCATACATCTATTGTTTATTGTCTATTGGTCACATTAAATGTTTATAAGTAGAAAGTATTATAATTATTGAAAATCTATTTTGTCCATGAAAATATTTTATTAATTAAAATTACTGTTACTATTGCACTACCCTACTTTGTAACAAATTATTGTACTTCCAATAAAACATTAATATATTGTTCTTTATTACTCACTACTTATAAATAATTGTTACAATGTGTAGGCATAGAATGAGCTGTTCTCAGATAATAAGATTTTAAAGTTTCACTTTCTCCAACCCAAATCACAAGACAACTATTGCACCATCTCAATGCCCAACAATGTCATGACTTGTAGAAAAATTCAACCTTAAACCTGAATATCATTGGTTATTGATACATGAATATGATGATATGGGGAACAATTTTAAATTATTTACAAATATCTATAATGAATATAAATTTAAATATAAGTAAAAGTAGGTTGATCAGTGAGATTGTGAGGTTATACGATAATGTACGGCGCCAAGAGCGGCAATACAGTTAGTGAACATTACTCACGGCTTCCAAATGATCGTCTTGCTAATATTAGAATATTATCAGATCGTATTATGGGATTTATTATATTATTAATTCTTAAAACGTTACTCAATATTGTCATTTTGACGTAAATGACAGACGAGAAAATTATCAGAGATGTAGGTACGTTAGCTCGCGGCACATATGTGAGAGTTATCTTCTCAAACGTCAAGAACAGTGGTCGAGTCACGAAATGCAGTCCGTACTAATTACCGGCGCAAATAGAGGACTGGGTTTGGGAATGGTAAAATATCTACTAAAACAGAATAAGGCTGAGAAAATATTCGCAACATGTAGAAGTTCGTCAGAGGTAAGTGTATACTTTTTTTGACTTACCTACAGGTGGCATCTTCTTGCTTTTTCTATGTAATTCACTTACAAATATTTAACACAGATAGACACTTTTGTTATAACACAACACAATCAGCACTACCGAAAGACTCGCGTTCCGAACAACTACTCTTGAAAAATTGAGTTCACCAAATCACTTTTGTAGCAAAACGACAAGTTGTGCGAAAGAGACAGCCGATTCGTGTTTGCGATCGTTTGACAGATAGTGACGTCACCTGTTATCGACCTTGAAATATGTACATCGACTAGAGTTTAATTATAAAAGTTAAATCGATAAAGCTGCATAATTTCAACGTTATAAATAATAATAATAATCATTAGTCCTATATCAATTCTACTTTAATAATTCCGAAATTGCAAAATGTTACGCAATACTAGTCATTACTATTATGATTTAGTCTACATTATGCTAGAACAATCGATATATCAAGACAAGACAATATATTTTTTTAATAGATTAACAACACTAGGCTAATTCGGTTGCTGACGTCATCGTGACCATGTTGCCTTTTGTCTCTGATTTTTGGTTGGCGCCGATTTTAAACGCCTCCAGTAAGTTATTTCATCAACTTTACTAAAAGTACTCTTACAAAGTAGACATGACATCGAAGTACAATGTGGTGACTACTCGGTACACACTATCAGTAGTGGTGCTCTAAATAAATTACTGAATCTCTTTCATAAAACCACACAAAAAAAATCAATAAAAAAAGCAGATTAACGGCTTTAGATTACGAAATACCTTACAGTACTATTTCTTATCTTTTATATAGAGTAATTTACTTTATTTAGTATTTCCACACCATTGATCTTACTTCTATATAAGATATTTAGTCTGTTACAACTTATACAAAAAAATATAATGGGTATAATATTTGTTAAATTATTTTTTTCAGGAATTAAAAACACTATCACAAGAAAACAAACATCTTCACATTTTACAACTTGGTAAGTTCATTGTTTTGATTATTAATTCTTTATGAATGTCGATTCGAGATGCGCTCTGTCTTAATAAGAAACCATCTTTCCTAAATCTATAATGAATTCGTCTATCAGTCGTGAGAGTGTATTTTTATTATTTCTACAGATGTCACAAATACTGCCAAGTTCGAGGAAGTGGCGTCGCAAATAAGTCAAGTGGTCGGCGCCAGGGGACTGAACGTGCTGATCAACAATGCGGCGGTCGCTACCAAGTTCACCAAAATAAACCTGGTCAAACCTGAACAGTTGCTGGAGAATTACGCTGTCAATACTGTTGCACCAATCATACTGACTAAGGTTGGGCCTTATTATGTGGCATTAAAAATACACACACATAAACACCCTTTTACCACCAACCCCTATTTTTTAATAGCGATTTTAATATATATGGCAAAACAACGTATGCGGGATCAGCTAGTACAAAAATTGAATATAAATAATTTTCGTTGGTGTCAGCCAAATTTGAATTCCTAGCCTTTTAGGTGTAAGACGTTATGGAAATTTCCAGAAAACGATTAGTATCAAACGTGGTCTTGTAATTTCCACGAGTCTAAAGTCTAACTAATCATATGTAACAAAAATTGTGCACTTGTGTTTTGCAGACTTTGCTACCACTGCTCAGACAGGCTTCAGAAGCGAACAGTGACAAGCCGGTGGGCACACAGCGAGCGGCAGTCATCAACTTGACCTCCGTGCTGGGGTCCATCGCTCAGAACGACCAGGGCGGATACTACCCATACAGATGTTCTAAGGTATATTTGTATTGCCGTTTCTAATAATAATAATTCTGGACACAGCGCCATCTAGTCCCAAGCTAAGCAAAACTTGTGTTATGGATACTCATAGAAATATTTAGATTTTTTTTGTAAATACATATAATATACATATAAACCACCCAAATACAAACAAATATATACTTATGAGTATGATTGATATATTTATCAATCATATTCATAAGTATAAATCTTTACACTGTATGAGGAATCGAACCCGCAACCATAGGAATTAAAACGGTGTGTTCAATCGCTAGACCAACGAAGCCATTAACAAACAACAATCAATTATATTCATAAATTCTTTTATTATTTAATTTACAATACAATCTCGTATGAGATACATAAAAAAAGTTGGGCACAGAGTAACTTGCTAATAATTATGCAGTGGCTCAGATTAACTACGGAGAACCATAGATCTATCGTGTACCTAGTTTCTATGACAATACCTAATTAACGGCAACGCGCACGTGACAACATACTGTTTTGCGTCTAAAAACGAAAATTTATCGTTCATAAGAAAAATAGACGATACATTAAATTATAGTCGTTTACGAAACAGCTTGTTTTATAAGCTGTTTCTATTGTAGGGTACAGATTAGGCAGTGAAATTACAGGGTGAAAGGCATAACATCTTAGTCCTTCGGAATGGCAGAACATGTGTATAGGTAATGGTAACCACTTACCATCCGTAAGGTAGAACGTCTGTTTATTTGTTATTAAAATTTCAGATACAAAAGATATGAAGTATCCCTGAAAATTCATTTTCTACATGATTTTTTCTCCAGTAATATCTACATGTATATAGATAACGTTTTTTTTAATGGATAATACTAAAATGGTGCTTACGCTAATGGTTTACGCTGGCGGGGCACCAGTGGAGAATAATATGATGAATATGAGGTCAGGTCGGTTTGACCATCGTGACAAATTCCTAGTGAATATGTCAGGATGGTTTCCAGGGGGAACCGCGTGAAGGCCAACCTGCCATGGTACATTTGGTAATGGTCATTACTCCATATATAGATAACAGTTACCATTTACCACCACGTGATTTTACCGTCACCTTATTTACTTTTGCAATTCCATAAAAAAAACAATATTTTCTATGTTTCAGGCAGCACTGAACATGGCAACCAAATCGATGAGTCTAGACCTACAGAAGGATCAGATCCTCGTGGCTTCAGTGCACCCAGGGTGGGTGAGGACCGACATGGGCGGTAGTAAAGCCCCACTAGATGTCACCACCAGTATCAATGGACTATTCGACACCATATTCAAGCTGCGTGAGAAAGACTCTGGAAAGTTCTATCAATACGACGGTACTGAGCTACCATGGTGATTAGTAAACATCCAAAAAGCATACAACGCAGCATAATTACTAAATTTGTCACTTTTGGCGCATATATTCGCATGTATATAGATATATATTTTTATAAAACCAAATATAAATACGAATATATACGTTATGTAATTTTTTATATGGGGTCTGAACTAATTCGAGTCGATTGATCACTCGCTCGGATTTTAATCTGCCTTAACGTAGGTATTAACTATTTGTAATAAAATAAAAAAGATGTTTTATTTTATTTTTTTATGTTATTTATCCCTATATAAACAAAATCTAAATGTCTACATAGTATAAAATGAAGTCGCTGTCCGTTCGCTTAGAGCTTTTAAACTACGCCACGGGTTTTAATGCAAATATTAACAATAGATACGAGTGATTCAAGAGGAACGTTTATATGTATGATACATGTACATCCGTGTGAAGCCGGGACGAGAAACTAGTAAGAAATAATCTATAAAATATGATGATGTGAGATTGAAAAAATATATTACACGTATTTTATCGAATTAGACGTTATTTTAATTTTGTATAATTATTAAATTAATACCTATTATCTCTGATCAACGCGAAGGTTGACTGGTAGAAAATGCCATCAGGCATTAAGTCCGCATGTATACAATTTTGTGTGCAAAAAATAAAAATATATTTTATATTGTATATTTAATATTTTCTCTAATTTAATTGAATTAGTGCCAGTTGGTAGTTTGTATTCACACATTTCAACTTAAAAATGTAACAACAAAATTATTGAACAGAGCAACACGCAAGTTTCTTGCTCATTCTTCTTGACAGTCAGCTTTCCGAATGAGCGGTAGATTGAAAAAAATGTAATGGCTATTTAAAAGTGCTTCAATTTAAGTTTTTATAAATTATTTTCTATTGTATCCAAATAAAGAAATAAATTATAGTTTGTGTCAATAAGTGTGCAGTCCGCAGCAATACAAAAAGTTTGTAAACTCAGTATGGAAGATTGTTCAGGAAACAAAGCTGATTTTTATCTTCAACCAATTTGAGGGTACGCGAAAATAAAAAACATCGACAGTCGTCGATTCCACTCACCTTCATAGAGCCGTATACTTACGCATTCTTTGACTATGGACTGCGATTTCACCTTATTAGAATTACCTGAAATTCATGAGAGCATATTTCATTCCTCTATTACATAGCTGTATTGTAAAAATAAAATATATATAAAAGAAAATTGAACATTTTGCCCTAAAACAATAATACCGATAGTTATTAGTGAGTGTGTGTTGGTCGGTCGATTGTCTTAATAATAATATCAGGATAATTCACACAGCGCCATCTAGCGCCAAGCTAAGCAGTTAAGAGCATGTGTTAAGGGTACTAGAAAGAAACTGATATAAATCTATAGATACATTTTTTGTAAACGCAAACCTAGACCGATACAAACAATCATACTCATGAGTACAAATGTTTGTAACATGCAAGGAAACGAACCCGCAACGAAAACTACTTTTGAAAATAAAGCTAGACCATTGAACGGTCTCAATGGTCAAATATTGTTTTAAACACTACACAATAGCTAATTCTTGAGTTTACGGTTGAATAATGTATAACATGTCAATTTCATAGTATCATTTGAAAGATTATTGTACACTTGAATTACTATACATTACTTTTATAGCTACTTTAGGTAATCTGAATTAATTTAAATTATTACCTGTTGTCCTGTAGTTCCACTTACCTACAATATATTCCTATGCGTGTATCACAGTTACTTGCTGCTTGCATTATATTGTGTTGCGTTGTATCTATTTGTTTCATGTTGTTATGTATGTATATATATATATGTATATATATAATATTTATATTGGTGTATACTGTTTATATATGTAATATGTTATGTTATTCATTATTATTAATTTGTCATTATTATTATTATGTTTTTTTTCTCTTCTATTCTAGTGCCACCTCCCACCTTTTGTCTTCTCTCCTCTACCCAAAGGTTGCCTGGAAGAGATTGCATAAGCGATAAGGCCGTCTTTTGTATCCTTTAATGTAATTTTCCTGGTGCAATAAAGAGTATATGAATAAATAAATAAATATGACCGATTATTTGTTAACATATCTTCACAAATGTTATCCCAGCTATGAAAGTCAGAGGCATGGGAAAGGAGCAGGAGTATCCTGACATTGAATGTCAGTTGGAGTCGATTCACAATGCGAGTTTCAAGTCGTTTGTGGCCCGTTTCTCTGCCAAAATGCTTCCTATCTTTATGAAGCAGGACTACTGGCCGAAGGGAGTGGTGTATTGACTCCACCGTGACATATTGCCGTCGTCAGTGTCGTGACCACAGAGACAATATTTCTATTATATTTTATGTATGTTAGTCTATAAAGTATTTCTAATGTAGCGCGATGTATTTCATATGTAAGCCTATATATATATATTGGTTATCACTTGACCATTATAGCGTTATGTATGATGCGATAAGATGTGGCTACTTAATATATTTGTATCCTGTAATGTCTAGATGGTGTATACACACTAATAAAGGTGTAATAATTGAACTACATTAGTAAGTTTATTGATAGTGTACTACATGGTAATAACGCGTTACAGTTTAGGCGGAGTCGAAACGTGGACTGACTTTACACTGAAGTTAAATCTATGCTATGTGGAGACGTAATGGAATGGAAGAGTGCTAAGTTTTTTTGGACTACTCTAATGCTGTTGGACACAGCTGGCCTTTACAGCTTCACTGGACGATAGGGGGCGAGTGCAGATGGCACTCCAAACCCGCGAAAGGACTTATAGAGCGGCTGAAGGCCATCTACTGACTGACGGATACCACTTTAATCTGAGGTAACCAATAGTGGTCGGAACCTCGGCTCAGGCCGTCGTAATTTCGATCCCCGTTTGAATTAGACGGGGGCTCGAACGGAGGGGAAAAAGATTGCCGCGTGTTGACAGAAATATTACAAGTGGAGGCACAACGATATGGACCATTAGTAGCATGAAATAAATATATAAAAAAAATGAAATATGATAAAAGCAACACTTGATATGTCCACTATCTCCATTTCACTGTGTATATCTGAATGAGAGCGCGTTAGTGCCATCATTTTGATTTGTTATCGGTACTATTTCAGTCAATAAGAAATTTATACTTATTATTGACTGAAATAGAACCGATTCACACATTTTTTTGTTATTGGTATCTATGGCTATGTTAATTTTTTGTTATGGATATCACCTCACCACTGTATTGATATGTATGATGTGAAGAGGTGTCGCTATTGTTTAAAAACATCGTACGATATATGTGCGTATTTAATATACTCGGCTTTATTACGCCCTCGCCTTCCGCTCGAGCTGAAATTCGTGAAATTCGCCTCGTGTGTTATAACCATAACACACTTATATTTTTATTATTATTGTACCCATCCACATTCGTCCCCATATACTTAAGATTTTACTTCAGTGTAAAGTCAATTCACATATACTCACACAATAGTATGTAAATACTATTATGTTACTCTATGTGAAATGTGTAGAAAAAATATTGTAAGTCAATGTAGGCACACTAGATTCTGAACTCACGACCTTTCAGTCTAAATCGGGATAGTAAAGCACAATTCAAGTATGATATTTTACCTACTTAACGTCAACTTACAATTGAAATCTGTTGATCATAAGAAACGATTGTAATTGTCTCAACGCAAACATTTGTATTAATATATACAACTCTTTATATTGCTCTGGGTGTTTACTAACTATATTAGATACCTATGTATGTTTTTAAAAAAATATGGATATACAATAAGTATTTCTATCAGTTGTCTAGTACCCATAATACAAACTCTGTCTAACTTAGGACAAGATGGCGGTGTGGGTTAGGTTTTATTTTTCATCAGTAATAAAAAACACTCGATCTCTTCTTGAAACCAATTCTGAAAGATTAATATTATTACAATATTAACATGTTACAATATTACAATGAGCCATATCATGGTCGACATACGAATGTGGTAAAATGCTTTCTAATTATTATTATATCTTATTATCTTCTTTTTCTAATTATTATTATAATTCCAGTAAAGCTGTACTTACTGTCAGCATTATTGAGTTAGTACCAGTAAGTACCTACTAATTTGACCTACACACGTGTCTTGAACCGTGAACGTCCGGCAGAACACCACGATATCATCAATACCACTGACCATGAATGAACACCCACATAGCATTAAACATTTTGAACTATACTTTATTATGTACCCATGTCTATAACGGTACGGCAATTATAGTTTAAAAAACATTGGTACCCTATAAGGGAAACATGTGTTCTGCAGTAGAGAATACAGTTTAGAATTTTATAAATTTATATATTATATATATTCAACTATACATTATTTTAAAACAAACAAACAAAGCTTTAAAACGAAAATAGTTATTCTATTATTTGTGTTTTTTAATGTCTGTAGCCCAATCGGCATAAATTAATATTGCTATTGAAAAATAGAGGTTGAAGGTAAAAGGGACAATAGGGTTGTATGTATTTTAAATACCATATCCTAAAAAATGAAATTAAATAAAAAAATATTTGGGGTGGGCCACCCTTATCACTAGAGGAATAAAAATAGACAATAACTATTCTCAGACCTACTCAGTATAGATATGATATTTCATCAAAATCGGTTAAGCCGTTTCGGTGAAGTATGGCAGCTGGCAATTATGTAACACAAGAATTTTATACATACAATTTGGAAGATTACTACCGGGACCACAGCAAGCAATCTTTCACCATTTGAAAGATATATCTACATTATTTCAAAATAATCCATATAATGTAATCTATATGTACCTATATAGGTCGTATGACAATTGATGGTCCATAATATGATCTCTAGCCGAAATAATGGATCTATCATTGCGCCTTATCATCAATGATTGAAATTATGATGTTGATAAAGACATTTTTAGATATATTAATATAAAGTAAAATGAAATCTATTATAAATACTAGTAAAATGTAGATTAGATCTAATATATTTTGTCCCAAAATAAATTATCAGTTGTCTGTTTGAGGGAGGTCGATTCGTAACCATCAGTCATGATTGTGTACGATATATTAGAAAACGATACGATACATTGCTAAAAGTGCTCCTGGAAACCATCACATCACGACGGGCAAAGGGGAGTGACATGACGGGTACACCAATAAAGTAGTAATTAATAAGCAGACGAAATTATTAACGAATGTATACCACATTGCTCAGTTTTGTGGATGAATAAATATACGAAATTTTTATATATAAAAGTTATACGTTACGTTGTTTCTACACGATGGACTCCCTAAACTACTGAACCGATTGCAAATTGTGATTTGCACATTGTGTGCAATTTGATCAAACTTGAAAGATATGATCGCTTAGTTCTCAATTTATTATTGTCGCAATATTATTTTATTCAAGAACCTTAGCCACAGCAACGCGTGGCAGGGTCTGCTAGTCTATATCTATTATTTTCCACTTACCAAATCTGTTACATGTATTTTTGTGTAGACATATTAACGATAAGTCCATAATTTAATATTTCATTTAACAACAAAATTTAAATAATTTGGCAGCAACTTAATCACCGTGCGTACTTTTGTTTAGACATATAGTAGGAAAGAAATATTAGATATAAAAGATAATAGTTATGTCTTCAAAACTTACCTTTTTACTCCGAGTCTATGTATAACTGACATTACAAAGATAAATAAGAAGTACATATATAAATGTCTATGGAAAGTATTTTGTATTGCGATGGGAATTATTAGTAATGGGGACTGATCATTCATTCACCTCCGTTGTATATTCGTATAGTTGGACTAATTGCCTTGACATTTTGCCATCCTATTATTTTATCATAGCATCTGCCAGCAGTTTCATTTAAGGTTTAATTACTTAGGCAGTACAGCATTTGTAATATATTATAAAAATAAAAATTCTACTGAACATCATTTATATTACCTATATTCAGTAGAATCCTTACTGTCCTTACTAATATTGTAAATGTACAAATGTATATATAAAGTTTGGTTCGTTACCCCTTGACATCAAACCGTCTCAGCCAATCATTTAATTTAATAGGCATGCAGTACTTTGTAAGGAGACAGGCTATTTTTATCCTGGTCAATCAATATATCCTAGCTTCGACGAGTGTTGACTCTAGAGCGACTGTAAAATTCTGTGACTGCAGAATACACGCCACTCAATCACCTCGATTGCAGAGTACAGCATCAAAGTACCAACTACTGCTGACAAGAGGAAAGGTGATTGTTACTAATGTGTCAGGTAGACTTCTAGGCGGTTCTCCCTGGAAACCATCGTTATAAATTTCTGGTGAATTTGCCACGATGCGCTCTGACATGACCTCAATCATTTTATCATCCTCCAGTGAAACTCCGCCAACGTAATCCGTTAGCACCGTTCCATTATCAGCCATTAAAAAAAACTGCTGCTGACAACAGCACACTTTAGTCTATGGTCTGATCGGATGTCAGAATTGGATTAGCCTATTCAGATAACGGTTTTCTACATATTATTTACTAGTATATACACATTTGAAGGTTTTAATAAGGAGTAATTATGCTAAAATGAAAATAGTTTTTGGTATCAAAAATCGGATTTATATTTCCGTTCTGCTGTAATATGTTAACGTCAGTAACAATTTGCCAGGTTACAGAATTGGCTGCACAGCCAGTATCAAGCATAACATGTACTTTTATAACAATGATACATTTCTTCAGACCTAATAACCTATAACTTACACAAACTACCTAAAAAGATATACAGGTAAAGCTAATTATCTACAATCCTCAATAAGTTATATACATATATCAGTACAGCAAGTTATATACAATTTAGACTTATCTGTAACCTGAGAAATTTTGATTTTTCCTACATTCTGGACAGTACCATCTACCTTTGGGTGGTACCATGATACCAACACACTCAAAGTGAAACCATTCAATGGAACACCCTTCGGCGTCGCAGGCGATCATCTCAGAGACCTCATCGTAAGGACACCGGCAGTAGCAATACACGCTTTCGCCTTCCCGCGCTTGGCGAACAGCAGGCCTTTGGAATGGATAAGGTAAACTTGACGTGCCAGAATTTAAATAGGTGGGAGGTGGAATAGGCGCTGGTGCCTGATAGCTATTTGGTTGATATATTTCCAATTGTCCTTCGTCACTTGAATCCGAATCACTGGACTCCATAGATTCTGTATTCATCAAAATTTTCGGAGGCTCGGGATCTGGAATGGGTGTAGTTAATCTAATAGGCTCTATATAATTATACATTCTCTGAGGAGTGACAGTCGAGGGTAGTTCTTTCTTTGCTTTGTGCGTTACAGGCGAAGGAAGGTCTTCTTTTCTCCATTCTAATTTAGGCGGCAGATGTGGTTTTAAAGCTGTCACAGTTGGCGGTGTTTCTTCATCACTTGAGTAACCATAAAATTTATTCGGAACCCGCCTTCGTTTCGAGGCTCTTTTATTTTCCGTAGATGTAACTGGTGTGCTAGTAGTACTAGTAGGTATGGGCTTGCTAGGTGCTTCAGGTAGTTGAACGGTGTTAGATTGTAAAGATATTGTTATTTTATTTGGTAGTAAAGGTTGTGTGGCCTCTGCTTCCGATTTTGCTATAACTTCCTTAGGAATGTTAATCTTAATAGGTCCATGTTTTCTAGAACTTTTTGACTTCTTCTTCTTTTTACTTTTCTTTTTACTACTTGGTTGTTTTTCTTTAATTTCAACTGACTCTTTTATTTCAGTTTGCTCCTTTGATTCTGTTTCATCTTTTGTCTCAGTTAACTCCTTTATCTCCTTTTCCTCATTTACTGGGGTCCCAGGACGACTAGCCTCACCCGATACTGAGCCACCATCAGATGGTGCTGCTGCTATTACTTGATTACGCTTTTCTGTGTGTTTGTTTGCTAACTTTTGAGGATGTTTATCATAAAATTCTTCATCGGTTTCACTTTCATCAGTTTCTAAATCTGTCTCAGGAATAGGCGGCTCTGTCTTTTCTGGAATTAAAACTGGCGTTTCGGACATACCCATAACATCAACATTAGAACCATTGCTCATTCTTCTATTTGGTAGTGTCTTTTTTAGCTGCTTTTTCTTTTTCTTTTCATTACCAGACTCATCAGAGGAATCTGAATCGGATGAACTAGATGATGATAAACCACTGCTTGAAGAACAACTACAGTTTGAACCACATGAGCAACTTGAGTCACTATCACTGCTACTACTACTGGAAGAGGATAAATCGCCATGCCTCTTTTTTGGAGATTTCTTGTTTTTCTTTTTATCCATAGCAAATGATTCTTCGTCACCATTTATGTCTGAAGGTATTAGACAATAATCATGATCAGATTCACACACATGTTTTCTAATGACAACTAAAGGTGGAGTCTTTTCTTTCTGTTTTTCCACTTTGGCTTGATATTTCTTAAAATTATCCCATATATCAAGAACTTGCTGTTCACTAGGTTTTTCTTCTTCTGCTTGTGATGGGTTCTCTTCTATTAAAGCTGGCAAATCTTCACTAAATTTAACAATATCATTATGATTTACACCTGTTTCTGAGTTTTCGTCTTTTTTATCCTCTGTTTTGTCCTCTGGTGCATCTTCTTTATTAGTAGGAAGTATTCCAGTATCAGATTCGTCACTATCACTTTCAGATAAATCCAAAGCTGGCAAATTTACATCTAATAATAAAGCATCTTTTTCTTTATTTTTTTTCTTCTTTGCTTTTTTGGAAAGTTGCTCAGTTCCAGCCTCAGCATTACTGTTTAAAGTGCCAGCATCATCTTTTGGATTATCATTAATTAAATCGATAATAGGAATTGGTTCTTTGGATACTTCTAATGGTGTTTCCTTTGAAGGTAGATCTTCATTTAAATCTTCCATTATCATTTTCTTTCTGTGCTCATCAACATGTTTAACCAACAATTTTTTTGATACAAATTTCTCACTACATCCATCTTCAGCACAAGTATGAGGATAGTCATTTGAATGGAATCTTTTATGAACCTTCAGATATACTGCTTTTGTAAACTGTAAGCTACATTCTTCACATGTAAATAGTGCTGGTGGTGAGCAAAAATGATATACGTGAGGCCATTTCTTCTGAAGACACTTTTTACACAACACACTTTCAGTGCCATGTTTCCAAAATAAATGATTAGTAATATCAAGCTTATTTCTATAGGCAATGCCACAACGATAACAAAGATGATGTAATTTATGTTTCCATACATGATTTGATAAACGGGTTTGATTGTGACAAAATTCTAAACATACATCACAAGTGTGGTGAATCTTTCTAAGATGTACCATTAATCTAAATGGTGATGGTATGGTGTCTACATTACATAAACAGCATCTAAATTTAACCTCATATTCTGAATCATATGTTCCAGGGCATAAATGACACAGTAACTCACTATAACTATAGAAATTAGATTTACACATAACACATAATAAAATGGTTTTCTGATGCATTTTACGATTATGTAAATAGAGATCTTTATGAATAGCAGTTTTAAAATAACACTGAAAACACTCAAACATATGTTCATACTGCACATCATCATACATTTCGGCACTATCATAAGAGTTCAAGTTTATATAAACAGACAAAAGATCTTGTGCTCCTGTCTTCAGTTTGGCTGTAATAGTCTCTGGTAACAACACTTCTGCAGTTATACTATCAACAGTGGCTGAAAAACGATGCTGAGCCACCATATGTAGTGAAAGCTGCTCACAATTCACAGCAATTTTACGAACATGATTACAGTAAATACAGTTATGGCATGTTGATGCTAGGAATACCTTTAACAGATCTTTAAGAGGATATTTGTCCAGTGGCTTATCTAGTGATAATTCAGTTACAGGAATTTCAGGTTCTTCTACTTTTGGTTCAATAGTCATGTCATGTTCTGTGGGTTCAGTCTTAGGTTCTATTTTGTTTTCCTCATCATCTGCAATTTGTGGCTTAACATCCTCTTGTTTTAGTACTGTAATGTCTTCCTTAATTTCCTCATTAAACTGAGGTATTTCAGGAGGCTGGGGTTGTTGCACTTCCTCCTTTAGTGGAATTTCTACTTTATTATTTTCCGACTCCTTTATAGTGCTGTTTTCATCGACTGTTAGCTTGTCACTAACATCACTATCTGATGAATAATCACTGGAAGAATCTTTGTCCAAAAGCTCTTTAGGAACTCTGACTGTTAGCTTTGGTACCCTGTTCAATGTATTCACATCTTCTATTTTGTTATCATAAATTGTAGACTTTATAGTATTTTCTGATTTTTGTTCTGGAGATTTTGATACAGATTCTAAATTATTATTTAAAAGAGTTTTCAGAGTTGTTTCTTTGTTATTTTCAATTATAGTTGTTTTAACAAATGGACTGTCTGCTTTATCACAAATGGTCATTTTTATTGATGGTGGTTTTGTATGGTATGTATCTACTACTGGTTTTTCCTTTTCATAACGCTTAGGTGGTCTTCTTACTCGAGTTGGTGGTTTATGTGTGACATTTTGCCCAATTGTTGGATCTACTGTTGAATTAATAATAACTGGTGAATTAGCTTTATTTAAACTAAGTTTTAATTTAATACCACATTCTTTTTCCTTTTCAACAGGTAAATGAACAGCATCTACTGGCTTTGTTGAAAATTCATCATTAGAATACTTATTAAAATCATCAGGAATTGGTGAATTACTTTCATCTGACAGATCTAAACTATCATCCCCATTCGGATGTAACTGCTTGTCTATTTTGGAACTGAAATTATTTTCATGTGCAGGGCTTCCTTCTGATTTAGTATTTGAACTCTCCAATTGCATACCCGAGTCTATTGTATCACTAATATCCTTACTAGTAGCGGCAGAGGTCTCAGAGCTAGCACTTGAATCACTATTGACAGGCTCATAGTCCGTTACTCCTACTGGAACTTTTTGTGTTTGTGATGTAACTGTTTCAGGTTTAATTTCATTCATGTAAGGTTTCTTCTCACTAACAGGTTTCGCTAACGGATTAACTACACTCATAGGGCCATTTGTTGATATTTCGTTAGAATTTTTTATATTTCTCATACTGTTAGACTTTACTGCATTTTTACTAATGAGTACAGGCACAGGTTTTGGCTTAATGTTGTTACAATCATGATTGAAAAAATCATCTTGTTCACTACAGATCTCATCACAGACACAACACATTAAATATAGTGTTCCATTGTAGATATCCATAAATTCTTTTTTGTTATCATAGCTGAACTCTTGAACGTTGTGTTTATTAGTTAAATGCAATGACAACTTTTCTGCTTTTGAAAACATGCCCAAACAGAACAAACAAATATGTCTACTATGAACTTCCCGCATGTGAAGAAAGAGATTCCAGTTCTCATAATAAGTACCACAGGCTGAACACAAATACACCTTTCTTGTCACTCTCGAAGGACCACCAGAGCTTACTTCAGCAGTAGGTGTGGCTTCTGGACTCAAGGTTGGCTCCTTTGCTTGTGCGCGACACACTAACTGATGGTCTTTTAACATTGCTAATGTTTTGAATGACATTGAACAGCACTTTCTACATTTGAACTTCACCATGGGCTGTAAACCCAGACTTTGTGCATATTCCTTCAATTGGGCGCCTTTTTCAATCTTACCCTTTTTGAACTGTAGCAATTGGCTTTTGGGCACAAGCCGGGGTGTGGGCTTGTCCTGTTCATTATCCACTGCACTACATCCCATTTGTGATGTGACATTATGAAATTGGTTTCTGTCTACACGCTTAGGAATAAGTTTCGGCACTCTAGGATAAGAGTTAGGTATTGATTTTGTATCACTAGATTTATGCACTTGTTTTTTCTTTTTCACTGAACTATGATATTGAAGTGAATTGTCCACAAAAGGTCTTTTGCCAAGATGTATTCTTAAAGGGTTAATGCGTTTTCGGAACTTGTCGTCCTTGGAGTTGTCAATGTTGGACCGGCACTGATTATACGAGTCTTCTGAGGGGCTCGACGTCTCCCCGACTGGATCGTGTCCATTCGACGTCAATTTGGAGTGTCTATCACTGTATAAGTTTGCCAATAATGCTGAGGCGTGTTTGTCGTCTTTCGTATTGAAAACATTACCATCTTCCATAATTTTCTGAAAAAATAAAAAACACGTGATTTAAACCATTCGGAAACAAAAGACATTCAATTACTGAGGAAATCGAATTTGAATTACTACATTACCAATCAGAACATAATTTGATATCTTACCTCTAAAATCGTACGTCCAGTACGAGTACAATAATAAAGATTTGTTTCCGTGCATCCGTTTAGACAATGCAATCCTTACATTAGGCTTACTGTGAGGCAGCCGCGGGCTGATCATTCCCGTAAAATGGCGTCACTTCGCTGAGCGAAGAATGGTAATATCAAAAGCGTTGTTGTCGATTTCTACCGCTTTTATCACAATTCACAATCATTTTTTAGATTTTGCATTACACAAATAATGACAAATAAGATAAAATAATCACGTTTTAATGTTTATTTCCAAACAATTACAGAAAACTGCAGCACATTACGAGAAGCTAATTCATGAACTATAGACTAAAAATTTTATTTTTTTAATCTTGATTTTTTTAATGCTGTGGAGCACAGACAACAGACACGTGTTTAATACAGAGGCAAATTAATAATAGGTGCAACAAATTACCATTACACAAGTACAATTTATTATAAGAATTAAGCTATATATCCAGAAATAAAATTTATTATTTTATTATTTAGGTAAGGACTACAAATATTTTATTGTTGCATAACTTAATACCGACACAAACAGTGTTTAAAAGTACCGACTATAAATAAGGACTCAGAACTCTTATTAAAGTTATAATTCGTTTATGTAAAATTTGATATTTTTTTAGAGTAATGGAACTGCAAACAAGCTTGCTCACATGATGGAAAATGTACGGAAACACTTGTGGATACATAATAAATAAAAACATAATAATTTAGAATGGACTCAAACTTTATGAGCGCTTGTTTAGTCAGTTTGCATATTATTAGGTTTTACTTTCCAGTTACTATTTTAATTATAATGAAATTCCTTGATTTAATTCATCAATCTATGGTCATGAGTTTCAATGTGCCGTCATCTACTGATCTGTCACATCTGTCAGTCTTTCACTTCATTCTGTGATTTCAGTGGAAAATGCATATTTTAATAAATTGTTTGACATTTCATTTTTATCAAAAAGCTCATAGTGAAATAATAAAAAAATATTCTGCTAATATCCAAACACCACTGTAGTTAAAAGAAAGAGTTTTTAGTAGATTTTGTAATTTATTTATTGCGATTACTTTAATTTATGTTTACCAGATAGACAATGCGGATGCAAGATGATGTCTGATCAGTTTAGAAAGGTAGAACCGTATTCTCCGAAATCATCGCCAAGAGGGGCGAGGTCACCAGTTGTCTCTCGTCAGGACTCTTCTGGTACTCTTAAGACGACAATATCACTTGGCAAAAACCCTTCTATAGTGCACAGTGGACCATTCTATTTGATGAAAGAACCTCCAGGTAACTTGCTCGGACCTTTTTCTGACCAAACTTGCTTTATAGTATAGTCATTTTTGTATTTCTGCACAATTAATTCATTTTATATTTGTGAGTGTATATGTTTGTATTGGTCTAGGTGTTATTCTATGTATTTACTTACAAAAACAAACACACAGTACATAACTATGTGTAACCATTATTTAATGCCTTTAGTAAAAGTTTTTAATTGGAGACTAAATATAGACACTTAACTAACTAAAGTTTATGATGGTTATTTTTTTACTTCTAATTTTCCTTTTATTTCCTCTATATCATGTAATTTCATTATCACAATATAATTATTGATTATGATTTTTAAATTTTTGTCAGTAAAGTATAATACTGTATGAAGAATTTTATTAGAATAATTTTCTCGGTTTTACAGGAGAATGTGAGCTCACTGGGGCCACTAATTTGATGGCTTTTTATGGCCTTGAACATTCATATAGTAAGTTCAATGGGAAAAAACTCAAGGAATCATTGTCATCATTCCTCCCAAATCTCCCCGGCATAGTAGATGGGCCCGGACAAGAAGATAACAGTACTTTGGGTTCAGTGATTGCTAAAAGACCCATTGGTGGCAAAGATTTGCTGCCTCTCACTAGTGCACAGCTGGCAGGCTTCCGACTGCATCCTGGACCTCTGCCAGAGCAGTATCGCTATGTGAGTGCGACCCCACCAAAAAGACATAAGAGTAAGCACAAGAAACATAAGCATAAAGATGGAGTGCCACCAGGACAGGACACACCTCTACAAGGTATGTTTGTTGTTATAATATTTGAGTAATATTTATAATATTGTTAAGGTGTTATACTGTAGTATTGTAGTTCAGATGTTCAATACAGTGTTCTGTAGTTGTGAATGAATGTTTATTTATTTACAAAATATTTGGTATTTGCAAAAGCAGATCTTATATAATGTTAACATGTTAATACATGTTTATTTTATTTATTCTATATTTATTTTTTTAGGTTTTTTTATACACAAAATGTGATGATGACAATACCATTGTACCTATACTAAATAAAAAAATATAATAATCACCTTAAAAATTTTAACTTATAACTTTAGAGTTTGGATGATATATTCTCTTTTAGATTAATTATGAACACATTCCATCAAATTATGATGTAATCTTCTTTGCCACAAGCTACATAATAAGTAGGGTAAATACATAAGTAGGAGGATATAACTTTTTTTATTATGCGAGCAAATTCTCACACAATGTTAATTGTGTTCATAAGTACAACTGGTGGTATTGATGTGTTATATGTATGTTGACAAATAAAATGTTTTTTTAATAATACTATACTATTGGTAGTTGGTACTATACATGTGGTACAAGTTTTGTTTAGTTCAAGACTAGATGGAAATGTGTGATATGTCCAGTATTAATTATTTATTTTGTATACTGTCAAAGGTGTCCTAGTTAAAACACTAAGTGAGAAGTTATGTTTCAGATTCTTCTAATCCTGATCCCTATGAGAAGAAACACAAAAAGCAGAAAAGACATGATGATGACAAGGAGCGGAAGAAAAGAAAAAAGGAAAAGAAGAGGAAAAAACAGAAACACAGCCCCGAGCATGGAGGCCTCACACCAAATCAGCATCCTGTAGCTTAATTAATAAAATATATTTTAGGTTATGCCCAATATAATGGGTCCAAAGAGAATTTCATTTATTTTGTCTATTACATTATCATGTCGATGGACCTTTATTTAAAAAAAAAAGTAATTTTGTCATCTCTTTGGGCCTAACATCTCAAAACTATAGTTAAGGAATTAGCTAATGTAATTAATTATGTTTAGTTTATTATAAGCTTGTTTTTGATATATTTTTTTATTTTTAAAGTAATGTAGTGATTGGAAGAAATAGATCCTTTTTAAATTTGTTACGGCTGTTTGTCTACCCATCTTTTGTATGAGCTTTTGCAGTGCAATTATATGAAAGAAACTCTTATTAATATACATAAATCAAAATTAGTATAGGCTGTTTCAAAATATATACTGTATAAGCCTCTCCGGACAGATGCATCAGTTTTTCATAGTTTAGTTTAGTCTCATACATGCGCCCATCTAGTCCCAAGTTAAGTTACCTAGAGCTTGTGTTATGGGTACCACTGATATGAATACATACATATATATTTTTTGTAAATATAAACTTATACCTCAAACTACCCAAACCCATACAAACAATCATAGTCATGAATACAAATGTTTGTACCGTGCGAGGAATCGAACCCGCGACTATCTGAAGTAAGGCGGCGTGCTAAACCGCTAGACCACCGAGGCCGTCAATACTCGTAACTTATACTATGTATAAAACAGATGAAAGGAAGGGTTTCTACATAGAAATTAATAAAATATAATTTTCTAGAGCGAAATTTATTCAAAGTATCCAAATTTATACATTAAGTCAGTTTCGCTTCATATAAAAGACAGTTCAAAGTCATTATAGTTAAAAAAACAAAATAAATTAGTAATGCAGCACCAAAATACATACATCATACTTATGACATTCCTACTTACACTTACTCTGAACGAATGTTCACGTCGCTGCGCGGCGAACGTGGACAGCCCGTCAGAAAATCACAACAAATTGCCTATAGACATCATTTGAACTAAACAATACATACAACTGCGTTTCACGAAACATTCCTTTGAGTAAATTACATTTTAGCAATTAACAGGGTAGACATTTTAAAAGTTAACGTATACAAAAGAACCTTGCAGTAAATGAAAGTTCGATTTATTTAGGTCCAAAGGAATTTCGTGTAACTTTATCAGTATATATATATTGACAATTAATTAGAAGTACAATTCATCTATAGGCCCTACAAAACATTCACTCACGGCATCAGATGTTAGAGTACAAAGATAATCTCTCTTAATCCAGTGATTATAATTATGCTCCCTCTATTTTTAATATCATAATATTACATTAAAGGGTAGTCACACACGGTCATCCGTCAGAATGCTCTAATGCGACACTCGTTCCGATTGGTGTGTCACAAAAGAGGGCGTGACCTAGTAACCAAATGGGCCAATTGAACGGTGGTCGTACAGGGCAATCAACTGATGAATCCAATAATGTATGACAAGATTTACACGTAAACTTTGTGTATGATACTCGAATACAGATATACGTGTACGATAGACGGCATAGTAGTAGAGCTAGGCGTGCTCTTTCTTACCTACACACAGATTAGCTACATTATCTACGCCACAGTAAACCCCTTGCCTTGCATTCGGAGTACCGCACACGAAGTTGACTGACATATACTTCTCTCTTTCTGTGCCGGTGACTCGTTTCACACTCGAACAATCGCCTAACAAAGACGACACTATGCGATTTAATTACTACATAACTACGTATAACTCACATCGATTTATTGTATACTAATACATTTTGGTGCGCAATGGCACAATACATTTAAGTGAGCATGACTAATAGATAACATCTACGTATATTACATCAGTGAGAAGACTACACGCCTTCACTAAAGCAAACTGTAAATAAATCCTATTCGGCTACTGAAACTTACAAATTCAACGTATGGAATAATGTCACATTAACGAAATGCCACATTCTGTAGAAATTATTAAAATATAACAAAGTATACTGCGATAAATTGACAGTTGACAGAATGGTAACTTTTAATAGCGACAAATTAATCTCAAAATATTACAAAAATAAGGTACAGTCAAGATCAATAACATGTCAATGTCGGTCAAATTTTAGTATCGTTACAAAATAATATACATATGGTTACAGGACCGAAATTGACATAATTTTTTATACTCGACTGTACGAAACTCCGCGTAACTCTGACTCGATGGATAAACTAATTATAATGGACGTTTACATCGCGACTATCACATTATAATGGATATTAATTTTGAGCAATAGTTTACATAGAGAAGCATAAAGAGCGAATTAGATCTTCTATAATTTCTGGTTGCAATTACACATAAACATAATTTGTGATACCAATGGCAAGTTAGAGAAACATAATCACTATCAAATTAGACGAAACAAATTCGGCAAGCCAGTAAATAAAAATTCTATTCAATAAAATCTTTACAGAAGAATACGAACGTAATTAATTCTATTATATTCATCATATGCATAACAAATAAATAATTAAAATATTAATTGAATTATACACATGTCATAATAATTATAATTAAAATATATTACAAAAAAAAAATGTTAAAGTGATTTACAATTACAATTATTTATTAATTAAATTAAATGTAAAATTCAACTTGTCCGTCCGAACATATTGTATACCTACCTACTATATTATCACTCGTTACAATCTCATAATATGCATGCATCCGTTCCACAATATTCATCATCACCAAATAACCTATTATTACACATTGTTATTATTGTTTTGGTATTATTAAATACATATTTTAGTACATTTACAATAAATTATATTTATACTTGTTTAAGTTGAAATTAAATAATAAAATGCCAGCATTCTTATAAATATTTAAATAGGCCACTGTGTCGTGAGTGTGTTCAAAATACCAGTTTTTATTAGTAATAAACACAATAAGTTTATTTTCATTATATCGTTGCAGTAATATACTGAACTAAATTCGCCATTTGAACAAGCTCGACTTTAGACGGGCGGTCATACAAGTATAAGCTGTAACCTAAAGTATTTTAGATATAGTCTTTGTGAAATGTCGTCTGATACCTCTATCTTACCTATTTCACCCGCCAAATAGCTTTTTTGTAACACGTGTTTCAGGTAAAGAGATATAGTGGTGAAATCAGTGTACAGAGGCATAACACATTAAATCTCTCAGAAATAAATATGATTTACTATTATATTAGTCATAAATTACTATTATACATCATATATATTTATAATACCAGCGGCTGACGTTAACATATTGATTTTTTTTAAATTTAATTGTTCATAGGTCACCTTCGATCACGAATTCACCGTTAGTCCTTATCATTCCACCGACGCCATTTAATCATTTAATAATTCCATCCTATCAATTGTATATAGTATCATATACAGGGTTACTCGGAAAGGGTCTAAGCAGCAAGGATATGAGAGTACCCATGGTAACGAACAAGTTTTGTTCTACAATTTTCCCTGAATTTATATATTTTTTTCGAGAATAATGGGTTTAATGTTGTTATATTAAAATACAGTAACAACAAAACACAGCCCTAACATCAGTTGTCATCGGTCCTATAAAATTGAAGATCAAACGAACTTTCCAAGTGAAGTTCGAATATAATTATGTGAGCAGATTCACTTGAAATATTTTGTTAGTAATATGTTACAGCTGGCGGCTTAGTATATCTTTCCAACTACTCCTATATACATTGCCACAATTTTCCAATTCACACAAAATACATCAATCCGCTAATTTATTTTAGGGATAGAATTTTGCGAAAACTTAACCAATAATTATAAGTAAGTATATATGTCAAGAAATCTAATTAGAGAGACGGCAGTAGACTCTCATTCTGGCACATATGAAGCGAACATGGTTGATATAATGAGAGGATTTAATGCAATAACAAAAATAGACTGATCTCTAATGTATGGAGATCAACAAAAACTCAAGATGGAGTATTAAAATACAATCAAAGTAAATTGGTATAATTATATATATTGTAATTTACTAAATTATTTTTAAGTTGTTTACTAACACAACATGGATGGATATCCGAATTAAAGAAATACATAAAATCAATAATCACAATAAAAATAAGTAAAGATGTTAATCATCAGCCAAGACACGGCGTTTACGGAGTTTTTTAACTTGTATCTATAGGTTTTGCTATTCTGAAAACAATTTATTTATGAATATAAAATATTTCACAACATTTGCATTTGCAGTATATTTTATATTGATGAATAAATAGCATAATAACAAAAAGTAATAAACAGTTCCGTAATATAGACAGTAAACTTCTTGGCTTTACTTTTATTATATCGTGCTCCATCTAAACTTTTTTGTTGGTCTGTACACAGTTTCAAGACCTGTACTTACAACACAATGATTCTGAATGAATTAAGCGAAACTTTTGTAACTTGAAAGTATGGTCGGCGTCATTTCTGACAGACAGCATTATACTTATTAGACGTATTGTAAATTCGACACCTATATTTTGCTTAGAGGAAACTTGGCTGTGGCAGATATACAAATTTATTCACAAAGAATTTTTATAATTGTAAATCCTAAACCATAAATTCAACATATAATTCGTATATTCAAAAATATCTAATAAAACGGCCTGTCAAAAAAAATATATGAAATAATTCATGATACTGTACTGAACTACTGTGAAATGATACGATGATATATTATGTACGCGTATGAATAATAATAATAATATTATATACTACGATGATGTTACTACAGTCCAATACATTTACAATAATATATATAACAAGTGATATGACACGCTTAAACTTGTCACAAACACACTTGTCCCTATTCCACGACCATTGAATTCCACCCGATCAATATTTGGTGCTTTTAAAAATGCGAATGATAGAAATGCAAAAAAATTATATGATATAAAAACAATAATACTTATTGTAAAAATATCTATGGTATTCAGTTTCAGTTTCTGTTAACATAAAATAAAAATTACGTATAAACGTTCTAATTATACGAAGTAAATGTCTTCACAAATGCAAATCTTTACATAGTATAAAACAAAATCGCCGCCGCTGTCTCTTCGCTTATATCTTTTAAATTATACAACGGATTTTAATGCAGTTTCCAGCGATAGATATACTAATTCAAGAGGTCGGTTTATATGTATAATACATGCGTGTTATAGTATAGAACAAGCTAAGAAATTAAAAGATTTGTTATGCATCCATGCATGGCCGGGACGGTTGCTATGCTATACTATACATGTATTCAATAGAATTGAAAATACAAATACAAAAAACAAACTCTTTGTTGACAAAAACATCGACTAACTAGTTACAGCTATCAAAGTGGTTCTTATATATTAGACACCTGTTTACTACATATGTTGAAATTTATATGTATATATATCGTATTGTAAGTCAAGTTTACCTATGTATAATGCTTCTACTTTATATAGCGTATATAGCTCAATTTTCTTCGAACGGCATATAAATCATTCTGTACATATAATCTGCGTAATCTTATTTAAAAATGAACCTTATATTATATGAAATATGATTATTATTACATTGTCAAAGGTGGGAATGCAATCGTGTGGAATTCAATTTTCGCTACAAATATAATATATAACCCGATTATTAGATACCCGTCTACCAGCACTGACCGATGACAGTTTTGTGGAGAGACGCGTTGCGGTGCGTTGCGATCTGCTGCGATATGTTGCGATCCGCTGCGTTATATTGCGGTCTGTTTAGTTGTAGGCGTTGCATGTTGCATGTCAATGTCACAGGTCCTTGAGTAGTGCTGACTTCGCATTCTTGAGTTTGTCGAGCCGTTTCGTCAAATGGCTGTTCTCTGTTTCCAACTCTTCGACACGGTTGAGAGCCTCTCGCGCCTGCAATGTAAACATGCACTTAGTAATTTTATAATAACGTCCATTATGCTATATTATTTTTATTTTAAATTATAAAATAGCATGCATATTAATAAAATAATTCACATTTTAATAAAAATATTTACAGTTTTTTTACATATTGGAGAATTGCTATGGTTTTTGAAGACATTATTGGATAGGTATTAGGATTTGTACATATTACATTGAATACAACTCACTGAAAATAGTGGAATATATTTATAGAGTTCTACAAGGACTAGAAAATTTTATTAACAAAGTCAAAGGTTTATATGGGACAAACCAAAACTCATCAACTGCAAAAATAACTACGAATCGGTAAAACGTCGATCAAACTACCTTTTTTCATTGTATTTATTTAAGTACATAATCTGATATAGTATAAGCTCTGCCAGTGTATTTGATGGCCTTGGTGGTCTTAGTGATTTAGCACACCGCCCTACTTCGTTCGGTTCGATTGCTTGCAATGGTACAAACATTTGTAGTCATGAGTTTCCGGTCTCCTCATCACATTGCCGTACCATCTAATTCTTTAAATTGTTATCTTCTAAATATATATAACTCAAAGGTGACTGACTGACATAGTGATTTATCAACGCACAGTCCAAACCACTGGATGGATCGGGCTGAAATTTGGCATGCAAGAATTTTTCTATGTATAATATGTATGAGTTTAAAAAAAATTATATGTAGTCCCCATAAAACTAAATAGAATGAATATATATCATCATTCATCATAAGTATAAATAAATAAAATCGGAAATGTCATAGAAAATTAAATATTGGACAATAGTTACATAGTCTCTTATATGTGTATCTTACAAAAAAAAACCTTTTACCCGCTGGTTTTTCTAATTTTTTGACAATAAATATATCTGTATATAACCACATGTAAACTTGTAAACCAAAATTCAGGTAACAAACATACAGACAGGAACATTTATATTATTAGTATGGATTAAGTTATTAATGCATATAGAATTTGAGGCAGTTAGTGCTTTGGAAATTTCAGTCTATGTACATTCAACATAGGGCAGATTTTATTGTTTGGACTACTCCAATGCTGTTGGGCGCAGCTGGCGTTATAGCTTCACAGGACGATAGCGGGCGAGTGCAGATGGCACTCCAAACCTGCAGAAGAGCTTATGGACCGGCTGAAGGTCAACTCCCGCCTGACGGATACAACTTTAGCCTGAGATCATCGCTAGGGGGTTCGAACCTCGTCTCAGGCCAACGTAATTTAGATCCTCGTTTAAATTGGACAGGGAATTGATCGGAGAATTTTATATTATTCTTTATATGTATAGGACAGTGTAATTACTGTCCACAGTGGCATGACAGCTCAGTCCTAATGCTGTTCATATATATATATATATATATATATATATATATATATATATATATATATATATATATATATATAGATAAGGTTTGCCACTTACTATCAGGGGGGTCATTAGCATATAATTTACATAAAAAAATATGTAATGGTATTCCGAAGGTAGCGGGTTCGATTCCTCGCACGGTACAAACATTTGTATTCATGAGTTTGATTATCATTCTGGGTATTTTCTGTGTATTATGTATTTAAAAAAAAGTATCTATATGTGTGTATTTATATCACTTGTCTAGTACCCATAACACAAGCACTGCTTAGCTTGGGACTAGATAGCGTTGTGTGAATTGCCAAGGATATTATTATGATAATTATTAAAAAAAAATCATTACTAATTAAGTTAAATCATGCCTAATTATAATTGCTTAGTTATATACATTTGGAATGCAGTTAAGAACACCACATAGATTATTTGTTGCATGTGAGGGTCACACTGTGGTCAAAACTCCACTGTACCGTTAACTACCGCCATTATTGATAACGGCCCAGAAATCAACGACTTCCTGTAAACAAATTGCCTTTTGTTTATATTTTTCCTCGTAGTTTTGAACATTTCGTATGGTCAATGCTAATTAAATAGGATAAATAAATATAATTCGTATGCACGTACCTTTAGTACTAGTCTAAGGGTAAGTTCACACCAATCATAATTATCAAGTTTAAAGCATTTTTACATAATGTAACAATAAATATTATTTGGTATATTATTCTCAGAGTAATATACTCCCTGTTAGTCGTCGCAAGTGCCGGAAAAATTTGCAGCTGTTGGGTGTCCTGATGGTGTGATAATTAGTGATCCTGGTGGTATTGGAGGCCCTGGTGACCCTGGTGGTCCTAGTGGTCCTGGCGGGCCCGCAGCCGCTGCAGCCGCGCCTCTAGTGTCGCGGCGTGAGAGTGACGTACCTCCCGCTGCAGGCGGCGCCGCTCCTGCTTGAGCTGCTCCTCGTGCTCGTCCTGGTGGTCCTGGCGGGCCCGCAGCCGCTGCAGCTGCGCCTCGAGCCTGGCGGCGGCGGCGGCCTGCAGCGCCGCCTCGGCCTCCGCCCTCGCCGCTCGCGCCTTCGCCTCCGCTGCGCTTCGTCGCACCGCCTCCACTGCCAATATAATACACGATCATCAGTCTTTATTAAAACACACTTTCTATACAGATCCTACTACATATAAGAAACACTAACAATTTGGATATATCACACACATTTTTTAAAGTTTAAGATATGTCAAGTATGTAACTTTAAATCAACTAAGTATATAAACTTCATCAAAACTAATATAACCCACCATTGGCTAAAAAACTTTACAATATTGTAATTCTAGTCTCAATATATCTATTCTTAGTACGATCATTGTCAAATGTAGAAAAAGGGAAATAAAAAAAAAACACTTACGCTCATTCTCGTACTCCTGATCATGGTGGTTGGCCACGCCGTTTTGCCTGGCGGCGCGTTCTTCATTCAGTTGCAATTTCAACTTCCGCACTTCCGACTCCAGAGATTGCTTGCCCGCAAGCAGCTTTTGCAACCGCACATCTGTAAATCAGTCAAGGCTTCGATTAATTTTAAAGGTTGTGAAAAGTTAAATAAATATTTATGTAAATAACATAACGGGTAAAAATCTATATACTATTTCATTAATTAACTCATTTTGTTACTGATCTTGTTCTTTGTTTTATTTCGTTATGTTTTCAGGATGCCATATATCTGTAGCTGTAAAGAATCAACTCTAGTAGATAACAACAATCAATTATGCCTTGACATTACAGCAGATACTGTATAGTATACAGTACCTGCTGTAAATGTCACATATACAGTGTATAAGCACATGCGAAGAATAAGATTAGTCTGCATTCGCTTTACCTGAATTGAAAACCGTTTATTGTCGATGATCCGGTTCGAAGGATCAGATAAAATAAAAAAAATACTAGGTACAGTGAGATAACAAAAAATAACGAGTAGGTACCTAAGGCGCAATAGCGTAGTTTATGATAATCAATACCGTACTATTGACCATAATATCGTTTTTTTTCATTAACCACTAAAGCTGACGTTTCGGCTGAAGAAAAGTTTTGACCATGTCTTCAAATCGGCTTTAGTGTATTATAATTTGACATAAGGGTACCAAGTGCGTCGTATAGTTTGTTTGTTTGTGATCCGTTCAATAAAAGGATATACATACCGAGGGTGCCTTCTCCCGCGTCATTGAGCAGCTGCTCGGACTGGTGGGAGACGAGCGCGAGCGGCGGCACCGAGCCGAAGCTCGGTGTGGCGGTTGTGACGGGCGTGGCGGGTGTGGTGGGCGTGGTGGGTGTCTCGGGGAGGGTAGCGGCGTCCACGAACGCGAACCCAGCGGCTGCAGCGGCCGCGTCTCTTGCCCTAACAGCGTCACGCGCCGCTGCCACCTCGCGCTCCAGCGACAGGTGCTCACGCTTTAAACGCTCGTGGGCTGAACACTTCTCTTTGTGCTCCCGCTGTCCAGTATATAATATATTAATTCAAGCATTATTTTACCTAGCTACACACTAAATTTCTTGCCTTTTTTGTATACATTAGATCATAGCGATCAAATTGGTGCAATTATTATAAAGTTCACAATTCAAAGAGGCCTTATTTGTTATACATTCATTCTGTACCTTTTTTCAGTTGAAAGAATTATTAAATCGAGTTGTTACTTGTTATATATTAAAATAATTCAACTATAATAATTATAAAATATAACAAACAAAAATAAAACAAATCCTTCCTCTTCGTTAGATTTATTTTATTAAAAAAACTCGTATCTTTGTTACTTCTTCTATACCAGCTAATATTTAAGTAAGTACAGAAAAAAATTGTTGGGAAATAATGAAAAACATACACCTTATGGTATATATATCAACGTGTTAACCCTGGTTACACATACCTGTAACTGCGCATATTCTTCGTGCAGTTCCTCTATCCTGTCCTTGAGCAGCTCGAGCTGGTACCCGAGCGCCGCCTTGTCGTTGTCCAACTGGGCATTCAATATCATCGCCTTACGGAACTTCTCCTCCACTTCTTTCAACTCGTGCTGTAAAATACAAAGAAATATATAGTAAATATATATATATGGCATCAGAAATAGACATCTTTATCAACTTCTGAATGCAGTCCTTCTGGACAGGGCTATTACGAAACAGAAGAAGTATGCTGGTGGTGGTACTTGTACTTTGCCACTTCTAACAGCCCATTCCTCGGATTAAATCGAACACCTAATTTCTTTGCGAAAATCGTCATTATTTATTGTACTATTATATACACAGTAGATTTGTAAAACTGGTCTGCGTAGTTAGATACCTCAGTTTTATCTCTTTCAGCCGTCAAGCTTGCTTTGTTAGCGACGCTTCGGTTGAAAGGTGAGAGCTTTAAAATTATAGGATAAAAGGCATGGCATCTGAGTCCTCACAAATGCTAACGCATGAGCGATATCACGGTCGTCACGTGTATATTGTAATGTGTGTAAACGTCGCTTATCACCACTTACCATCAGCTTGTTTTCCATTCCAATTAAATTACAAAAATTATTTTCACTTATTTATTTTGCCTGAAAAGTGGTGTTCAGAACGGAAAATATTTATGATTTTTAAATCATACATTTATGATTTATAATTCACCAGAATCTGGCATACAAAATTAATAGTGTCCATTTGTTGTTTATATAAGAAAATAGTATACATAATATTACTCTAATCTAATCAGTATGACAGATTTCCTCTTATTAATTGTTTAACCGGTTGGTTATATAATATATTCAATATATTTTCTATTTGAGTATTTAATTTGAATTAGTGCTAATTGGTGGTTTGTATTCACACACTTAAACTTAAAAATGTAAAGTAATAATAAAATTATTTAAAAGAGCAACACGCAAGTTTCTTGCTCTTTCTTCTTGTGATGAGTCAGCTTTCCGAATGAGCGGTAGATTAAAAAAATGTAATGACTATTCAAAAGTGCTTCAATGTCACTTACATTTGAATAAATGATTTTCTATTCTATTCTAGTAATCTCTTTATTTGTTTGCTGTGAGCGTCGTTATTGTTGTCGTGGTGTATATTGTTCTAAATTAATTTCTTTCTATTTTCTACGTGGTGTGTGTGTAATAAATGAATTCTATTCTATTTCATATAGCAGAGTTACAAGTTTACACTATACTATGTTATACTTACCCTAAGATCTTTGATGCTGAACGCGTCATCGGCCGAGTCTTCTGAACTCCGTCGTGGTGAGTGTATAGAAGGACTGAGTGCCGCAAGCCTGGTACCGCCGCGTCGGCCCACCGTCTCTGTAAACATACAGCTATATATCAGCATACCGTGAGTGCTGTGGGTCGCGATCTATAGTTAGACAATCTAGTGACGGTAGAAGAAAAAAGTGCTGGCACCTATCTACATTGACATCGCTGTTACTCCAGTCAGGCTAGTGCAACCTAGTCGAAACGACGAGAGCAGTGAAGGTATTTCATTTGCCATAAAATTATTCGCTGTAAGACCCTTTTAATAATGTAAATAATGTACCTGAAACCATCCGCCAATACCACGTCCAGGCTATAACCTGGTTAATTCATATGGGACCAAGAGTGATTTGACTAAATACATTTCGTACACACCTGCATACATGTCATATGCTTTGTCTGCATGGTCCTCTTGTTCTCGCTGTTGCCTTTCAAGCTCGCGCATGCGTATCTCTCGAGCCTCCGCACGTGCCGCCCGCCGCGCCGCCAACCGCTGCTCGGCCTGGAAATAAAGTAATATGTTTTATTAATAAAATGTTTGTAATTTAAGGAGCCTCGGTGGTTTAGCGCTTTACGCGTTTACCACACAGCCGTACTTCCAATAGTCGCGGGTTCCATACCTCGCATGGTACAAGCATTTATATTTGTGAGCATCGTTGTTGTCACGCAAAAACTACTAAATGGATTTTAATGAAAATTTATAATAATATAGCTAATACATTAGCATAGCATGTAGACTATAAATTGCACGCGGATGAAACCGCTGGGTCAACTAGTACAATATATAATTTATACAAGTTTTTATTACACTGAAGAAGAAACTGAAGTAAATTTTTAGCAACACATTTATACAAAGTTGTAAATTAAGTGAAGATTATACATATTGACGAGTTACATCTTTGTAAATGACATCTAGTAGTAATAGTATAAAGGCATGCAACCTTATCCAGACAATAGCAGAGTGTACCGCCTTTACTTTTCGCGTGGGCGGTTAACTCGTGTGCTATTGTCACGCATCCTATAGTAACGTTGTTAATACACATTGAGAAACCAATATGCAGGCTTACGTTACTTACAACACAATAATTATTGTATGAAACTGCATAACCAATTTTCTAACACGCACGTGTTTACAAAATTGCAAGAAACTTCTTTGATAAGTATTCAGCATCAGGACAAAACGAATAAAAAATGAAAATGTATACATTCAGGACCAGTATCGCAGATGTTTGTTTAACAACTTAAATGAATGTATATGTATGTATTTAATTTAAATGTATGATTCTAAATTTATATACTTATATTACCTAAGTATAAATAAAATAGAAAAAATGCATAACGCAGTCAATATGGTCATTGTCATTTGGTTTTTGTATAGTTTGGCTGTTTCTAGCATCAAACGTATGTTTTGTATAAGTTATACCTATGTAGATGCCTATTTATATTACTGCTTATTAAATTACATTTCAATAATTCAGGTAGAGTTTTAAATAAATCATTACATCTACTTCGACAGATGTTGTTCCCATATGGTGGATACGAGTAGGTCACCTTACTGTTTATGTAAGCTCCATAAAAATGCCTTATACGTTGTAAACATATTCTTACTAATATTATAAATGCGAAAGTAACTCTGTCTGTCTGTCTGTTTCGCTTTCACGCTACAACTACTGAACTGATTTAAATGAAATTTGGTACGCAGATAGTCTAAACTCCGAGGAAACACATAGGCTACTTTTAAATGCGAAAAAGGGTTGTAAGGAGTTATAAGGGGAGATGCAAGGTTATCTTATGCGGTTGAATACATATAAACGCAAAAGTTTGTGAGTATGGATGGATGTGAATGATTTTGATGAAACATGCATCAGACCGCGAGCTAGTGTATGATAATTACCTTGCCTTGCCTTTATTTTCATGGATAATAATGGTATAGGCTGGCGGGGCACCAGTGGAGGATGATAAGATGAGCATGCGCAGTCAGGTCAGTTAGCCCATCGTGGCAAATTCACCAGGTTTTTATCCCGATGGTTCTCAGAGGGAACCGCGTAGAGCTCAACCTGACATGGTACATTGCTATCCACAATAGAGTTAAGGCTGCATTTCCCTTACTTCATATAAAACGTGCTACTATGAAAGTATTTTACAATAATAACTCAGATAAGTCAACTAATATTAACGTTTCAGACTCGTCACATTTTCTTTAAACAAGTTTATTTTATAACTAGCTGTTCCCGCGACTTCTTATGCGTGGAATTTAACTTTATTTTTCTAAAATAAAAGTAGCCTAAGTTACTCCTTATTACATCAGCTAACTGCCAAAAAAAGTCCCGTCAAAATCGGTCTAGCCTGCTATTTTGGTGTATGTACCGTATTTATATTCATATGCACGTAGTAAAATAACGGTTATTTCAATATTACAAACAGACACTCCAATTTTATTTATATGTATAGATTACATGTAATTAAAAAACTCCATTATCACCAAAAAAGGATCTATATTTAGCTTATTTGTATGAACAATCCGAGACAGTATACAAACAAAGGAAATACTGCCAATTCTATACAGTACATACATATTCTATATAACCAATCGCTGCACATATAGTATAATAATAATATTTCATTATTGGAACTAAAAAATATAATATTTTACAAAGTGGGGTAATGTAACGATAACAGATATATTAGTAAATAAAATTGTGTCGTGGCCGAGCATACTGTAATGTAGTACATATACTACATTGAAGGTATATCATACGAGAAAAACTATTATTGAGGTTTAACCAATAGTTAAAAGAATCCAAAATAAGTATTAAAATTCTTGCTTGATTCTGTGCGCTAATTTCAGAAACCGCTGAACCAATTTGGCTGCGGTTTCCACAAATATATTGTAACAAATATCAGATTTTATATAGTGTTATATTTTATTTTTATCGGTTTACAAACAAATAAGATATATATGGGGCATGAAATCATGAGCTCAGATAGTTTCACAATTATAATAATAACCCAAAACAATTCATACAGCGCCATCTAGTCCCAAGCTAAGCAAAGCTTGTGTCATGAATACTAGACAAATGATAAATATACTTGGATATTTTTTTGCAAATACATATATAATATACATAAAAAACAGACAGACAATACAAACAATCATACTCATGAATACAAATATTTACACCGTGCGAGGAATCGAACCCATTGGAAATAAAGCTGTCTATATATATTATGTATATGTTTACAATAACAGATGTATTTATATCAGTTGCCTAGTACCTATAACACGAGCTCTGCTCATCTTGGGACTAGATGGCGCTGTATGAATTGTCCAGGATTATCATTATTATTTCCGTACCACGTGACTACAAACATCATGTAATTTATATGTATGTATATGTGTAATTCACACGTGTGAGCATTCAATGCGGGTGACCAGTCACCCGATAGTAAAATATGCGCCACCCCATCAGGGCTCACGTGTTTTTACAACTTTCCAAGTGAATTTCATGCAACACTAACCAATCCATACGTTCATACTAGCCATACAACTATTATTAATGCGAAAGTTTGTCTGTACTGTATATTACATTATCATGTGTAAATGGCTGAGCAGATATTGATGGAATTTCTCGTGAAGATAGTTGTTTTTTTATAAAAGATATACTCTTTTATAAAAAAAAACAATTATTAAAGTAAAGTAAGTACCAAAAAGTGAAAAGAATACAAAAATTCTAAACATATAAATTGTTACATAAACATTTTACAATTTTAATTTTTTTATATATAATTTATCTTTTATAACTTCTAGAAATTAGACGTATATAAACTCATAAATATATTTTTAATACAATACAATTTATAAAACCGTCATATAAAATACATTTTGCTTTTTTATTAGTAACTATTTTTTTATAAACAGAACCCGCTCACTCACTCTTCTCACTGTTCTTCAAGGGTAATATTTCACGTAATATTTAACAAATGTCACGTTCTAAGATACAGTAAATCGTTTATGGCTGCAGAGTTCAGCAACCAGACAAAATAAATAAAAAAAAACAAACAGTGTTAACACTTTATCTTCCAAAGCCCGCGTGTAGCGGATAAAAAAAATGTGGTGGGCCACTTGAATACGTTATCGGTGGTGACATCATGCCCTGGACATGACGCAGCCAAGCAGCTGTAGGACGCGATATATTTGCACTAATTTTTGCACAAATATATCGCGCCATGTGGAGTTCAATTTGTTGAAGTTATGGAAAACAAAAAAAACATATAGGACACTTTTTACAAACTCAAACACTGCCGCTAGTAAATATGCTTCTACAAATAAGTACAATTGTAGTGTCTGTTTGTAATTCCAAATTAACAGCATTTCACTGTACCTACTTAATAAGTCCTATTAATATTATAAACGCGAAAGTTTATTAATATGGATGGACGCTTTCACGCAACTACTTTGATGAAACTTTACAATAATATAGTTTATACATCAGAATAACATATAGGCTATTTACGCCGGTGAATCCGCGGGCACAGCTAGTACAAAATAATTTAATACGTTTGTCTGTCTGTTCTTGCTAATCTCTGAACCGTCTGTACCGATTTTAACAGGATTTTCACTCGGAGATACCTGATGTTATTGTGATTGGTATGATTGGTACCTTTGTACCCTAAGTTACTCTTTATATACATCAGTAAACAAACTAAATACTTTAGAAATTCTATTTACTTTAAAAAAAAAAAAACATCTACGCAAACCAAGTTGCTAGAAACGCAAACTAAGTCTAAATTATAATACTTAATAGTAAGACGAGAAGAGAAATCATAGACACGCACGCTACAGCCTGCGCGTTGATGTCCAAGCAGAGGTGTTCCAGTTAGAGGCCGATAATCCCTCCATATGTTTTTTTAAAATGTATGACAATGCAATGGTGCACGCGCGATTCCATTATCATCGAGATATCACCAGTGCGAGAAATCGAACCCGCGAATATCGGGAGTAAGGGGGCCGTTCAAATATTATGTAAGTAGATTTGTTACAATTATTTACCCTCCCCCCATCCCCCTTGTCAGCAAAAGTATGTAAGCAAAGCTCTTACCCCCTCTTCCCATGCCTACGTAAACATTTTTCAATTAAAGTATTGTTTTTTTTAGCAAAGAGAGTGGGAGTAAATAACTCCCGATGACGTAATAATCATCTAGACTCCCCTACCCCTCATGTCATCCAAAATAAACAAAGTAAAAAGCCCCCCCCCCTTATTATTACATTATGGTTTCCATTAGGGAATCGTGTGGAGCTCAACCTGACATTGTACATAGCCAGTGCCAGTCTTATTATCCTCCGCTGATGACAGCGTCAGCGCCAGCGTGAACCGATTGTGCAGGCGGGTGTACCAATCCATGATTGATATCGGTTGTCGATCGGCTTATCACACCACTTTACTTCCGATATTCGCGGGTTCGATTGCTTGCACGGTGCAAACACTTGTATTCATAAGTATG